ATGACTGATTTTCTGTTCGACGCAGCGTGGATATGGAAGATTGATTATATCAAGACCATCCAAGATGGAATGTTGTGCTACTTATGGAAGCAGACGAGGTTGGTAGGGAGAATGGCAAGCTCCGGTGGTGTTGGGCGCTCGGACGACCACGGATGATTTCACCAAAACAGCTGCGACGCTTGGTCAACATCTCTTCTCACCACACATGGCTACCAAGCTGCGCATGCTCAATGCGCCTCTTCTTGATCCGCCATGGCGAGTCGGTTGATAACGTAGCTGGTGTACTGTAAGTTGTTTGAGCCTGTATGGGAGCGAGCGATCAATCTGACTGACTTCGACAGNNTGCTGGCAGAAGAGATTCAGCCCTCACCAACCATGGAGCCGAACAAGCTCGCCACCTGAGCGACTACCTGGCAGACCACAGACCACCCTTGACGCGCATCTTCTCGTCGACTTTGCAGCGTGCCTACAAGACGGCCAGCATCGTGGCAGCAAAACAGTCGACCAAAGACTTGACAGTCAGCACAGTTCCCTACTTGATTGAGCGCAACTTTGGCTACTACGAGGGCAAGAACAACCGTGTGCGAAAGGGTCCCCATCGTGACGAACACAAGAAGGAGGCTGGCTATGTCGAGGAAGAGTCCAAGGACAATTTGGCCGTCCGCGCAGACTTGTTTCTGGACCACCATCTTCTGCCTATGCTGCATGATGAAGCCGACTTTGGCGGTGCTGCCGAGCATGTCGTTGCTATTGTGTCGCATGGCATCTTGCTGTCAAGTCTTTGGCGAAGATTGCTACTCCGCTTGGGCCCCAAGAGCGTGAAAGTCTCGCGCGAGGTCATCGCATCTCGAGGTCAAGTTGTCCTTGCTCACCTGGGTGGTTGGAGCAACACTGGATTCCTCGAACTCTCCATTCAAGACTTGGATCCTCAGGCTAGCCCAGAGTTGGCCATCGTCTTACCTGCTGTGGTACCATCTTCAGATGCGATAGCCGTCACTGCTGACTCGTCGTCGCGAAATGCTCTTGACACCGCTTCACCACCCCACTTGGTGGCTGAATCATCGGAACCAGAGATGCCAATAGACCAGTTCGACGTTGTTGGCGTAGTAAGTGTGCCCAAAGATGCCATTGACCCTGAGTCGAGTGAGAGAGACAGCCCCAGACTACTCGAAGGCTACCGTACCACCATCCTTGTCGTCGACGGCCAGCAGCATCTCAAGGGCCTGAAGCGACAACGAGGTGGTATTGGTCGAGCCGAACACGATGACAAACAGCAAAGCATGACGGCTTTCTTCAAGAGAGCCAGAAAGGATTGAGTTCCTTGTTGCCTATGCCTCGCATCTCATAAGTAAGAGATGCTTGTGCATAGGCATCCATCAGTATGGTACGCGCTCACATTTCTTTTCCTCTCACACCCCACTATCATGATGAAAAAGCAATATCTCACAGACCTGATCGGAAATCACTATGTCGATTCTATACTTGTTGTCCAACTGCTGTCTGAAAATCATACTTCCCTCACACTCTGTTCAAACCGTCTCTTCTGAACCAAAAGCTAACTCGAACAAGATAGGTCTAAGTTCTTTCGCCATCCCGGCATGACTCATTGCCTGTACGTTCTCTCAGTCGGACGAGGACATGTCGCCGCTATAGAGACTTTACGTGACACCCTTTGAGTCTTGTGCATGGCTGGTACGGTCACATCACTTGCACGCAACACCAAGTATCGTATATAAAAAGGGCTCATAGAAACCTCGAAATCAAGAATCTCGTTCTGCCTCACCTACGTCTCTGTGCTACCCGAATATCCTCGAATGGATGATTACCATGCTCTGTCACATCGCACAATACGCTACCAACACGTTCGCTCGTAGATCTTGCTTTGGTTTGCGCCGGCTGAAAAGCAGCATGGTTGATGCGACTTTGCCAGCCACGCGCCCCACTCTCCAACCTCACACCGCAACAATCAAGCTTTGCACACACACCTCGACCAAGCATCCACACCACCACTATAATCCCTTGGAGACGGCCGTATTCGATGGAATTCACATTGTGTGCGTTCTTAGGCAAGTCATCGGTTCTGAAAATGTGCCACAATAGATGTCACCTTAATTTGCACTACTGCGGCATCCAAGCTTGCTTCCTTCAGCAGTCGAAGATACCTTCTTGCCTGACGAAATAACGGTGATACAACCAAAACTTTTTCTGTATAACTCGGACGAGGACAAACCAGATGTGTTCACTTGATAAGGTGTGCCAGAGTTACTCTGTCTTGTTCTTGTCTTACTTTCCTTCTCTCAACCCAGCCACCTCAAAAGCCCAATGATCCACCCTTTTTCCACTCCCAGCCATCTTGAGCCCACCACCCAAGCTGCTATTTCCCGCGGTATCATATTTCTTGCGTTTCTCCACGTTCTCGCATCCTTGCAATCTTCATTTTTGTCAGTTATACCGTGCTTCTTCGTTGTATCGTTGGAAAACGTCTGCGAATTGTCTATACACCTAATACATAATATACACAATCATGAAGACTGGAATTTTGCTGGCTGTATTGCCTGCACTGGCATCGGCGGCGGCACGAGAGAATATCACTGGTATAAATAATCTTCTTCTCTTTCTCTACTTCTGCTTTTCCTCCTCATTTACATCCCTTTCATTCTGTTCTTTTCTGACGGAAACACAGCAACGATATCTATTCCGCCTTCTTCGTCTCTAGCAATTGTTATACCCATCATAACTGCATCGACTGAATATACAACTATCTCTACTGAGGAACAGCCATCACCAACTACTAATGCGCTATCGGTGCTTTCTTCTGCTCTGGCAACTTTTCCGTCTAGTTTGTTGCCGACGACGAGGTATTCATTTGAGTTTACGACAAGTACTACGAGGACGTCTGGTGCGGCGACGAGTTTGAGTGGGACAGTGTCGAGCTCGGCAACGACACGGAAGAGTAGTGGGGTGCAAACGGTTACGCTGCCTACGGTGGTGGTCAGTGGTACACAGACCGTGACGTTGGTGAGCAGTGGTGGAAGCTTGGTGGTTTCTGCTACCACCGGCTTTTCGTCCTCTATCTCTACCTCGACTGAAACGGCTTCTTCTTCGGTTTCCTCGGTTTCTTCGGTTTCTTCGGTGGAGTCGGGGATCGTGTCTTCCTCTGCAACTTCCTCGCCGGTTACAGTGCAGTCGACATCAGCCACATCGACGACACTTGCAACTCTTACCACCTCGTCAGCAACTTCAGAGACGAGATCGTCGGCATCCGCAAGCTCTGAGACATCTGGATCTTCAACATCACAGCAGACCACAACAACATCATCACAGACAATAAACCCATCATCGATTGCAACAGCAACATCCAGCGTCAAACCCGCAACAACCACTGCTGCACCACCAATCAATGCCGCTATGGGTGTCGAGGCTGCATCTTGTGGGCTGTGGATATTGGTCCTGAGTCTGAGTCTCGGTATGCTGATTTGAGCAAAACTTGATGCTGTGTTGGAAATGCTGTGAGAGGATATTGAGAGGAAGTAATGGAAGTTTTGTATATAATGATGGGAACGGACCTGATGCGTAATGTTTGTGGAGAGATGTGCATGATTGATGATTATGAGAAGGATGGGATGGATATACTTAATTCTTAATGGGAGGGTGGGATTTGTCGGCTGCGTTTTACACTTGAGCTTAATATTTCTTTGCTATCGAGATCAAAGAGCTGATTGACTACACAGCATAACTGAGACTGTGTGACAGAGAGGACAAGCACAGTCAAATTACATAGCACTTGACACCAAAGTCACAAATTCACAACAGAGAGAGAGCAGTAGATGTGGTTTGGTTCCAAGGTTTCTCCGTAGAGAATGACCGTATAGTATTTCATTTTTGTTTTTGCAAAGAAGGACTTGCAAATGGCAGTCTTCTTTTGACCGTAATGAGAGAAGCGTGCCTTCTTCCAATGAACCACCCTTTGTCGTCCGCGCGTCCAACAGTCACAAACTTTCGCCTGCACCATATCAAGATCAGACTAACCACCGAGCGAACCGTGAAGAAAGCAGAAACCCTCAATCAAAAGAAGGCCACAGCCCAACTCAGACCACTTCCATCTTCATGCTAAAAGCATTTAAGAGGAAGGAGCAGGGGCGGCACCACCGCGGCCACGGCCAAAGCCACCACGGAACTGGGNGTTGAACTCGCCAGGGGCGGCACCCTCCTTGCCCTCGCCAGCGTCACGGCGACGGTACTCGCCGCGCTCGCGGTCGCCACGGGGACCACCACGGCCGCCGCGGGGACGCTCCTCGCCGCCGAGCATACCGCNGGNGGGAGCGTGGGAGCGCTGCTGCTTGATGTGGGTCTGAGGGACAATCTCGGCGGGGAGGTGGAGCCACTCGCGGAGGTAGTCGAGGCCCTCGGCGGTGAGNNGCTGTGAGAGGGAGAGTTAGGATAATGTGTATGCGAGGTTTGTGATATGGTGGGGGACGTACGTGTAGTAGTACCACTGCCAGGAGAACTGGGTCTTGAGGTAACCGCGCGAGGTCAGGGACTGGCAGGCCTTGATGACATAGAGGTTCTTGGTGTCAATGTCGCCGTGCTTGGGCTGGTTAAAGTCCTTCTTTGCGACGAGGACACCCTCTGGTGAGAATCAGTATCGAGTTGGTAGAGTGCGAAGGGGAGATGGAGAGGTCCTACCGCGGAAGAGGTACTCGTGAATGAGCTTACGGTCGGCCTTGGGAATCAGCATCTTGACGATTGATGTATTTGGATCAACGTGGGGCTTGGGCGATGTTGATGTACCGACGTGGTTTGGAGAGAGAAAAGTCGTCGGTCGCGCGCGCGCAATTTGTCCAAAATGCGTCGTGGAGCGGCGGACTTCGCTTCGTTGACTCGTGTTGCTTGGCGTCTCTGACCACACTCGAGTCAGACGCCTGCCTTCGTCTCTCCGCATCTTGTTCACTTCCATGTCCAAACGCGCCACCACTTCTCATTCAACATCACATTCAATCATGGATACAATCAACGTCTTCATCTCGTCCTTTGCCGGCCTGTCGCTACCTCGCACACTGTCTCTTCCTGTGCCAGCCGACACCTCTATCGCGACCTTCGCATCACTTCTCTCCACCCACCTTCCACCTCACGCCGACAACCTTCTCCTCTCAACCACAACCTGTCGCATCGACACCACATCAACCTATCCACTCCGCTCGCTCTTGTCCAGCAATGATTGTCCAACATTCCTNCCTCTGCACCTCAGCGCACGCCTTCTCGGTGGCAAAGGTGGTTTCGGCTCCCAACTCCGCGCAGCCGGCGGCCGCATGTCCTCGCGCAANAACCGCAACCGCAACCCCGACCAAATAAACGGCAGCAACCGCAACCTCGACGGCCGCCGTCTACGCACAATCACCGAAGCCAAAAACCTCGCCGAGTATCTGGCCCTCAAACCAGAAATGGACAAGAAGGAAAGGGAAGAGAGAAGGAAACGCTGGGAGGCTGTTGTGGAGGCCGCAGAGAGGAAAGAAGAAGAGCTCAAAAAGGGAAACAGGAATGCGAGGTTGGATGGCGAGTGGGTCGAGGCGAAAGAGGAGGCTGAGCAAAAGACTAGGGATGCTGTATTGGCGGCTATGAAAGCAGGCTTGATCGAGGGTGATGAGCCTGTGCTTGAGAGGACTGGCAGTGAAACTTCTGATGGTAGTGATGCTCAGCCAGAGGCCTCGAGTTCCGCATCCAGCGACAATGACGACGTGCAAGCCACCAAGCCTGCTCCGCCTACTACTCGCGCCTTTTTCGGCTGGGACGACGAGGACGACGAATTCATGAGCGACGACGAAGAGGGTGAAGATGATGCTCCTGCTGAGCTTGAGGCTGCACCCATTGCATACGAGGGCAAAGGCAAGACCAAGGCATGATTTTGATCAAAGTCTGACTTTTTTATCTTGTGTTGCTGGTCGTCATGGGCAGATGGTATAGGTTTTGGGTTTTCTGTTTTGATTTCCAAGCGAGAGAGTTTTGGCGTTTTCCTTTGCAAATTGCACATCTTCATATCCAATACTCAATAAACATTCATGAATGTTGATGCAAAGCTTTTATTTCAATCTGCTAGAACCATCTTTCCTGAACAACCGACTGCACTCGCAAAACAAACACTGGCCTCTATACATCCACTTCTCTTATCACGGAGATGCTTAATTCTAGACCTTGCTCACATTCTCACGATTTTCTGATTTCTCTGGTCTACAAACCATCGACGATGCCCAAACACCCCTGGCTTCTGAGTCCGTACAGAAAAGTGTCTTGGAAAAAGCAATAGAGGAAGTCTTCTTCAAAGGCAGGTGTGTCTCTGATACAACTGCTTGCTTGCTGGCTGTGCCATATGACACTCATGTGTACCGTCTACAAGACCTCCGACGTTGACTTCATTCTATCTCACATTTCGTAGTTTCGATTGACTTAATTGCATCTCACATTTCGTAGTTTTGACAGATCCAGATCCAGAGACAGATGTGTAAGGTCTAGACTCGCGTAGCATCGCCATCTTTACCATGTCTTTGCTATAGGTATTGCAAAAAGAGTGTTTTGCTTGTCATACACGTAACGCAACAGTCAATCTCAGTTGCCAGTCTCTATCTGTTTTTTGTTTTTTCTTTCTTTCCTTCTTCCATGATTTTCGAGTCCCCTTATTACGAAACCCTTCTCTCCTTCTCGATCTTCAGATCTCTCACCCACAGAACTCTCAAACCTTGCCTTCAGCTCTTCGTCGATCATATCTCAAAACACTCTGCATCAACACCTGCGCGCCCAACGCACAATCCTCAGGCTTTGTAAACTCGACCGGGTTATGAGAAACCCCATCTCTACTCGGCACGAAAATCATGGTCGTAGGGACGCGTTTGCTGGTGTACACGCTATCATGTCCAGCTCCACTGGTCATTGGTTTAGTCAATGCATCTGTCTTGTCTCCAAAGATGGAAACAGCAGCTTCTTCAACACAGGAAATGCATTCGGGAGCAAATTTTGTGGCTGGAGAGTAAGTGTCTTGTTTCCAGTCCACTGTGCAAGATTTCGAGGAGGGGATGAAGTCTTTGTTCAGGTCGTCGATATTGTGGCCAGCGGCGATACTCGCAAATGCTGTTCGGCAATCTTGTTCCACTTGTGCCACGATATCGTTTTCTGGACTCCTGATATCCAGTGAGAAGTCCACGGTGCCAGGGACGGTATTTGTGCTGCCAGGTTTAAGGGTAAGTATCCCTGTAGATGCCAATGCGCCTTTTCGTGCTGCTGCGCGATGGCTGTAGATGATCATTTTACTTGCTGCTAGGAGGGCGTCTGCGCGGTGAGAGAAGGAGGTTGTGCCTGTATGGCAATCGGCGCCGCGTACACTGACAGTAAACCATTTATACGCTTGCACGCCTTGAACAATGCCGATTTTGCGGGCTTCGGCTTCGAGGATGGGGCCTTGTTCGATATGAAGTTCGAAGTGTGCGGCTAGAGGTATGGCTTCATGGCTACAGGGAACTTCTCCCAAGTAGCCTATACGCTGTAATTCGCTCTTCATGGTTGCGGTGCCAGAACCAACTTCTTTGAGGTCATGGGCATGGTTGAGTGCAATCTCGCCGGCCCAGACCCCTGAACTCACCATGGAGATGGGGAATCTTGCTCCCTCCTCGTTGGTCCAGTTGACCACTCCCACAGGAAATGTTGTGATGATATCGTTTTCGTGCAGTGTTCTTAGCATTTCTATGCCAGCGGTGACACCGAGGATACCGTCGTAGCGACCTCCTGTGGGTTGGGTGTCGAGATGGCTGCCTGCGACCGTGGGAGCACCGTCTTTCAAGCCTGGGCGAATGGCGAATTGGTTTCCCATGGAGTCGACAGTGACGGTACAACCGAGACTTTCTGTGGTACTGGCGAACCAGTCTCGAGCTTGTTTGTCGGTGTCGGAGAGGGAAAGGCGAGACATGCCTGTTTCGGTGGGTGCGCTGGATTGGTGAGAAGTTGGTCAGCTTCTGATGGCTTCTTGTACGAGACCAATGGTGAGCATGGAGAGAGGAAGCCATGTATATCGTCTCCAGCGCAATCAAATATGATGTCTTGCTGATGCTGCATCTGTCATCCTGCTCCATGTGAACAAAGACATCTCGCACTGAGCAGCAACCCCATAACCCAGTCAAACAGAAGCCTATTTGACAGAACCCGCATTGCACCAGCATTCTTCCTCCTCTTCTTCTTGCCCCATCCCCTTCTTTCTCCTCGAGCACACACCATCAAAGCAACAAAAACCAAAAGAGCAAAAGGAAAACACGAACTCACCTCCCCCATACCTCTCCTTTGCCCCACTCACAAGTCTCATGCAAATCCCCCATCAACCTCTCCTCTTTGACTGTGAACCCACCAACCTCTTCCTCAGACATACTGCTCAATTCTCTTTGCTGCCATCTGCTCGAGCAGGAAAACCGTCGTGTATGATGAGGATGAATGGACTTGATGCTCTTGATTCTGTGGTAATTGCCATATCTAGCGATGGTCGAACAACGAGCAGTCGAAAGCACAGAACCACGGATTGAAACCAAGGAAACTGCACGGCTGGGCAATCGCTGAAGTAATGCTCGTGATGCCATGATTGCTCGTACCCTCTCTCCAGTGGTCGTTTAGAGAGTTGGTCAGGCAGTGATCTTTCGGTGTTGATATGTACAAAGTTAATGGAAAGAGCAAGAGAGCAAACAGTACCCGAGGACACAAGAGCACAGATAAGCATCAGAAAAGAGGAGAGCTGCATACATATATACACTGCCCGCACCGGCTATCAGTTCGGATGCACCTGCCTGATATGGGTGTCGTTCTGCCGCTGGCCGACTATCCCCACTCGGAGATAGCGTGGTTGAGGGAGTCACCCTGGTTAGATATCCGACTCTTGATATACACGTCGCCGACGCCGACACGCTTCTGAGACTGTCAGTTGTGCGTGTGTGAAGTATGGAAAGATATAGAATGTAGCTTGGAGGTTAAATCGGTTCAGGTATTCGGATGTGGCGATTAGGTTGGCTGTTCGACTCACAGTCATCGAAAGCTCTAGAATCGTAAGATGGCAGCACCCACTTTGACATGAACATATCCATTGACACGAGATGAGAGAAATTCGTTGATAGGCTCGAACCTGTTCATTATGTAATATCAGGAATCTAGGGATCTCTCTCTATACTACAGGATTTTGATCCTGCCGTCAATGCCCTACTCCGAATAATAAACCCACTCAGACAAACGCCACATCTGCCAATGCCATTTCCGTGCTCTCTACTCAATCTCATCCTCGTACTGCTCAGGACCGTTCGGTGTCATCAGACGCTTGAGCTGGTCTTGCACATATCTGTGGACGTGATCATCTGCGCTTTCCCTCTCCTTGTTGCGATCGGCATTACCGTCATCCTTGTAGATCGTCCAAGCGCGTCCGTTAGACTTGGTATCATCTCCCTCTTCAGCTTCAGCATCATGGTCGCCATCATCACTAGGAGGGGCAGACTTCCAGTAGTCGCTGCGGGCACCGATGCTACGGCTGGTTGACGAACGACGGAGACCCTCAGGCTTCTTTGTTTGAGAGTTCCTACGTTGACGAGTGAAGACGTCGTCAAAGTAGTGGGATGCTGCAGCGGTAGGAGTTCTGGGCGTTTGAGGAAGACGGCAGTTGACACCAGTGTCGTGGATCATCTTGGCCATAAGACCGGTCCAACCACACTGGTGACTGGCACCGAGACCTCTGCCACTGTCTCCATCGAAGAATTCGTAGAACCAGAGGTAGTCCTTCCAGTGAGGATCAAAGTCGAGCATGTCGTTTCCATCGTTGATTGCACGTCTTCCGTCATCACCACGAGCCATGAGATGTTGCAGACGGTGCTGGATCTCCTCAGCTACATGTCCAAGGTGCATCATGTCGCCGGAACCCTTAGGACACTCGACCTTGAGCGTGTTGCCGTAGAACATGTAGAAGCGGAGTAGAGACTCGACCAACAAGAAGTTGACTGCAATCCAGACAGGACCACGCCAGTTGCTGTTTCCACCAAAGAGACCACTGTCGGAATCTCCAGGAACGTAGCCAACCGAGAAGGTCTGACCGTTGACATCCATCGAGTAAGGGTGCTTCTCGTGGTACTTGGACAACGAACGGATACCACCCTTTGACAAGAACTCGGTCTCGTCCAACATGCGCTCCAAGATCTTCTTGAGTCTCTCCTCGTTGACCAGGGACAGAAGAAGACGGTTGTCCTTTCCACGACGCTTCATGCTGGCAATGTTGCGCTCGAAGACGTCATGCTTGTTCTCAATGAACCATTCCATGCGCTTCTTGAACTGAGGCAGCTTGTTAATAACCTGCGGCTCAAGCGTCAAACAGGCGTACATGGGGATCAGGCCGACGAGCGAGCGGACAGGCATCTGCTGGGTCCATGGGCCACCCCAGGAGATTGCGTCGTAGTAGAAGCCGTCCTCTTCGTTCCACAGAGACTTTGCCTCACTACCGGCGCGGTACTGCATGGCATCACTGATGAGGACGAAGTGCTCAAAGAACTTGGAAGCAATGTCTTCGTATGTGCGACGGTGCTTGGCGAGCTCGAGGGAGATGTTCAACATGCACAAGCAGTAGAAAGCCATCCAACCAGTGGAGTCGGCTTGCTCGAGAACACCACCAGTGGGAAGAGGGTCGGAACGGTTGAACAGACCGATGTTGTCCAAACCCAGGAAACCACCTTCAAAGACGTTCTTACCTTCAGCATCCTTGCGGTTGACCCACCAGGTGAAGTTGAGTAGCAGCTTCTGGAAGACACGCTCGAGGAAGTCGATGTCTTCACGACCGTACATCTTGCGCTCCATTTTGAAGGTTCTGAAAGTGGCCCAGGCGTGGACAGGAGGGTTGACATCACCAAAGTTCCACTCGTAGGCGGGCAGCTGTCCGTTGGGGTGCATGTACCATTCACGAGTAAACAGATCGAGCTGCTTCTTGGCAAACTCGGGATCGATCATGGTAAGCGGAATACAATGGAAGGCCGAATCCCAAGCGGCGAAGAAGGGGTACTCCCATGAATCTGGCATGGACAGAATGTCGTCGAGATGCATATGCTTCCATTGCGCGTTGCGAATGGCCTTTCTGCCAGGAGGAGGTGGGGGCATGGCAGGATCACCGTTGGCCCACTGATCCCAGACAAAGTGGTAGTATTGTTTGCACCACATCATACCTGAAAGAGCCTGGCGCTGGATGTTGCGGAGATCGTCGTTCATGGGCATGGGGCTGATGCGGTAGTAGAACTCGTCGGCTTCTTGAAGTCTCTGGTCCATAACGTCGTCGAAAAGCTCTTCATCGATGTAGCCCTCGGTAAGCTTCTTGGAAAGGCGGAAACGAACAACGGCGCACTCGCCAGGAGGCACACCCTCGCCCTGGTCGAATGCATACCAGGCTGCACTCTTGGTTCCCGACTTGGCAGGGTTGACAGCGCCCTTCTCCTTGTTGACAATGTGTCTGTGGAAAGCATCCTTGGTGAAATCGGTGTGGTTCTTCTGATCCTTGCCCCAGATGGCCTTGAAGTTGGTGTCGTTGTCGGTGAAGAGGAACTCGGGGTGGACATCCTCCTCGCGACCGCCAACGTTGGGCGAAGGAGAGCACTGGAAGTAGCGCTTGCCAATCTTCTTGTGGTTCGTCTCGCAAGCAAATTCACTAACCTGCTTGCTCTCAGGCTTGGTCTCATCGTAACCCCAGGCCCAAGTGTTGCGGAACCAGACGTGAGGGATGATGTGCAACTTGGCAGCCTCAGGACCACGGTTGTATGCCGTCACACGGAAAAGAAGCTCATCCGGGTCGTCCGCCTCTTTTGCAGTCTCGATGAAGATGTCCCAGTACTTGTTGTCCTTGAAGGCGTCGGTGTCGATCAGGTTGTACTCGCGCTCAGTCTTGTTGCGGCGAGCGTTCTCCTCGATGAGGTGCTCATAGGGAAACTCCTCTTGAGGGTACTTGTAGAGGAATTTCATGTACGAGTNGCTGTGATTATGAGGTCAGCACGATACAGTCACCAAGCTTCGGGTAATACACACAGTAGGGGTGTTGTCGAGGTGGAAATGGCATTCCTTGATACTCTCGCCGTGAACACCCTGAGGGTTGGACAGACCAAAGAGACGCTCCTTGAGGAAGGGNNACTGGGAAGTGTCAGTGGATGGGCGTTGTGTCGAGACTTTGTGTGAAGCCTACTCTTTTCCGTTCCAGAAGGCAAATGCAATGTTCTGGAGACCGTGAGTGTCGGAGACACCAGCGATACCATCTTCGCCCCAACGGTAGGCTCTCTTGCGTGACATGTCGTGCGAGANAGTCTGTTGTCGTTGTTAGCTTCGACATGTTCGTCAATGGCGCATCAATGGCCAGGACTTACGACTCCAGGCATCTCCGTCAGCGCTGGCTGTGTGTTAGTGGTTGTTCACAAGCTTCAAGATCAGGACTGTCTAGCTTACGAGTAATCCTCTCTCACTGTGAAGTGTCAGTCAGCATTGTGCAATGATGAGAAGTGATGTGGTTGAACGTACNNCAGTGGCCCATTGTCTCTCGGAGACGTAGGAACCCCATTTCTTCCAGTACTTGGTTCTCTCGCGATCCTCTTGCAAACGCTTCTCCTCCTCACAGAGAACCTCTGTGTTGTCGATGTAGACCATGGCGATGCGGTGTGCCCTCTATGTGATGGATGAGCAAGTCGCCGCAGAGCTGGCTAATGATGGTGGTGAAAGTTAAGGCGGGCAAAGAACGACAGGGGAGGCGGTAGTAATTAGCTAAGATGGTAAGTCTGATGGATGCGAGTTAAAGAGAGAAACAATGCAAAGTCAGCCGAACCGAGACAAGTTTCAGGAACTGGACGCGACTGCACGGAGAAGGAGGAAAAAGAGACAGCAGCGCAGCAGCAGCTACTCTCCAGGTCTACGGACCGTGTAGGAAGGTCCACTGGGGAACGCGGGAACGCAACCGCCTACGAAATAAATCCACCAACGTCATCCCGCACTGCAGCGAGGACGGACTCTGCGGTCCACCAGCCCAACAATTTGGTGCTTATCGACTTTTCCGAAGCATCGGCCTATGCTGCAGCGTTGCTATACACTCTTGAACGCCCTTTGATCATCCACGAAACAATGCAATGCTTTTCTATCAGGTTTGACTCTTGGATCAAGTGTCCGACTCGCTTACGGACCAGAGCAACAGCTGTCGAGTCTCCAGATCAATCTCCCCAGGCCACTTCAACCATCTGGAGACTCCGCTGGGCTCCACACGCACTGTTCAGTTCCGCTTGTCAATTCACCGAAACTTGTCAACCCCACCACCAACAAATTGTCGTTGACCAAATAAGCGGCATACAACGCTTGTAGTACATTGATATCTCCGTCATGCTGACTGGACACTTGCCCTACTGCCTTGTCTCCTATTCTCGCCAAACATGACGTTGCTCTGGTATAAGAAACTTTTGAGGCTTCGTACAAAAACCGTAAAGGACTAGTTTGAGATTGAGTATGCAGAAGAGCCTCTACTTGTTCGGGGTCCTCGCGATTGTATTGCTCACAGCCGGTGTTGTCAGAAGAGACTCCAACGACACCACTGATCTTGTGTTTCGTGATTTCGAAAAAAAGTTGTCGTTGAAATTTGGTATCCTTCGCAAACAGAAACAAGAAAACGCCCATATAATGTACAAACCGGGCTATGCATCGAGAAACAAGAGACACACATTGTCTACTCGACAGTGTCAAGAGAACCCTTGCCACTTGTGCCGGCAGGAACCTCACCCTTCTGTGCCTTGAGCTTTTCCTCGAACTTGGCAAACTCACGGAGAGCGACCTCCTCTTCTTCGTCCAGCACTTGTTGGACACCTTGAACCCTCATCTGTGTAGCTGTTAGCTTCGTGTCCAGAGATGATGCAGCAGATATATACGAACCGATGTAATGCATGAGCATGCTCTCAATGCCATTCTTCAAGGTCACTGTGCTCGAATCGCAAGTCCTGCAAGCACCGCGCAGCTTCAACAGGACCTGACCATCAACAAATCCCCTGAATTCAATGTCACCACCATCTTCCTGGATGGCTGGACGAATGCGGGTCTCGAGCAATTCCTTGATCATGCTGACAACCTCACTGTCATTCTCATCATATTCCAAAGAGTCCTTCTCGACTGCTTGCTCTTCACCACTCTTTCCCGCGACTGTGTTTACGAGAGGTTGCCCAGATGTCACAGCCTCGGTAATCAGAGCGAAGACTTCGGGCTTGACGTGTGGCCATGGAGTGGCGGAGTCTTNTGTGACAGTAATGTAGTCGGGGCCGTAGAAGACGGACGAAACGCCATCTACGTTGAGCAGCTGAGCGGCGAGAGGCGAGGGGTGAGGAGGCGCGAGTGTTGAGCGAGGCGACAAATACTCGAGGAAGGATGATTGGAAGTTCTCAGGCAAGATGCGAGAGTTGGGAATGAACTTCAAGGCGTCGGCGTTGGGTGTGTCCTCGGTCTGAATGAAGATGGAGCGAGTGCCGGCGGGGAACCGAGAGCGAGCGGGCTTGAGCGAAGGCGCACTCGGACGGTATCTGGTGGCGGTCGATGTGAGAGATGAGGGTGTTGACAAGCGATGCAGGCTTCTGCGAATTGGTGCTGTGGCAATCGTCTTTGATGCGCTCGAGCGGGCGACGCTTCTGCAGGCGGATGTGAACATGGTGGATTTGGCGGGCATCGTGTAGGATATGATGAGTGTCTCAGGAAAGGCGAAAGATGTTGTGTTTCGTGTCTGCAAAAGATTCACGATTATCTGGACCTCGAATGACGCAGAAGCCTTCCGCCGTTCTCGGAACCTCGGCGAAATTGGTAAGCTTGGGAGTGCCTTCTTGTGATTCGTTGCTCTTCCTCTGTCTTGCACCACCACCTGATGGTCACCAAAATGTTATTGAAGATAAATGCTCTCCCGTGCCAGAAACTTGTTGGAGCAAAGGTCATATTCTCAGAGGGTGTGTGGCAGCGATGAATCTCGCTCGTCGACATGACTCTCCAAAGCCTTCATGAGAATTGTGCTTGAGCTTTTGGCCTTCCTGTCGACAGTGCAGTACAGTGTTTGTAGTGTCTGGAGAAGAGGACGGTCAATCGAAAAAGCTGATTGCTGAGTAGTGGCTTCATGCATTGGAGACCACTTGAATTTCCCCGGAAAGCAAAAACGAATTGCAGCGAGTGAGATTCGAACTCACGTCTTTACGTCTCAGGTAATCGCTTCGACCTGCTTCTTCAGCTATCACCTCACGACTACCTTAACATACTTGTGTTTGCAAGACAGTATTTGCGTAACGTCTTGACCGCTAGACCAAAGCTGCTGAAGTTGAATTTGGCAAGGATAGCAAGGTATGTGTAGTGTAAATTGGCAGGCAGGTAGGTGGAGGTTTGTGCCTGCCTAACTTGGTGGTCACCATGCTCGACATTTCCGTTCTTCATTGCCTCACAGTTTCCTTGTTCTCCACATTCATCAAATATGGCGACAAACGGAAAATCGCAACTTGATCCAAAGATCACAGCATATCTTGGTACGATTTGATCTTTGCCTCGATGATCAAGCACTAATGTGAAAATGGTAGATTTCGCGGCGCAACTGGTCAGACGCATTGATTCGGGCAATGTCAATGCTGTCACCATGAAAGAACTTGAAGGCACCTTGAAGACCAAGACACCCCGCTCGCCCGCTGCCAAAGCGGCCGATTTTGACCGCCTCGGAACACAAGTCTGGAATGCTGCTATTCATCTCAAAGATCAATCGTCACCAATCTTGAAGACTTGGCCACAATTCGAACCTCGGTTACGTGTCCTCGCCTACTTTCTTCTGGATACAGCGCAACGATCTTATGTCAAGCATGGCAGCAGAAGGTCCTCCCAGAACTTGGTCCGCATCCTCAAGACGGCCTTGAAAGCAGCGCGCGTCTGTATTGACGCAGACGCGTTGGACCTTTGTACTATGCTGTTCGAGAAGGTGGCCGAACATGTCGAGCACAAAGAAGATCCACCTCCAGAGTATAAGAAAGAGAAGCAAGAAAGTGAGGCGGACGAAATACTCAAAGAGTTGACAGCCGACTATTATCTTCTGAGAGCGACGACATCATGGAAACAAGATAAACCTGATACTGTAAGCTACTGGCTTGCGAGAGTTCTTCTGCTCCCGAAAAGAGCAGACATGCTGCACCTGGCCGAGAAGAAGGCAGACTTGACATATGAAGTCGGCAAATCAGCTCTGCAGCAGAAGCAATTTGGCAGTGCCGCAAGGTGGTTAGAGCAGAGCTATCAGATCTTCGACGACATTGATCCCGAACTGTTGTCATCCGACTTCTGCGACCTCCGTCTAGTGGTCATGCTCGATTATGGTAAGTTTTGTGCAAGATCTGTAAATCAGTGTACTTACTTCTCGAANGCTCGCGCCCTGGTAGGTGTTGGTGATGCTGCGTCATTAGACAAAGCGACCAACCTCGTCGTGACACTTGACCAGGTTTGCAGCATCAACTAAGAAAAAAACGGCTTCAGCTGACTCCAANNGCAGGAGCATGGCTTCAAGACAGAAGTTCAACTCTTGAGGCTCGACGTCGTCTATGCTAAAAGACCATTCGATCCAGCTGAGTTCAGCGGAGGTGGGCCAAACTCTGATAGGTTCCCAGCATCTTATGACTGACCACATACAAGCCTTGGTCAANNAATCATCCGTGGAGCCATGCTCTCGGAGGGCACTTTCAAATCGTATGCTGTTCACAACGTCCCTTTTCTGATGGCACGCGCTGATGATGTTNNTAGTATCATGTATCAGATCCAAAAGCTGAACACGTACCAACCGGAGCGAGATGACGCGACTTTTCGAACCGTCATAGCCAATTCAACTCCTGGGCCACATTCGCACTTGGCATGCCAGACATTGGACTCCCTGTTGTCAAGGTTGCTTGCACAGCCTCCACTCACGCAGGTATGGATCGAGAAGATTGTGGTCACCAGGGTCTGGATCAGTTCACTTTCTCTGCATGTGCAAGATCACTGTTTCAGACTCAAAGACTTGTTTGAAGATATCGCCAACACAAATGGCACAAAGTTGGGTCTGGAGGCAACACATGCTTCTCAATCTGTATGTTAGAGGAGTATCTTCATGCCGCAGGAACTTTCCTGACATTGTGGCAGNTTGATCTGGAAAGCCGTCACCGCTTTACAACAATCGCAGAACGAGGATGAAGCCGCCAAATGGTGTGACTTGGCAAACCATGACATATTTGCCAGCTCGGGAGAGATCAACAAAGCCAAATTATCACGGTGAGTATTGATAATTTTCTTGAACATGGACACAGACTGATTGTCCCTAGCNAAGTCGATGACTGTCGCTCTTTCTAAAGGAGATTCGACTGCTGCACGAGCAGCTTACTATCAGATGTCAGATCACGGCAAGTCAGCCGCAATGACCCAATATCTTATGTACAAAATTGCCTTGCAGGAAAATGATGCTCATTTGGGTATGTAATCAAGTTCCTGCACCAGATCGTTGCTGCTAACACCACCAGCTGCAGAATCGCTCGAAGGTGTACTGAAGTCGTCTTCTAGAGACACTGAGAAATATCTATATGCGTGCGCACTCGAAGCGCAACAAATGGGCGACCGACAGCAGTTCATCGCGACCATGAACAAAGTCTTGGAACTACATGAGAAAACCCCGTTGAGCGATGTCCGGTTGCCAGTCCTTCTTCGGTATGCGAGGTCAAATTCTAGCGTATGGCACGAGGCTGACAGCATACAGNNTTGTATAGCCGGCTCTATCGAGACGGAATTGAACAACAATGACATGCCACTCGAAAGTGGTCTGACCGAGCTGTGCAACGTCTTCGAAGCTGGTATGTTTACTTCGTTTGGCCGTAAGTAGTTCTGAATAATAACATGACCAGCGATGAGGCATGGAAGTAGCTTCAAAGACACAGATGGCAATGATACCCGTCTTGCCGAGCTTCGATGGTTCGCTTGTCACAGTTACAACACAGCCTTGAAGCACTGCTCGGATATGCGACCAGAACTACTTACAAGGTTGATGACGGCAAGCGTAGCTGTGTGTATGTTTTCAAAGTTTTTTGAAGGAGTGCTGACATTCAACAGNCTGATAGATTTACTCCGCACAGAAGGCGAAAGAGATGATGCTCTTCCGGGCCGGCTTCTCTTATGCCGCTTTCTAGCGACATCTGCTTTAATCGTTCTAGCGAGATCAGAAGATAACATCGAGCGAGCTGTCAGTATACGGTATGTTCTTTTCCAACGATCTGTGCTGATCATGAAATAGCTGCAACTCTACCTCGACGCAAGACGGCAGATTGAAGCATTCCACCAAAGATATCAAGAAGCCATACGACAAGACTCGCTTCAACCAGATACAATATCAGATGTTGAGGTCAAGGAGTTCGAAATGATCAAGTTCGATATGGAGGCTCTCATGCGTCTCGAACAGTGGCAAGACCTAGACAAAGTTCTTTCGGTAAGCTTACCACATCACTCTTGCTTAGCCCATACTGATTTCTGCTCCAGNGTGTGCCTCGAGTCCCGCCACTCGAACAGACTCGAGAGCGCAGCAGACCTGATTCTCCACATCCATACTCACATTACCTCTTGCCCTTCCTACTCCGCTACCTCAAACCTCCTCGCCAAAATCCCTTCATTGATGGAGAAAATCATCAACACATGCTGGCGCAACGACAAGGACATTACATGCCTAGCCCGCTGGATACGCTGCCTCTTCCAAATGACGCTGACCATCGACCCCATCATTTCCCTCCGCTGTCTGGACCAAGCGTCTGCTATTGCATCCAAAGCGGCTACAAGACAAATTCCTGAGGCTTATCCAACGGAAGAGCTTGAGTGGTTGGCTAGTACAGCGTTCAACCATGCCGTAGATTTGTGGTTTGCAGGTGTTGAGGAGGAAGTACATGGGCAAGGAGGGAGAAACGAGCAAGCGAGGGTTTGGGCTGAGAAGGCTTTGATGCTCGCAGGAAGTGTGGGTGGGGCTGGTGCTGGAGTGCAAGGACTGTACAAGGTTTTGCAGTATAAGTGGATGAAGTTGAAGGGTATGGGTCACGGTCAAAGTTCGGGCTAGTGAGTGACCCAAACATATGGCTTACAAAGGACAAAGAGCACGGAGAGAACGAAAAAAAGCAGATGATTACTAGTATGCTTTGGTTGGCGTCGCGTACAGTCAGAAGAAGTACCTTGCTTCTCCGGGCACATTAACTCGCTGGTATCGCTGTGGCAGGAGAAATTACTTCTCGGCACCCTCTTATTTCTCTGCAACGCACAAAGCTTTTATCTTTTTCTTTTCTTGTTATTTCCACGAAAGCAGCATCTTCGAAACAACTGTACGACTTCATCGACCAGTAGACCTTTGTTCCTGATACTTAAGGATAATCGAGCAATGTCAAATGTGATCTATACTCAGAACGAAAAGCGACGACAACATAGAGATCTCTTTCTGTATCTCTTGTCTCTTGTTCCTCGAGATATATTTGTGTATCAGCTGCCAATGTTTACGAAATCTCTCTACATGCCTGCTTTCCAACACCTTGAAACATCGAGAATCGAACTAATCAGGTCGATGATACTGTAAGTTGATTTGATTCTCTCCTCTGGGTGTCGCCCTACTAGAGGTATCATCCTTCTGGAAGAATGGGTCTTTTGTCAATCGTGGCATTTCTGGGAGGGTGAAGCCTTTACGAGCGATAGAGTCGATGATGAGATGCGGTATACTCTCAAAGAAGGAACAAAAGGCAAGAACATCTTCTAATCTAAAGATTCAGCTAGTGTCCGCTTGTGTGAGGATGCCAGTCTGACATACTTGGCGACAACTTACCTACCACTAAGTCTCGATGACTGTTCCAAGCTGCTCGGTTGTGAGTATCTCGACGAGCATACGGAGCTCACAGCCTCAAGAAGCAGAAGACTTTATTTCATCGTGCAATAACCAGAAGAAAAGAGAGCAGGTCTATAAGCTCAAATATACGACTTCGATAGTAGCAAAATCTGAGACTAGCGCCTCACTATAGAAAAGCGGAAATAATATGCATACGATTATAGCGATGAACTGTATGATTTGAACACTCAGTCCGTGAGATGATGCAATGTTGGTTGCCCAAGTTCCATCTTATGAGATTGATGATATCCATGGACTTAGATGTGTTCAGTGTACGTCGCAGAGAAGTGATAAGCCAAAATACAACGCTAATTTGCTACCTACAAAGCAGCAGATACGGCTTGTAGAATTCAGACAGAACTGAGCAGCCTGATCACTTGGATAGATGAATGATTGAATATGGAAGCCCATTTCATAAGAGCACTACGTTTGGAGACTTCGGTGCCTCGCCCTTGCGATCGCCCTGGAATCTTCGCGTCGAACATGTTCGTCCATAGCTGAACTCACGATTTGCAGGAATGCGTCGCTCATACTATCATTGTGCGCTACTATATCAAGAATCGTCGAGACCACGGTGTACAAGTGCTCATTCTCAAGCGTGACCGCGGGCCAGTCAAGAAGAGGAAACTCTTCAACCAGGCAGTCTCGAACTCGGCGAAGCAATTCGAGGCATCGTCCGTTGAACGTCAAAAAGTCAAAGTGCATGTGTAGCTCTTCGGCCATAATTTCATAGCGGATAGCTCGCAACGTATTTATAGGAGTAAGTGTGCGGTTTTCTTTCCATTGCTTCAATATGCGATTCTTATCGCTTGGCTCAGTGAGATTGCTCCCCAGGGCCTTGAGCGCAATTTCAACATCTCGGATTACCATCCCAGACTGTCTCTTCCCCTTCTTCTGGCTGTAGCGCTGGCGCATGAGAGTGAGTAGAGGCTGTTTAACCTCAAATAGGCGTCCAGACCTTTTAGAAGTTTGAACAAGAAGGTGATTGCCGTCTTGGTTCCTTTGTGTTTGTTTCAAGTGAAAATCGCGGGCGAATACAGACGCAGGTAGTCCCATAGCAAGCGCATGACGCTTCGAATACTCTCTCGGGGAGGTAGGTGGCTTCCCGACGAATATGTATGTTGCGCCATAGAACCCTACAACTGCTTCCATGTCTGGCCACTCAGCTTGCGGTCGTTTGCTTTGTCGCACAGCATTGTACAAATGTAATACGCCAACGAGACAGCGCCATTCATTACACGTCCTCAAACCTCCATAACACATCGTCCGATCGATATGGAATAGAAGGATTCCGCATAGAACCGGATGGTGTTTCAGAATGTAGAAGGGAGTCAAGCCATCTCGGCTTGGGGAAATGTTCGCTTGTCGGAAATCACTGACCGCGTCTTTCTTGACGGTCAAGTTCATGTATTGTCGCGAAAGTCTGAAATTCTCCCGCGTTTCAGGGAAGCTACAGTCGGCCTTTAACATACTGGCGTGAACCTCGCTCTTATTTATTGCGAATTCTGCGTCGTCTGCCGAAGAGCTTAGCTCTTGGAAAGGACGCTGAAGGTCTCCAAGCAGGACGAAGTGGATGTCCACAAAGATTTCACTAAAGATTACAAGAGGCAGCGTGATTCTGTGCGACTCATAGAAATTCAGAAGCTCACAACTCAACTCATCCGCAGGCGAGTTGTCGCCTCCAGTGCTGAGCATGAAGCAGACGACGTCCGGTATCGCGCGGGTGAGGATTGCCCGGATCAACACAAAAGTAGGTTCCATGCAAACTTCTGTGCATAGAACAGACCAATCGAACTGGTTGTTTTCCACATCAAAATCTCGAAAGGCTCCTTTTTTGTAACCCCCGCGAAAATGTTTGAGTACGCTGGAAGCCTCGCGGCCGGCTAATAGTGTCTCGAAGTCGTATGGATCAGTAAAACAAACTGCAGATGCAGTCAAAACTTTTATATGTTGGCTAGCGATATTTGGCAGTATGGAGTCGTCCAGCATTATCTGGTCCAGAGCTTCATAAGTGGCATATTTTGGGAAAGCCTGTTCGAAGTCATTCTGTAGTCGGCTGATAATGTCGAACGCCATGTTCGTTGTTAAAGCGACCACAGCTAGAGAGATTCGACGCTGCCGATAGTCTTCCTAGACAGAGCGCACATATTTCCGCACACGATGACAATCCAGTAAGAAGCAGAAACTTGCAAAGGCTCCATCTTTAGTCTCACTGATGTCGGCTTCTGTGATATCTGGTACATGCCCAGGTTTCTCGCATGGCCTGGCTCTCTTATGGATCGAGACTATCGTATTGTCGATCTGGCAGATATACTGCACTAGTTCGTAAAGCTCTAGATGGTGGAAACGATTTACCAGCGGTATTAAAGAGCTCTCAGTGGTGGCTAAGTGAGTACACGACGCAAGAATGCCTCCATAAGCGTAACCTGGAGGTGAGGCGCGAAGGATATCCTGCACTTCCTAAAGAGCGCGAATGAAGTGGTCGTGTTTCTCATTCGACGGGATATCCGATACAGATTCTTTGAGCTTATGCTGTGCGGCACATTCTTTCCTTGCAGTGATTACCTGAGTTAGGATTGTTCGGATATGCTAAGAAACCTCGGAGGGTGACATGATGTCCATGACCTACCTTGCCAGTATCGGGAAGACATGAACTGGTAGCTTCGAAGTGCCCTAAGTGGCATTTTGTGAATCCTGGCGCTTGGGTACCTCATAGCGAGTCTTGTCTACCAACCGTCGCACGATTTTTCGTATGCCAGCTTTGTACTGCTTGTACGTGTCAAAGTATGCGTCAGAAACCATAGCGATCGCTCGTGTTAGTCCTTTCTCCAATGCGCGGTCGATGGGTGCCTTCTTAAATATGGTGCATTACCCCGCTATGCATGCCAGCACAACTTGCAGATATTTATGGATAGCTCCATTCCGGCGGCTAACAGTATCTTCTTGATCGCGACAAGCAGCTTGCGGCAATGGAATTGGATGTTGTACGGGGCTCTGCAGATATATTTCGTGTAGAATAGTTCCATGCTGTTGTCTGCGATATCTGTCAAATTCATAAATGATGCGATTATGTTTAGACGGAGGATCACCTGATGTGAATATTGTGTCGATTCGTCTAATCTTGTCATGGTGGTGAGGCTTGGGGTGGCACATCTTTTGACCCCTCGCTTTTCGATGCGGCACAGTATTAATAGGGACTGATTGTCTCGCACCCAGTTGAATTGGTTCCGCACCTGAGCATCAGACACAGTTACGAAACTCGACAGGCTTCAGTCAATCTCACGCTTTTCAAGTCTGCAAATCTGTTTTTACTCCATACCTATCTGGAGATCCAAGACTATGTATTGCCTGGGTATACCACTCGATCATAGGCTGTCGAGGATCATTAAGAATTTCAAACCCCCTCCACAACAATCACACCATCGCAGTGAGCACTTGGAGCTGCTTTACGATTTTGGAGATTCGCTTTGCTATAACAACAATGAGGCTCAAAGCTTGCCGCCACTGGAGTTCGATTTCGCCCTCCAGCTCGCCAGACCAGAAATCACAGGTGGAGTGCTGATCGTGCTTCTTCACCCAGATAAATCACAACGGTTCGAGAGTGGGTATCTGACCGAGTCGGAAAAATGTCCAACACTCGACGCGGTATTCGAGATCATCGAAGTTGTCAACAGTGGACAGTTGGACGAAGGATCCGTATCCATATTTGACAGTCTCCCCTTCATGGTCGAGAACTATGACAAGAGTGCGGCACACAGAAAAAGTCAAATGACATTCCTAGAAATGGTCAAAGCCAAAAAGCCCGAGGTTGTTATTTCATGCTTCAAGAGCGAGTCGCACTTGGAGGGAGTGGTGTCTCTTCGAAGATGCGGTATTGGCCACACATTCCAGCCACAAAACCTATCTCTTACACCGGGACATCGAACCGCGCGTGTGAGTGCATTCCATCCGAGCTATGCTGTGAACAGAGTTGCTACAGAAAGTTGCTTCAAGCGTCTTCTGATCCTTGAGTTCGCCCATGGATTCGGGATTTGGCGAGAGTCTTGGATTGAAGAGAACTGGATGAGAGACTTGCGTGAGATCTGTCGAAGGAAAAGCAAACAATACTCAGGTAAAAAGAACAAAAAGTTTTCTGCCCTATTCATCCGGACTACTAAACCTCGTATCAACAGATTATCACGGACCTACAGAAGCAGAATACGAATATCGCCTGCGTCAGCTCATCAAAGATATTGACGAAGTCATAAAGTCAAACGGTTTGTTCAATGCTTATTCTTCTTCCTCAACCTCACAGGTAAGAAGTCAAGTAGCAGATACGAATCTGTCCTGGCTTCTCTGTGATGTTGGCTTGATACTGAGGGATGCGACAGCGAGGGGATGGAGTATTGACTTCGATCTACTCGGAGTATTTGAGAGTTGGTGCTGCGCAGTACTACCTTGTGAGCTGAATCGCAACCAGTTCCCAAGTACAAGTACGGGTTTCTTCGACCATCGCCAACTTCTTCTACAATACTCCCCACTCCAAGGAGATGCTGCAAGGGATCTACAAACTCTGTTCTTGACGTTCCTACGACAACTCAATCTCTCTTACACTCCTTACCACATAGTCGACATGTACCTGCCAGATGTCGCCATACAAGCCGATGCCTTCCAGTATTTTTCAAAAATGCTAGAATCGTTGCTCGCAGCAATGTATGATCCCGCACACGAACAGGATACCGAGAATCTTGAGGGTCAATTCGCAGAATGAACATTTGAAAGACTTTGCTATGATAGCTAGCTAGCAAGACGCAGCATCGGAGTTTCGTCACACTATACGTAGTAAATCAACGATTCCACGAGAGTGCGTCATTATTTTAAGCGATGGAAAACTCTCCTCGAATTCCTACATTCAATCAGTGTCGTAGAGCTTACTAGGGATTGAGAATGTTCTGAGACAACTACGATCGGTATCGCTAGAAGAGAAGAGCTCTTGAACTCTCTTCTAGAGTGCAGGGGTGAGGGCAGGAATAGAGATACATACCTGTTAGTTTGGAGCGTTGAGCGTTTGTGCGACATTAAGGGGCACGTGCAAGTGGTGATGGTCAAAGAAAGTCATCGTCGGTCCTTAGGTACGAATATCGAGGAATGATGGGTTAAACTGCATTTGCAATACGATCCTCATCATCCTGATTTCAATCCGTCTCTGCAACCCAGACTCTACTACCCGAAACGTAGAAGAGCAAAGCCATGGACTTAGGCAGCTTCCAACTCAGCAATCCTCCTCTCCACCCCCTCCACCCCGCGCAACTTCTCCTCCAACTCCTCCCTCTCATCCTCCAATCTCAACCTCTTCTCCGCATCCAGAACCCCAAAGAAAGCTCCTCCTCTACCATCAAACTGTAATATCCTCGTGTGATACTGCCACAAACTTTTGCGATGTGAAACCGTTAAGAGTGTAATATTTCTCTTCTTGGCTTGAGTGTAGATCAAAGTTTCAACGCTAGGGGTGAGTGAAGAGGTGCATTCGTCGAGGATGGCGTAGCAGGGCGAATGATAGAAGAGGCGAGCGGCGGCGAGGCGTTGTTGTGTTCCTGTGCTGAGGAGATCGGGCCAGGNGGCTGTGATATCTAGACCTGTTTGCGTTGAGGTGTCATTGTGCACAGTATCTTTTGTAGGCAACGACAGCAAGTTATCCAGATCTAGCGAAGAGACGATTTCAAGTAAATCTGCATCAGTGATGCTTTTCTCGTGCATGTCGGCTACAGTATCTGGGTAGATGATTTGGGCACGGAGGCTTCCATGTGCCATGAGATATGGTCGTTGGGGGATGTAGAAGATGTCTTCTGCAGAGGGTTTTCTGACTTCGCCGCCGTAGACTGGCCAGAGTCCGCCTAGGATACGGAAGAGGGAAGACTTGCCACAGCCATTGGGGCCGATGATGAGTAAATGGTCTTGTGGTCGTATGTGGAAACTCAATGCAGAGACCAGAATGTCACCGTTAGGTGATACGATGGGCACATCCTTGAACATGATGTCAGGACCTTCGGTGATGGTGCCCCTGCCAGCAAGAACAGCCGCGTTAGCATCCACCGATGCGGAACTGACCAACTGCTTTTCAAAGTGCCCAGCTTGGATATCCGCGATAACGGACAGCAAAGTCGAGACCCGAGAGGTGTAGCCCGCGAGTTGGGAAATCTCCTTGTAGGAGAACATTAGTCTTCCAAAAGCATCAGAAGAACTGAGCAACAACCGTCTGTTTGTGACAAAAGCCTCTGTCGAGTTCTTTGAGACTGTTCCTGCATTCTTCGCCACAGGCAATTTGAAGAAGACAGGGATAGAGCATAGCATAAGTCCCAAAGCGCCCCAGAAGTACTTGATGACAAAGTCCTCCATGATGCCGTGGTAGAATCTTCTTCTCAAGATGCGGTTCACATGCTTGATCAGAGTAAAGTAATTCTTGTCGAGTGCATTCTTCTCAGCTTCATGGCCATGGTATAGAGCAATCTCCTCGCTGTAGTCAATGACACGCGAATGCTGGAAGCGAAATTCTCCTTCCAGTCGTGCTTCATCAGCCACATATTTCCCAAATGGTGGCGTCAGAGCTCGCATGACGGAGGCAGAGAGTTGGACCAACAAGCCCATGGCAAAAAGACCTTCACCACCGACACTGCGGGAGAGTGAGTAATTGTAGATGACCATGTCCAAGACTGGTTTTGCCAAGTTTCCATACAACTCGGCAAGAGAGTTGGAAAACTTGCTGACGTCGACTGTGACAAGTTGATCGGCATTCTTGATACGATCGTCCAGGGCGGAGAGTGTGTAGAAAGTCATGTTGGACAAATACTTGTTGTGAATATGTTGTGTGAGGCGAGTGCGGTACCGGAGGGCGAGTTTGCACTGGTGGTAGCTGAGCATGGAGTTTGTAAAGGTAGCGGGAATGGCGACAACCATCCACCATAGCAGACCGCCAACAAAGTCTTTGCCTTTGCCTTGGACAAGAGCAGAGACCAGTCTTCCATCCAGCTCGGCAACATAGAGCGAGATTAGCGTCCTCAAGACGAGAAAGACACTGTGACTGATGAGGAGGCGCAGCTCCTTGCTCTTCCAGCCTGGTATGCAGATCCTCAGCAAACGGATCAGGTTGCGAAAGAACTCTCTGTTCAGCTCGACCTTCTTCCTGCTGCCGGTTGTGCTCCCTTCTCTTTCTCCATTGCGACCGGCTGCTCGTCGTTGTTGCTCGGCGGCTTTTTGTTCATTGACGGCGTTACGTATGCGATTCAGTAAGGTGACGAAGAGACCAATGTAGATGGCGCGTGAGATGCGAGTGCGGTGCTTGAGGTACAGTGTCGTGAGGTCCGAGACGGCATTCTTCAGCGTTCCTTCAGACACGAGGCCGCCCGGCAGTGACAGCTTCGATTGTACTGCCATGTCGCCTTCACGTCCATCGGGATGTCTTGTCCATAGGATTATGTCTTTGTCCGAAGAACAACATGCTCATGTCATGTCCTTTGTCTTGCATGTGATGATGTTGGCACATGCCGAGGTATCGGGCTGAATCTGGGGTTGATTCTCCACACTCAATATCCATTTAATTAATTGCAGCACGAGAAGAAGTAATCAAGATGTATCAGAAGGATGATTGGTCGTTCTGTTATACCGCCATCATCTCGATCAATGTCTGTATTAGGGGTTTGGACTTTTGTCTCCACTCACTCCCATTCCAGTTCCCACGTCTCTCCAATCGCTTCAATCTCACGCTGAAGTTGCATCAACTCTTGCTCTGCCCGAGAGCTGATCGCATACCCGCTGCGACCTTTGAGTTGTTCCGCATCCTTTTGCAAGTCTCTGCATCTCCGCTGGAAATCGTCTTCTACTTCTTTCCTGTCCTTTGCCTTTCTCGCGAGATATCTCATGTCGTTCGTGTCGATCGCATATCGGAATGCGTCTCGCATCCTTCGTGAATAGAGTTGACAGGACACTCCTCCTCTGCCTTCGTTGCGAACGGCCTGCTTCGTTCGATTGAATCTCACAGCTACGTCCGAGTTCGACCTCAACCATGGCAATACCACGTCATGGTAACACTCATCGCAGACAGTCAGAGCAGGTGCCAAGGATGGAACGTAGTACCAATCCACGCCCTTGAGCTTGTCATCACGGATGCATTCGGGGAGTCTGGTCTTGTGTCGGACAAGTGACACAAACTCATGTGTGCTAGGCAACCGCTGACTAGACACGGCATCTTCGTGGAGCTGGAACAAACAATCCACATAGGCCGTAAACCGATTATTGTGTTCGGGTCGCAGGGAACAGAATCGACCCATTATTTCTTCTTCCTTGTCGTAGGCATACTTCATCGGAAGTGGTACAAGCAGCCCTCTAAACCCGGGGAAGAGCGTTTCCACTCTTTTGACATCCGATGGGCACACGATGAAGTCTCGTAGAAAATGGCCATCTCGATCACGAATCGAGTACCAACTGCACCATCCTCTGGAACTTCCGGGGCAGGGTTCTTCAGTCTCTTCGGCATTGAAGATCGTGATCATCGTGTTCAGCGTATTTTGACGGTTGTTTGCAGTCAAAACCCATGCAAGTCTGATCCAAGCGTTGCTAAACTCGCATCTTCTGGCGAACCTCGGCGCATTGTTGGGCAGCAGGTTAAAAGACATGCCTAATTGAGTCCTGTCAAAAGCGTACTTGAAGCAGCGCGGGCAGATATTGAAACCAGGTTGTCCTTCGAGCGTATACCAGTCATCATATTTGATCTCGTACGTGATCCGTTTGCAAGCTGGTAGCCTCTCCATCTGAGTCTTCTTCGTGCCAGAGGATAGATCCTCAGATCTTGATACCTCTCGTCTTGAAGCGCCAGATGTCGCAGATCTCTCAACGGTCGGTCGCACTTTGCTAGGTTGTGTTGGCTGCTTCGGAGTGTTGGTACGCGTCACCGGTTCGCTGAATGGAGGGAGCAAAGTGCTTGTCTGTTGTGGAAAGTATTGATGATCTCTTTCTGAAGGCATGATCTCGAACGGGCGATCGTCATCCGGATAAGGAAGTGGCGAGTACGGACTAGATACAGACCTCGATGCCTGAGGGCGCGGCGACTTAGGTGCAGTTGTCTCCGCGAGACGAGAAGGTGGTGGTGCACGGCGTGCTGTGGTCGAAGCTGCCGAACCCATATTCCAAGGATATTCAGGAGGATGCACTATGCGAGGTGAAGGCTGTGGCGAGGATTGGGTCGATCCTGCTCGCGATGTTGGTCTGGAGCTGGGGATACTGGGAGGGTAATTGTCTCTCAACTTGTCCGAGCTTGAATTGCGAACAGGCGCAAGATTGTCAGGAGAAGTGCGGCTACCTTCACTCGTGTGTCGTGAATGGGTTGCTGGGCGTCCAGACTGCTGCAAATTAACGACTTGCGGTGGTGCAGGCTTGCGCGAGTAGTCGTTCAGGAGCGAGTAGTCTTCAATTTGTCCCGACCGTCTCCTTGAAGGGTCGCTGATGGGCTGAATAAATGGTGACGTAGGAGACGAGTGAGATTGGTCTGGCTTGGTCCAGGAATAACGTGTTGACGATCTTTTGGGGATGTGGTCTTCTGCGCTTCGAGTGGCCTCGGCAGTACTACGTCCTTCGTACACGTGCTGTGAGGTTGACCGTGGTGGAGTGCCGTCTCTTGTTGGGGCTTGTTGCGGACGTTGGCTTGAGTCAGACCAGTCAGGGCGAGGTGTGCTGGTTGGCGGCGGCTTGTCGAAAGTCGTGAATATGGAAGCAGCAGGCGGAGTAAGAGTCTCTGGCGAAAGGAAGAGACGTTCTGACGTCTTTGGTGTTTGCGTGGATGGAGTTGGCTTTGTCCAGGCATAGGGTGAAGCTTCTCTTCGCATCTCAGGAAGTCCAGCTGTTTCTATTCGAGGACCCTTGCGCTTTTCACGGCGTCTAGCTCGTTCGTCGTCGCTCGAGGGAGGTGTGGAATGTGTGTTGGGAGACTTGTTCGTAGNAGGAACCCAGACATAGCGGCGGTCAGGAGTATAGCCAGGCACATCGAGAAGCAGTGGTTCTTGTCCGATGGTGCCTCTTGAGGGGATGTCGTCGTAGGTTGTGCGTCCTGGCTTGTGCTCCCTCCTTAGCGAGGCTTCCTCGTCTTCAACGGATGGTGGAGGAGGCCATCGGCGTGGTGCTCGGCTGTGATCCCTGCTCTTGGTTGGGGCGCGACTGCGGGTTCTCGTAGGTATGGAGGGGTATAAGGATGGTTGTGTGAAGTCACGGTAGGTGGGATCGAGNNTCTGGTGGGCTGTCAGTGCCGAAAGATGGATGTGTGGAGGGCAGTGCAGAACATACGTCGAGTCATTTCGTGAGCGTCGTGGCTTGGTGTAAGAGTCGTCGTAACGTAAGCGTGAGTGGTCATAATTGTCCCAGGAAGCCATGCCAGCTGGCTAGTGAAGAGGAAGAATGTTGGGACGCAAAGGAGGGACGGAAGAAAGGATGCGGGAGAGAGAAGAAATTCGTAGGGAAAGCACGAGAGCAGAAGAAACAGAAGCGTAGGCCAAACAGGTCATCTGAGTCGACGGCGCCAGGTGGAAGGGTGGATATATGCATCTCACCCCACATGCTAACAAGTGTCGAGGGATGCCTGAGCGGACGCGCATGAGGAAGGAACCGGCGATCGCTGCTGCTCGCGCTCCTTCACAGCCTACGACCTACATTCACCTACCTGCCGGGACTGCGCTTCTCTAGCCGTGTCCGACCTTGTCTGGTTCAACTCAATGTCATTGAATGCCTTTGTATGTGTTTGACACCGCCCTTTGCTGAACCCTGCAGTTGAGGAGAAGTCCAAAGCCGTTGCAGAATTACGGCCCGCGTTTGACTGGTCAACTCTACCTTGTGTGTACCACCACCTTCTCCAGCCAATCCAGGCCACGACAAAGTCACATCTGCTCAACACCCTTGGTCTCCTTCTTTTGCCTTTCATGCCACTGGGCCGATGCATGCATATTCGGCACTTAGGCCCGTAATACAGCGGCTTTCGGCACCTGGCGCCCATTTCGGTAGGCTCACGACTGTTTCACTAGAATGCATCCGACATGCCGTTCTGTTTGCCATACAATGCTCGAGTAGCATCATGCTACCGACTGACAATGGCCTTGATAATATACCATGTGTTCGGCGTGATGGGCCGACAAAGGAAATGTCTCAACATTCATCATTGCATGCAAGTCACTTTATAAGGTAAGTCGGTCACAAGACATATTACTCGATAGGTAATATGCATCTAGAGAACTGAAGCGTGAGTCGAGCATTCAACATTATATGTACCTAACTTCGACTTGTTCGTCGGGCTCCACTGCCAATGTCTCATGTTTTCCATCCTCAATTTTTTCACTCTTTGCATTCTCTTCAACCAGGGCTGGATCCTTGCCGAAAGTTGCTTGCTGGTGGCCGCGTACTAAGTACAACAAACCATGCTCTTACCAGGGGTATTGCTGCAAGAGTCAGGAAACTGTTCAGGCAAATCATCAGAGTCACATACTTTGTTTTCCCAAGTCCAAAAAGTTCCACTGTGCTGTATTCCTTTACTCTCAATGACTTTGATCATCGCCGATACTGATACCTGCGGTGTCATTATGCCGTCGACCTCCCAACCCAGATCAATGTTGGCCATATNCTCTGGGGTGATTCATCAGCATATGTCTCATTCCAATCGCAACAGGTGTACATACGTGGCAACCTCTCCTGGATGGATTGCTAGCAAGATGGTGTCGTCGTCCTTTCGCTTGAGCTCGGCAGCCATATGCCGCATTGCTTGATTTAATGCAGCTTTTGATGCAGAGTAAGCTGCGAACCTGAAAAAGCGGTGAGTGAGGATGCAGAATACTTTACCAAGGTATTTACCNNCATCTTCCATCTCCAGGAATCGCTGTGCCGAACCAGAGTCGCTTGACATGAAGACAATCGTCCCTATCGGGATCATTGTCTGAAGGAGTCTTTGAGCAGTGATTATTGGTCCGATCGTGTTGGTATGCAAATGGAAGGCAAATTCGTCGAAAGANNACTTGATGGTCAGCCTCGTTCAGTCTGCGTGGCATCGCCGTTCTTCTACTCACAACTCAGTCGCTCTCTGCAGCAGTCAGCAACGGAAACAATTTGGGGACACTCATCTACTTACATTCGGATACCTCAACACACCGGCATTAATTACAACATAGTCCAACTTCAGGTTCGGTACTGAGGCAAGCTGAGCAACGAAACTCTTCGCAATACTATGTTAGCCATGACTACGAGAAATGTGGTGCGTGTGTTCGTATGAACTCCAAGAGAAAAACGACAACGACAATGACAACATGGAAAGAAAGGATATGAACGACAACGAGGAAAAGAAGGAATGATAGGAGACCAGGAGCATAGGTACATTTATGCTTTGTTCTGACAAGACGTCGCAGATCAACATCTGACAGCGCCCATGATCACCTCCTGCTTGCGCCCAAAGCCCAGATGCATGAACGGCGGCGGTGTCGCGGACAGTAGCGAATATGCGGTCCTCACGAGCAATCAACTGTCGCACAAACTCCAGACCTATACCTCTAGATGCACCAACGATACACCAAGTCTTCTGTCCGGATTTGCCGTACAGAATCTCGGGTATTTGGTTCATGTTTCGAAAAAAAGTAATGGATATTGGCCCTAACGAGGAGGATGCTTCAGATGCGGACACCTTCGACAGCGCAAGCAAACATGGGCTTTTGGTGGAGGAGCCGCAACAGAGAAGCGTTGAGCCGTGTTCGGGTAAAACCAACAGGGAAGTAGGTGATGGATCAGATCATCATCAACTATCGGATCAAGATCTCCCTCGCGTGTTGCCCTGGCGGCTGTTCTCAAAGCTGAAGGAGCTTGAGCCGCTGGCGCGATTTCATCGACACGATGTCAGAACGCGTCAAGCGTGCATCAAATGGTAAGGAGAAAATGCATTTGTTTTGGATTGTGGCTTTGCTCGCAGGTCATGGGGCCATTGTGCCACCAGACGAACAAGAACAGGAAGGCCTCCAGTTCGAGAACGAGTCTGAAGACTCACAAAGCACAGGTCTATGATACGTTGAGGTGAGCATCGCCACGCTGGTGAAGCAAAGAAACGATTCAAATCAAGAAATGTTCCGAGGCTTCCCGAGCGACAAGCGTGTTTCCAACAATTATTGACTTTCTGGCCTTTGCTGATTGGTTGGTCTTGGTGGTCGGTGCACGATGCCCTCGTCCTAGAAACTCCTTGGTCGCCGCAATCGTCGAACAAAATTCCCATCCGCCTTTCTTCACTCTTTCAATCACCGCCACAACTCTCCTACATACCTTCAATCTTTCCATACCAATCTCACATCCATCAAAATGGGCAAGGACAGCTTCGCACCTGGTAGGTTTCTTCTATCTCCACCACCATACCACGCCAGCGCCTTTGGAACCACAAGAGACGAAACACGAACGAGGAATATCTAGTCGCCGCACCTTGGACAGTCCTCAGCTCTCGATATTGTCTGCAACGAATGACTCGAATTCGCGAACTTGTCTCTGCGCTTTCACCCGCCGCCTGCCCATTCACGCTCGCCAATGGCCACCTCAATCAAGAACATCATTCTAACAAAACTCCTAGGTGACGCCAAGAAGGGCGCCAACCTCTTCAAGACCCGCTGCGCTCAGTGCCACAACCTCAAGGAGGGTGAGGGTAACAAGATTGGGTATGCGTCTTCCCACAGCTTTCACAGCAAGGCTTCGCTTCTCGCCAGCCACGCTCAAGTTGTACCATCCCCTCTACACGTTCATATGCTGACCAAGGTCATAGTNCCTAACCTTCACGGTCTTTTCGGTCGCAAGACTGGTGAGGTTGAGGGTTTCGCCTACTCTGATGCCAACAAGCAGAAGGGCATTACCTGGGAGAACGACACTCTCGTAAGTTTTTCTCCTCCAACCTGTGCTCTTGATCAGACAGACTGCTAACGCCATGACCAGTTCGAGTACCTCGAGAACCCCAAGAAGTACATTCCCGGTACCAAGATGGCCTTCGGTGGCTTGAAGAAGGCCAAGGACCGCAACGACTTGTAAGGATCTCCCCAACCACGCTACGCAACAATGCAGTACTAACTCGAGAAAAGGATCACCTTCCTGTCAGAAGAGACCAAGTAAAGGACGACGACAATGACGATACCTCCATCCTGTACCAATACATCCTTTAGAGCGCAAAATTAGACCTGGTTGATGGGTTGTCTCAGCATGGCGATGCAAAACGTGACGGGCTTCGGCTTTACACCTGCATGGGGTCTTGAACGCTGAGGCCTGTATAATGAATCTTTCCTCTTCTCTCCAATTCTGCCTTTCATGCTGTGCAAATGTTCGAGACATGTGCTAAAGCTTTGGCATAGAAGCGTTTTCGCCTCACAGAGACATGACAGATCAGATGTGCCCACGACGGAATTTGTGTATGAGCATGCAGGGTCTACTGCAAGGGACTGGTCTCATTGATGCTTTCTTTCATCGGTGCTGATACCAATATAGGGATTTCTTTTGTCTTTGCTGCACCCAAGCCTACCAACCAAGTTGGAAAAAGATGCATGGCTACCAGCTTTACAAGTGACACACAACATGTACAGGAGCATTGCTATATATCGAATACTAGTTCTGCTGGATCTAACTAAACAGTGTTCCGCTTTCTGACAATTATACTCGGATGTGTTGCAAAGCACCAAGTACAGCCTCAGCGCAACTCGCAACAGCCACAACTCCCACAAGTTCTATCAAAGACCATTGATCGACAAGCTCGATTGTTTTCTTGCTATTTTGGACGAGAATACTCATCTCTTTACTTGAATACTTCGTTAGTTGGGAGATCTGTCTCAGCAACGCCGAGCAAACGAGGTTGCCAAACGCAGCTCGGAGCCGTACCTTCCATATTCTTCTGGTAACCACCTTCCTTGTTTGTTTTTGTCTGTTCGGAAAACAGCGCGAGATTTCTCCTTCTCTTGCTCTTCTCCACCAACATCCACAACCATCCGTATCCCTTTACCATCTTGTAAGATATCCATCCCTTTCCAACACGATATTTCTGGTATATCTTTACCCAGCACCACCCACCATTCTTCCTTCCAACTTTCTTGCCTCTGTCGCGTGTTCTACCGCTCTGACCCCCTTTGCTTTCACGTCCCTCCTTTGACTGTTCGCCTTGCGTGCGCCTCTTCATTGACAGTCGGCTTTCAGATCCTTACTGGCGTCTGACAATATGGACTCATCACCCAGGACCATTCGCTCCCTGCCTCTGGCATACAGAAACGCTCGTTCGCTGCCTAACAAGTACGTNCCATCCGACTACACCACNCGGCGTACACTGACGTTCGCTAGTGTCTGGTGCAAAAGATGCTCTCAGTTCCGTCCCCTTGCCACGTTTGCCAAAAACCGCCAGAACGACGCCAAGTTCCACCTCACTTACAAAGGTGCTAGGATGGGAGACAAGAAGATATTCGAGAAGCTCTTCTGCAACAACTGTACTGGTGCCCCTCCTGTCGAGCTGAAGTGTACTGGCTGCAACAGAAAGCGCCCTCTCGACCACTTTTCTACCACTCAGAGAAACGCTCCAGACACCGCCAGATGCCGCAAGTGTATCAATCAGATTGAGAACGTCAGACCAGGACAGCAGCAAGAGCATGAGAAGTATGGCTCCGACGACGAATGCATCGCCGTAGGTATATATCGCTCACCTTGGAGGATATGGCTTACATTTTCGNNGATAGGACATAAGCAGACTCGATCTTGCCCCCAAGCTTCCACCGATGGAGGTGTGCCCCTGACTTCGATCAACGGCTTCGTGCCCGTCCCATCAACCAGCCGCAGCACTCGTGTGCCCACGAACACTACTGCCTCCGGCACGTCCAGCTCTGGTCGCTCTACCTCGAAAACTGCCTCAACAGTCAAGGCCCCTGCCCTTGTCATCGGCACCGGCGGCTTCGCAGTCGTCAAGTCAGTAAGTCTACTACAATCTTCCTGTATTGAGTCATGGCTAATGGCCAGCAGGGCTTCCGTAAAGTTCCAGTTCCTGAATACATCGATGACGATGACGAAGTCGTCAGTGGACCGGACAGTGAGCCTGATTACGAGATGTGAGTTGGACATCGTGTCAGACCATCAGGGATTGTACTCTGTGATGCTCAAGTTGTATCAGAAACATTGGATCTGCATGTATGATCTTGCTTGATCATCAACCTCCAGAGGAGGAGGTGGGTTTTCCAGGAAGTCGAGGATAAGGTGCTAGGATTCAGTCTCTACAGCAGTTGAGATGAAGTTTTACATTCGCACCAGCTTCCACTTGTCTGTTTGTTGACCCAAATATCTTTACATCATGAGTGACTTGTTCGCCAATCTCATCCATTGTAGTCTTCATGCTGTTCTTGGACACTTCGCTCACGCAGTCATCCACAATGTATTCACTGACAAACAGAAAAAAAGCAAAAACAATAATTACAACTTGAGGGATTCGAACCCTCGTCTCCCCGATTCGGGCCCTCGACGCAACCCTGTTTACTTAGCGATTGGAAAGCAATGAGAGAGGCACTCAGAAGCTTTTCCAACAGTATCGCAATGTCAATTAGGCAATCTTGGTGTTGCACTTGACCTGATTGTAAGTCAATACCTCCTGGACTGCATACACTGACATTCGAAGTCCAAACCACGACTAATCATCGGTATCTTATCATTCAAAATGAAATGAGCACGAACTATACCTCTAAAACAGTATCCCAGAAAGCAACGAGCAGAATTGTTACTGCGGAGTGGCAGGCACCTCAGCCAAGATGACTACAGCACTTGTGCTTCGCAACGACCGGTTCAGAGGTATCACAGAGCGAACGGAATTTCCACGATCCTTGTTACTTGTCCAACGTCGTCCGTTACTTGTTCGACAAGGACTCACTGTACGCCAGAGAGAAGGTGGCAGGCTTAAGGACATGGCTCGCCGCGGTGGCCATGAAGGGGATCGCTCCTGGCTGTTTTCTTCTTGGATTCTCGATCTCATTGCACAGTAGCGAGTAAGTAAGCTACAGAGACGTGAGTTGCATCTAAATAGAAGTGGGCCATAAAAATGTTCTGGAAACACATCTCTCCGTGAATACGACTTCTTCCTGGAAAGTATTGTGCGTTTTGATAGCTACAATTCGAGTTCTCAACATATGGAGAAGAGCAAATAATGACCTTCTGACTCCCGCGGCCCGAGATGCCATTCAGGGGAAGATAGATTGTACTGACGGAATAAGGAGTCCGAATGAGACGTGAGAGTGGGCATCGGACGACAGATACAAGGCATGGCTCGAAATCAATCTGAAATCACACTGCACAAGACAAAGAGAACATGAATAAAGAAGCGAGAAGCAAAACAAGAATGCATTGTTACTGGAGATACTAATCGAGCCACCAAGAAAGGATGATAGTGGCAATGAGACATGAGTTTACCAGTCCTTGCGCTCCTGAGGGGTGACACTTGGCTGATGTCTACTGCTCCGAGGCCGACTGCTCAAACATAGCGGCGCGTGCTGCCTTCCTCTTCTGATTGGCAGGTCTTGTGCGATGCTTTGCGTTGGCTTTGGTGCGGTTCAGATGCATCTCCAGGCAGGGTTTGCAGGCATAGGTATCACACAGGTGACAGTGGATGAGGTTGCGATGCCAGAGGCGGCATTTCGGCGAACGGCCATCTTCGCAGAAAAGGACGCCGAGCTGACCGAACATGTGCATGTGCGAAACCGGCGAAGGAGGCTCGACAACTATCCCGTCACGACCTCTGCACAGGCCGATGTGAGGGCACTGATCAATGATCAGTTGAGTTCCGACGGAAGACTGCGTGGCATGATTTTATCCTACCTCAAGGTTGCTGTCCTCCAGAGTCCAATCAGGCTTGAGTCTCTTCCAGTCGCGGACATAGTAGAAGCCGCCCGTGATTGCTTGTCTGACTTCATGGATGTCTACAACACGATTTGCATTACAGAGTGAAGCAATTGCCAGGTCATGATGGCTCATGAGTGCGTAGGAGGCGGGAGTGACATCTGCGGAGTCATAGATGCTCGGTTGACAGGTGGCGGAATCAGCACTGGTTAGTAGAGCAGGACCGGCCCTTCCGGGCTGGTCATCGAGTGCGTTGGCGGAGCGGGAATCGATGAGAAGTGGAGAAGCAGGACGAGGTGAGGAAGCACGGGATAAGCGGACTCCTCCCTTCACAGTAAGGTCAGCAAAGCATTTCAGGAGATCAGAGGGGAACCTACATCACTGTCTTCATCATGGAGGAGAACATGGCGAATCCAGAGTCGATGGAGTCTGACATGTGGCAGATGTGATAGTTGTAACTCGATCAGATGTGGAAGAGTGGGATGAAGGGAAAAAGCGAGTGCGCGGCTCTGACGCGTCCTGGACAAAGAGTCAAAAAGTCGGAAGGAACAAACACCCACTCTATACTTGGTTGTGTATACTCGCACCTACCTCACTCTGCCACTTCACGTCACGCAAGATGCAATTCGATCGAAGTGCTCACACCTCTTCAACTTTTGTCACTTCTTTCTACTCTCTCATCACCCATCAATAAGCAAACATTATTTGACACACCCTCATGCATTCGAACAATCAATTTTTTCCCGACAGATCGAGCAATTAAGATCACCGGTCTAGCCAGCAGTCCAGCATCTCACACTACGGCCATTCCGTTACGGCTAGCAACACCAATCAGATGTGTCGCCGTGTGAATCACCTAGCTGTGGGTCAATCCATCTCTACCATAAGTCGTCCATTGCTGATGGGTGCGCAGGAGCTCCCCGACCCTGTCGCTCAAGCCCTCCACGATGGACGCTTCGACAGCAGACCTCGCAAGCCGGAGCACCGTGTTCTGACTGTCAGTCGCGTCATCATCGCAGACTTGCTAACCCTCTAATCAATCCAATCCTAGTGCAACCATATCCACGGCCTTTCCAGTACTTACGAGTTCAACCCAGCTTCATACTCCATAATGTTTGGCGAAACAGGTGTGCTCCAATGTGAAGATGGTCGCGCTTCTGATTGCCATATCTGGCGGTCAATCTTGAATCTCTGTCCATATTCCGACATTCGGTTCTGCCTTGAGTGTGGTAGATTACAAAGGAGAAGCGATGGCCATGCAAAGAAATGCGTGCGCCCTGGCACGCGTATCTTCTTATTGAGGAAAGCGAACGAGCATAGTCCCGCGCCAATCTACATCCATGAGCCCAAGACTTCTCGTGCTGGAGACGGTCGGGACCGCTGAGAATGTATCGAAGGTTCCATGAGAATATGATGGCCATGTTGCCCAGCGGAAGATACTGATAGGCCGTTTTGCGCAAGAGATTTGGCCTTATGCTCGGCAGGGTCAAGACGTAAATACCAGGAGTCAAATTCTTTTTCTTCTCTCGAAGGCGGGCAGTTGCATGCTCTTTCAAGACATATCTGTCATTTCTATTAACTGCACATTTCCTGGTCGCCTTTCCTGGTGATGACTTTGAATTGTTTGTCCCACAAAGGGTGAGCGATGGGGAATACAGGTGCGGAATCCCATCTTTGCGAAAGCTTCCACAATCGTGTAAAGTATAGCATATATGACTGACGCTGTAGTTTATATCGTGCGGCGACAGGGAGAACGATGCAGTAGCTGACGTTACCGATCGTGTGCGGTTTGGTCTAGGCGGTGAGCGATTCTGCCATATTTTGAGATCTGCGTGACCTTGTCCCTTGATATTTTCTCTACACATTTCCATTTTCGGACATCGGAATACTTCTTGATGAAGACTGTACAAATTAGGAGAAGTTGATAAAGAGTCTCAGATGTTTTGTGAGTACTGAGTCTCATGACAGCTTCTTCAATAAGGCTCCTCAGGTGGGTAGACTCGTTGTTTGAGAGTTGACCTTCGTATCCCGTACCACGTGCCAATCAAATCTCAACTTCAAGGCATTGACTTGCAGCGTGCTTGGGGGTTACGAACAGGGACGATGATACGTTAAGCGAAAAGGCACAAGCAGCACCTGTCTTCGAATTCGAGTCTGGTTTGCGCAAGACAAGATCACCACAAGTACATCCTCTTTCTGGGCAATGCAAGGATACCACTGAGGTATGAGGCGATACTATGCAGATTCTCATTGTCTGTGTCTCAGTTGTCGTAAATGTTCGTTTTTATATCAGCTCTCCGGCTCACCTACATTGGAAGCTGGAATAAGTAAGCGTATCTGGTGGGCTGGGAGCTCTTTCACTTTCACGCATCGCTTCCTAAATTTCCGTTGTTTTTGCGAGCGCACTTCAAATTGCGCTGTCGAGCCAAAATCTTCTTCCCTTCAATTCGTCGCGATTCCTACTCAAAAACATGGAAACGACTAAGAAATCTTCTGTACGTCCTGTGGCGCCTCATGTCAAGTACAATTCCAAGGCCGCTCAAATGGTCAGCCATCAGTATGGAGGAGACAAATCCACCTCCGAGCAACTCTCAGACGTGGAATTGGAAGCCGTGTCAGGGCAATCAGATCTTTTGACAAAAATTAGCTACTAATCCGGACGATACAACATCGAAGAATACCTTGAGGTCATTAAAATCGGCTCACTTTGAGATCTCGCCATGAACACCCTGTCTCAGCCTTGTGTCGTTGTGGCGGACCCGCACAGTGTGTCTCGTGTCTGTGGTCGCTAGGAGGCCATCAAGGTCGTAGGATGCCGACCTCTCTTGCAGCAATGGTAGTACGAGATCAGTGACCGGATACCCGATGTGGTGATATGGCTGGTAATTGCGGCAACGGCAAGGTATTTTAGAGCGATCTCTTCGAAAGTGCATGTGATTTCAGCATCAATTGAACAGGAGAGATCGGTGGTAGTGGTGCGGCCAAGAGACTTCTGCAGATTCAAGTTGCCATCTTGGGTACGACGGAACGACTGTCTGGTTCACAGCCAGTACAGCTCGTGGTGGTGCGGTAAAGGCCACCGAATATCGACGACACGGCAGAATTGCCATACTCTCTGTAGTACAGGTCGCGCTGTTCATTGTCTGTGGGAGTTACTGAAGAGCGCTCTGCGGCTCGAGCAGGTTTCGAGTGGCGATCCAAAACCTTCGTTAGATCCACGATGAGAGATCCGACGGTTGAATGAATATCCTCGAGGTGCAAGATGTTCTGGGCCAGGTCAAGTAGCTCATCCGTGCGGATGAGCTCGTGCTCGTCGACGATGGTGTTGCTGAGAATCCTGGCAACGTGATTTGGCAGAGCGCGGAGCTTCGATGTCGGTCTGGGCACATGATTCCATTGTTCGGCGCAGTTCCTCGTGTGTCGATCTTAGTGACCTTTACGAGGGCCCAGCAATAGGTTCTTGAGAGGACAACTCAATACTGGAGGATGCAGGGCAAAATCGACGGAGTGTCGCTGACGATACCCCGACGATTCTCTACCTCGTTGCTTGACGGCTGCTGAACATTTCGTTCGGTCTGGCCCTTTTCTGTCTGGCTATCTTCGGGTATGTCTTCGCTGGTTGACAATTGTAGTCCGGCAGAGTTGATGTTGAAGATGACCCGGCCGACCCTTTCTCTCTTTGCCGTGCTTTTGAGATGGGGCACATGCACTTACCTCTAGCGTCCTGTGTTTCGAGGAGGAGAGAGGGTCATGGGGATAACGGGTCGGGACGGAGTGCTGGCTGTCCTAACGTTGGATGGTTGGCAAGTCGTGAGCTTGTATGTTGACGGGGTTGTCGGCCAACAGGACTTCCGCATGCGAGATGTCTCCGCCAGCAACGAGCCGTCCTGGTTCCAAATCGCTACATGTCGATTGTGCTGTTGATTGATCTCAACGAATTCTCAGTCGCCCAACCTTCCCGTGCTGATTATTTGTGAGCGTTATACAAATCCTCGACCGCTCCACCTGCCACCATGGGTTCAGCCCATCCATGGTGGGCATTGATATCCCTGACAACATGACGACCACCCGACATGGCGCACTTGCGGATCATATCCCAGATCAGGAACGCCACAACGTGGTCTCTCCACGACTGGAAGTCCGGGAGCACGCGTTGGAGAGCATGCATGATATCATCCGTCAGTCGTTGGCGCGCATAGATCGGCACGCGAGAGGTGCGGTTGTTTGGCAGCGTAGGCGGATGGTTCAGGTGGTTGAAGAAAAATGAATATCACTCGTCGCAATGGCTGAAGTCTTGTGGCAGGGGATTGTTGGGCAGTGTAGCGAAACCCAGATCTCTGAGCTCATTCTTGACGTCGTAGCCCAAACGATCGATTTGCTCGATGGTGTCGTCTTCGTCTCTGATTGCCTCTACGTCTGGCACGGCATCTTTTCCTGCGATTGGACTCAGACGACAGGGGATGCTGATGTCACCGACGTGCACAACTCCATCGGTGAATCTTGCCACTTCATCGGCGTCAAGGAGCGCTGCCGCAAGGCGAGCGACGATGTCTCCAGGAACCAAAGCCAGGATCGTATTGTCCATGCTAGACCTGGTGTGTCTGCGGACATGCACCTCGCCGTCATACTACCACGTGGAAAAGTCAAGGTGGTCGTTGGTGAACGCAGAGTGAAGGATGTTGTCGTAGGCACGGTAGAAGGCGGAAGCGTGCGAAAAGACTTCGTTTTGNNGGATGTCCTGCTCGTAGGCGAGGTGGTAGGCGTTGCGAGTTCGAACGGCAGCCTCTGGCTTGACGTCAAGAGGAGTGAAGGTGGCAACGTCATCGCCTTGGTAGATGTTCTTCATCTTGGCGAGACACAAAGCAGCCCTCCTGGCGCCCTTGTAGCGAGCAGCCATCACGGCCTCGGCGGTGGAAATGTAACCGACACCTTCCATATTCTCAAGAACGAGAGCGTACTGGCGCTTCTGTTTGGCTTGCTCCCTTGCCAGCTTTTCGCCGTGGGAGGATTTGAAGCTGACATGGGCATCGCTGATGATGTATGAGCGCCTGTTGCGCAAGATGCAGTTGTCATCGTTCGAGCAGAAGAGATAGACAAGCTCGCCAGGGACGTATGGGAATTGATCGGTCGTGCAACCAACAACTACTGCTCGACGTGTCTGTCTTCATGTCTTCAAATTTGAGTGCTTGTCTCTCCCCGTCACCCNGTGACATGTCTGTGAACGTTGGCTTTCTCGCGGCGGAAGCGGCCATTTGTGAGGTTGGGGAATGCGCTTGTCGAGCTCAATGCGGTTGACTGCAGGCATGATGATAGTCCAAAACCGTTTGAGCTGTGGGTGTGGTGCTAAGAGAATTGACTGTGGTCGAGAGTTTGGAAGGAAGGAGCTGCTGTTGGAGTGTTGCCTGGTGGTTAAATCGACTTCTAATCGCTCTCGGTGTGCCCATATGATCAGATCGTCGTTATGAAAATGCATGGTAGGCTTCCGGAGGAAACTATATCCAGCGAGAGAGGACAGATCAACGTATCTCCTTGGCCACACTTCTGCTCCAAAAAGGTGTCGTGCATCTCTATAGCTTATCGGTAGCTGCAAGTGTGAGGGAGAGTGGACGTTGGGAGTCCAGGGTCAATGAAGTGAGAAAGGTGCGAGGTGCACCGCCAAGTATGCCCCTGGATTAATCCTCCCCATGTGCTGAAGATTGAGAATGTAGCCATGGAAATGCATAATAGTCTTGAGGAAGAAACAATGTCCATGGAGAGTTGTAGAGTTGGCACATCTCCATGGTCACACTTCTGCTTCAGGATAAGATCGTGCATTTGAATAGCTTGTGAATCCACTCGGTTCTGTTTGGACGAAGGTGTCCTGCTTTGCGAGGATGGCAGTTCCGGCGAGAAGTGTCACATCTGGCACTCCTGTTCACTGCTTCAAGTGCGACACTTACGTATGCAGAAAGTGTCAGATTCATCATCGAATTCCAGAGCACAACGCTAAGCACCGCCAGCGTCCTGCGAAGAAGAAAAGAGACGAGAAGCGTGCCGGCAAGCGCGACGATTACGCTCTGGCTCAGGAGTTCGCTTCGTACCAGTCGATTTGAGAATGAGATGAGTGTGTTCTCTAGCACGGCGGAAGTGATGTATTCGATACTTGGCAGGCCGAAAGGTCAGTCCCGTCTCGCTTGCATAAGTTTCAGTTGTCGCAAAGTTAGAACTCAATGCTTTTTCCGCTCTCTCCAGTTTTTGATGGTCAGTCCCTAGTACGTTGCTCGATACCTGTCATCAATGTTCACTACCTCATCTCACGCATGCTATACTGTTTGTTTTCTTTTCCTGGTTTACACAATGCAGTCAAACCAAAACATAGAAAGTGAGAACAAGAATAGAATAGAGCAGAGGGCTACAGTATAGGCAAAAATTACCCACAATCACCGAAGGACTGCAATAAGTTAGCAAGAGTGCTTATGGAGATCCTCAGAGTGAGCGTGAGGGATGCAGCATAGACTTACATGTTATGTATATCCCTCCTTATCGTAAAGGAAAAACAGCACTTCCTCAACTGCCCTGTTGACCTTTTCTTGCCACTGCTCCCTGGCCTTGTATCGTTTTTCCTGCCTACTCCATCTTTGTCCACTCCTCCTCCACTCGGTGTTGCATCCTCATCATCATGCGGATTCTTNNCCAAGGTGCAAGACGTCAAAATAGCTTTCTGACTCTGATCAAAAGCAATCGCGCCAAACTTTTCCCAATAACTGACCAACGAATCTTCAGCCATGATTTCATGCAACGCGAGTTTTCCATCTCGTAACTCTTCCATGGGAACTTGAATTAGTTCTGCCATTTCCTTGTTTCCTCTGAAGATTTCGCCCGTGCGACGCCAACAACATGCTGGAATTGCCATACTAGCAAACACGCGATCATATTCCATCAGCGTGCTTTCCCACCACATCTCCACGCGAATCAATTGGATATCAGTGAGATTATGCATTGCTTCTCGGAATTTAGGGCGGAATTTTTCGAGTTGGCGAAGGATTTNTTGGCGCAGGGGTGGTCGCATGTGGGATTCCATGTAGGTGTTTAGACGTGAGTAGCCGCGGACATAGTTGAAGGGTCGTAACATGCCTGCGTCGTATTTTGCTTGGAGAAGCTTTAGCATGCGGGCTTCGGNGGTGTCGTTGCCGGCGGGGTCGGCGGCGGTCATGTAGAATTTGTCGCGGGCTTTGGTGTCGACGGGCATGACGGAGGAAGGACGGGTAATGTCGTTTGCGGCGGAGACTTGGGGGTCTGGTTGTGGTTGTTGGGCAGGGTTGGTAGAGGGTTGAGTTTGGTGGATGCCCGAGAAGAGATTCATATTGTTTGCGTAGGTGGAGAGGGAGCCGGTTGCTAGCAGAGGATCGTTGAAAACCGCACTCGTGTCATCGGAGTTGTATGTTGCGCCGTCGTCGAGGAGACTGTTGTTTAGAAAGTCGCCGAGAAAGTTGTACTCGTCGGTCACTTCGGAGGTGTTGAAGGTGTAGTTTGGGTGCAGATTACGCATATCGTGGAGCTGGTTTGTCGAGTCAAAGTTCCAGTCGTTGATAGAGAAAGGCCGTTGGTTGTCTGTGGATTGGCTCTGCTGCTTGATGTGTACTGGCGACATTGGCTTTGGCTGTTGTATGGCGGGAGGGTCCATTCTCAAGCTGCTTCTGCGTTCGTCTTCGATGACACTCGCGTCGGCAAGAGGGGTATCCGTATCTGGCTTCTTGCCTTTGGCGGGCTCTCTCGGTTCGTCATGGCACAGGTGGGCAATGTCGCGTTTGACGCATCTGGCGCATGGTCGTTCGAGGTCGCATGTCATGTGCGATCGACGGCAGTACACACAGGCATGGTTGACCTTTCTGCGCTTCTTTCTCGGAGGGCTTGACGGACTGTCTACCGTGGCTGTGCTCTTGGATCTCTCTTGCGATTTGGGCGTGTCGGTTGTGTTTGCATTCTGGGTGGGTTGCTGCTGCTGCTTGATGGTAGGTTTCGCGTCGGCCATGGTCCCACTGCGCTTGGGGTTCGTGTCGGCATCCGTCATGTCCAGTCGGACTTCCTCCAAATTAACAATGATATTCAAGCTCTTCCAGTCGTCGCTGGTATACGCGCAGGCCGAGGTGCAATGGCCCATCGCATCGAGTCGCGACCGACGAGGGTCAGCGGCCCGCTGCCAAGCCCGAGCCGCGAGCGGGAGTCCATTCTTCTTCGGTCCAACTTCCTTGTGCCTTCCGACATTGTGTAATCATGTTCATATAGGTACCCGTTGCTTCAGATTGAGGTCAAGAGTCCCTGTTCGTGACCCTGCCACAAGATGCACCTGTTGGAGACTTGGTTTCCTTTGCCGGGATCTGCAAGGACAAACACGGCCCGAAGAGCCCGTCCATCACTCCACCATCTACCGACTATGCCCGCCCGACATGGCTTACTGACTACTGCATGCCCGAAATGCTGCCTAGACAAAACTTTGGAGAAGACGTGTTTCAGATCTGATCTGAGCTAGGCGATTGACATAAATAGTAGGAATCAATATTCGCTCCCTGTATGCAAAAGCGCTGCTCTAGCTCGCAAACCATCGAGCTACAATTAAACAAGTCGCTTCTTCTAACAATCACCTCCAACGAGAACGATAGAAACGAATCCAGTAACTCTAACCATGCTGAATGTCAACCCTGACTCGAAAATGCCTCTTGACCAATCCCAGAACTCCCGAGCAACCCGTCCTCTAGGCGCTGCGTATGCTTGATGTGTTGCAGATATCATCATCTGGTGCGATCGACTGTTACGTAGTCTTGTCCCTGCCCATAGTGTGGTGTGGGTGTCTTGGGCATGGCGCCAGGGATGTGAGGTTGGAATGACTCTTCTCTGTTGTTTGGCGGTCTCGCTTGGTACTGTTGTTCGGGGTATGATTGGTAGCCAGAGGTTTGTCTAGGAACAGCGTTTCTCGAAGCATAGGATGGCTGAACACCGGATGCAGCTTGGTGTGATGTGAGTTCGTGGTCGGGACTATGAGCAGCTCGTGCTAGACGTTCTTCGGTTTCGCGAAGGCGAGCTTCGATGGCTGCGAGTTCTTCTTCCCGGGTCGAGACCGTGCGTTTNNCCTACATCCTGTCAGCTTAGGTTCAGTGGGCAGCTGAGTAGAGGGTGGCTGACTTCTCTTCGACTGTGAATGATAGATTGCCAAGGGTTGTGCCCGAGTTCAAGCCAAACAGAGAATCCAGATCATCCGAGAAGTTGCGAGCGGCGATGCTACGTGCATGTGAGTGGATGGCAAGGAAGTCGGGTCAATAGAACGAAGCGTACGACTCAGGTCTGGCCCGCTGCTGAGCAGTGTGTTCCATGACGTTATATGACGAGGGTGGGAGGAGCAGATGGTAGAGTAAGCGGTTGATGGAGCTGGCGACGTTGATGGAGCTGGCGACGTTGATGGAGCAATGAAGAGACAGGGACAGATGTGGAAAAGAAGACGGAAGGCGGGGTGTCACAATGAACAAATACTTGAGTATTAAAAGGAGGATCGTCTCAATCATATGCAAGCTGCGACATGACCACTTGTCGGTGCGTACTCGCAATTCGTACTCTGATTCAGGCAAGACCATGTCGCCAAGGCTCATTAGTCCCCAGCAATGACAAGGCAGATGTGGCCGAGGAATGTACATGTACTCGAACCCATATACAGGACAACGCGACTGTGTGATCTGGTCAGAGGTAGAAGATAAGGCACTTTTGCACAGCTTGTAGATCAGATTTGAGTTCTGCCTTGTGGCTGATGAGCATCTTCACAGGGCCATGTCAGATAGAAATGTCAGAGTGATTAGTGGTCAGGCAGTCATCAAGGCATTTTCTGGTGATCAGCATGTGAAAGCAGAGATAGATTGTTGGATAGACGTTAAAGCAGATGTTATCCGAAGGCAGATGTTGTCCCAAAGAGTGGAACGGTGCAAAGGTTCCAACAGTTCTCTGGCCAAGCAACGGTCGGCGGCAGCGGCAGAGGCGCCGTGCAAGATTCACGACGCTGCAATCCATCAAGCACGAGGCCATCAACTTCTACTCAAACAAGGCCATCGATCATCTCGCTCTAAAACCACCATGAGCCACGACGCGTAAACCCATCTTCCAACAAGCATGAACTGGAACTACCGCGACTGCTGGCCCGAACACAACCCGACACGCTACTGTGCAACTCACGACCTTGCGACAAGTCGACTCTGTAATGACTAGCCTGGCCCAGCACACTCCGCTCGAGTCGCTCCTGCTCTTGCACGCCTTGCGCAGCGATGGCCTGACTGCCGTCCACTTCGGCCAAATCTCAGAACAGCTGAAGAGCATACCACTCATTCGCAACGACCCTTCGTACGACAGCACTCGTCTGCATGAAGATGCCTTGAAGCACTTATGTCTGCGACTGCTCAAGGATGAGGCCCGCAATAGCTCGGACCAGCACGAGGACAGGAAGAAGAGACTGTCCAGCCCGACCATTCCCACCGTCGAAGAAGCCGCCAAACACTCGCACTTGATCCCTCGTCTTGTCCATCGCCTGTACACACGCTACAGAGAAGGCGTTGTCGCCGAAATCAGAAACGAGGAGGAAAAGCATGATACCTTGACGCGTGAAATTGAAGAGATAGAGGACGGAAAGTGGGACCATCGTCTACGAGGCGAGCAGGCTGCTGCCACTGCAGTGCCCACGCGACCTTCATCCACCGATGTGACACCTGCGCCACCAGCAGCAGACGTGACTGCACAAACCAACGGAAATGTCAGCGCGCCATCCCCTGCGGTGAAGGAGGCAGCAAGATTGAACCGCGCCAAAATCGACGCCGTCATCAACCATGAACCCGTCACTGCTCGTCCCACAGCCTCGCCCACCCCTCCGTTACTCGCATCGTCGTCGCAACCGCAGTATGCACCCCCTGCAGTGCCCCACAGACTCTCGACCACCTCTCTGCCTCCCCTCTCAGAGATGGCCCCGGACTCTCCTCTACCACAGCACATGCAGCAGTCTCAACCTTCTCCCCAGCTACCAAACCTGCAGGCAGCTCCAGCCTACCGTCTGTCTCCTGTCATACAGCAGAACGGCTTCCCTCCTCAGTTTGCTCGACCCAATGTGAACCCAAGTCCTCGTCAGAGTCCTGCTCCATCCTCGCCTCGTCCGGTCCTGCCACTCCCTCCTGGTATGAGCATGCCGCCTCGTCCACACTCTCCCGCTGTGCCAACTCGGGGTGGTCCAGCTCAGTATCCATCACCCACCCAGCGTCTGCCTCCGGTACCGCTTCAGCCAGCCACCAGAGCACCTCACACGAACACTCCTCCGGCCTACCACCAAGCCTACCCGCCATACCCTCAGCAGCCGGCTTACCCAAATCAACAGCAGTCGCCGTACCCACCTCGTCCGCCTCATCAAGGAGGCTATCAGTTACCGCCCTTCCAGGTTGCTGCTCAGGATCCGAACAGGATGCACCAACATCAACTGGCTCAGCAGCAGGTCGCGAGTTCACATGGTCGGCAACCGCCCACTCCTGCCCGTCAGCAAATTTCCGCNCCCTATTCTCCTCATACGCCATATGCATATCCTGCACCACCAGATCCTCGACGTCCTGATGTCAATGCTCTGGACATTTTGAGCAGTTTGAGAAAGACTCCACGTGCAACTCTATCTCGCTCGATGACTCCCCGTTCCAATTCTCGTGCTGCTACTTGGAAGCGTGAGAGACCATCATTGTTGTCTCGACCGTTGCTCGATGGCGTGGAGAGCCCTGTCCCAGAACGTGTGAGCCCACCTCCGCTAGCGCGAGAAGCTTCGCCTGTTCGTACTACCAAGGAGATTCCCATCAAGCCTAAGCCTGTTGAAGAGCAGCCCTCTCAGACCGAAGAGGTAGAAGCAGAGCCAACTCCCAAGCCTGTCAATTGCACTCGCAAGTCTACCAGGCGCAATCGCGCTATCAGCAATGCTTCTTCCGCCATTGCCAGCTCTGTGCGTGCCAGGACAAGGAGTCGATCTGTTCTCTCACAAGCCGAAGGTCAGACTGCTAATGTAGAGCCCTCGGTCATGTCACGGATCGTTAAGGACGAACCAATGACACCTGCCGACCTGCTCCAAGAAGAAATCCTCCAAGCCGAAACCTCAGATCCACCCTCTCAACTCAGATCAAGACGCAGCCGTGCTTCAACCAACAAACGCAAGCGGGCCCGTTCAGCAACTCCACTCCCTTCCTCCGAAGCACCTGCTGCAGAGTCTTCAGAACCCGAAGCCACAGGACCTGCCTATGGACCTCCTCTCAAGACCAAAGTCCAGGCCCATCGCAACTTTGCCCGCATCTCCAACGTGATTATTAACGACATCACTCAACATAAACATGCGGGCCCCTTTCAGAAGCCTGTGCGGGAAAAGGACGCCGAGGGCTACACCACCATCATCAAACGCCCTCAAGACCTCAAATCCATCAAAGCAGCCATAACCTTTGGGTCTCGCGCCATCAACACCGCCACTGCTTCTCTCGACTCTCCAGCCGCTACACCCTCGTCCTCGTCTGCGTCTCTGGTCTTGCTAGACAAAACACCCGATCTTATCCCTCCCAAAGCGATTGTCAATTCTAGCCAGCTGGAAAAAGAGGTCATGAGGATGTTTGCCAATGCCGTTATGTTTAACCCTGGCATGGAAGGTATGGTACAGGATGCGAGAGAGATGGCTGACGATATCGAAGCCAAAGTCAGGGATTGGCGGCAAGTCGANGGTGCGGCGGCGAATGTTCGCGCAGCAGTCGACAAGGAAGACGAGGATGAAGGTGTGAATGCGACTACTGGAGGAGATAAGAAGAGAAGGAAGGTGTGATTCGAGTTGTCAAGTTTTGATGTGTCGTCTCTATCTTTTCTTCTTCGTTTTCGCTGAAAGATGTTGTTGTTTGAAGGGCACTAGCAAAAATGCAAGATTCTTTCCAATCACCCATGGCTTCCTTTTGCAGCTACTCTCTACGCATACGTACAATCTCCAGTCTAACAGCTAGGCGCTTACATATTTGTGAAGTAAGCTGGCGGATCTCGAGAGACTAACAGTATAGCTTGGGGGCGGGTGATGATTGCTCGAACCCTAACGTGTAAGAGTAAAGGCATCGTGTATCGAGTGTCTTCGTCGCATTGCAGGAACGATCTCGAACTTGAGTTGATGCTGCCCTCCCGTTTACTTTTTCTCAGCTCGCAAGTGTCGCAGAGACTTTTGATCGCGACATCTCGGGACCGTGGAGAAGGCGAGTGGTGATTATTGTTTCAGTGTCTCTCACGATCTCTTTTTCAGCTCTGTCAGTCACGCGAGTCGCCAGGAACGCCATCAGAGTGTGCGAAGTGTCCCTCATTTACCAGACCTTTGCTCCCAAGTCCACTGACTCGATTATTCACGGTGTTCTTTCGATATTCATCTCATGTTCACAATAAATATTCCTTCTTTGGCTCCACTGAATTCGCACTTTACTGTATCATGGTCCGATACGCCTGCATCAAGACATGTATTTGTCGTATTCGACGCGTGGGTCGTGAGATTTTTTTCCCATGGCAGAAAGTTTAAGAAAGCCACGCGCGAGTCTTGCTGGATGGCAGCCGTACTGAGACATTGATTCCCGCTTTGCTTCCCGTGAGCATTTGTGTTTATTCTTTTTCGCAAAAAATCGCAAGGAAACAGATGTTTTTGAGTCTTTTGAGAAAGCCTACATGCACATGGTGTTGCAGCAGGGTTTTCGTATTCACTTCGTAAGGAGACTTTTGTGACAGGTATGCATGTACATATGCATTCGACATGACGTCTCTGAGCTTTGGAGGGGTCCTGTTGGTGACGCAGGCACAGTGAATATCCATTCGCAAGGTCTTCGCGCCGCAGGGATCCGGACCGGCAATAGAGGGAATGGCGATGTCATACACTGTTCATTACGAAGCTGAACCTCACTGCTTCATACCTGCAGGAGGTGGAAGTGTTGTTGCTCACGATGCTCATCGGCGAAGTGAGGGAAACCTGCAATCCTGATCCTGATCCTTTGCGGGCTGAAAAGGGCGTTTCTACTAGACGAAAATACACCGGGGACGCACGACGCGCTTGTGATGACTGTTTCTCGTTCCTGAGCGATCTGGTGATCTAGATGTCTCTGTTTCATGCTTAAACCAGAGACAGAATTCCCACAACTAGCTATTTTCTCTCCTTTGACGAAGCGGCAGAGGAAGGAAAAAAGGTTATCAGAAGCCACCATAATCTCCCTGAGTCTGTTCATGCGCGTGCAAAGAGGAATCAGAAGGGGGAAAAAGCATTGGTCACAGAGTGCGCGCACTGCTTTCGTCTGCTGCAAAGATTGGGTTGTGACTAAGTCGTCGATCTGGGGTACGGTCTTGACCTAACGGAGAAACCACTCTTGGTATGGCGCCTTTTGCTCTGTGATTGAGCAGCCCTCTTTCCTGCGCCGGGAACAGTTTACCGACACGCGATGCCATGCCGGACTGCTCCTCGTACCTCTGGTCGACAGAAGCCTAAAAAGGCCACCAGGGAGAAAAGGGAACACTCCGCTACAGTGGTGTGACCACTTCTGGTTTCCACTCTCCGAGGCGTGCGTGTGATCATAAATGAGGTAGGTGTATATAGACCCGGACATCGGCGGACGCTTGCGCGAAGGGTGGATCTCTTCTCTTCTCTCTTCTTCCCACTCCTCGGTGCTTGCTTCCACTCCCTACCTTTTTCCTTTCTTCTTACACTTTTACCCTGAGCTTGCCGACTTGGATTGCGCATCACATCACCAAACCTCTGACGTTGTCGTTCGGTGCTATTTTCTGCGTGTTTGGCCGTTGCGAAAAGGTAAAACGGACTTGGACCCTTCGACATATATTCATACCAGTACTGTCGCACATTTCAAACACCTTGATTCGAGACAAAAACATTCTCGATCTTTCGTTCCTCTCAAAACGACTATACCCATGGCTGTGGTAGCGACAATGGCTCAAACCAGCACTTCTCAGCCAAATCTTTGGAAGCCTCGGTATGCGGCCAAGCAACATCAGGAAAAACCACAGCCTGCTCAGCAGTTCACGCGATCAAGGTCTCTGAGAGAGCCATTCGACCCTGCAGAACTCACGCGCAAGTTGGAGAATTATCGTCAAGAACTCAAGCTGGAGAAGGCACGACGTGAGTTGGCGAACAAGAAGCTGGCAGAAAAAGCAGACAAGGCAGAAAAATCCCTGGGCTCAGCACAACCGCCGCCAGCTCAAAAGGACGTCAGCAGTACAACATCAGGATTGAATGCAGGTGCTGGAGTGAAGCGTGCACAATCCGTGTCTGCACTCAAGAATCTCTCGGTCAACGAACAACCCGAACGTAGAAGATCCATCATCCACCGAAGCCGCAAACAATCAGCCCAAGAAGACACTCCCATCGAGCCCGCCAAGCCTTTCGTCCCTCGAGTGGCAGCCAAACAATTCGCCAACACCACAACCCCTATCAAGGAGAAGAGCGAAACAGCAAAAGCATCCTCANNCACCAAGCACCAGAGCCCAAGCCTAAAGAAGTCAAAGCCAAANGTGAAAGACACATCCAACAAGCACGTACTCGACTGGAATGAGCCCTCTATTCACACAAAGCCTGCTTCACCGCCTCCCCCTCAGCTCCTNGAATTCCCCGATGCAGAAAGAACTCAGGCACGCATTCACGCTCTCCACGCCTTCCGCGACGCCTCCAAAACCGGCCGCCCAAGACCTCTCAGCACCGCACTAGAAAACATGCGCGAATGGGACGCTGTCGACAATGTCTACTCCAAACATGCAATGCCCGTCCACGAAGAACCAGAAGCCACATCTACATATGTCCCTCCCGCCTACCGCCCAGCCCTCAAAGCAGCAGATCGCCATGATTGGGCTCAAGGCAGTCAGTGTGGTGACAGTGCAAGACAATCCCTGCATCTATTCCGCAAGAAGGATTCTGCGCATGAGGAAGCAGAGATGGCCGGTTTGAAGGCTAGCATGAGACCATCACCAAAGCCGAGACAGAAGAGTCATGGTGATGCTTCCGATCGTCTTGTTGGTGATGCTGTCAAGCAAATTAGAGAGGAACGACGAAGAAGCAGTATCCTGAACATGTTTAGAAGGCATTAGAAGTGTTGCGCTATGATGATCTCCGGGGTGTTTATGATTTTCCTTTGTTTATCTGGGGGTTTGTATCTCTGCACTTTTTCTGTCAGCGACTTGTTCTTTGCATTTTCTTCTTTTCCTCTTGTTTGAGATTCCAGCCTCATACCCTTTTTCTTCTCCTTTCTTCTGTCACAGACACCATTGCTTTCTCTTTTTCTTGCTTCACACCACTCGGGTTGCTTTCTGTGGACCGTGTCCTTTGTGGTTTTGCAAACTTGTTTTTGGAGAAAGGTGGTTCTGTCTTGCATCACGTTTGTGCAAAAGAATTTCTTTGTCCTTTTTCTTAGCGCAGCCCCAAATTCAATTACTCACCACTTCTTCTTCGACCAACCGTAATGTATATATTATTTCACACTCACATCTCTAATCAATATTTTCTGCAATTCACCAGTATATTCTGTTTGAGAGTATGTCATTTTGATGGTGTTAGTATTTGATGGTCAGGCTGTTTGTTCGAGCTGCAAGAGGCCGCTTTGGCAGTGTAGCTGTCGTTTGCCATACAAACATCTACTCGACTTTAGATCTGTTGATGGTAATGCTGACATGCCAGATGCTAGGTTCGGAAGGTCTGGAGTAGGTGTCGCATCGAGACTGAATAGCTTGAAAGAGACTTGATTGGTCTATCTCGATGAGAATACAGCAATGTGGCCTTACTGCAGCAACTAGGGGGCACTGTTGCTACACTATCACATCGCGGCAGCCCTGCAATTCTTCGTTCTAACCATCGCCTACAACTTGGACCCCGGAGCAGACAACAATCTTCACTCAAGGGAGTTTTCTTGCTGGCGAAGCCCTTAACAAGAGCCAATGCAACACACTTGACGACTTTTTACATTTCGGTCTCATCTTCACTACCTTTCCGAGTAGCTGCCGTCTCGTTTGACCTCAAACAACAATCACTCATCTCTGTTAACTAGATCTCTCAACTCCCACAAGCTCTTTTCTCGATCTCTGCCCATATAAATCTTCACAGTCCTCAGCGATCTTCAGATCTATCAGCATCATCTTCCAATCTGCCATCATCAATACCATGGATCTTCGCCAGTATCTCATAGCGCCGCACGAACGGCTTCAACAGCAGTCAGATCTTCATCACCAGCATCAAACTACAACCAGCAGTCTTGATCCTCGCTTGACACGCCATGCACCTACGGCCCCATCTACTATGCGCAGACACGAACCGATCGATCCTTCCGTCACTTATCCACAATCTCATATGAGTAGTCAAGATGCGAGAGCTTACGATCCTTACCAGCAGCCAGCAATGGCCCTGCAGCAACAGCAATATCAGCAGCCTCGAGACGAAGTCATCACTCGTGAGCAAGTCATTAAGGGCTTGGCCGCTTACCCAGACATTCTTGCCGTTATCCTGCGAAGCGGACATCTACCTACACCGACTGAACACGACACCACGGTCCAACGTCAGCAATCCTTCACTACAGCTCCATCTCAGCAATACAATGCTAGTACTCCTGCTTCGAATCGTACCGAAACAAGCTCATCCATAACACCCGCCCCTCAGCCAACGCAACCTACACCTTCAAGCACAAAACTCTGCTTCTGGCACTACCATCTCGGCAACTGCATCAACGATCCTTCATCGCCAACCTACAGCGGTTCTGAGCGTCCCTGCCCATTCCTCCACTCTACAGATGGCATGCAAGAAATCAAAGTGCAAACAGGCAAAGAATGTTGGCACAAGGATTTTGGTGATTGTGGCTTGGAACTTTGCAGGTTCAGCAGCAACTACAAGTACAAGGCGAAACACGTGTCGAGGGGAACGGTCAAGGAGAGAAAGAGGATGGCTAAGAAGCAAGCCCGTGCTCTTTCTCCTGCTGTACTTACTTCTTCCTCTGCTGCTATTGCGGTTTTGGACAGACAAGACAGCGACGACTCCGTTGATCTGGAAGACAAGTCCCTTGTTGCGCAACAGAAGCAGGGAATAAGCACGATTTTGGTCCCGACTAGCCCACGAGCAGGCCGGTACGCAAAAGGCCAGCGCCTACAGCAAAAGAAACGCATCAGCTCAAGCATCCCGCCTTCATCAACACTCAAACGCACCGCTTCCGTGCTATCAACCAGCAACACACCTACACCAACCAAGAAACCCAAATCCACAACCACCAAACCTCACAAGCCCTCTTCTACCACAGCCCTTCTCTACTCCATCATCCCTTGCACCACCTCCGTTTCCAGACTCCCCATCCTCCCGGCATCCTCGCTCAAAAACCCAAACAAGAAGTTTGCAACTTGCTTTCACTGGTACCATGGTACCTGCACCAAAAAGGGCAAGTACTGTGAGTGTTTGCATGCACTTACTGATCCGCCGAGTTTTTGTGCAGCCNNGCCACAAGGATACGTTCATGAGGTTGAGCAGGAAGAGGGAGAGGGAAAACAATGTTTCAGGGATTGGTGTCCTGGGGATTGGATGTGGGGGCATGGGGATGATGAAGAAGAAGCAGCAGATGAGGATGAGGGAGAGGGAGATGACGAGGATGAGGAAGAGGGAGAGGAAGAAGATGCAGAGATGGACACAGAGATGCAAGTTTCTGCATAAGTTGAGCAAAAGCACACACGAGGCAGAAGGTTCCATTAGCATAAACATGATGGCCGATCTAAGCAATGAAGAAGCAGAGCACGGAAATGCTATAACAATATATCTAACCTTCAACACAGAACGATAAATTCACCAAATATTCCATCTCACCATCTTGCTTTGACTGTCTCTCCATGTACGAAACATTGCTATAGTGTAGCTGTAGAAATACATAACACTCTCACGCCAAAGGTGATGCTCCACAGAGACAATGGAAGATAGGACATCTCCATGGCCACACTTTCATTGAGAAACCATTTGTGAATTTTTACAGGTGGCGATGTCACTATCGGTTGAGACGGAAAGTAGCTGCTACATCGTGATCCTTGATGTATACCTGTTCTGACATCTGGTTTTATTATTCTTTTCTTTGCCGGGTTCTTTCTCTTTCTACCCTCATCGTCGCCTCCTCATTTATGACTATATATTGGTGATACTCTGCTGGTCGGTATGCGAGTCATATTGACCCACACACGAAAAAAGGAACGAATGGCAGAAGTATCTCCTCCAGTCACCTAACCCTCCAATCTGCCATCCCATCAAGAAACTCACAGCAAACAAGCTTGAGCGGCATCAACCAAACAACCCTTCTCCGTCTCGCCCAGACGATGGAACCCGCCTTCCTCAGCAACCTTCTCCTGCAACTGCACCATCTTCTTCTGATCTTCCTTGGGGTCTGCAGACTCTCTCTCAAACGCCCAGTCCAAAAACTCATTGGTGTAGTTGGGAGTGTAGTCTTCAGGCAACACGCCAAGTCTTTNTCCATACGCGGTGACCTTTTTCCAGTCTCTGCTTACATTCTTGAGATCCTTGGAAAAGTACGCAAAGCTTCTTTCAAAGATCTTGCGATTGAGGGTAGTGGCCATGGAGGGTTTGATGGTGATGTAGTCTTCATAAGCGGCGGAAGGGGAGGTTAAAACATAATCAGTGGCGCGCTTGCAAGCGCGCATGAACGCGGTTACTTTGGCTGGGTGCTCGCGGATAAAGGTTTCGTTGCCAATGTACAGGATACTGCAGAAGCAGCAACAGCCCAATTCGGCAAGTTCGTCGATCCGCAGCATTTGCACATCACTGCGGGGTTTGTTTTGGGAGGCCAGATGCTCGGCAAGCTCGACCATTTGCACGTTCTCGAGACCGATGCCTGCATCGATAGTGCCGTCGATGATCGCTTTGGAGACATTCATGCCGCAGCGTACGGCAGTGTAGTCGGAGGGCTTCATGCCGTAGTGCGAAGTTAACTCGTCAATCTGGATCTTGCCGAATTCGCCAACGTAGCCGATGCGTTTACCCTTGAGAGAGTGGAAGTCGGTGGTAATTCCCGAGGACTTGAGATACACGACTCCAGTAAAGGGTTCATCGAGCAAAGAGCCGATGGACATGATAGNGAAGCCGCGGGCTCTGCCGGCGAGGGTGTGGATCATGGCTTTGAAGCCGAGATCTACTTTGCCGCTGCCGATGATTTCGGTGACATCNNCTGGGAGGTGTCAGCATGCGAGTTTGATTGTGATGGGAAGAGAAGGGGAGCATACGCTGGGGTCATTGGGCTCGAGAAGAGCAACCTTGAGGCCTTCGTCGGCAAAGTAGCCCTTGGCTTGAGCAAGGTAGACAGGGGCGTGGTAAGGAGTGGCATGNNCCTGTGATGAATAGTCAGTCACACTGTTGGACTGCCACAACGATCTAGAGCAAAAAGGCACAGACCAGTTGGACAAGAAGGTAATCTTTTCAGTAGTCATCTTGAAGGTTGATCAGGGGAAAAGCTGATTATGTCAGTACATCCCACCCTCGTTGGAGAGAGGATAAACAGAAGCAGTCCTTTCGCTGGAATTACCCAGATCAAGTTCTATGTTTGGAGGAAGCGATCATTGTATGACAAAGATTGCTTCTCGCCAACATTACGGTATTTCTCAGATCGAAACCAAAGACCTGACACGGCATGAAAGCGATGAAAAGTCCCTGAGATCGAACACCCGTCTGCATTATACATGTTTTGTGTGATATGAGACGTTACCTGAGAGCCCCTCTGCTTGATACGTAGATGAATCCATGTCGGAAGACTTCTGTCTTTGCAAGACCCGTACCAAAATTGGTGCTTTGTGTTGGGATGTCTTCTTTGGTGGTGGTGAGAAGAGAGAAACGAAGGAGAGGAGGTATCAAGTGAGGCATTTATAGGTCGTACTCGGCGTACCTACCTCTAGAGGTATCGTGCAGTAAAGCGGGACCGAAAGAGGGGGATCAACTTATAGGACCGAGCCTATTCGTACTGGTGATATCAATAAGGCATATCAGCAGAATATTCGGGCCGCCCACTGCAGTAGGGTTCTCGTGGTTTCTTTGGATGGAGATAGACCCACGAGTCTCGCTGTACTTCTTGACGAGTCGGATGCGTGACCGGAAGAGGCATCTGGAACTGCTGGTACCGAACTATACCACTTGATGTTTGTAGTTTGACGCTAGCGGTACGATTATGTCGCAGGATTACCGAGACTTGCAACAGTCTTGCTTGACCGACATCGCACCAGGCTTGAGTCACAGCAAGCTGGTGACATGTCACATACTTGTCTAGAGGCAGGATCTTCGATGAAGGATGCACCTCAGGCCGCAAACTTCAGTTCGGCGATCTCGGATCGGAGCGAATCGTGTGTTGCGACATCACACGTCGAACGAGGTGGCTCGCTTCGGAGATATAGCTCGTCCACGGTCGTCGAAGTATGTTGCACCTTGCTTTCTTGCAAGACAGAGCAGACAGCTAGCCTAGACGCAACTGTGAAGCAGCACAATGATGACAAGATTGAGTCGGTCGCACCGAGAGGGTGCTCAGAAGGGTCTGCTCAGGTTGGGATATGTTGCTGACTCCCAGGTCGCTGTGCATTATCGTGATGGCACGTGTGACGAACTTTAGCACATATAGCATGATAAGGTTGGAGCTAGGGGAGGTGCTGTTGTTCGGGGTCTTTGCTGTCAGGACCACCCTGATCATTCCTCAGCGTGCTCATCATGGATGATACGATCAGGCGAGCATCGCTCTCTATGTTGTTTCAGGTCGTCGACAAGACGACGGAATTATTGAGAAAACTAGAAGACGGACGCTGCATAGTTGATGAGTTGGTACTAGGCCAACGGACGACACGTTTTTGAGGCTGTGAATTTGGTGCCTGTGCGTGCCTGGAAACATGCAGACAGTCAGATCGTGAAGATCCGGCAGGAACAGCTACTCGAGTCCGTATGTGCTTGACTAAAGTTGGTGATATTCATGACGGCATAGCCAATCAAATAGCACAAATGCCATGTTTAATGGGCTTGTTTTGTCGAGTCTAGACGAATAGGAAGGGGATAGTCAGGGACAGAGCTGTTTTTTCTCGCACAGACAACCGGTGGGGCATGACGTATACCCTTTCCCACGGGCACTCTCGGTGCTCTGACAATCTAGAGTGTTTGTAGATACTAGTCGACGTGGCACCTACCTCGCACGAGGCAACGCAGGCTTCAAAGTGGCTCCCAACTTTGTGCGCAACCTCAAGGCCCGAGGCAAAGTGGTCAAGTCGAAGCCCATCTTCAGCTACCTGCTGCCATCCAACAGATCAAACACCATCCGCAACCTCCGTTACAACACACTTCCTCGACTACGACAGTCCGCCCAGTCCCGTATATACCGCTTCCTTGTCAGTCGACAGGCCAGGAAGCAGCAGCCCAAGGTCAAGGGCATCCTCGCCTACCTGCGTCAGCGCTTGAGGTCACGCGCCGAGAAACATGCACCTGTCTCGCCAAAAGAGACAATCCCATCCACAAACATGTCATACCGCGGATACCAAGACGATGCGCCTCGCGAGTCGGGCGGCCGTCGTAAGAAGCTGGCCGGCTACCTCAAGGCCGCGAACGAGCTAAGGCAGTCATACGCATCGCAATGGTCCCAGTCCAGAGACTTTGCCAACGACAGCGAGGAGCAGCCCGGTATCTTCCCGGGCGCCGATGTCGTCCGTAGCGGCGACGAAGAGATGATCATCTTCCCCAGCTACGCCACCAAGCACATTCGAGCAAAACCCCGCGCTCATCCAGGCACCATCCAGCAACAAGGCGGCACTGGACGAGACGTACGAGACACGGCAGGAGCTGGAGACGCAGAGTTCTGGAAAGCACAATGGGAAGAATACGAACAAGACAAGGCTATTGTCGATGTCGACGTGCGTGGATGGCTCTACACTCCGCACAAGGGCCAACTCAGCCGCAAACATCGCCTCATGGTTGGTCTTGCGAGACAACTGGTCGGCATTCAAGCCCCATCAGCCAGGTCGAGTTCTGCCAACAGTCGAGCCAGCAGCCGCTCGTCTAGCCCCGTCGGTGGCCACAGAGATTCCACTACCAGACAAGAGGAGGAAGCAATACAAAAACAAGCAGACGAGATTCTGAAAAAGGGCGAGAAGGAAGCCGAAATTGCTGGAAGAGGCGGTTTTAGCGAGCGACCCGGCCGATATGCAGAAAGCACTCGCTCCAGAGAACCCTCTCCCGCCCCCAGCGCTAGAGAGGGCCCTACTTTTGACGACTTCCTCCAACCAACGAGGTCCAATACTGCTGGCTCCGACTTCATCGATCCTGTGCATAAGCGCTCGTCATGGCCAAATCCTGCNAAAATGTCGTCCGAGCAACTCGTCACGGCAAACAACCATCTCATGGCCCGTCTGAGACCTTTCATGGCCAACCCGCTGGCCAATGCATCAGTCAGCGCTTTCTTCTACAACGATAAAATTTCCCGTCAGAGGACTGTCCAGACGAATGCTGCTGGTCACTTCCATCTACGAGCCGCTCTGGACTTTGTTCCTACTCATGTACGCATCCTCGCGTCTGAGGATCTGTCTGCCACCGAAGAAGTCAAAGTCACGCCCGTCAGAGGTGTCAGCTTGATCAGTGATATTGATGATACCATCAAGCACAGTGCAATCACTAGCGGTGCGAGAGAAATCTTCCGCAACGCCTTCATTCGCGATCTTGGAGACTTGACCATTGAAGGTGTCAGGCAATGGTACTGTAAACTCGCCGATATGGGCGTGCAGATGCATTACGTCTCCAACTCGCCCTGGCAGCTGTATCCTGTCATTACTGGCTTCTTCAAGGCTGCCGGGCTACCGCTCGGTTCTTTCCATCTGAAGCAATACAGTGGTATGCTGCAGGGTATCTTTGAGCCAGTCGCCGAACGCAAGAAGGCCACTCTTGACCGCCTGTTCCGCGACTTTCCAGAACGCAAGTTCGTACTCGTCGGTGACAGCGGTGAAGCAGATTTGGAAGTTTATACTGATGTGGTTCTGGAGTATCCAGGCCGCGTAGTTGCAATCTTCATCCGAGATGTCACATCGAAACCTGACAAGGGCTTTTTCGATCCGTCCATGGGTCCGTTGAGCGGTGATAGATCATCTAGAAGTCATTCTCGTAACATGTCGACTGATAGCTTGGTTGGAGCCAAGCGACTAAACCGTCCCTCAGATATTCAGGACGATGATGAGGAGCTTCGCAGAGCCATAGCTGAATCTCTCAAAGACACCGAACCAGACAAGAGGTCACTGTTTGGTGCAGATGTCGAGCCGACAAAGATGCTTGGAGGTAGACCCGCGTTGCCACCACGACGTCCGACAGACCCGCCTGCACCACAAGCATCTGCAGTGGAGGACAACCTCATCGACTTTAGTGATGACGAGAGCACTTCTCCGTTGTCAAACGAACCTCAAAAGAGAGCCTACAGCACATCACTCGCTAGAAGACCTGCCATTCGCTCTCATACCGAGATACCAGCTAAGCGCGCGACTCCTCCACCTCCGCCTAAACCAGCTGCATTGCGCTCACCCTCAGGCGATGGCAAGAGCGCAATCTTCCCACCTCCAGCGAAGGACTCCCCTCCAGCACCGCCTAAACCTCGCAAACCCAGCACTACTGTTAACACCACGAACGTGCCTTCACCACTATCTCAAGTCATCGAGCCATCTCCCGCAACAACTGCACCACCACCTCTACCAAAACGCCATTACCTCGCCTCTGCAAAGCAAAAGCTGTCACCCACAACCGCATACTTTTCCTCTACAAAACGCAGCCCCACGTGGGGGTCTGAAAGCAGCGGTACCTCGACCCCTGGCGAACAGCGCACCTTGACTTCTTCNCTCAGCATCACGCTCTATGGACAATTTACGCGGTGGTGCTGCCGCCTCTGCCTCTGCCTCTACCTCTACAACCCCTGCACGCCCCAAACCCCCACCCCCCACCGCAACCTCTCCCACTACCCGGCAGCCGCGGCCTCATACGCCAGCAACCGCCTCAGCGGCGCCTGGAACGACTCCTCCTTCCACGAACCCCTAGACCCCGAAGGCGGCCCCCTTCTCAGCAAGAAAGAAGAGTTATGGAAGAGGCGCTGGAGTAAAGCCAAACACATCATGGAGAGAGAAGGTGTGGTACTCCGCACCTGGCGCGTGGGCAGTGATGTGGAAAGAATTTGTGTTGAAGCCGTGCGGCAGGAATTAGCCGAGATGGAAAAAAAGACAGAAAGGATTTGGAGATGCAGAGGTTGAAGGATGAACAGCGGGAAAGCAAGGTCAAGCAGGGGACCTCAATTTGATTTGTTGGGCGGTTTTCTGGACTTTAAAAGTCTATGGCTGTTATGGAATTATGGTGTTGTTTTGTCTTGTTTATGGGGGTTTCTGGGTTCAAGCGAGCGAGTGTTTTGTGGGTTTCGTCAGTAAGGGTTTCTTTTGCATAGCTTTTGGTATAGAGAAATGGGTTTCTATTGTTTATTGTGGATCAACTTCTCTCGTATGCTCAGCCCTGACGTTTTGTAGACAAATCCACGAGAATAGGCGGTTCAGTATTGTCATTGGAAATAAGGGTTTCTCTAGCGATTTGCCGTTGTTTCCAGACAGTATTATGCATTTTCGACAGCTTGTTGCTTGTAGAGGTTACCCTACGGGCAAGGACAAAGGGGCGAAAATCATACACAGGTCTACGATCCTGGAACCAGTGGACCCGAATCTCGATACCTCGGGCTCTGAGATCTCCAAGTATATCTTTGCTGTCAATTCGATCACGGTGACAAGAGGCATAATGTCATTCTCATGGGAGACTATAAAAGAGACAAACAGAATCGTTGACAGTAGAGTTCAGAGTTAGGATTTAGCACGTAGTTTAAGCGAAAAAAAGGCCGCTTTGATGCCATGGGAATACACAATTGCTTTTGGCATGAAATGCAAGGCCAGAGATGGCTCTACAATGACATCTTCTTGGCTATTACTTGAACTCAAGTATTGTCGTGTATTTATAGACGATATCATAAGTCAAGTAGCAGCAAGGAGAGGAACCGAGGATGGGGCAAAAGTAGTTACATCGTCTTTATGAAACCATGGCAATGGATATACATCTTGGAAGATTCTTGTTGTGGTTCCGTGACATGATGATTGTATTTGTGTGATGGGGGGGATCAGCTATATAAACAAAAGAAAAGAGGTTGTGTTCATGTGTGTATTTTTGTTTCCTCGCGGTTTCTTGAGTCTTTTGTCCTCGCATTCCTGATTCGGTAATCCTTGTATCACATGTCCCTTCTCTTATAAACGCCGATCAAAGACGAAAGCCAGCGTCTTCGATTCCCAATTCATTTTTCCCTGACAGAACGACGTCATGCAGCAAGCATCTACGACGTCAAATGACACCCACTGGTTCCAGAACTCCACCCAGTGAGTCTGTTGGCAACATCGGAAGCATAGCAAAGCGTACAGCATCCAGTGCCCAAATCATCAGCATGGTAGCCACTAAAGCCTCCATTGTAGATGCGCGCAGCACGGTAATACTTGCTGTCATCTGTAACAGCAGCTTGGCTAAGACACTGCACAAGTCCATCGCCAGAAGCTGTGCCAGTAGTGCCGTCGACAATCATTTGCTCGATTTCAGACGCAGGACAAGGGTCTTGGATCACGCCGCCGGAATTGCAGGTGCCACTGCCGGCGTGGTCTTGCATCAAGCCAGGGTTAGCCACACTCCATGAGGTAGTGACCACACGCACGCAACCATTGCTTTCTTGCATCACAATAGCGAGAATGAAGCGAGGATCCACGCCCGACGAGGCAGACACTTTCTGGATGGAAGCTTTAATGTCGGCGATTTCGGTGGNGGAGTTGTTGGCGCCCCAGCCATTGTTTGCACACGATTGTTGCATGATGGGGATGTTGGCGGTGAACATGGCGTCAAAGGATATCCATTGCGAGACTGAGGGCCAGCCGGCGGCGACGGTGCCGTTGCCGGTGTACATCTTGTATGCGGTGGATGCGATGGCGGTGGACGAGGCTGCAGAGGTGGAAGCTGCGGTTGTGGGGTAGAGCCCTGGGCAGAAGTCTTGGTGGTTGCGATGGACGATTTGGCGGCTGAGGAGGAGGTGCTGGAGCTGCCACANGCCTGCGGCGACACAGTATGCGTATCCGACNNCCTGTTCCGTGTTAGTCTTGAAAAGACTTTGCACCAAAGACAATAGAGATGCTTACCAGATGCTGTCGCAAGAAGGAGCATTGACAGCGGGGTTCCAAGACATGAAAGTATCGGTGGAAATGCCGTTTGCCGAAGCAATAGCATTGCAGTAGTCGCCAGACTTGGCAGTGTACCACTTGGTGCAGCCAGACACGATACCAGTCTGGGTAGAAGCAGGAGGTGCAACAGTAGCGCAGGAAGACGAGCTAGCCTTTGCAGAACTGGAAGCGCTCTTGCTGGAAGACTTGGCAGATGAGGAGGTCTTATAGCTGGTGCCAGAGACCAAGACCGGGACGCTGGAAGTGGTGACGACACTCTTGGTAGTAACGCCCTTCTGAGCCAAAGAAGACATTGAGATCAAAGTGGTAGGCTTGGAAGAAGTGCTTGGCTTGCCAGAAGATGTGGTAGCCTTCTTGGTGGAAGAGCTGCTGGAAACCTTCTTGCTGGACGAAGTGCTAGTAACCTTCTTGCTCGAGGAAGTGCTGAGGATTTTCTTAGCAGATGAAGCAACAGTCTGCTTGGAAGATGTGCTTGTTTTCTTGCTTGATGTGCTCAAAATCTTGACAGAAGTGCTTGTTTTCTTGGTGGACACGGGTTCCACGGTAGAGGTGCTCGTCTTTTTGGAAGATGTACTCGACTTTTTGAGGGAGGAAGAACTAGACTTCGAAGCGGACGGAGACACATACCTGACAGTGGTTTGGCTGGTAGCCTTGGAAGAAGAAGCCACCTTGCTGACAGAAGATCCTCCAGCCACAAGAGTTGGCGACTGGCTGGCGGGAAGGTAGACGATGCTAGTCTTAATAGCCGCGCAGGAAGATCCAGAGGAGAGAGCAGCAACCTTGATGGCAGGAGCCTTGAAGGGGTCAATGCCGAGAAGGTGGCAGTGACATAGTTNGGTGACCACGTCAGTGACGGTGACGGTCTTCTCACTTGCAGATGCGGTGGTGACAGCGCCGTTGACAGTCACTGTGTTGTAGACAGTGTCGACGGAAACGCTGGTGGTGGTATCAACCTTCTGAGAAAGTGCGCCGACAGCAGTAGGCGTGGTGGCTGCGACAGCAAGGACAACCGAAACAGATACGTCGGAAGGAATGGCGGATGTGATGTTCAAAGAAGCCAATGATGAGTTCGAAGGAGACCCGCTCGCATACGAACCATCGGAAGTGAGTGACAAAGTTGAGGAAGCAGTTTCTGACTGCGCAGTAGTTGAGAAGATGCTGCTTGATTTTGAGATGGTGCTTGAGGCTACTACTGAGCTAGCAGAGCTGGCATCAGTACCATCTGCAAAGTTAGCAGCAACATTGACTGTGGATGTCTCGTATGAAACGTGATCAGCATAGATCGTAGAGTTGGCAGTATCTGCGGTAGTGTAGTTGGAAAGAGTGCCGTTGGCAACAGAGCGATGGTGGAGATGATGAAGATGAGTATGGCGTGAGTGACCATGAAGAGGACCAGCGGCGACGAGACCGATCGGCGCAAGGGCCGCGATGACCTGAGTAACGCGCATTGTAAAGAGTGTGGTGAGGTGTGTGGTTGTGAAGGAAAGTGATAGACCTGGTTCTGTAAAAATGTGCAAACAGGGACCTGGATATATATCAGTGCAGACGCGAACAGCTTAGGCTGTCGGCAAGCAGGGTTGGCTGCAGGAAGCACGGATTAAGGTAGTGGATGGATCAAGAGGGGTGGAATACTTAGCCTGTGTGGCGCTCGCGGAAAACCTGGGATGGGGTGCTTCTGTAAAGGGGCTGGAGGGGTTAGTGAGTCGAAAGAAGAATTTTTTACCTCTACAGCTGCATTAACCTGGTTGCCGGGATATGTGTCACGAATGATTTGTTGGTGCGCGTGAGAGAACAATGAAAGCAAGGAGGCGCTCATCATCTTATACCATTTGCAGTCAACTAATTGATTTGCCTACACGTGAAGGGACCAGCAGGCGGTTGCGTAGGAGGGCGTGATAGAGGCCAACGTTCTACGATAGGAAGATAATGTAACCCAGGTGAAGTGCACGGACGGACCCTTCAACGACAGGTATTCAAGTCACGATCGATACGTCTTTTGTTCATTGACGCGACTGACAGGGTGCTCGTGAAGAGTTGTCCATGCAGGCGCGTTGTAGAACGCGTAAAAGGGGGTGTTTCAAAGAAGGGGGAACAGCCAAGTCCACACATCCAGACCAGAATCGCTGTATCGACCTGAGAGTATAGAGCGATTGGAATTGAATGAAGAGCAAAGAAGCGCCAGATCTTTTCAGAATGTTGCCCTGCGCTACAACGGTGGTTATTGGCATCATAGACGATTTGAGCGGTTCGGTTCCTAGGATATCCCTTGCTTGTGGAGGGGGAGAGAGGTTCGGCTTGTGTCCAACGGCTGGGTTTCTAGCCAACGGCCTTGTTGTTCCGTCGACGCGATTTCCAAACGGACTCGTAGAGCCCTACGGATGCCAGTGTCCATTGGGCTAAGACTCCGGAGGCGCATAGGGACTGGTGACGTGCGCCTCTTTGACAATGGTCAAGTGTCATGCAAGTCTTGTCGAACAAAGGAAGAGGTTGGTTATGGGCATTTGGTTGGACAGGACCAAGCGGGGCTTCCCGACCAGGAAATTTGCCAACCTCTGCTGGCGCTGCTCACAGCCAACAATTGCGATATCCACTCCACTACGCCGCAATACTAGTCTACGGGTACTCGCATATAACATCTATGCGAAGTCAGAGACAGCCGTAGTGACCGCCGTTTTGCAGCCGCTTGCATTGGGCTTGAGCAGCCGAAAGAGCAAACTGTAAAGTTCTGGCCATTAAACATTGACTTCAAGCGACAGCGCCTTTGAGGACCTATCGAGCACACTCGTATCACTGCGCTGCCATCTCAGTGACGATGTGGTAAGCACTGAAAAAGCGATGTGGTCAAAGGTGATGTGACGTGTTGAGCATTCGCCAGCCATCAGCGGCTCCACGCATACCATAGATCTGGTAAAGGAACTACTGCACGTCAAGTCAAGCATGTTGTGGACTGCAGAATATGATAGGTCAGAAGTTGGAGATTGAAGACGGGACATCTTGTCAGCCATCCCTGTAACACTATTCGGACTACACGTGTGAATTCCGGCCGGCAAAATGCAGGCCGTGGCGTGGGACCCGACGACCAACCATGGGTTTTCAGCAACAAGGCATTTTGGTGCATGAATTGAAGCCGCAGTAGACATGGCTCGCGCGCTTGTTGCGGGTCTGCCATTGGGGCTTCACATGATTGTAATGAAATAGGGGATTGGACAAGAGATAAGTCGTGAAAAGGTTCTTTTGAATATTTGTACAAACCATGTTGAAAACGCCGATGGAAGATGCCCAGACTGTATGAGTCCCCAATATCGTATACAACCAGCAGAGATAAGAAAACACGAGAATGCCCGTCAACCTTTACGGCGAAGGAGATTCAGGCATGCGGTTGGCAGACTGATCAATGCTGGGAGGAGGCAATTCACGTCTCGGCCTCCTCAGCGACTCCTCAGTAACACCGTTACCAAGCTTTGTGATGCCCATGACTGGCGGGTCTCCAGCACGCACAAACTCGTACAGTCCAGGCAACTTGTTTCCAGCCAGCCTGAAAGCATCCTTGACAACCTGCTCGTGCAACTCGCCCTTGAGTTCGAAGATGATCTTGCTGACAGCGACACGCGAAGCCCAGTAGTCGAAACTACCCTTTCCTTTTCCCATACGCGATTCGTTGCCGGAAGTGTATACACCAATGTTGGCCGAAATGCGTGTGTAGAGGCGGTACTTCATTCCACGCAGACGTTTACGGATGACATCTTCGCCAATCTTGAGCTGTGCGGCGCTAATGCGACGGTCGTGGTCGAGTAGGCGCAGGCCGTAGTCGCCCCAGACGACGGTGGTGCCGCGAGTGCTGCCGCCGGTGGGTACACGAGGTCGTCCTTTGCGGTCTTTCTTGTTCGCGCCGGCACGAGGAAGTAGCCAAGACTGGGTTGCAGGGGTTGAAGAGAATGCGCGGGTCAAGGACGAGAGAATCGGAGATGTTTGGCTCGGGAGGAACTGTGGCCNGTGCTGGAGTTGGTTTTAGTCTTGGGTGCACGAGTGGAAGGATAGGTGAGTTGGCGTACTGCAAGTCTGGGCAAGAGAAAAGAGAGTGTTGCGATGCGAAGCAAGGCTCGCGCGGATCCGTGGTGCCGACATGGTCGATGAAATTGTGTCTATATCGCTCTATTCGAGCTGCTTCACCTGCATCTGGCCCTTGGACTTTCTCCATGTCCAACACGGCTTATTCCGTTTCCCGCGGGAGGGCAGCCTAATCGGGATAGATTGATGACGCGCTTTCGAAGCACCGCGACAAGCAAGCGCGTCTTGTGTGGGAGCTGCGATTGACACCCATCAGTTATATCGTCTTGAGTGAATTCTTGCTCCTGGATAGATATAGACCATGCCATCAGATATCCGTAGCTTCTTCAGGGCAAGCCGGCTGCTACACCGCCGGCAAAGGAGGAGAAGAAGGCCCCTGCCAAAAAGGGAAGAGCTAGAAAGGTTGTCGACGACAGCGACGACGAGGAAGAGTGCGTGACTCGACACTTTTCTGTCTTGTGTCAAGGACATGCTGATGATAGGACAGAGTAGCACCAAAGAAGCCGACGACGAGAACAGCAACAGCGTAAGCGTGTCTGCCTGATTTCCGCATCTGCTCCTTCCCTAGTTGATTAACATCCACTTCAGAAAACGCGCCGCATCACCGCCGGGCGAAGAAACAACGACTGCCGCCTACTTCGCCACCAAGAACAAGCCGAAGCGAATCGCCGCTGCCACAAAGTCACAACCTGCCCCTCCCACAGAGTCTCCTGCCAAACCCATTAAATCAGAAAATACCCTACCACCCTCGACAGATGATCTAAACCCCGAAGACTTCCCCGACGACGACTTCGATGACACCTTGACGACAGAGTACAAGAAAGAGGATCCTCCTGCCGAAGACACCGACGACATGCCTCCCAAGAAGCGCGCTGCTGCCACCAAGGCTAACCCGAAGAAGATCAAGGACGACGAAGATGCCGACGTTGACATGAAGGACGACGACTTTCTTGTGCCAGACGACGACGATGACATGGAAGTCGAGCCACCAACAAAAGCAAAACCCAAGGCCAAGGCAGGTGCAAAGAGAAAGTCCAAGGATCTGGACACCGATGAAGAAGAAGAGAAGCCCAAGCCGAAGAAGCCTCGTGCTCCTGCAAAGAAGAAGGAAAAGGACCCACCCGTTGAAGACAGTGCAGAGCTCAAGGCCATCCTCGACGACATTCCCTTGATCCAAGCTCCCGACCCTCCAAGTGAAGACGAAGGCGGCAAGAAGAAGTGGTACAATCGACCCAAGGACGATAACCCCGCCCCTGGTGCCGGTAGTCTCGACATTCCCGAGGGCGCTGACAATTGTCTTGCTGGTCTGACCTTTGTCTTCACTGGCCAACTCACATACCTTTCCAGAGAAGAGGGCCAAAACCTGGTCAAGCGCTATGGCGGAAAATGCACAACAGGCCCCAGCAAGAAGACCGACTACGTTGTTCTTGGTGCCGAGGCTGGTCCAAAGAAGCTCGCAACCATCAAGGAACACAAGATCAAGGTCATCGACGAACAGGGCCTCTGCGCTCTCATCAAGAAGCTCCCTCCCAACGGCGGCAATAGTGTAGCCGGCGCCAAGTTTGCAGAGCAACAGAAGAAGGAAGCCGAGAAGATCAAGAAAGCCGCCGAAGACATCGAAAAGGCGGAACGTGCAAAGGCTGCCGCTAATCCTACATCCCAGCCTAAGGGCATCGCTGCCGACGGAACCGACAACAGACTCTGGACTGTCAAGTACGCTCCCACCCAACTGGGTCAGATCTGTGGCAACAAAGGTCAAGTCGAAAAGCTGAGCAACTGGTTGCGTAACTTTCACAAGAACGCTCGCAAAGACTTCAAATTGGCTGGAAAGGATGGCAGCGGTACTTACAGAGCCGTCATGATCCACGGCCCTCCTGGTATCGGCAAGACTACAGCAGCACATCTCGTCGCCAAACTCGAAGGTTTCGATATTGTCGAAAGCAACGCCAGTGACACTCGCAGTAAGAAGTTGGTCGAAAGCGGTCTCAAGGGAGTCTTGAGCACAACTTCACTCATGGGCTACTTCTCTGCAGGCGAAGTCGAAACAAGCAAGAAGAAGATGGTCTTGATCATGGACGAGGTCGACGGTATGTCTGCTGGTGATCGTGGTGGTGTTGGTGCTCTCGCTGCCGTGTGCAAGAAGACTCAAGTGCCCATGATCCTCATCTGCAACGATCGCAAGCTTCCCAAGATGAAGCCATTCGATTTTGTCACCTTCGATCTGCCTTTCCGCCGCCCAAGCAACGACATGATCCGTGCCCGTATCGCAACCATCGCCCACCGTGAGGGTCTGAAGATGCCACCAAACGTTATGAACGCTTTGATCGAAGGCACAGGAGCAGACATCCGTCAAGTGGTCAACATGATTTCTACAGCAAAGCTCGACCAATCTGCCATGGACTTTAACAAAGGCAAGGAGATGTCAAAGGCTTGGGAGAAGCATGTCGTCTTGAAGCCGTGGGACATTACCAGCAAGATCCTTGGAGGTGGCATGTTTATGCCATCTAGCAAGTCCACACTCAACGACAAGATTGAGCTGTACTTCAACGACCACGAATTCAGCCCTCTCATGTTGCAAGAGAATTACCTCGGCACAAAGCCAATCCTCGCCGCAGACGCTCCCAATGCGAAGATGGCCAACCTCGAGACGCTCAAACTGTCCAGCCAAGCAGCTGACAGTATCTCGGACGGTGATCTCGTCGACAGAATGATCCACGGTTCCCAACAACAGTGGAGCTTGATGCCCTCACACGCCATCATGAGTTTTGTCCGTCCAGCTTCCTTCGTTGCAGGTTCTCAAGCCGGCTCCCAAACACGCTTCACTGCATGGTTGGGAAAGAACAGTTCTCTGGGCAAATTCAGTCGTCAAGTCAAAGAGATTCAAGGCCACATGCGTCTGCGTACCTCTGGTGACAGACATGAGATCAGGCAGCAATACCTTCCTACACTCTGGCAGAACCTTGTCAAGAAGCTGGAGGTTGAAGGTAAAGAAGCAGTGCCCGAAGTCATCAGCCTCATGGATCAATACTTCCTTACCAAGGACGACTTTGATGCCATTCTGGAACTTGGCGTGGGACCCATGGATCAGGAGAAGATCAAGCTCGAAACACAAACCAAGGCTACCTTTACCAGGATGTGAGTATCTTAACGCTGACCACGTTGACTCTTTGGTAAAACATGAACTAACTCAGCCGCTTCACAGGTACAACGCACAATCTCATCCTTTACCCTTCATGAAGGCTTCCAGTGTCGTCAACCCGTCCAAGAAGATCGCGAAGGACAAGCCCGATCTCGAAGAGGCAATGGACGACTCGGAGGATGAAGCCATTCTCAAAGACGCAGCCGAGGACGACGCCGAGGAAGAAGAGGACATGGACATCTCGAAAGACAAGTACGTCGCCAAGCCCAAGAAGAAGAAGGCTCCAGCTACCAAGGGTGCCGCAAAGGGCAAAGGCAAAAGAAGGCCTACAGCGGTGATGAAGATGATGATGAGGATGAAAAGCCAAAGCCGGCTGCTAAGAAGAAAGCACCTGCTAAGCCGAGAGCCAAGAAGTGAGTGTGAGAAGTGCTCCGCTGCGAGTTTTGAGGAAGACAGATATGTGCTCTCCAAGGAGCTTTCACGACATGCTTAAAGAAGGGGCTTGCTGTAATGATTGATTGTTTTTCGGCGGCGATACTGCTTTCTACTTTCTTAGCTCTGTATTCTCCAAGGGGCATAGGTTTAGCGTTCGAAAGGAGGACACACCAAGCATAATAAAGATAAGCAACTTTTGCTTCTTTATTCACCATTCGCAACTTCATTGTCCGAGAATACATTTTTTCATCTGGTCAGTGACCTTTGTTTGCTTTTGACAGATGTCCCAGAGACGCGTATACTACATCTGTTTCTATTGACCTGAATCAGGGTTGTCGATATTTGCCCTTGCCTCTGGGATGTTACAGTTTGGATGCTGTCGTGTGTTGAGGCTGTGTACAGAGCGCCGGGTTTAGATTGGAGATGCTTGTTTTCTTCTAAAGAAAGCAAGAAGGAGGTGTCTTCTTTTATGTAGGTTGTGTGTTCAATGTTGCAGATTTGTGGTTCCCTCTGTGCTAAGGTCTGTGTTTTTGAGGTTGAAGATTTGAGATTCTGGGGCAGGATATCAGGGGTGAAAGAGTTGGGACGAGGAATATTGGTAAGCAATGGCAAGATGCATCTACCCACCGCAACAGCATGCAGGAATGTACACCGGTTGATCAAGCCCATCTTCAGAACTTGCGTCGACCGTTTAACAACGCGCGACAGAGATTTAATCTACCAGCGCTTGTATGCACTTTGTATGGCTCAGCAGGCTATCCAAAGAGATCCTTGAGCAGCTTTTTCCGATATGCTCTCTGGTTTAGAGAGTGACTCTGTCCAGGCCGACGCTAGAGCGGATGTTACATGGAATCGGTGGAATATCGGCTTCATTCCATTCCATTCCACCACTTCCAGCTAGTATTCCATTCTATGCCAATTCTCTAGTGGAATGATGCCAATTCCAATTTTGCTGCTGTTGTTGTCGCCACCCTGTCCATGCTAGGGGTCACCCTGTCGTTTGATTAGTAATCATTAAGCTTGGCACGATTATGTAAGCGCGATAAGATATGAAGATCAACATACCCAATAGAAATAATATCAACCTTGCTAGAAAGTGGAATGGTGGAATATTCCACTAAAATTGACGATTCTATTCCATGCCAACGGAGTAGAATATTCCACTCAAAATCAGTGGAATATTCCAACATTCTACTTATTCCATGCCATTTAACATCCGCACTGGCCAACGCATTCTTTGCGTTGGTGTAAGGGTGACCCTATCCAGGCCCAGCATGAACACTTTCGAAAGAGTGTTGAACCCAGTAAGGATGCAAAGCACAGAAGCAAACCAAGAGAAATGAGATGTGCGTGGTTGTGGAGCAAGATTTTGTCGATAACACTGATGATGGCGCATGACGAACGATTCAAGGACCAGAATCCATCGTCAATTCAAGGGAACAGAGCTGCACAGGAACAGTACGCTGATCGTTCCTCCCAACACGAGCACAACAAAATTTCTCATCGATGGCACACATGAGTCAAAGATGAGGACCCGGTAGAAAACAGACACAAAACTTGGTAAGAGCCTGGAAATACTGAAAGATGCTTGTGAGGCAGGACCTGGGTCATCAAGATGGCCATAAATCATGTCCGTAAGCGACTGCCGTGGACGTGTCCAATGTTCGACGCAGCTGTCGACGGCTTCGAAATTTGGCATGTGATGGACAAGATCGTGCCTGCCTCGTACAAGGCCTGTAGCCATTGCTACNNAGCCGTAAGGTCAAGGTGCTTCTGCCATTCAAAATCCTTTCCCACAATCAAGACACTCATTCAACACCAGTGTAATGGCGCACTACCACGATGTGGTAAATGCAACGACTCTCAGCTTGATTGCGACATCACAACCCGCGTCTTCTACTCGTATGAAACTGTTAAGGACCTTGTCGACCAGATCCAAGATTTGGAAACGCGACTTGAAGCATCGCAATCACGTCCCCAACCCAGCGTCGAATTTGATGATGCTCATAGATTCGATGTCAATGTTCAGCTACAGCAATCGGGCCTTGCCTGGGAGAATGATCAGCAGTATGCACGTCCAATGGATCAGGTCTCTCAAGAATTGGGTGCGTTGAGCTTGGGTCATGCAGATATCATGGCACAGCATTATGGCAAGCATCTCTATGTCAAGAGTCGAAGATGTGGCTGACACGACACCNNAGTGGGCAATGCAGCAGGTGCACGATTCGCCAAAATCTTCCTCAACAGCTTGGATTTAGATCCTGGTCTGCCAATGTGGTCGTCTGCTCCTCAGGCATCGTCTCAACTCTGTTTACTCGAGCTCGGCCAGTCTTGTGCTTCGTTGCCGCCCAAACATGTTGCAGACTTTGCCATGTCCACCTATGTCAAACGAGTACATGTCTGGTGGCCAATCTTGTCATATCCGGTCTTACGATCCATCTATAGCAGTGTTTATAAGGGTACGAGTACCTCCAGTCAGTATCAGCGTTTCGTGGTCTTTATCACTCTTGCTATTGGTGCGAAGGAAGCTCAAGATACTGGTTGCGGAGCACAGCTAAATTCAATATCCGCCCCTGAAGAATACTATAGGACTGCGCTGCAGTTCTTTGGTCCCTTTTCTGGACTCGAGAGACTCACGGCTTCGATACTATTGACATTGTGGTCCATACATAGTGCACTTGCATCTGATCATATCAATCTTTGGCAGCTGGTACGACATGCAATGAGCGTCGCGATCGAGACAGGGCTGCACAGAAACGGGTCGGCATGGGAACTTACCCCATCTGAGCTAGAGACGAGGAATAGGTGTTGGTGGTGCATCTACGGTCTGGAAAGGTATTACTCAAGCAACATATGTCGCGACCAGATGTTAACCTCTCGTGTANNCAGAAAAGTAGCTGTTGGTCTGGGACGAACGCTCTCCATTCGGAACCAAGCTATAGACGCCAAATTTCCTCAGCACACTGCCGAAGACGACATTCAACCAGTATCCGCTATTGCAAACTCGGCACACGCAAGATCCGGCGTGGGTCCAGCAGTTCACCTGATCAAGCTGTGGGCCATTTCTGGAGACATTCTCGAGTCAGTTTACATTGCCCGGCCAGCGACGTCGCTCTCTCCAGCAATCCTACAACGTCTGGTGGTCAGCTTACGCCAGAGGCTGAGCCAGTGGCGAGGATCGCTTGAGGAGTACTCTGCATTACAAGACTCTGTTTACCTCCACATGAAAGTCCAATACGCCATCGTTGTCATGATGTTGAATCGCCCTTCGCCCAGTTTCCCGATTCCGGACCAAGAAATGGTGGCTTCTTGTCATGAAGCTGCCAAATCTGCAGCAGAGATCTGGGCTCTGCTGCGGGACCGAAACATGATCTTTCGGGACTGGAAGACCTTCCATGATGTGCTGATGACTGGACTAACATGGCTGTACACATGCTGGTGAGCCAGGATCCCAAGCACTCTAAGTTCCATGCACCAGGAAGACTGACACATTGGGCAGNNGAAGTTACCAGGTGTTGACTCGTCCACTACATCTGCCATCTCATCAACATTCAGCTCTGTTTTGGCTCATGTCCAAGAGGAAGACTTTAAAGGAAACAGGTACTCACATTTCATCGAGAGTCTTCTGGAACAGGTTCTTGCTAGGAGAGATCAAAGCAGGAGCAGTAACTTCTCTCATGACGCCGCGGAGTCGACAGCTCGTGGCATAGAGACGGACTGGATGAATACCAACTTTGAGCAGTCAGTTCTTGACGCAAACTGCTCGTTTGATCTTGCGACATTTGACAATTTCATGCTCAACTATCCTTATCTGGTCGACCCTGATGAGAGTGTTGGCTGATGAGTATTGAGGGGCTTTGGCCAGTCGAGCAGAATCATTGAGGCGATAAGATGGACTGGAATACACAATCTATAACATGAGGCCAATAATTGAATAGACCGTATAATTCCACCGGAATCATTAGAACACGTATCGGAAGGATTTTTCGACCTCGAAATCGGTCAAGTCCTCAACTTGGAAGGCTGCGTCAACTTCCGTCATAGATCCTGGCCGACCATGGATTCGATCTCTCCTTCTGTTCTCCGTCACACACAGAAATCTGTAACTATGTCAAAACCAGGACAAAAGCAGGAAAGAACTGGTCTTGGACTTACCNNCGTATACTATGCCGGTCACTGCCATCACCGCAAAGCAGCAAAGCATCGCACCTATACCCAAACCATATTTGGGGGCCTGTGAGGCTCTAAAGAACTGGGGACCGATAATGTTGCCCACGGCTAGTACACACCCAATTCAGCACTTGAACGAGCGGAGTGTTAATAGAAAATTGAGAAGTTCCAGAGACGTACCGTAGAAGACAGCAACGGAGACCGAGACGAAACTCTTCTTGGTCGCGCCTGCAGTGTTTGAGGACTGAAGACTGAGCATGAGAACCCATGGGACGTTGTAGAACCCCATGAGATAAACTCCGGCAAGCGAGGCGTCTCTCTCTGAGCCAGTATTCAGCACNNTGATTTTCGTCAGCCTGGTTCTCTAGATGCTGAATGTTCCCTTACTGTGAATCATAATGGCACCTGCCAGTGCTGGCANAGAAGACAGCGTCCACAAGACGCAGAGGATGTTGGGCACAAAGTATGCAAGTGTCGTACAGATTACTTGAGCCACAAATGCGACAGCGGCTTGTGGTGTTGCCATAAGAGTGGTTTTGCTCTTCGAAAATCCGTATCCGGCGATGATCAGTGGATTGAANNCTGCAAAGTCAGCACTTCTGTCCGAGCATCGAGTCATTTATTGGCGGCTCACATTCGTTATACCGACATTTGTGATGGATTGTGCAATGACGAAGATTGCCACACACCAGTATTTTGGATCAGCGACGGCTTCTCTGATCTGCGAGGAATTCCATCGCTATCGCAGCATGTCAGTCTACACTCGGGCTACTCTTGCTCGCCATTTTGATACCTTCTCACGAATTGATGCTCGGTTTTCCGATAACCGAATACGAGCCAGATCTTTCTCTTCCTTGGTAAAGAACCACGCATGTCCAGGATCGTTCGGCAAAGCGAAGAACACCAGAATTCCAGCAGCCATGGTTACGGACCCATATATCAAGAAGATATNACTGAACTCGTGTGAGCATCACTTCTCGAAAGCGGTTGAGTATGGCTCCCGTACCTTCCAGGTCGACAAGGGACCGTTGATCTTGCCGATTGCGAAACTGAGAATTCCTCCAAAGATCTTCCGATTGTCAGTGAGAGGACCAGTGATCGCAGTTTCATCTCCACTTACTCCTGCAAATGTGTTGTACCACAAAGCTGTCCTCAATGGTTGCTCCCTTTTGGTATACCATAGGGAATTAACGAGCAACAGAGCTGGCAGAATACCCGCCTCGAAGACGCCGAGCAGGAACCTCACAGTGGCAAGACCTGCAAAATTGCTGCACGCAGCCATGCAGCATACACAGCCTCCCCATGCGAGCAACGTACCTCCGATATAACTACCAAGCGGCACCTTGGTAAGCAGCCAGATAGTTGGAAACTCCATGGCCAGATATCCGAAGTAGAAGATTGANNGCCGAGCCAACTATACTGTTGTCCTTGAAGATGTGTTTCGGTTCTCATGCCGTATACCGCTGCATATGCCATGCCATTCTGATCAGGGTCAGTCGAGCTCTGTATGGGTTTCAATGGGTGATCTTACCTTGTCGAGGAATGCTAATGTCGACGTCAATACGACTAATGGCAGAACAACTGCGTCAGTCTTCAACAACAGCTTGCGTTGCACTATGCTCTGGTCCACGACATCTCCGATTTGTTGCTCATGTCCCTTTACTGACGGATGGAACTTGTTCTTGTCCATGTTCACTGCTAACAACACCTTGAAACGGCTTGGGAATGGACATTGCGATTGTCTATCAATACATATCTTTAGTACTTGGTAACAAGTAATCACGACATCTACAGCTCCACGGACAAGCCCGTAAGTCAATTCGTGGTAAAGGATTCGTCGCCTCGGACCAGTCCGGATAAGCAGTATGGCGTGCTCGACAATCGCCAATCCTGACCCCGCACTTCACGACGATAAGGTGTATCAGATTGTTGACGGTATTGGCCGAAGGGTCTGACAACTTGCTCCACGGACGTGTCCGAGTGCACTACGCACTTCTTTACAAAGACAGGGATTCAAGTAACCAGGATCTGCCATCCTCAGCACGTCTTTTGACATCGTTCTTGCGCGATTGGCATCGACAAAGTATTCGGACTCCATTCGATCCCTGTCGTCTTCACGTATCTTTGCAACATGGCACAAGTTGGATCAGGAGCCACCCATGCTGTGGTACCAAACAACAAAAACGAGTCTATACTAGTAAGCCATACTTCATGTTTCCCTCGAGTTTGCACTGACCCGTGCAAANNGATTGGTATGAGAGATGGCGTTACTGGAACATTCAGATTGTGCAAACGGAACGAGGCAACAGTTTCCGTCTTTGATTCGAACTTCCTTGTCGGCGACGGGATCTGGGTAGGTCAATGATAGTTGACACTGCTCGCGTGGGATATTGACAACAAGTAGGAAGGTATGCGAGTCGTTCAAGGTCGCGTGCAATTTGCAAAGGAGCACATCGACCGCTTGTTTCAATCCGCAAAGGCTATGGCCATGGATCTGGGTGTCACCAAAAAGGAATTACTGGAGTTGATCCACGACACCATTGATAAAAACGCAATGCAACAAGCAAACGACATACACATTCGTCTCGTCGTAAGCCGAGGACTAAAATCTACCCCCTACCAAAACCCAAGCGTCAACATCGGTCTACCACTTATTGTCATCATCCCAGAATACAAGTCTGTGGATCCCAACGTCAAAGTCAAAGGGTTGAGACTCATCACATCACACATCCGCCGCGGCACCCCAGACGTCAAGGACGAAATGTGGAACCACATTTCCAAAGCCACTGACATCCAAGCCTGTATCGGAGCCAATGTAGTCGGTGCAGACGAAGCACTCATGCTGGACCCCAACGGCTTCGTCAAGACCTGCAACTCGACAAACTTCTTCATCGTGCGTAATGGCGAGGTGTGGGCGCCCACGCGCGCGTACCAGATGCAAGGCATCACACGCGCCAAAACCATTAAGATTTGCCGTGCGAACGGAATTCCGGTGTGTGAGCAAGACTTTACGTTGACAGAGACTTATGGAGCGGATGAAGCCTTTTGTACCGGCACATTCCCTAGCCATATTCCTGTCAGAGAGATTGATGGGAGGGTTATTGGGAGCGGGGGTATGGGTCCGGTCACTAAGCGCTTGAATGAGCTTTATAAGCAGGTTGTTCAGGAGGACGTGCGTAGGCAGAGGTCGGAGATTCTTGCTAAGCTGTAAGTGAGAGTCTGTGCTTGATCCAAGTGTGGTATCAAGTGCGGGTCCAGTAAAGATGATTGATGGGGTTTGATGTCAAGATGGAAACAACATCGGCCGTGACATGAATTCGCAGTACTGTGCGAAGGCCGGCCACCGATTTCAGACATGATAATGGTGGCTTTCCCGACTAGCACCTTGTATCAAAGTTTGCACTCAACTTCTCTATTACGACCGCTTCCAAGAGTTGCGACTTGCGAGGGTTGGATTGATCTGCACAACACTTGTAGTTGCTGCAAATTGCCGTGTCGTGGGCTGCTCCGGGGCCTACAACCGCGGGCATTAGCACCACATCCACGTTTTGTGATGTTCAGTGAGCGGCCATCTGCCTGCGGTAGGCGTCACGATCGCAGCGTAATTGGGCGAGTTGACCCAGTGAGCTGCTGTCGGTGGCTGTGTTGAGGACGGCGGTGGAGAGGTAGTGTTCTGGCTCGCCTGATGCGGCCAAAGCGGCTTTGAAGCCTCTGCCGCCGTCGGAAAGAATCATTTTGCAGATTAGAGGAAAGCCTTCTGCTGAGTAAGGCGCGAAAGTCTTTACTTCAACGTTTGCGCAGGAAGAAAGTCGGGATCTTGCCCATGCGATGGCGCGGGTTATTGGTGGCATGGGTGTTATCAAGCTGTCCATGTCCATAATGCCAATCTTGAGTTTCTCTGTGTCATTCGGGGTTTGTAGTCCTGTCCAGGGAAGTGGTACCAACAAGGGGTCCACTATGTATGGTTCTCGTTCGAGCATGCTGTGCATGAAAAGGTCCATGTCGCGTATTGAATGGCACATGGGACCAACTGACGGGATCAAGTTCAGTAATGGCGGAAAGGCTCCAGGTAAAAAGTCTGCGATGGGCAGTGTGTAAGCGGTAGGCTTGTAGCCGTATAGACCACAGAAAGCTGCAGGTACACGGATGCTGCCTCCCAGATCTGTTCCAACGCCTAGAACAGCGCCACGGAGAGCAAGTAGAGCAGCTTCGCCGCCGGGAGACCCTCCTGCAATCGACTGGATATTGAACGGGTTCAGCACACGTCCCAAAGGATTATCGCTCTCCAGATGCAATAGTCCCTGCGGCTGCATGGTCTTGACGTAGAACACTGCGCCCGCATTCCGCATCAAAGCAGCCATATCTGAGTCTTCTGTACTCGTCACGTTCCTACTCAGGAAGCCGAAACAGGTATTTTGTCCTTTGACCGGTATATGTTCTTTGAGGCTGATTGGCACACCGTGTAGAGGTTCGACGGTCGTTCCAGTTCGAGCTAGATGCTCGTCCAGTGCTTGAGCTTGCTTGACAGCGTCTTCAGGGAACCATTGCGTCAAACAACAAGTAACCTGATGACAGATGATCGTACGCCTTGAGAACGATTTGACGACCTCGACAGCGGCATACTGGCGATCAGCGATTGCAGCAGCTAATCCGACCGCATCGCGATTTTCTGTAATCTCAATTTCCTCGGGGGTCAAGATACCACAAGACCTGGGTATCTGCGTGACGTCCCGGGGCGGATGTTCGATATAGTGTTGTGGTACGCGCAGTCGTTCGGGCACTTTAGAATCAAATGTATCCAGCATGGCCCATCCCAGTTTTTCAAAGTCAGGGTTCCCGGCTGGAACTCCCTTGACTTCGAGCTTTGGTCGTAATCATGTCGTCGGCTGTGACTGTCGAACAGGGTGTAGTGATGGTTGCCATCGTCGTAATGTTATAATATCCTGGCTACCCGGGTATCGCAAGTCTGTCTAACCATCGGCCCGAATCTCCCGATGTGAAACCAGAGTTCCAAGATAGCAGAAATGTGGAGCGGGGTTGCGGGGAGGACGGGGACATGATCCTATCTCTGCTCCACACCACGCTATTGAGTGAGTGTGAGATGTCAACTACTGTGGCTTGCGTATTAATAATGGTCAAAGATCAATCGTGAACGCGTGTCTGGTATCTTTTCACTGCTTTGCGTACCACAGAGTAGCTACTCAGATAGTGTGCTTGAAGATAGGTGACTCCGCGCGGTCTCCCCGATATTATGTTCCTTGGGTCATGTCTCGAGGTGGTCGATGATCCCTATCTTTTTGATCATGTCAAGCATAGATGGTAGGATCCAAGTTATCCGCCCAGGTGAACCGGTAGCCGAATATCTCTAATGCATATAATGGCTATCCACTCTATCCCGGAACCAAGAGCTCTTTCTTAGACTATTAAGAAGGCCATCACTTAGTAACAGCTTCAAGAATCCACACATGATGTCTGAGCAAGACACAAATCTCCCGACCAGAATTCCAGGTACCTTCCGACTGGTTGACGTCCATCATACACTCGATGTCAAGCACGCCGGCAATGGCGACATCATCCTCTTGCCAGCCCCATCACAAGATCCTGAGGATCCACTCAACTGGTCTTCGCGTAGGAAGCTGCTCTTGACAATATGCGTCATGGCGTAAGTCTGTAATGTATCTTGGCCTGATCACTCAACTGACGAAAAATAGNNGTATACATTCCTCAAAGGACTATCGACTTCTGCAGTCTATGCAGTCACCGTACCTCTGTCCAAAGAAACGGGTCTTGCAGTAAAGACTCTGAATGAAGGCACGGGATATTTGTTTTTACTTCTTGGCTGGGGCTTGCTTTTCTGGCAGCCGTTTGCTTTGAGATATGGCAAACGCACCACATACCTGCTCTCCATCTTTGGTACCATGTGTACTGGTCTTTGGGCGTACGTTGGATCGCCCCTAGCGAAACGTTTTTCTGGCTTGCTGACTGATTTCGATCAGNNCCCTTACATCAGATCCGAAGGCGAATGGCTGGCTAGATGCATCATACAGGGATTCTTCGGTGCCCCTGTCGAAGGCCTTCCCGAGACTTCCGTCACAGACGTTGTATGTAGACACAACGTAATGCAGCTACGCAATACTGACCCAGTCGTTATTAGNTACTTCACACACCAGAGAGGACTTTATATGTCCATCTACTCTCTCGCGGTTGCTGGAGCCAGTTACTTTGGCCCCGTCATCAGCGGATTCATCTCGCAATATGCTGGTTGGCGATGGGTATTCTACATCCCTTCAATCCTCCTTGCATTCGCTTTCGTGTTAGTGTTCTTCTTCATGGAAGAGACAAACTATATTCGTGAGTACACCGGCACCACAACCCCAGAAGACATCGAGTTCGTCCCGATGGGTGCCGTGCCGGGCCATAGCAGCGACAAACAAGACACTATCCAAACAGTCGTCTCCAGAACTTCAGCACGCATTGGCATAATTCAAGGCCCCAAGAAACGCTACTGGCAGAAATTATCGCTGTGGACACCCACCCCCAGTCCCAGCATCCTCGCCTCGGCACTTCTTAGCTTTCGACTTCTCAGTTGGCCTGTAATTTTCTACTCTGGGTTTTCTTACGGATCATACCTTATCTGGTCGCAGATGCTCAATGGCACCATCTCGATCATTCTGACTGGGGCACCATATCACTTTAGCACTTCTATGGTCGGCTTGTGTTACTTATCCGGTTGCATTGGAGTCGTGCTCGGCGGTGTTGTCTTTGGGAAAGTCAGTGATTGGCTCGCATTGAAGCTTGCGCGGCGTAATGATGGAATCATGGAGGCTGAGCATCGGCTGTGGCCTTTCTGCGCCACGATGGTGCTGGTCCCTGCCTCGCTGCTTCTTTGGGGCATCGGAGCCGCTCANCGGTATGTTCTTTCGACCCTTCTCCCGGGGAACTCTAGATCGAGTTGTGATTGATCATCATCTTGGATTTTAGGTATACATTGGTTTGCTTTGATCGTCGCATTCGGTCTCGTGGCCTTTGCAGTCGCTTTGAGTGTTTCCATCTCGGTCAACTACATGGTCGACAGCTATCACGATATCAGTGGCGATGCTATCACATCGGTGATGCTCGTTCGCAACACCATGTCCTTTGCGCTCAGCTACNNGGGTATGTTGCATATCCTGACTTGCTGTTTTCAACAACAATCATGTACTGACGTGGTCAACAGGGTTACCCCTTGGATCGAGAATCTCGGCACGCAGAAATGCTTCATCTCTGCCGCTGCAATTAGTCTTGTGACTTCTGCCGTCGCATTTGTCTTCCTCAAATTTGGAAAGAGGTTCAGAGAACGCAGCGCAAGTTCTTACTACAATCTTGTGGATAAGAGAGCGGTTTAGGCGGTACTTTAGAATGTGGATATGTTCATTGGCCCTGTGTGTTTATGTTTAGTCATGATGTTGAATGGAACTAGTCGATGATATGATGCTGTCCGCCAAGATACCAGTGTTAAGGGGTATCAAGTTGCTTTCTTTACTTGCCACAACCAGAGGGTCAATATATGACGGATATGAGAAATGAAATGTGAACCACCTAGGCCAATCTGACTCCAGCAGAGATACCATTCCTTTCCTCCTCATTCAACTCAATTCCATAGATTTCTTTCAACGCCCCAATTCGCTCTTCCTCGGTCTTGCACTCCTTGATAACCTTGCGCTCACTACCCCTCTGCTCCCTGATCGTATCCACAAACAGCGTAACACTGCCCACAATCTTCTCTGTCTCCTTATCATTGATCATCTTCGTCGTCGTCACATAGCGCGTGAAGAACGAATTGCCATGCGTACTCGTAAACCAACTCATGACCTCATAATCCTGCGGCAAGAATTCTGCGGTTGTGAAGCAATAGGTAGGTATCCATTTGTTGTCATCGCCATGACTGGGATCATAGCAAACGTCATAGCACCAGAGTTTTGGCGCAGCGTCTCCGCCACAGGATTCGCTGATTGCGCGGTGCTGGAGGCGTATCTCTCTGGGTGCAATGCTGGTGGTGGAGAAGCCATCGACCAGGGGATAAGGCATATTTGGGCCCATAGCGCCCATACCCACGTCCACGACATACCACTCTTCGCCGAAGCGAACGAGGTTCAGCATATGGTTGATGCCATCATACGTGTTCGCCTGGTTCTTTCGGACCTCAGGAAACGGACTCATGGCTCTAGAAACACGGCCAGCGCAATTGCGCACCTGGTAGCCGATGGAGCGCAACACGGTGCCAAAGAAACTGTTGTTCTCCATGCAACGGCCCCCACGTCGCTTTTGGACAACCCAGTCATACAGTTCCGAAAGCTCCAGGGTAACTTTCTTGCTGGCAGAGTAGTGGAGGATGAGATTTTCGAAGGGTACGTTACTGGTGTGATGGCGGCATAGTGCTTCCAGCAACGGCAGTCCATGTTCCTTTGTTGCGGCAAGCTCGGCGTTCGATAGTATGGGCGAGTCGAGATACTTCTGAGAGAGTTCGATTCGTGTGAAGTATTCCTGCAGCTCCTCCTTGGAGTAACGACGACGGTCGGGATCTTCAGGAAGCTGGGTGAGGATCGTGGGAAGTTGTTTCTCAGACATTTGGCAACGAGAGCAGAACTTTGCGCTGGGTGTAGCAGGATGAATAAACAACTGGAATGTTGAGTGAGATACTACTCGTAAGGACAAGCTTGATAATGATGTCCGTAGCTACAGGTGGAAATCGCTCACAATTCTCTTGGGTGATATAACGCGGCGAGAAGCTTGACGGTTTGACACGTCTAGGAAAAGCTATCGGGGAGATGGGACCGCGACTGCCGGATGCCGGCTGGAACTACGATGAACGTCTGTGCGATAAGCCCAAACTACCTCGACCTTTTTCACGTCGTCATTTCTTCGAGGTGAAAATATCACGGCCGCATATACTCCTCGTTCGTATCGCAATCTGCCTTTGACACAAAGTTCGAACCTTCCAGCCATTTATTAGATGGCGAGCGCCGGAAGGAGAAGAGGAATCGGGTGTTCCTTGGTGAATTCTAGCATTAGTGTGATCTACCGCATTTTCAAAGCTCGTTTTTTATCTGCGGAGGTGGGTGATAATATCGTTCACAGTCTGCAGGTCTGCAACAGCCAAATCTTCTACCGAGAGAGATCAAATAGACAAAGCGGAAGAAAGGAAACAAATCAAGCCCGCGTTGCCTTGAAAGCCTATGATCCATGGATCGCCGGCTGTTGATGCGTTCTTCGCGCCGAAATGAAGAAATCTAACATTAATACATCGAGTCTTTCTGAGGTTCGTTGCTGGATAGTACGTCTGGCAGGCGTCAAGCTCAGCACATAATGTTCTCCCATACAGAAGTTCCGTTACTTGCATACGCGTTGTTCTCGAATATAGATGGATCAAACATCTCGGATGCAAAAAGCTGATACACCTCAATGTCATCTGCATCCAGCGGCATGGTCATGAATGGGTCCGTTACGGAAGCAGGGTTTGATGGCGCGTCTGGCCACGCTACCGTTGACGTAGAACCCCCTCTAGGTTACCCGCAATCGTATTCGTTTTCCTGTGCCATGATCGATGAGCTTCATGAGACCCTGCTGATAGGAAGAGGAGATGGCATGACTTACCGCGGTAGTCGCACATGGCCGAGAGCTGATGAATGTACTTCCAGCAGCTGAGGATAAGACTGTTCTCATAGTCCAGATGCTGAAAGATTGTCTCCGCTTTCTTGAGTAGTTTTCTTGCATGATTGACGGCTGTCACGTCCACGTGGTTACTATCATGTTGCGACCACAACAAACACGCGCTGATGACAAGCGATGCCGTGAATACTGTTCAAGAACATGTAAGAAACGAACCCTCGAAGAGTACAACAGCTTCATGACTCACCATAATAAAGAGTGAAATACCACACTCCCAAATTGTTCTTACTTGTTGGATCGGAAGTTATAACCGCATACGCGATATCGATGGTGCTTTCTGCCGATCGTATGCACTCTCTAGCTTCAGCCATTGCCAGCTGGATGAAGTAAGGTGGACTTTCAATGGCTCCAGAGTCTTTCCGGAACAAGTGGCCAATAGTCGCACTGAGTAAGGGTCTGTGGATAAGAATACTCAAATTGTGATACCTCAACGTGAGTATAACACGAAGACGATTCAATTGTGTATTTTCAGCGAGCATCTCCGACTGTGGTTCGCACAGCCCAAGGTACGGCGGCAGGCTCGCCGCCCAGATTCGAAGCGTTTTACGGAACTCCACAGAAGCTTGAATTGCGATTAAATCATCCGGATCATTGTCTCTGCGCTCGGCGTTGGCCGAGTACTGTTTGACCAAGGATTTACTCATCACTTGGTACAATTCGAAAGATACAGCGAGGAAATCGCCAGGTGTATCCACTCCAGTCTCTGTCATACTTGGAGTCCGGTAGAGTCTTGAGGACGGTTGTCGGTTGACTGCCTGTTCGTCCGGAATACTTGCTGGCCTTCCGAAAGCTACGCTTAAGACTTTGTCCATGCAGTAGATGACAACCCATGTGCGACGTCGGTACTCTTCTTGGATGGGATCCAAACCTTCACCAGCGGCAGCACTATGTAGACCCAGTGCCATAGCCGAACGAGTTAGAAGTCCATGGATGTTCCAAGCTTGCACCGAGCGCTGAGTACCTTGGCAATAGAGAACGACCAAAAGGAGGTAATGGACAATTTCCAAACTGATGACATGTTTCGACAACTCACCGCATAAGCCAACAGCCCTTCTATAGAACACCTCGGACCTTTCGAAGCGCTTTTTGGCTGATGGAAAGTTGTCTCGATCGAGCATATTGGCCATTGCAAAGATCATGTTCAAAGTCCCAAGCCATGTCCTTCGAGCTCTTGTAAATCCATTATTCATACATTCAGCGTAAGTCTTTCGGGTTGTCTCTTCGTGGATAAAAGGGAACACCACTCCAACAGTGTTGAAGTACATGTCTAACAAACTGTTCATCTCTGGTAACTGTGGGAGAGAAGTGATTGAGGTGTCCAGGGTAGTTGCAGACGGCGCCGTTGAGTGTGATTGACCATGAGGCAAGTTTGCGACATTGGCATCGTCCCCGATACCGAAGTTGTCTTTGAGGCCAGAAATCTCTGTACTCGAGTGACGCGCGATAGCTACAGCTCGAAGCAGGAGCTGGGTGAAGTTGATGTTAGACGCTTCGCCGAAAAAAAGCTGAAGTGCGTTCTTCTACGAATATCATAGCCATACCATTAGTGGCAGCATCTTCATCTTGGGGCTCTTCCAGACCCGTGACGCGCGTCTGAGTCGGGTCCGCACGAATTGGCTGCAAGGGAGGGGCACTTTGATGTGAGGTTCTTGTACATGAACGACTGTCCGCACACGGACTAAGATGGCCCTTGAGCACATCGTTCAGGCGCTGCACTGTGCGCTCCATGGCGGCCATACGATGATCCAGATCGGACATATAATCCTTGCGTACAATGACATTGGTGGCAGATTCGCTCGATTCATACTGGCAGTCAAAGTCAAGTGAGATGCAAGACGAGCACGAGGGTCGTTGTCCATCACACCTGTCACGGGCTTTGCGTCAGCACGCAACCTCCTCATGATATAAGGTACTCACGCAGACCATACCTAGATTTGCGCGTGCGGCAGGCATTGCACGCAAGACCAATACGCCGTCGCTTGTTAGCCGAAGCGCCGGGTTCCCGTTCTTGGCCTTGGTCCGGTATCTCGCCTGATGGTTGGGCTGACATGTTTTCTTGATCGTGTGGATGATGCAGATGTGGGAAACAATGGGGAAAGTAAGGAAGAAGAAGCCGATAAAGTGCTATCTGACTGGTGAGGGGCAAGACAGAGAAAGCCGGGACCGCTGGGGAAGCGTCGGGACACTCATTTCACTCTCCAGTTCAGCCGGCGAAAATCGGCGTCGTGAGGTTGACGGTAACTTTGACAAGCTTTGACATATCTGTCGATTTTGGTTCTCTCCGTATGCGATACCCGCATACGGCTGCTCGTTGATACCATGACATGCCTCTCGCAAGCTCCAGATCTCCACAGCCGATCCCCATGTAGGGAAGGAGCAGACCCTAGCCGGTCTTGCCCCGCGGTTCTATTACGCGCGTGTACAATACCGCATGGCGATGGTTGTTAAGTATCAGACACTTGCTTGAGCTATCCGCATGATGCAATCACAATCAGCTCCACCACAAGACACCATGATTAGCAAGACTATCGAAGAATTCCACGTCGCCATTGTCGGTAAGTACTTTCATGGCCCAATTTGTGTCGTTGCACAGCGGCGTATGGCCGTGTGTAAGCCAGAAAGACACACCTGTTTCCAGGAGAGCAATGGAGTCGAGAGAGAGAGAGAGCCGATGATATGTAGCCTCTACGGATACCATCCTGCCTCTCCTAATTATTGCACAGCTTGATGGAGACATTTGTCGTATCCTCCTCTACGCGGATCGTTATTCTGTGAGCTCACTAACTTTTCTCAAGGCGCTGGTATTGGTGGCCTGGCTCTGGCCATGAGCTTGCATAAAAAAGGTGTTTCTTTCACATTATATGAAGGCGCAAAAGAGTACTCAGTCGTGNNGGGTAAATCCGTTCTTCATACATTGCCAAACTAAATCATGTTCTGACTGCATCATAGTGCAGGTATTGGCTTCGCTCCGAATGGAATGCGAACGATGGACCTCATTGAGCCGGAATTTCGTCCTCTCTATGAGAAGATCTGCGTTGGAAACAAGGGCGAAAATAACCAGAATATCTTCTTCGAGGGCATGCTTCTCCAAGAGGGATTTGGTATGCACAGAGCATGACTCATTGAATAATCCCAAGGCTGAGACTGACATCAATGGACGACAGGACAAGATCAGCCGTGGTTTGGCAAATCCGCCTGGGGCCATCCTGACTTCGACCGCAAATCCGTAGGTCATAGGTGTCCTGGAAATCAGAACTTGATATTGACTAGATTCAGNGCACACCGAAAAGCACTACTCGAGATTATGACTAGCTTTATCCCCGTCGAGAATGTCAGATTCAACAAATACCTGGAGTCGATTGATCAACATCCCGACAAAGTCGTCCTCAGATTCGCCGATGGTGAAGTAGCCGAGGCAAGCGTGCTCGCTGGCGCCGATGGTATCAAGAGTATCGTTCGAGAGCACGTGCTCAAGCCCTTGTTCCCTCAGGAAACCGCACCAGTATACGCAGATGCCTACTGCTATCGCGCCGTCATTCCCATGTACGAAGCTTACCCCATCCTCGGCGATCTCACAGATGTCGCAAAGTTCTTCTTCGGTCACGACCGCAGTGCAGTGACCTACCGCATCACCGGCGGCGAGGAGTTCAACTTCTTGTTCTGTGTGGCGGATTCAAAACCTTGGGCACTGGAGAAGGCCGTGACTGAGAAGACAACACACGAGGCCATGATGGCCGACTTCGAAGGCTCGGGAGTAGATCCTCGCTTTCGTGAATTGCTTGCCAAAGCACAGCCCATCAAGTGGGGATTCTTCCATCACTGGAAAACTTCGACTTACTATCAAGGACGCGTTGCCCTTCTGGGTGACGCTGCACATGCTTCGCTACCTTTCCAGGCTGCTGGTGCTGCCCAGGGACTAGAAGATGCATTAGTCTTGTCCAACGTACTCGCGAAAGCCGCAGCAATGCACGAGACGCCCGCCAACATGGCTCCCTATATCAAAGCAGGCCTCGATGCCTACGACTCAGTGCGACGTCCCAGAGCACAAAGACAATTAGAACAGGCCGCTGAGGTCGGAAAGATGATCTTTTTCCAGCACGAGGAAGCAGGTTCTGATATGGACAAGATTCTTCCCAGACTACAGCAAGGTAGGTTTAATTGGCTCTGGTTCCACGACATGAGTGGGGATGTTGTCAAGGCTTTGACGAGGATGGAAAAGGGTGGGCGGGAGCGGGCTCGAGCCACCGCTTGTTTGTAGGGCGAAGATCAGCGGACGCAAGCTCATAGCAGATACTATGGCATACGCGCTGGAGCAGTTTGGCAAGATGTATCTATTTCCTTGAAGATAGTTGACAATTCTCGAGACATTAATTCTACTCGTATCGCAATACATGCGATAGTATAAGAGTTCCTCGAGAGTGGTCATGATAATCCATGTCACAGATCTGTATGGCATGTAAAGATTCATACCTACCACTGTAAAGCAGAGTATACTTCGTCCTCGAAGCGATTTTACAGATTAGCCCGTGCACTCTTCCAATCATGGGCGCATCTAGCTTGTGAAATATAGGAACAAATTGAACGCAGACAACCATCATTGCGAAAGTTATCGTAACTTGGTTGCCAGAGACCTATCAACTCTCGAACGTCCTAAACTCATGGTGACAGAAAGGTACCGGAGGTGCCGTCCACCTCGGTGTAACCTTCTCATCATCATACTTCACAACAGGTGCCAATACCCTAAGGTCGCCTCCAAACACGGAATCCGAGAAATGGACGTAGTACTTCTCGCTCTCAATGAGATCGCTCTTATCGCCCCATGCCTTCAAAATCTGGTAGTATAAAGGCGCGACGTGGATGTCGCTGGACCATGGCACGAATTGGTACTTGTCCTGAATCTTTCGCACGGTCTCGCGCTGATACAACTTTACTTCATGATCCAGAGTAGCCATGTTGTAGCCGGTGAGGGCTGCATGTCCGTGATAAGAGCCTCCAAACTTGGCGCGATCGCGAATCGCACACATAATGGTCAAGGCCGTCAGGATTCCTGTCGACATGTCTGAGATTGGCAGACTGGGTAGTACGCCTTGGCCTGGAGGACAGTTGAATGCTTGACCCATGATATAGGAGCTTCCTGCAGCTGCGTCCGCCACTTGTTGCCATCCTGGTCGTTCTGCATAGTAGCCGTCCGGTCCATAACAGTTCTCGTCAACATATATGATGCCTTTGCCGCGCTGCTTGGCCATCTCCAAAGCGGCTTCGAGACCGAATCCGCGACGACTAAGAGAGCCGAGACGGTAGCCTTGAAGGATCACATCGGCTTGCTCGAATAGTGTGGTGAGTTTGGCGTGGTCGGCAGAATTGTCCAGATTCAGATCGATGGTTGCCTTGCCTGCCATCAGTGAGGAAGGTTGTGCTGGAGTGTAATCCTTGAGCTTGGAAGAGTTTACACGAATGACTTCGGCACCCATTGATGTCAGAGCAGCACCAGCTGCGGCACCGGCAATGATGCGGGTCAATTCCACGACTTTGATGCCTGCCAACGGTCTTTTGTCGTTGAGCGTAGGAATCGATGCTGGGGGCAGGTCCGCGGAGTGTGACTGACGAGAGTAGTTGACTAGCGGATGGCGAGCCAAAGACTTTCCCATCTCGGTCTTGAGCCAGCCCTCGGGAGAGTGGACGATGTTTCCAGACAGGCCATTTTGAAGCATGAGTTGCTCAAGCTCGAGTGCACGATATGTACGAACTCGTTGCTGGATCAAGTCATACGCCGCATCGTCCGTACGTATCTCCGCATCAAGTTCTTTGCCGATACCGATAAGCGCCAACATCTTCCACGAATTGAGTGACCCATGAAGCTGATACCAGACACCCTTGTCGGCTGTTTCGTAGATAGCCGTAGAACGAAAGACCAATGATGAACCAGATTGACGGTCCTTGTCCCATTGGGGAACAGTCGGCATCTTGATTACAGCAGGGCCTGTTTGACCGTCGATGTGGACCAGAGCTGGAGTAGCTGGGAACAGCCCTGCATGGTTTGTGTCGATGTTAGTGGTAGTGCTGGATGTATCGCCGCGTAGTTGCAGGATTTCAAGACCAACAATACCGACCATGGCGTGTAGAACTGCGGTCACAGCCTGCGACTTGATCGGACCTGGGATGCAAGGCAGATCATCGCCTTCGAATTTGACTCCATTGAGGAGAGTCTTGTCCTTGGTGAATCCAAGGGTCCTCGCTGCAAACAGATGCAGAAGACGTCTACATTCTTCAGGTAATGGTAGGAAACCTTGTTCAACATGGGTACCAGGCCCATATGACTCGTCACCGCCGTTGGCATTTTCTTTTATCGTCATGTTGATCAGCGAAGGCTGAGTACTTGGAGAGAGTGAGGGGCAGTTTAGCATACGGCAAGCTACTATAGAGCCACTGCGTGGGTTTTGTACGGGCCGATACTGTGAACAACGACGAGCAACACCCATCCACCTCCGATGCGTGGAGATAGCACCATCAAGGTTTCGGCCTCTGTCAGAGATCCTGTCGTGCCTCAGCGTGCTAGCGTCGTACTGCCCCTCATCTCCGGGGAGCTTCCGGGGACCCAACCGGTCAATGCCTCCATAGCTAGCTACTTCCGTGTTCCCGAGCGGACACCAAAGCTGCTGTTCATCAACATAGCAATGATAAGAGCGATATACGCTCGATTTTATATGTGGCATGTCAATACATATGATTTGTCTTTCCAACACTTCAGGACACCATCAATTCATTGTTCACAACAGCAACGTTGCTAACGCCATCTGACATGTCAGGAGGTATCCGCACAGTCGTTGTCATCGGATGCGGCGTGATTGGGATGAGCTGGGCAGTCTTATTTCTCTCTCACGGGCTCAAGGTCATCATCACAGATCCTGCAGATGGTGCTGAAGAACGCTTCGGGCAATATCTACAAGGCGCCTGGTGTCTTATAGCAGCGCCGGAGAAGTTCAACACGCTTGCAAAGAACTACGAATTTGTCCAGGATGTAATTCCGAGATTGGTGGAAGCAGACTTTGTACAAGAGGTAAGATCATCCAAGATAAGTTCTTGTGCCATGTTTGACCTTGAGAACCACATTACTGATTGTGGTGCCCACATANNGAATGGACCCGAGCGTGTAGAGTGGAAAAGCAATTTCTTTCAAATTCTTGATAAGCACACTAGAAAGAGTGTAGTGATTGCTTCATCTTCCTCAGGCCTACCATCTTCCCAATTCATTGGGCAGTGCCAGACCGATCCCAGTCGGGTACTCATTGGACATCCTTTCAACCCTCCACACCTCATACCTCTAGTTGAAGTTGTACCCCATCCAGGTACCAGCCATCATAATATTCAGACTGCATTGAACTTCTATAGATTCCTCGGCAAGAGACCCATCCTTCTTCACCGGGAGATTCCTGGCTTTGTATCGAACCGTCTCCAAGCAGCCATCAACAATGAAGCCTACAGCCTCATCAGCCGTGGCATTGTCTCAGCGGAAGACTTGGACGCGGCTGTCACATCAGGTCCTGGGCTTCGATGGGCGCTCACGGGTCCCGTTGCCACCAATGCTTTGGGAGGTGGAGGAGGTTCTGAGGGATTCGGTAACCGCATTGAACGTCTTGGTCCAGCTATCAGAGGTTGGGAGGAAGATATGCTGGAGCATCGGTTCGACTGGAGTCAAGGAAGTCTCGCCACGCTGCAAGATCAGGCTAAGAAGTCTCTAGAACATGTGAATTGGTCGAGGATGGTAGCAGGAAGAGATGCTGTGCTTCTCAAACTATTAGCGGCCAAGTCGGATGCTCCAGCGATGGCATGAACCATTTGACGACGGACGAATAGAAGCTGGAGCAATAGCCTTTTCTAATGCGAATCAACTAGATGTTAGGATAAGCGGTCCTCTAGGACAAATTTCCTGACACCGTATTGGCGTGAATTAGAGATTCATTAATGCTGAGCTGCTTCCCATATAGATCGCATCATCCAATTTCTGCTTTTTCGTGGAACGTTGCTTGACCGCGCTGACGGTTTCATGTACTTGACAGCCAGTAGTCCAACCAGTCGACAAAGCTTCTAAAACATTGCTCCTTGGCCCATCGTTCATAAGAGTCAGAGAGATTGCCTCGTGNTCTCAATCGCGTCAGTATGCTCTAATTGCAGCGCTCTCATCGGGGGCTACTTACCGCAAAGCCGTGGCTCACACCGGAGTATATTTGCATGTTGAAGCGCTTCTCGCGCTGCGTCAGGATTTCGACTGTCCGGGCACGTTGCTCGGGCTGGAACAACGAGTCCGTGCTGGGTGCAGCAATATATAGGGNGAGCTGTAGACAGTTCAGTGTTTGAGCTTCCAGAATCAGAGTTGCTTACACACCATCAACACCAGAGACGTGGCTCTCATTCGTGAAGGATGGGTGAGCCATTGCTCCCACCTCACAAATGCCATTCTTTGAGAGTTGTTGACAAACGATACGTGCACCCCNAGCTGTTTTCTCGAACTTAGGAGTGCAAACTACCAGACGATTGGGGTGTGATACTGACCAGTAACCAACGCATGCGAATTTTGAAGCTTTTGACTTTCCGTACTTGTTCATCACGTTTGTAACCCATTTCGAAGCGACTTCCTCGGAAGATTTGAGATGTTTCACACTCCAAGCTTTGAGGTCGAAGCTCGGGTCATTGAGTGGTGTCATGGTGTACTTCGATACAGCATCCTGCGCCAAAATCAGCGAAGGTCTTGATCGGAGAGAACTGAAGACTTTGTTTACGCCAAGGAAATAGTCGACACCCAAGGTCAAGTAACCGCAAGAGGCGTAAGCGTCCATCAAGAGGTGACTGTTTGTATGCAAGCCAAAGGCATCAGGGAAATACAGTAAGACATTGCCATTGGCAATCTTCGGATCGGGTGTAGCAATATAGGTATCTATGCCATCTATCTGCTCGGTCTTTCCTTGCGGCTCTCCCGAGTAGAAAGATCCCTTCAAGCAGCAGAGGTCGGCTGGCTTTGCAAGAACCTGATCGCTGCTATCGCCCATCTTGTGCCGGCCTTTCGTGTGTGCGATGATATTGTGGATCTCTCTTTTGTGAGTTGGGTCTTCCAAGATCCATATGAGTCATATGAGAGATGAAGTCAGAGTCGCGGACACACCGGAAGCTCCCCGGTAGACCCACCTCACCACTCCGCCGAAATGCGGGAGGTGGGGGCTCGGCTTATCTCGAGTCCGGTCATCCATCTGTACATTAGCTGGCTTATCTGGTATCAAGCGGATATCGAGTGGACAATACTTTACTGATGTGTCTTGTTGATAGTCTATATTGCCAAAGGACTTACGCTCACGACCTAATCGTTTGGGCTTCACAACACTTGTCGAGAGCGTCGCAATCCAGACATCCTACTGCACAAACCGACAGTCCACAAGACATCTATCCTTGTCCAACATGAGCAAGATGAGAAAATCGTGGCAGGAAGTTGTGGCAGCAAAGGTTGATGCTCGCGACGCGTTGATAGAAACACACTGCACCAGCAACGATACATCGAGACTAGAGAACATCACGGCAATAGACGATGCCAATAGGCTGACTCAACTACTGAGTTCCGGCAGCGTTACCGCAGAGGATATAGTCCAGGCTTACATCAAGCAGTAAGTCGATTTTCAAACTGCTTCGTAGAGAATGTGCGGAGCTAATGATGTTGAAGGNGCCTGTCAAGCACACAAGGAGGCGAGTGACGCATTGGGAATTGAGAATGTGAAGAATCACTAACCCACTATCAAGACCAACTGTCTCACGGAAGTTTGCTTCACTCATGCCATATCGCAGGCAAAACGTCTTGACGACTACCAACGAGAGCATGGTAAACTGTTCGGCCCCCTCCACGGCATACCGATCTCTCTTAAAGATCAATTCAATGTCAAAGGATATGATTCAACCCTAGGTTATGTCGGTCGTGCATTATATCCAGCAGACTCCAATGCACTTCTCGTCGATATCCTGCAAGGACTCGGTGCCATAGTTCTTGCGAAAACCAATTTGCCGCAGAGCATTATGGTGTGTAAATAGGCCTTGCGATGACTTGAGCCAGACGTTGACTTGTCCAGNTGGTGCGAAACTGAGAATCCGCTGTGGGGCCTGACCACACACCCGATGAACAAAAGCTTCACTCCTGGAGGCTCCTCCGGCGGGGAGGCAGCTCTTCTGGCTTTACATGGTTCACTGATTGGTTGGGGAACTGACATCGGCGGCTCCATCCGTATCCCTAGCCATATGAACGGGCTCTGGGGGTTCAAGCCTAGTGTAAGATGACGTCCCGATGGTATTCTCATGTATCTGCTGACACTTTTGGCANNGAGTGGACGTATGTCGTACCAAGGTGTTGAGGTATCCTTAGAAGGTCAGCAGCACGTGCCCTCAGCTGTTGGTCCCATGACAAGATCTCTTAGCTCCATGAGTCTTGTTACGAGGCTTATGATTGAAGCAAAGCCTTGGTCTCTAGACTCACAGCTACCTCCAATGCCTTGGAAGGATCATGTCTACAAAACTTTCTCTTCCAGATCTCTTGTCATCGGGGTGATGCCCGACGACGGTGTGGTCAAAGTTCACCCACCGATAGCACGTGTGTTCCGCGAAACAGTAGCAAGATTGCAGACCGCCGGTCACGAGATCGTGGAGTGGGACAATTCATTGAACAGCAAGTGTATCGCTGTCATGGTAAGTCGACCCTCATGATCAACACGGTGTGAGCTCACAACAGCANNGGACGAATATTATACTGCAGACGGAGGCGAAGACATCCGATCTGCCGTACTCCAAGGCGGCGAGCCATTTGTACCGCATGTACAAGCCCTGATTGATCGTGGTTCAGCAATCACAGTCTACCAATACTGGCAATTGAACAAGAGAAAAGTGGCCGCTCAACAAGCATACCTCGAGATGTGGAACAGCATGCAAACTCCATCAGGACGTCCAGTTGATATACTGCTTGTCCCCACCATGCCACATACCGCTGTACCTCATCGCTGCTGCCGCTGGGTGGGTTACACCAAGTTGTTCAACTTTCTCGATTATCCGGCGTTGTCGTTTCCCGCGGGGAGAGTTAACAAAGAGGTTGACAGCAAAGTGGATCAGGAATATGTTGCTCGTAATGATCTTGATGCTTGGAACCAGAAATTATATGACCTTGAGGCCATGCATGGCCATCACATTGGTCTGCAGATCGTTGGGCGCAAATTCGAAGAAGAGAAGGTGCTGGGGGCAGCTCAGCAGATAGAAAGCTTACTCTAAATGCGGTCCTTTTGTGAGTGACATGTCATTCTATATAATCTCAGAAGTCATGGAGAACTGCCAAAGGTGTATAATTCTTGACAAGGGGGTTTTTCTTTTTGAGACATTTGCGCTTGCTATTGAATCGTTCCTGCTTTCTGAGTTAGTTGATCTTCGTTGGATATTCAAGTGTTCGACCAGGAAACCACGCAGGAGTCTTTTGAGCAGCCTCTTTTGCTTCAATANCACCACAATTCTCCTCCTGATCTTCTCAATATCGCCAAAGACCTCTTGTGCCAACTCCTTCTTGTTGATCTTGCCCATCGCATTCCTCTTGATCCTCTCTATAACCTCTTGATCTTGAAATATCTTATAACCCACCAAACGAGCTTTCAAACTACCTCGTAGATCTGCCAGTGTTCAAGCCTCACCACTATCCACAAACTCTTTGGAAAGAACAATGACAGCCACAATCTNTTGACCCCACATCTGGGATGGCAGACCTAGAACCGCAACCTCGCTGACTTGGGGTAGAGACAAGATCTCGCGCTCAATCTCGAGGGCAGACACCTTTTCGCCGCCAGTCTTGATGATATCGGCGCTGCGTCGTCCTTATATGATGTATGCTGGTCCTTGAGCCCAAGAGCCCGGCTTCCCTTTTCCAGAACCAGGCATGTAACGACGGATGGCTATGTCGCCCGTCTTGAACCATCCATCGCCCGTGAACTCCTTTGCGGTCGCGGCTGGATCAGACCAATAGCACTTGAAGATGGTTGGACCACGCAGTCGAAGCTCTCCCTGGGGTTCTTTGCCGGTGACAGAGTCGCATGCCTCGCCGAGCTGGATGACGGTTGCCACGCCGGTTTTGTCATTGCTTTCGACAAGGCGGACTTCTACGGAAGGTAGAGGCCAGCCAACAGAGTTATTGAGGCGGTCTTCGTCTTCGACACCGCAAGAGAGTGCCATTCTAACTTCAGTCATGCTGTATCGCTCGAGCAAGATGTTGCCTCCAGAGAGCTCGGTCCATCCATCACGGAATGGCTTGGGCAGAGCTGCAGAACCAGAGATGTTGGAAGGCAGATGTTCGCGAGATATAGCTTCTCTGCCAGCCGTTTGAAGGCTGGGTGACAGAGATGGTTAAGCTTCCAGCATACGAGACCAGATGGTTGGAACCGCGGTGAAGAATGTGATGGGAGGTTTTGCGGCGACTGAGGTATCGTTTTCGGTGCCGATGATATCCAAGAAAGGCGCCGCAAATCGCTTTCAGACTTCTTCGACTCTGAATGGATACATGAATTCGATGCAGCTGCCAGCAAGTAGTGGTGTGAGGATAGCGTTCACTGTGCCGTGAATGTGATGGAGTGGTAGATCATGCAGCACACGATCAGAGGGTGTGTAGTTCCACGCAGTCAGCAGACTCTGTGCTTGAGCGGTCAAAGTAGCACCAGACAACAAGACACCTTTTGGCTTTGCGGTAGTCCCAGAAGTGAAAAGCATCATACCGGCATCCGCAGTAAAGGGCATGTCTTGATCTGATAAGATGATCTCTTCAGACTGATCGAGGAGTTCTTCTATCTCAACGAAGCATGGAAGTGAACCAAGACCCTCGACCATGACCTCCTCAGCTCTGCTGCAAANTTTAGTTGATGCTAGTGGGACTATAGCCTGGCTGACATTGATGAAGTGCCTCAACTCGGTTGCGGGGAAAGACAGAGCGAACAGGACAGCAATCGCATTGCAAGCAAAGATGGCCAATAATGTAACTATATCTGGGTGTCAGCAAGTTGGCATTAGGAACTAGATCACAAGGGGTGTCTGACCGACATAATTGTATTCATTTTCCACTATGAATACAACACGCTCGCCAGAGAGGTCTTTCTGGCCAGTGCTCTGCAACAACTGTTCTTTGACTCGCAGAACATCTTACAACAGTTGATCATACGTAAACCTCTGTCCAGATGCAGAATCCAGGATAGCTGTAGAGGCAAGGTCATGGGTTTGGATAGCCTTAAGTGGAACAGATCGAGGAATTTTGATGGCCAATATCGCTTGCAAGGCGATTGTGAAAAGTTAATCTGATTTTCGATCCGTTGTTCAATTGATATGTACACCGTCTCACGATGACTTGGTGCTTGCATTGTGGATTGAGCTTTGGCGGGGAAGAGCTCGGCTCTTTCCCCGATGACAGCCGTCACTACCTGCCCTACTCCGGCTTATCGCAGAGCGGTCTTGGGACTGAAACCTACAAGCAAACGGAAAACCATCTCCCCGCGATGCGGAGCATATCGTGCTAACACGTTGGAACAATATAAAGCAGTGACTAGATACGCTTTCCAAAGTTTTCCCAAGTGCGAATGACCTCGAGGTTCATTTTTCGATCTGACTGTCAACATAAGCCTCTTATGCAAAGGAAGAACCATCAAAGACTATAGTAATCACAAGCACAGCCGACAATCAACATGGCATACAGCGAAGAAAACTATGTGTTTGACGCTGGTTCCCTAGGTCACTTACAAGGTCTTACTATATCTTCCAACCAAACTCCAGCTCTTCATTACTTTGGAGGTCTACCATATGCTCTGCCACCAACTGGCTCTCTTCGTTTCAANACCCCTCGCAAACTCCCTGCAAACTATAGCTATGGCACCAAGACATCTCCGGGCCAATTCACCACAGGCACAAAGATTTGTCCTCAGCCTCCAAGTCGTATCCCACCTGATGCCTCGCTGTTTGACGAGGATTGCCTGCAACTCAATATCTGGGTTCCTGCTGGCGAGGCGTCGAGACAGGGCTGGCCGGTGTTCTTCTACTTGCATGGAGGGTTCTTGCAATGGGGCACTGCTAATTGGAAGCCATCGTCTTTGGTGCCTTTGCTGGCCGAGTCTGCATTTAGAGCTATAGTGGTTCTTCCTGCATACCGACTCAATGCACTTGGCTTTCTCACTGGCAAAGCGTTTGCCGCAGAGGCTGATACCGCTGAAGGGGCTGTGTTCGGTAACATGGGACTTTGGGATCAACGCACGGCTTTGGAGTGGGTGCATAGCAATATCTTCAACTTTGGAGGTGACCCTCGTAACATCACCCTTGGTGGATATTCGGCAGGCGCATACTCGACGTTCTACCAATTGGCGCATGAGCTGTACCTTGTCCCGGTCGACAACCGCATCATCAGGAGAGTGATCATGCTGTCCAATGGCCCAGGAACAAGACCCAAGACTCTCAGCGAACACCAAGCCCAATTCAATGAATTCGTCCACCATCTCGACATCCCCGCCTTTCTTTCGCCCTCTGCACAACTCGCAAAGCTGCGTGAACTTCCCTATCAGCAACTCGTAGCCGCTCAGAGCAAAATGGAAATCTCCGAGTTCAGACCCATGGCTGACGGGAAGTTCTACCCCAAAGACCTTTTCACCAATATCAACAACGGAGACTTTGCGTGCAGGATGAAGGACCGCGGTATCTGCATCCTCAGTGGCGAATGCAGAGACGAACACAGCATATACCGCACCTGGCGCACACCCGAAGACTCCTTCCAAGCATTGCGCACCCGTCTCTATGCAGAGTACCCCATGGACACCGTAGCCAAAATCTTATACCACTATTGCGGCGCTGGGGAAACTCTGCCTTCGCACTGCAAAGACTGGCAAGATGCATTCGGCCGCATCTACGCTGACCTGCAAGTCCACAATCTTCAACGCGGCTTTCTGAATGCATTGTTCAAACACGGTCTCGAACCTGGCAAACACGTGCTCAGATATCGTTTTGACAGACGCTTGAGATGCATCGACGCAACTATACCCATCGAATGGGGCGTCACACATTCCTCGGACGTGCCCATCTGGCTCTGGGGCTCTGATTTCGCGGGCGGATTGACACAGCAAGAGAAACAGTGGTTACAAGGCTGGAACGAAGAATTTGCGGCATTTGTGAGGGGTGCAGAGGTACATTGGGGACCAACCACGCCCAAGGAAATGAGACGGTGGAGGATTGATGGTGAAACGGATGTTTGGGAGGACGATAGATGGGACAAGGGGCTGCAGATGTGGAAGCTCGTGCATAGTAAATGTTGAAAGCTTCAGAAATTTTTGGATTCATATGTTGTCGGGCACAAGTCTGGATTTGAAGCAAAAAGATAGGAAGGTGGTCGTACGATACTACATACGCATTGAGTGAGATTCGATAGCAGAAGACAATCGGCTCAAAGAAGCGTGTGGAGAAACCTGCCAAGATTAGCGAATAGTTGTCCAAAAGTATGTGCTTGCCCGGTAGAGTGGAAGCCTTACTTTGTGGCATGTTTCTGTGCCACGCATATCCTTTGTCGCTCTGTTACCTGTCAACGGTAGTACACTAGTAGGCCATCCATAACTATTGGCACTCAATACTCCACTTGGTTCTCACATGACTGGACGGGAAATGCATGGTTCAATGACATGTTTTGATTATTGTTGTTCGTGATGGGTATCTAATCATTTTATTTTGTTCACACAAATTCAGCATCTTAGACGACGACCTTGTGGGGAGCGTCCTTCTCCTCGGGCTCGTTGAAGATGTTGACGGGCCATCTGGGCTTGTTGGCGGTGAAAGGAATGTTGTAGCGACGACGCTCCTCCTTGCCAATCTTCTCAATCTTCTCAAAGTCGTCCTTGGGCAGCTCAATCTCCTTGAAGTTGTCGCGGATGCGCGAGGCAGTGACGGACTTGGGGATGACCGAGTGGCCGCCGACCTGGGCCCAGGCGAGGATGACTTGTGCGGGCGAGGCGTTGAGACGCTCGGCAATCTCCTTGACGGTCTTGTGCTGGATGAGCAGGGGCTCGCCGACCATGTTGTTGCCGAAGGTTGAGTACTCGGTGATGTGAATGCCCTTCTCGCCGCACCACTTGACAAAGTCGGTCTGGAGGAGGCGGGGGTGGCGCTCGATCTGGTTGGCGGCGGNGGTGACACCGGTACCGTCGATCAGGGCCTGGAGGTGCTCCTGGGTGTGGTTGGAGACACCGACGGCGCGGGCCTTCTTCTTGTCGAGCTGGGTCATGGCCTTCCATGTGTCAACGATCGAGACGCTGTCGAGCATCTTGACGTCGCCATCATCACTGAGGGGGAACAGGTTCTGGTGGACATCGCCCGACTCGTCAAAAGCGACGGGGAAGTGGACGAGGTACAGGTCGAGGTAGTCGAGACCGAGCTCACCAAGGCAGTCGTCGAGAGCGGGAGCAACGTCCTTGGGTCTGTGCTGCGAGTTCCAGAGCTTGGAGGTGATGAAGATGTCCTCACGCTTGATGCCCTCGCTGAAGGCTCTCTTGAAGGCGTTGGCAATCTCCTTCTGGTTGCCGTAGACCTTGGCCAGGTCAATGTGCTTGTAGCCGGCCTTGAGGGCCTCGTAGACGGCGGCCTCGACTTGGCCGGGCTCGGCCTGCCAGGTACCAAAGCCCAATTGNNACTGTCGTTCGTTGTTAGCACCGTCGCGAAGCTTCAGCTGCTGGTAAAAGACTTACGGGATGGAGGCGCCGGTGTTGAGCTTGACTGTGCGTCCGAGAGACATGATATGTGATGTGATTGGGAATTGAGAGTGTGGAGATGGAAAGAAAAGGGAGATTGTGTGACAAGAAATATCGAGGAAGGAGGGGCACAGAGGGGCTTTCATATCTGTGGCCCGGTGGGGTAATATGGGGGCGGAGGCTTTCAACCGACGCCCTATTCATCCGAACGACGTCATACACCTCTACCGTGCCGAATGCCACATATGTATCTCCGCTTCCCTACGAAACAACTCCTAGAGTTCTGCCGCCCTTGACTTTCTCCGCGAGCTGCGTTGCCACAGTTTCGTCCTTCTCACCGTCGCATCCCGGCTGACGGCTGAGCTTGAAATAATGCAAGGGACCACATGGAAGAAAGCCATTAGGGTACACTCAGGAGCTCTACCAACTTCCAATCATTTCTGAATCAGCCTGTATGGCCAACGCGCTCCAATGAAGCCTTCGGTGGGTCCTTAGCTAAAACTTGCTGGACCATCGATTCATCACCATCAAGGTCTTCTTCATTCCTTATAGCCATTCGCATTGCCCAAGCCTTCAGCAGCTTCAGCACCTTTGCGGAACATGTTTTTAAGATCCCTGGCCATGTGCTCAGGCTTCTCCCAGGCAGCAAAGTGACCACCGCTGTCATGCTCGGCCTCGAATACCACTGTTCCCATGTTCCTCACCCACGCCTTCGGAGACGTCTCCATGTCTTTCCAGTTATACATGACACCCAGTTTGACGTGAGGGACATGACCAGTCGCCGTCATCATAGCACTCGTGTCATCACCGCCCTTTGCATCATGCTTGGCTTCATAGTAGATGCGCACATTGGCTGCAGGGCCCGCAGAAGAGAACCAATACAAAGACACCCAAGTCAAGATTTCGTCAGCAGTCCAGGGGTACTCATCGGTCCATTCATGGAGCTTCTCGACAATCCAGGAAAGCAAGAGGACGGGAGAGTCTTGGAGTCCGTAGCCGAGTGTTTGTGGTCGAGTGCATTGCTCATGGCTGTAGCCGGCGCCGTCTTCGCGGAACTTGGCCAGGCGTTGTAGAGAGGCATACTCTTNTTCGCTAAATGACGACTTGTCATTGAGGGCGGCTTTGAGATCGGTGTCCATGGCTGGGGGAGTCATGTTGACGTGTGAGGCCTTGCATGCTTCTGGGAACAGATGACCCATGGTTCGTGTGATCCAGAAACCCCAGTCCCCTCCTTGTGTTGCNNTATTTATGATCAGTGTCTGCGCTTCATGCATGTGCTAGCAATCTTGGTAATGCTTACCATACTGCTTGTAGCCCAGCTTCAGCATGAGTTTTTGGCAGACCTCTGCATACTGCGCAAGACCAAACCCTCGCTTCTTGACGCCCTCTGAGAAACCGAAGTTGGGAAGCGAAGGTGCAACGACATGGAAAGCAGGGGCGCCGTCCTTGGTGTCAGCCAGTAGAGGCAATACTTTGGTCACCTCTGTGAAGTTTCCAGGCCCTGTCCATCATCAGCCACGGCACCTCCATCGATTCAACATTCACTAACATCCATGACAAAACAAAAGAGGCACTGCGTTCTCAACCGAGCTCTTCTGGTGGATAAAATGTATCTGCAGTTCGCCAAATTCATCGACCTCAATGCCGGTGACGTGGTTTGGTAGCTCATTCAGTTTTTCTTCGTGCTTGCGCCAGTCATAGTCGTTTTGCCAGTATGTGATTAGTTTCTTGACTTCGGGCAGAGACGCGCCGTAATCCCAGCCTGCATCATCGAGCTCGTCTGGGAGATCGACCACAGCGAGTTTTTGGTGCAGGCGGTCGAGTTTCGAGTGTGGGACGGAGATGGTATAGGATTTGATGTCTGACATGTTGATCAACGGGGACTGCTGTGAGGTGTCGATGATTTGGTAAAACTCCAGTGAATGTTCATATGTGATGTCGGAGAGCTTCAGTGCGGGGCATCTTGCTTGTTCATCGTCCATGCCAAGGTGCATTGTCTTGCTGCTTACACAGCATTACCAAGCACTCTCAGGCAGCGATTAATCTACGCGTGGGGCTCCCAAGTGACGGTCGTTCTGTTACACACGCGTAAGATTGGCGTCTCTTTGCACCTCTGTTCGGAACACTAAGTCGACTGTCGAACCCGTCGTCAAGCCCTATCAATGAGTCACACAGTATGACAGCGACATAAGACGACCATGACAGATCTCACCACAATTCCCTTGGACGACGGGTAAAACAGGTCAAGCCGCCCGGGCCTATAAAATTTTGCGTGTGCATGCAGGTATCAATATATGCTTTACAACACAGCAGAATGTAACAAGAGCAGCAATGTACCTACGCATAACCTCCCTTAATCTCCTCACACACTGCATCAGTAACTTCTTTTGTAGTTGCCTTGCCACCAAGATCGCGCGTCAAAATACCATTTCCACATACATTCTCCACGCAATCAAGCAATTTATCTGCAGCGGCTTCTTCACCCAACCACCGTAGCATTTCTGCCGCTGTCCAGAATGTGCCTACTGGGTTGGCGATGCCTTTTCCGGTTATGTCGAATGCGGAGCCGTGGATGGGTTCGAACATGCTGGGGTTCTGGCGTGTGGGGTCGAGGTTGGATGTTGGTGCTATGCCGATGGAACCGGCGAGGGCTGCGGCTAGATCGGAGAGGATGTCTGCGTGCTTTGTGTATCCGATCAGCATTTTGGCTGGATAGTAAGCCGGAAATGGGATGTTTGCAACTTACAANNGATTTGTGGCGACTATGGTATCCAGCGATTGCGGCTGCAGCACCATACGGCAAGTCATGGCATCCACCAACATCTTATCCACCTTGACATCTGGAAAGTCCTTTGCGACTTCTGCAGCAATCTCATCCCACATGACCATACCATTCCTCTGCGCATTGCTTTTTGTGACCACGGTAATGTGTTTCTTGTCTCTCTTCTGCGCGACTTCAAACGCAAACTTGAGCAGTCTGGTCACAGCATGGCGGGTAAAGATGCTGACTTCGGTGGCAGTCTCCCAAGGCTGGCCTTTGTGGCTGCGACCTCCTTGGCCTGCGTACTCGCCTTCGCTGTTTTCGCGAATGATCACCCAGTCCAGGTCTCCAGTAGTTGCTTTGCGCAGGGNGGACTCGGTGCCGCGAAGGATTTTTGTCGGACGCACGTTGGCGTATTGTTGGAAGCCTTGACAAATTGCCAATCGCAGACTCCAAAGTGAGATGTGGTCCGGGACATNCTGTGTTCTTGCATCAGTATCATTCATTCCCATCCGATTGATCATCCCAAGAAGCTTACCTGGAGCACCCACGGCACCAAACAAAATAGCATCATGCTTTTTCAAGTCTTCTAATCCATTGTCAGGGATGTATTTGCCAGTCTTCTTGTACGTTTCGGAACTCCAATCGTAGTGTTCAAAGTCCAGAGTAAACGATTTGCTCGCCGCACTGAGAGCTTCGAGCGCTTTTACTCCTGCGTCAATGACTTCAGGGCCAATGCCGTCGGCAGGTATGCAAGCGATTCTGTAATTCTTGCTAGACATGTCTTCGTGAGATTAGTTAACGATGTGCTTTTTCTCAATATTGTGGAAATGTTCGCATTTATGTTGACCTGCTTTGGAGGGGTAATGTGGAGTTGTGTTGTGCCGCTGCCGGACTTGTCTTTCTCCCAGTGAGGGGTAATTTCTTGCTTGTCTCCTTCTACGTTTTGGCGTTCGGCGAGAACTCCGGTAAGGATGCATATTTGACTCGAAAATTGCAAGTCCGAAAAGCGATATGTGGTGCGCACAACATGATGTTGCGATTGACCTACCCAATTGCTTCGCACTCGTAGTGTCCTTGACTTCGGCCTCAGAAGGCTCTCTCCAAGTCGTGACGCTATGATCGCTGCTCCGCAATGACGCCTGGACACTGAAGGATTGCCCACTGAAGGGAACTCCAAGCTCGACGCTCGAGGCTTGATCGATTGCCGTGGTGTGTCGGTCATGAAGTGTCTGCATTCGAGCTGCAGCAAAGGAAGGCCATAGGCAGCAGCAGCTAGATTCCTTGGAAAGCGTTCAGGTAGCAGTCAGCGACAGGCATGTTCCTGTGTGCTGCGAACTTCTTTTGAACATCGTGGTCAGTTGCAACAGCATTGGCCTTGTCAAGAGTTCAAAGAAGCGGTCTGCAACGTTCCAGCGTCGCTGCAATGCACTGCAGGTCTGACCAAGCAGGCAGCAGAGCAATCGACTTGTATGAGGCACTTGCTCCATCACCCCATCCTCACACCGACAAACGTCACATCGCTTGCGATCACCTCAAGCATTCAAACCATGACAGCTACATCTGTGATGAGTTGTGTGACAAAGACGCTTGCATCCTGCCCCTACTAGTCCGTTGTCTCTCCGCCGCGCCTATTCTGCCAACAATAAACAGATCGACCGCAGTGCATGATGTCAAACTCACAACATCATGAAGCTGAAGACTCCACGTTGCGCCCCTGCATGAAGCACTTACCATGCAAACAGCATCACGAGGGGTGTTCGTCAAGTCGATCGGACCAGAGACTAAACTACAAACTGCATGTTCATCGTGTTCACGCGGCTGAAGAAGAAGCAACCGAGCAATTGAGTTCAAACTGTTCAATGAGATCTGGAAAACGGTGGAGATTCGTGAGGCTCAGATGATGTTGACACTTTTTTCTGTTTCGATTCGGCGCGTCATCATGTCGCGTCTAGCCGCATCGCGAGACCACTCTACGCTCGATTGGGACGTCGTTTGCCACAGCAATGAAGCTACCCTGATGGCGACACCTCGATCACGATCAGGCATTGCTTTGTTGATCTAGCTCAATGCTTCGCCGAACGACTGCGTGGAGAATAAACAAGATGTACTGATGGTCTTGAAAGAATAGATGCTCCAATCACTGGCTCAAGAACAAGTTCCAGCTTGCCATGGGCGATGATTTCGACTTGTCAACAAAGGATCAAACTCGTTGCGTCAAACGCGGGGCTACTCACGATGATGACACGCTTTAGGAGATCAATTAATGCTGCTTCCGGTAGAAGATCAGCTGTATAAGCGTCATGCCACCACCAGATCTCGATCGGCTCAGGTACGACGCAAGCACGATCTGTGGGGAAAGCTATCCGCTGCATGATCCACCAGTGCACGCTCACCTTTACGCTTTTGCATCATCAGGCTCATCTCCTTTCTGACGCAAAGCAGACCGACAAGTGTTTGTCTTGCATGGCTGACAAGATACCTTCTAGCTAAGCGAGAAAACGATGGGACAGAGACGTATAAGTACCTCGTCCTCTGCTGCTTCTACCTCTCCTTCTTCATCAACAACCAAATCACTTCGCTCTTACAGCTTCTCTCACAACCTCACTCCTCACCGAACAACTTCCGAACAAAGTCTTTACTTTCTTCAATCTATCAACATGTCTGGAACCTACAAGCCCACTGGTACGACTTCCTTGGTTTTCATCATACATTCACAGCAGTTTAGCTGACATGCATACAGAGCACGGCGGTCTCAAGGAGGACGGTACCCCCGACAAGCGCGTCGGCACCGGTCAGTTCGCCCAGGGTCAGGTTGACCCCCATGAGGCTGGCAAGCAGGGCGGCCAGTCCTCTGGTGGCAGCTCCGAGGACACTGGTTCTTCCGGTGGTTCTTCCGGCGGCAACGGTCGTAAGTGTCTCGTCTTCCCCCAAACCCTATCAGTTCACTAACAAGTATCACAGAGTTCGCTGGCGGCAAGGTTGACCCCGTCGAGGCTGGCCGCAAGGGTGGCCAGACTTCCAACTAAGTGTGCTCTCTTCTGAGATATACTTCTCACGATATCATGACCTGGTGCTGTCAACCAGTATTGTAATATTATCATGACATAATTATACTAGAATCTACATCAGATTTTCATTATCTACTTGTGCCGCTTCCCATCAATACGCGCTTTGCGACACCATCTTCGCTTGGTCCCTTCCAAATTCCCTTTGAGATGCAACAGTATAGCCAATGAGCACCAAGATATGTGGCATCTTTCCGTGGATGTTCTTTGATTTTGGAAAACAACTGTGCATTTCTCTAGTAACACACATTACATAGATTAGCAGACAGGAAGAGGCTAGCCAGTGATTGGGCCATTGCACCGTACATCAGTCGCGAGTTACCCAAGCCGGGTGAGAAGAGAACCATGGGACAGCCTCTCGATCTCCTGCTGCGGTCCTTGCGGGCAAAGGCACAAAGGGAAAGTTCGAACGAGGCAAAAGTGCCATTTGGGATACCGAGGGGTGCATACATCTCATCGTAGACGACTGCGGTTATAGGAGTCATGTAAGGGACCATGTCTGGCTGACACTTCTTGGCTGAAGTCGCTGGGTAGTAGGCAGAGACCATGACACGCCTAAGTTCTGGCTTGGGCTCATAAGTGTCATTCCTCAAAGTGTCGACAAGTTCCATGGTGGTAGACGCAACGCCATACTTCCCAAGCGGTGGCTGGACAGTGATGGCAGTCGCCAGAGCTGCAGATGTCAGAAGTACAGTGAACTTCATGATAAAAAGGCGAAAGCAGGTGATGATTGGTTATCGATTACAGATCAATATGGTCACAAGCTATAGAAGCCACACCAACACTTCCACAACCTTTGATCGAGCATCACGTAAAAACGATACTGGATACGACAGAATTTGCAATGGCGCAGACTAAGCTGTCCAAATTGCTGTTCTTGTATCCACTCGGGGTTGCTTGTGCGAGGGTATGGACGGATGATCAAAAGGACAGATTGAGAAGCATGTTTGGGTTGATTCAAAGATCTTTTGCTGTTGCGCATGTGTTTGTCACCGAGGTCGAAGAGCTCTGGCAAACTCCGCTACCATATCGGTATTCCTAAACATCAACCTTGATCTGTTGTGAAGGTCAACCAAGCCAAGCATACGCCCAAGGAAAGGAATGATACAATAATCCTTTAACCAACAGAGGCAGGTTCTGCCACGGAAATGCAACGTCTGCAGCAACAGGGTCAACAGAAACAGCTTTCCAATCGTACACACCACCACTGTCAGCCACTTCGAACATTGCGGCTGCAAGATCCATGAACGAAACCACACCTTTGGCTGCTTGCATTGTAATCTTATGTCCTTTTTGCTCATCAATACTCAAAGCACCTTGTTTGACAAACGTTACTGATAGCCAATCGTGCTCTTTACGCAACAAGGCCTCGGCAGCTATCAAATCGTTATAAATATCCGATTCCGCGCGGAAGAGGAGGGCGAGAGCTAGTCCTGGCATCTCCTTTGCGAATGCTGGCTCAGTGGGAACAGCAGACAGTACAGCCAATTTCGGCAGTTTNNCGTCTCTGCTGTAGCGCAAGGCGGCAATGACTACGCGCGCAGTGTCTTGGGCGATGGTGTTGCCTGGCACGTTTCCACTGACTGCTACGGCGAGAAACACAGCTTGGGTGTCTTTGATGCAGTTGGCTATGACTTTCGTGTCGTTTAGGTTACCTTCAGAGACCTTGACATCTGCATTTGCGATAATCTCAGGTTGTAGATGTTGAAGCTTTGATTTAGAGCGACAGTAGGTGTGGATTTTGTTGGTGGNGTCTTGGGTCAGGACGTTGAGGAGGGATTGGCTTGTGTTGCCTGTTGCTCCGAGGACTGCGTAGGTTGGCATGGTGATTTTACAGTCAGGATATATGCCAACGAAGAGCTGCGATTTATCGAGAATAGATCAGAGTGCAGGTTCTCGACACTTATATGATGGCTCCTCTTGTATGTATGATGTCGTGGTTGCGGAACGGAAGATTTGCTTTCAGAATCCGAGGATCTCTTGGTCTTATGCGCGACGGCATATTGTTTCTCCACATCTGGTCCTCGCAAACTGCTGTAATCACGTATGCCTAGGAAATGATGCCTAACTCGTCTATTGTGTCGAAGCTGAATGTGAGTCAAGCAGATTTGTTGCTGTGTGGACCACCCTGTTCAGGCGATATAGACTCTCGTCAACTCGATTGCTTCTTCCCATTCACATTGAATTCTCTCAGAGTCTCCAAATTTGCAAAGATTGATGAACTGAACAGCATGGCTGGCACAGAAGTTGTTTACTTACGATGGAGTCGCATCTCCATCGCAAAGCCGCCAAAACTATGTCACGAGTCCCGGACAGAAATTGACGACGCTGCAATTTTATCTCGAAGCGAGACGAACCAGACATGACGGTCATCGTTACGCATGGTTGTTGAATTGATTAGAAGGGTATTGCCCATACATGCTGATTCAAACATGGACGGAAGGTAGTAGTCGCGTTGCGTTAAGCTCGTTCTTTAATTCTCAGCCCCTCCAACACGATAGATTTTGACCGCGTATCTTACACCAATTGCAGAATGTGCCACGACTACGATGTTACTTACTCTTACTGGTCAGTTCACTAGGGTAGATCTTACCTTCGCCGGCGCTCAATCAGACGAAAGATGGATTGTCAATCAACAAGTGTCCGCTTCTTGCGCTCTTATCTTGAAGCATCTCGCGCTAGCTAAGCTTTTACCGCATTCTCTTTCTCTCTAGGTGTTCTCTCTCTCTTTCTGGAAGTCACCTTCAGGCCCCTCAAAGATGACCTGGTCTGACTCCGAGTCCGTCACAGACTTGCTCATGTGGGAGAGGTTCACTGTTGTTATCTCTTCAAGCCCCACTCTTTGTGATCAAACTTTGGCCGCCATGGATTGCGAAGGGTCACGTGGTCTTCTCAACGTCGCCGACGATACGTTGCCAAGAGGCCGGAACTACGCGCTGTCGACAGCAGGAGACAGCGAGCCTCGGGAGACAGAAGCCTGGAGAGGAATTGTTTCCGGCCTCTGATGGACATCAATATCATGTCTCATAATCACGGTAGGTCACACGACGAGAGTCACGAGTCAGCAAAGCTTCAGACGCTTCATCGACATGGCAGATCAAACTTGCCGAAAAGCGCGGTTATATAGGCATGTTGTCGCCTCTGTATACCAGCTCGATCTCGTCGACCAGAGCGCCTCAGTAAGTGGATACTGGCCGGAATGCCCGCACCAGTTGATTCCGGCCTCTGTTGAATTCTGTCCTTATCGCGAGGTAACGCGAGGTATTCATTCCGGCCACGAGAACAAAAAGGCTTCGCTTCGCCTGCATGGTCCAAATTTCCTTTTCGTCACTCAGAAAACAAACTCTGAACTTCTGCAACTTCTACGCTACCAATCATGCCTGGAATTCTCACTCAACCATCTTCTCTCTCTATCCCTCATGACCCTTCGGAGCTTCCTCCTGGCTCTGACCCTTTCCTCATTACTGCCCAAAATGGCTATCTCCCCACCCATCTGCCCCTTCGCAGGCTCCCTGCCGCATTTGATGCATTGAGCGACATCCTCGATGACATGCCTATCCTCAAGGAAGACGGTACTGCCGGCTTGCTTGCTACCTTCAAGCTTGGCCCACTCATTGACTCCGGGGCTTTGCCTGACCTCACTGCCGAGATTGACAACCTTGTCGTTGCTGGCACTGGCGAGATTGATATGGCTGCTATCACCGCTGCATTCCGCGATTATTCGTAAGCTCTCGTGGTGTTAGCCTCAATGTATGTTTGCTGACTTTCANNTAGTTTTGTCGCTTCATCTTACTTGCTTGAGCCCTGTTGGAAAATTTACAGCAACAACGCCGATGATGGGTATGGACTTGGTCGTCAGGTGCTTCCCAAGTGTATTGCTGGACCACTTGTCAAGTGTGCAGAGATGTAAGCTGGACTTGAACCAATGTCTTTCCATAATTACTAATAGTGTTCAGCNCTTGACATCCCCGCCTTCATGTCGTACGCTGCATCCTATGCCTTGTACAACTACTACCTCGTCGACTCTTCCAAGGGTCATGATGACTACTCCAACCTTCGTCTCATTCGTGCTTTCGAGAAGGGTCTCGACCCAAAGTCCTCCGAAGCAGGTTTCATCCTCACCCATATTCACATGGTCGCTCAAACCGGCAAGTTGATCGAAGGTGCTGCCAATGTCGTCGAAGCTGTCTCCGCAGCACGCAATGAGGGAAACGACGAGATCGCTATCGCTGACGCTAAAGTCGGCCTTCAATCCATCCTCCAAGCAATGACCATCATCGAGGCCAACATGGAAAAGATGTGGGCCAACTCNTTGCCCAAGGACTACATGACCTACCGCACCTTCATCTACGGCATCACCAACCAATCCATGTTTCCTAATGGCGTGATCTATAAGGGTCAGTACGGCGATAAGCCCCAATTCTTCCGCGGCGAATCCGGCGCAAACGACAGCATCATNCCCCTCCTGGACCACCTCTGCCAGATCCCCATGCCCGAAAACCCACTCACCAAAATCTTGGTCGAGTTCCGTCAATACAGACCCAAGCCTCACCGCGAATTCCTCACCAACATCCGCGAAAAAGCCGCTGAAGTCCAAGTCCGCGATTTCCTGACGCACAGTGGCGATTTTGGCGCCGTGGTCTTGTATTTGCGTGTTTTGGACCATATCCGCAGTTTCCGCTGGCGCCACTGGCAATTCACGCGCGAGTACATTATCAAACGTACTTCGCACCCTGTAGCCACTGGTGGTAGTCCAATCATCACTTGGTTGCCCAATCAGCTGTCGGCGGTTATGCAGTTGATGGAGGATGTATGTAAAGGTTCTGGTCTTTGGGCTGTTCTTGCCGAAGGAGTTTGGAGTGGTGGTGGTGGTGCTGAGGCATCCTTGACCAAGAAGGAGTTTGACTTGATCAAGGATATTATGGATAATGCGGTGGATCAGAAGAGGAAGTTGGCAAAGGAGGTTGCTAAGTATTGTCAAGACAGAGGTGTTGACGCTGCAGCGATTTGAAGGTCTGATTCGCGCGGCTTGGGTCTGTTTGTTTCTGTTGGGTAGGGAGAAGTTTTTTGCTTTACTGGTTTTTCTTCTCCTGCCGAAGTATCTCTGTACTGTATTTGTTTCCTCGATATGGTTTTCGTGTTAACTGTATGTTATCTGTTATGGCAACATGAACTCACATTAAGAGCTATAGTAACGCACCATCACTGTATAACGACGTCCTCGAAAGACCGTCTCGTAGTAGATACGGTTTCGGCTTTGAAGCATCTTGTAGGTAGGTCTGTTATCAGAATGCCACAGTCTTTGCAAAACAGGCAAAGGCAAGACGATGCACATGGTGTACTGCTAGCCTTAAAATACTACTTCCGCTAATAATGTTATGGTATCCTAGTAGATCAACCACAGAAGACTTTTTGATTCAAAGATGATTTGTATACGCCTGGGATGTGCGAGAAAACTGTCTTATCACCATCCAATGAGTGAACTACGGAGCAGAGTCAACGGCGCAAAAGTGAAAGAGCTCCTTGTTCATGATACCAACGACTATTTCCCGCCATGAGGATGGATCAAAGAAAATCTGTTGCTAGAAAAGTGTTGCTAGAAACGTGTTGCTAAAGATCTGCTTGTGTCTGGAAGGACTGTTGACAAAAAAAAAATGAGAGAAGCAGAGGGAAACAATTATCGAGACACTCCCGAGATGACGACTCGCGCCATTGATGCCGCCCCTTTCATCATACCCTCTGGAACCTCGCCTACAGTCGCGAAATAGTTGTCTGTATCGAAGATATCCTCGACAATATGCCAGTCATGGACTTTCCCATCGTTAATCTCAAAGTCCACTTGCACTCCATCGGCTTTCACGCAGTCGACGAAAGCAACAGCATCATCCAAGAGCGTATCATTCGAACCTATACCCACCCATACTTTGCTCGGTAGGATGTCTGCCCAAGACTGCTTGTTTGGCCGTGGTAGAGAGAAGTTGATGATGTGCGACGCTGTAATGTCAAGTCCGCGCGGCATGACTTGCTCACCAGCCGTGATGAGCAGATCACGAACCAGATAGTCGGCATCCTTGTTGCGGACAAACGAGCCATCCTTGAAGCAACGCAAATCGATCCATGGAGCAACTAAGAATGCACCAGCTCCAGGCTTCGGCAGCGATTCTTCATTTGCCAGTACGCAGAGCAAGTTCAATATCAAATGCGCTCCAGCAGAATCTCCAAGCATGGCAATCTTTAAGTGATCGATGTTTTGGTCATTGAGAAGGTAGTGGTATGCCGCTCTTGCTTGATTGACCTGAGTGGGGTACTGTGCTTCTGGCGTCAGAGAGTAGTCGAGAGCAAACACCGCAACTGATATGCCCCTCTTGTCTGCAATCTCGGCGATACGTAAGAACGGTGCGATAGCAGAGGCTGGATGACCGATTTGATAGGCTCCACCATGGAGATACAGAATCACCAAATCGACATCAGAAGCTTCGGCAGACTTTCCAGGACAGCCTTTACAGATCCAGCGGCCGGAAAAGTCAGCTGTAGATACTTTCTGGTAGAGCTCTGGTTTGGTGTCGGCGAAGCGTCGCGACAATGGGAATTTGGGCTCGGGTTCTTTAGTCAAACCTCTCAGCATACTGATTGGCAGGAAAGTCTGTGCNNTCTGTGCTGTCCGTCAGCGGTCGAGAGTACCTCAATATAGAACTGAGACGCACGCGCGAAGGAAGGAGCAGATAAAATCAGCTTTGAAGCTCAGATTGTTGGTACTCCAGACAAGTCTTCGCAACAACACTCGGAGACATGTCACAGGTAAGATAGGCAGAAGGATCAGGCATTGTAGCTTATCCATGAGAGTCGGTGGCCGGATGCTTGGGTTGGGGTCGAATGCTGACGCCATATTGGTAATGGTCTTTTACCACTGCTGGTCCGTCGTTGAGACATCGCGACGCCGACAGTGGTGGTGAAGGTCTCGATCTACTAGCCGAGAGCAGGAGAAGACACGCTATAGTCTGTGGATATCGACGAGTCGAAGTTTGCTTGAATCAGAACTTCATAGATTCAACGAAGAGGCTTTTGTAGAGATCCGACTCTTCTGACTTGATTTCAGCTAGACCCCTCTAACCTTAATGCCTCGGCTCAGCTCGACCGTTCCAAGCCTCTTTGAAGTCTGAGTATGAGTGCGTCTTACTTCTCAAAGTCAGAGGGCCGGCAACCTGAAAAGATGCGGGAAGCTCCTTATTGTAAAGCAAAGGATTCTGCTCAAAGCGCACCGAGACATCGAAGAGATGACAAGAGTGACTCGCACTCATAGTTGCTAGTACTGCTCGTTGTTGAGCTCGGAGCGCTCCACGCGGAGTACGCGAGAAGGGAAGTTATCCCGGTCCAGTCGGTCTCCAGTCCGGATTATGTAACAAGCACTACTTTGGTACAGATAGGAACTCTGTTGTATGAATATCAAGGTCTAGACCTCTTCTCTTGATGCATGCTTACCATCTCCAGAATTTACAAAGGTTGTGCAAAGATCATGCGACAAGCCAGAGTAGCAAGCTCAAACATATTTTGCGTAAGTAACATGAGTTCCGTCGCTCCGAAGATCCCGCCAANAAAGATTGTCCCGGCGACTGCTTTGATGAAGTGGTATGTACAGTCCGGATTGAGCCATGTGCGCCCTTCGAGACGAAGCTGGTAAAATTTCGCAAACTCGCGCACATGAAAGGCTCCCTCGATGAAGACATAAGTGATGGTGCCAAAGACGAAGAGTCTGTAATCAATATCGACGTCTCGATTCACAGTAATGGCGCTAGCTATGAAGCAATACACAACTGCAATCATAGCAGTAGTCCTGGTGTATATGCCTTCGCGCGCTGAGTTTGCGTATGGTGCCATGATGCTGTGTCCGTGGATCTGTACAAAGGGACTAGTCGTATTTCAGATCAGAGTTTCGTCCAGAGAGAGGTGACTAGGTGTGGTGGTCGAATTCTGCTGCTGTGGAAGTTGCTCTTGCACAATTGGAGGATTTTGGCATAGCCAAGACCTGTTGCGAACAAATTGGCAAAAGCACGCGGGCAAACGCTTCCCCGAACAACGATGCCATTAACAACACCATTTCCCATCCCGATCCCATTTCCATCGCTGCTCATCTACAACCAATGCCAGATGCGACAAATCACGCTGTCAACGGACCTACAAACTTACCGTCGGCATGCGCTGATGGAATTGCTGGGGAGCCGCCGTCAAAGAGGCGTCGACGTGAGTCAGAAGAGCGCCAGCAACGTGAAATTGGCTTGATGAGGCAGGGAGATGGTGCAAACGTACCAAGCTTTGTAGGCAGTGCGAGTGGCATTTACTTCGTTCGATCGGTGTACAACGCTTTGGCGAAGTCTCGTGTGCACTTACCGCCTCAAACACCAGATCAGAATATCGTGCCTGGAGAAGAGGATCAGCTGGATGAAGCAGTACCTTACAGCTCGAAGAGCCTCTGGTCACCGGAAAGATCAGAGACAGCCAATTCTGGACTCTCAACCTTCGAGTTTGATGACTTGCAAACATGGAGCGAGAGCTATTTCGAGAACTGGCACACTGCTTATCCTTTTGTTCACGCACCTACAATACTCGAATATCTGGAGCAGCATGTTCGACCAGTCACTCTACCGGAATTGTGTAAGCAGCGAAGCCCACGCTTCACGATCATACGCTCCATCATGTCAATCTCACTTGCCGATTGTAGGCAGTCGGGACGCATGTTTGAGAAGCTACTACCTGCATTTCTCGTTTTCACTTCCTTCAGAGAAGCCATGGAGAGTGTACAAGACATGCTGTTCAAGCCATCTTCTATCGACGCCCTACAAGCGGTGGTCTCGGTCCAGCTTTTTCTGGTGTCCATGCTACGTCTCAATGGAGCATCAAGACTTGGTGGTATGATTGTGCGAATGGCCTTTCAGCTAGGACTGCACAGGTGTCCTGCGAGATACGCAGGCTTTGACCGTGAACAAGCTGAACTTCGCCGTCGGTTGTTCTGGACGATATACTGTATGGACCGCTATCTCTGTCAATCTCTGGGTCTACCTCTGACCATTCGTGATGATGACGTGGATGTCTGTTACTTCGACGATGAGAAACACGAAATCGATGGCCGTCACCGAGCAGCCATGGACGACCGGCTGAGGACTTTGAACTTTCTCACCAAACATGCTTCGATCAAAGGACAGATCGTGGAGCTCCGCAACAAGTCCATTCACCAACGAACCGCTAACCGAGATCTTGCTACACTAATCGGAGCTCGAATTGGCAAGTGGGCTAACGATCTCCAGTATGTCCTAGATGCTGCGGATCACGATGAACCTGGTCAATTCAGCACGTTACACGAGGTGGTCCTCCTAGTCTCGCAACATGAACTGATTATATCTCTCAACCGACCTCTACTGGCGCTGGAGAGACATACACCAGAGTATATGGCGGCTCTACAGACCTGTATCCGTGCCTCTGACACCATTATCACCACTCTCTACAGATACGTCTTTTTCCGACTCGTCCAACGGGGCGAAGGACCATCTACAGCACCTTTATTATGGCCCTCATTGACTTGGTGTGTGTGGATGAGTGCATTTATCGTGCTTCACGCAGCGATCGAGGGAGAGATGCCAAAACACGTTGCGCGGCATCTTGCAGCCAACAGTGTGGAGATTCTCAGGCACCTCGCACTACGAGGAAGTGTTTGGCCGAATGTGTGTGCGGTCGCTATCAACGATCTGTTTCTGAGATTGCTTCTAGACTCCAATGTCACAACGCCACAGTCGCCGCCAGTGGAAGCGAGTCATGTAGAGCCGCGGAACGAGACGAATTTTCAAGAAAATGCCGCACCAACTACGCATCGTCCTTTCCGTGACAACCCGCGTCTTTACAATCGCTTCAGCACGACGAGTGAACAGAACGACCCATCCAATCACGCCACGAGTCTGATAGGACCATCCCCGTCAACATCTGAACCACAGCTGTCTATTCCTTGGCTATCTGAGGCCGATGCAGCTGGGGCCACTAGCGACAACATTTTCGAACAGTTCGATATTCCTTTTTGGATAGGCGATGACCAGTATTCTTCGGTCTTGAATTTCGATCTCTAGCCCTTGCCACACTCGAAGGAAATCAATACCAGATAACTACAAGCACAAACCAAAGTTAATTTTGTTGCTCGTTTCAGAATGTCAGAAGTATTTCCTTGAGTGCAACGTGCTGAGTCTTTTGGCTTTACTAGTGGATTGCTCCAATCGCGTCTCTTGTCTGCTATTGAGAATCTCTGGGCTATTTGACTCAAGATTTCTTGGGCCAAGATGCCGCGCTGGAGATTGAGTGTCTTGGTCTTGAGGCAAAAGGTCCAGGACAGCGGTTCCCATATATGGATCACGAGGGTAATTGTGCATTCTTTCCACTGTCCAGCCATCATTTGTCGTTGAAGTTGGTAGTCTCGTGGGTGACAACGTGGTTGATGATGTGGAGACTGGTCTGTGGTCGACAAAGGAATCCAGAGTGCTTCGCGCCTCTGATGAGATTCTCTGTCTCTTTCTTGTTGGTCCAGTCTGTCGGTTCTGTTGTCGTCCGGGCGGTCGGCTTTTCGATTTGACAACCTCTTCCTGGCGTTTAGATGGCACCATTCTGGCTGATGATCCATTCATTGCAGATTTATATCGCATCCATTCCCGTTGCTGCTCCTGCGCATCTAGCGGATATGCTTTCCACTCTTCGACTTTGGCGATTCGGACCTCGTTGAATTCGAGCTCCCGTGGTTGTTCGTCCGTCACAGGAGATACATCCAGATGGCGTTGATCTGCTTCCGAATGCATCTCTGAATCATGGATGGTTGAAAGAGCTTGAAGTAACGCGGCTTCTGTTCGAGCGAGTCTCTCTTCGATACTTGCGATGTAGCCTGATGGAAGGCCTCTGATAACATATCATCAGCTAGCTCCTCAAAAGAGAATAAAGTAAAGGTCGAAAGCTTACCTCTTGCTAGTGCCTGGATAGGTACAAGTCTGGCCGGCATGAACACATTGAGAACATGTTGGACTATGGCAGATTAGTCTCTCAGTCAAAACGAAAATCGGCGCGATTCTGTACCTACATCTTACGGTCACACTAAAACAGACTGCATAAGAACAATTGATCGGAACAATAGAATCGCGACATCCACCTACCTTGCGCTTCTTGGTGCGACAGATCTCGCATGCGATTTGCGAAAAATCGGTCATGAGTCTGTCAGATCTATCGAAATTCGAGCTGGAAATAGATTTGAGGCGAAAGGTCCGGAAAGTTGAGGAAGTTGCATTTTCAGTAGCGGTCGTGTTGGTGGGGTTTTGTTTCTCCGATCCCGACGTGCACCTCGCTGTGCTGCTTTTGCGACAACACTTAGAAGCCTTCAGGCCGCGACAGTGCGTAAAATCTGGTCCAACTCAGATTGTAACTATACAAAACGAATGCTCTTGCGCACTATCGAGCAGATAATGTCTCGATGGCACATCCGATGGTCTCAAGAGGCGCACGACAGCTTTGTCCCTGCAACAGACTTGTTTATCCTCCGACGCGATGTTACTGATACGGCGTCCGACGACCTACCTTTCTGCGATCTCCGAATGATTGCATCCTTGAATGAACGTTCACAGTGATACAGGGGCTGCTGATATCACAATCAACCTGGTCACTCATCGCAGGAGACGTCGACCATCTGGCCAAGCGTTTTGACCACTCTTGACCACCAAAATGGCCACTCTCTCTGGTCTGTCAACCACCGGAGCCACTTCCTTTCAAAACTTCGCAGAGCTCCATGACGAGTTTTAGCAAGCCACCAAAAATGCCGTCTTCTACTCCATCGTTTGGCGAGGTCGAATACTGGAATACTCGCTTCACCAAAGAGGAACAATTTGACTGGCTGGCCGATTTTGCAGTTCTGGAACCTTGGTTGAAGAAAGCTATCACTGAAAAATCTGGTCATGATGAGAGGCCGCAAGTTTTGCACATCGGGTGTGGATCTTCTGCGCTGTCGACACAGCTACGAGACTTGGTGGACTCGCCGCAGCAGATCCATAATGTGGACTACTCTTCTGTGGTCATAGAACGGAACCGACAGCGCGAGAGTGAGATGCTACGAACCATGGCGTCTGAGATTGAGCCCTGTCGTTGGTCGACGCTAGACCTATTGTCTGCATCACAAATCCTGGACGTCGAGAATTTTGGAGATGAATATGATGTTATCATCGACAAGTCGACTTCTGACGCTATATCCTGCGCTGAGGATGTCGCAGTCGATCTACCATATTGCATCAACACTACCAACACGAACCGGTCTCCAGCTCAGAAGCAGGAAATGATATACCCTCTACACATACTAGCCATCCATCTAGCCTATCTAGCCAGACCTAATTGCCTGTGGATCGTGCTTAGTTACTCGTCCTCTCGCTTTTCGTCCTGGGAAGATGCGACACCGCCTGGATCCCCAAAACTGGATCAGATCTGGGAGATGCATAGACATGAGAAGATCGAACAGCCGCCTGATCCTGAGGATAATGTGCATAGACCTCCAACTATGCACCATTTGTACATCCTCAAACGTACAGATGTTGTACTGAATCGGGTTATTTGATTTGCCCTGTACGACGCATATATGCGACCTCCGACCCAGAGTGTACTCAATCCACTTGCGCAAAACGACATTGGCGGTTTGAGGCTTGTAACCGTCCAGACTCGCGACACTCAGCAGTGTTTTGATTTGAGGGACATACGAACCGAAGAAGCGCTTGAAGTCTAGGCTCATCGGACGCGATAGACCAGAACCTGCTTCGAGCCTACAAGTCGTTCACAAGTCCATCGACGAGTTCGTGTACAGATTGTTATCTCTTAGACTATGTGGTATGGTGACGAATGTGGTCCGCATCGTTACAAGCATGGCTAGAGGAGCTTTTGTTCGGCTCGTGGATACCAGTGAGCTGCTAACTAGGGTTTGTAGTGGCATGTTCGAAGTCCACCTGGGGTCAAGGAATATGTGCCGATGCGATGGCAGAAAAGGAAATTCTTGGCACATGCTGATAATCAAGTTCCGCATCGACCTTGGTACTTATTGGTCTCACCTATGCTCGAAAGTGATCATACACGTACAGGGTATTCCCACGTTAGATGATTAGCGCGCAGACTGAAACCTGTTTGTTCTCGCGTTGGTAACAGCTTCGATTGGTCAGATACCCTGGTTATGCAAGGGAAGATCATGCAGACAAATCATCTAGTGTGCCAACAGTCTGTGTAGTCAGGCTACGGATCGGAGATAAGAGCAAATTGGATATCGATTGTGGTTTGCCAAGAAGGCCGCGGTGTTCAAGCCTCCACAACTCTTGTGGATCTGGTTCACAGGCGTTTTGAGCGCAATTCTCGATTGAGCACAGCGTGAATGAATCGAACCTCTATCCTTATGTTGATCAGGAGTCAGTGATGTGATGGTACGGCCAAAAGACTTCATGCACGTCCATCAACAACTACTGCCAAGAATTCAGGATTCACTAACTTGGCGGATCATCGTTATATAGAGGAAGGATTACCATCACGCATCTCTGATGAACGTCATACCCTCGACCTGGGACGCCTTATAAAACCAAGCCATGTACCCAGGTTTCTACGCCACCTGTCCTCGCCAGACTGACAACTTCGTCATGCATTCGCTCACCTCCACCGCAATTCTTATTGCTCGAGACGCAAGTCGGCTGGGAGATGCGTCGATGATGCTGCTCGTTAGTGCTTTGGGTGTTGCCGTTCTTGGGTTCGAAAGTCTTTGAGAAGACTAAATGAGCCTGGAATGCAAGATTCATCTTGCTGTCGTCCACAAAACAGCAAATCCGTGGCTGCTTATTCTGTTCTGGCCAGCGACATGATAGTTGTACAATACACGATAAGTCGGCCGTCAATAGACCAAAAATCGAAGTGATTTTACAGTTGTCCTATGATCATGTCGCGAGCTGAGGAACAACCCATAATCACTGTGCCGTGCATAAGTATTGCATGGTCCCATGTTTGTTCAGCCAATTGGCAAAATCTCGGAATTTTATCTGCCAATCGGAATTGTTCAACGATCCTAGGTACTCCTGCTCATGGGATCCATGTTACTGGGCAGATGCGCCTGTTTATCATGTGCACTGTAGCGACGCCAGCCACGATCAACAAGGTAGTCGTGAACAGCGGCCTAGAACCCAATGACTATTTTCTGGTTTTAGTCGTGAGAGGGCTTCGGAATCTATTCGCACAAACTTGGGGTAGCTGAAGAAGATACACAATAGTCAGATATTTGCGGTCGACTCTCACTGCAATTGCTCCTTCGGTGGCGCTACTTGGTGCTTACTTGCCCAAGCCGTGGCCATGGTAGACATCCCTTGACGCTTGAGAGACACAACCATCTACCATTAACAGCTGTGCTTGAGAGAAAGCTCCAAGGCTCTTGTGGCATGTATAAATACTTCTTATCGCACTGTACTCACCACGATACCAAACCATTCTTATCTTAGCACATCGTTGCAGCATCAGTATGGATGCAATACCCTACATCGACATCACACCCCCTTACTTTGCTTTACACGACATATCAACCTTACCACCCTTACCAGGCAACACAGTCGAAGGCATCAGCTGCACCTTCACCCGCGAACAACCCCCGGCCTCCAAATTACTCACTTCGACGCTACAAAAATTGGCAGACATCTCGCTATCCTCGGCTCTTTGGTGGCTGCACGCGCAAACCCAATCAAACAGAAACACTACTATCTCGCATTATATGCTCGACTGCATGTAAATGAGATCCGCACTTCGCAGCCTACTTTGAAGGGGAAAGGTTTCATTGCTGAGCCAGTGAAGTGGGCGAAGAGGCAGGTTACGGTTGATATGGAAGCTGTCACACTGAGTGGGGAGCAATATGCCACACTGGAGGTTCGATATGCGATCCTGACGCAAGAGACATTGCTGCGAATTACTCGGCCTCCGGATCCGGCTCGTATCTCGGGAAATTCTTGGGATCGCTCTCAATCATCGCCGTACGCGCATCCCATAATGCTGCATCGTATACGCAAATCAAAAGATGAGGCTTCGGCGACACTATCGCTGTACGATGTCTCCCGTATGGCTGGCCATTTCGACCCACGTCCTACGGCTCCAATCGCTATCCTCGCTAGCAACGCACTTGCTCTGCTTGGCACATTCCTTGATGGTTCCTTCTTATGCGAGGATTTCGTGGTTGTGTGCAAGCGGCTAGCAGTTGCGGGAGAGGTGCTTGAGCTAAAGCTACGACGCGTGATTGAAGGAGAACCTTGTGAAGTGGTGGGTGCGACTCATGTCATTGAGTTAATTGATGAGCAGAAGAAGAATGTAGGAACTATCTTTGGTCGCATCAAGTGTTGCTCTGTTTCTGTTGAGAAGTCTCACTTGTAAGTGTGGAGGCAGACTTCTTTGCCCAAGGAAGAAATGGTTTTTGTAAACCTTGATCTATGCACCTTGAATTAGAATACAAACTCGAATGCGAATTCGAAAACATCTCGGAATGACACATTGCAGTGCATGAGTAACCGTGGAAACTCCAGCCTGAGCTTTAAGACCATGATCTTTGGAAGACGGACTCATGAGAGATAGCAATCACTGTCGCTATAAGGTTCGGGGTCAGGAGTAGCGTTGGCAACAGTGTCAACCTCAAGACAACGCCAGCAATGGTCACAGGCAATGGGACAGCAAGGATGATGGGAAACATCATCCTCGTTGATCGTCGCAGGTGGGTATTGATTGTTGATGGAAATGATAGCAGTTCAACCATGCTTCACAACGCTCCTGCCTTTAGATCTGCGGCTAGTAGCGAAACTCGAGAGCGAAGAGTGCAACTCAATCGACAGACAGATGATTCCTGGGGTCGTCAGAAGTATGGTCATCTTGGCCGGTGTAACGCATGTACGATGCCGCATGTATGGTCATCTTGGCCGGTGTAACGCATGTACGATGCCGCATGTATGGTCATCTTGGCCGGTGTAACGCATGTACGATGCCGCATGTATGGTCATCTCGGCCGGTGTAATGCATGTATAATACCACATATACGGCCGCCGAGAAGCTTTGCCGAATGGATGGAGAAACAAATTCCAGATTCGACACGAAGAATTCTGGCTGATTCGTGTTAGATTTTGGAATTTCCATATACTCCACGAAAACGCGAGCACTGGTGCCTGAATCATGCCAAGATGCTTGAACAAGCTTAGTCAGTCGCTAAGTTATATAAGCTCCTGCCAAATCCGCAAGTTGGTCGCCGAACTCATTAATCTTTTCATCCATCCTACAGACAATCGACATGTCTCCCGAGTCCATCAATGCCGAACTACGCGATGCCTTTAAACTTCACCGGTCTCGTGTTCTGCAACTAAAACGAAATTGCCTGGCGAGGTTATTCGAGATTCTCGAGATATCACCCGACACCACAGATCCAGAGGAGCTCGATATCATCCGCGCTGAGGAATGGCCCACGAACGTCATTGGTCACTTGACTGATCCCATCAGGAGCAGCGCGGACCTCTACGACCTGATTACGGATGGCACAAAACCGCCTCTACCGGAGGAGGAACGTCTGCAGATATTCACCGAGATTGAATCGATACTTCGAGACCGTGCTACTACGGACACTGATCCTGTGACTCTTCCTGAAGATCTCAAACAACTCTGTGCGCTCACGGACTCGCTACAAGGACCCGCTTTGCCAATGACCAATCTCCAGATTCCTTGTGCATTCAGTGGCTTGCGAACACCTCTGGCATCGCTTAAACACCCTTTCCTCTCATCTGAACAGTCGAAGCAGTATACTGGTCTGTGGACTCTGGATTACGAGGCCTCTGTGATCATAGGCATGGGCGATGTTTCAGGTGGTGTTGGTGGTGGTTCCTGGCTTTGTTGGTCCAAGGCACAGGGCACAGATGCTTGGATGTGGAGATGGGCCACACGTGTTGGTTACGAACAACCACCTGCCGTGTATGAGGATGTCAAGGACATGCTAGGCCGATACTGGAAGCGATACGTGGACGCTGTCGCCTCATCCTACGATGGTGATATCGGTCAGAATGAGCTGTTATAGTGACTTGATCAACTCCCAAGCGAAGACGCACGGAACAAGAGATCACAGAACATAAAACAGGTATCAGTGACCTGATGGCTAAAATATATTCCATATTCAACATTATCTCAAGTTGGAGCTCTAGTTTAATAAGCTTATTCAGCAGGCAATGTTAGTAGACCCAAGATGGTCGATACTGCTTTTCCAATTGTTCTCCAAAATTCGATGGTTTCCTATCGTCAAAGCTTTACTTGGGAGCCTTGTTCCTCTGGAGGCGCAAGCAAGAGGCGATGTTGTAGAAGATATCAACATTGTTGTAGACGCCTCCGAAAGCACTCTGGCAAGGTCCCTGAGCGAAGACAGGGACATCAGTAAGCGAGTGCACACCCTGGTCTGCAGAAACAGGAAGCGTGCCGTTAACGACAAAGCCAGTGACGGCATCAATGTAGTTGACGTAGTAGTCATTTGACGAGAAGCCAGTGATGTTGAGAGCAGGGATTCTAGGTCCGTTCTTGTGAACGCGGTAGTTTTCGCGGTGGTCAGGGAAGGTGGCAAGACCAGACTGCAGAGTGTAGCGAGGGTCCCAGTTGACAGGGAAATCGACTCCGGCAGAGTAGACAAGGTTCTGGTCGCTGCCGATGGGAGCAGAGCGGTTGGCAACCATGTATTGAGATAGACCAGATTGCTCGTAAGTGCCAACTGCATCGCGCTTCTTGCGGTCGCTGGATTGAGCATCCATGTACTTGGTGTCAACGCCGCCGGTGACATCGAAGCCGTGACCGTGGTCAGCTGTGACGATCACGAGGGTGTTGTCGAGTTCGCCGATCTCCTCGAGATGCTTGAGGGTAGCCTTGACGGTGTCGTCGAGTTCGAGAAGTTCACCAAGAGCACGGTCGTAGTCGAGGACGTGCATCTGCTTGTCGATGGACGCAGCTTCGGACATGAGGAAGAAGCCCTTGTCGGGATTGCGCTTGTGTAGGATGTCAATGGCCTTGAGGGTCATCTCCTTAAGACCGGGCTGATCAGTTGCGGCACCGCTGCTGCCGTCAGGAGCAGTCTTGGGGATCTGAATGTTGTTCTTGTAGACGTTTCTGTCAAGCCACTTTGCCATGTTAGAAACCGAGAAGATACCAAGAGTGCGCTCAGTGTTGGGGGCGGCCTTGAGAGCAGTGTTATTCTGAATGAGGTTGTAGCCCTTGTTTTGGAACTCCTTGTAGTAGTCCTTACCTTGGAAGGACTTGCTGCTCGGAATGAACTGCTCAGCACCACCACCGAAAAGAACATCTGGTCCGTTCCATGAGGGCCAGGTGTAGTTGGTGATGCCGTTGAGGAAGGAATCAACAACGTTGCCGTACTGGCCACGGTTACGAGTGTGAGCAGTCAGTGCTCCAGGAGTAGCATCGGCAATGAAGGCAGTAGAAACGATGCCAACACCGCCACCACGGACTTCGTGAAACAGCTCGGCGATGGTTTGAACCTTGGGATCATCGAGAGGATTGGGAGAGGAGTCGGCGTAAACGCCAAGAGCATTGACGGTACTCTTATGGCCAGTGTAGAGAGCAGTGGCCGAGTTGGCAGAGTCGGTGATGAACGAATCAATGGAGTGAGTCATCTGGTGGCCCAATACGGNGAACTTGTCCATGGCCATACGAGATTGGTACTTGCCGTTGACGCTTTGGTGGGCAATCAGACGAGCAGCGGTGATCATGTTGGTAGTCATGCCATCACCGATGAACATGATGAGGTTCTTGGCCTTTTGCGAGATCTTGTCGTCGCGAACAGTCCAGTTAGCCTGGGTGACGCTACCGTTGCCATAGGTGAGAGTGGCAATGTAGTTGCCAGGCTCATACAGAGCGACCTGTCTGTATGCTTTTGAAGCGACCTTCACCATCGAAGGTGTCTTAGCAGCCTGGGCGAAAAGATCTTCGTACCAAGTGAAGTTCCATCTTTCAATAGCGGGCTCGGCAACCTTGAAGTATGAAGTAGCGCTCTTGCAGTCCTTTTGCGTGTCATCTTTGGAGATTGTGAAGGTGAACTTTTCGTCGGGAGTCAGGTAGCCGGGGACGACCTCACTACCGTTCTGGGGAGCGTGAGTCTCGAGACGGATATCGAACCATTGACCAGGGAGGAATTCGCTCTGATCCGGAGGGAAGATGCAACCCAAGGTAGGACAAGCACCAAGGCGCTGGAAGGTCTGAGCGGATGCCTGGCCAATGATGGCAGCAGTACACACGACACAAGCAGTGCTGAAGCGCATCTTGATAGCGAGTAAGAGCAATGAAGAGAGACGGAGGAAAATCAACAGACTTGACCTACCTTCATTCGCAGATCTTGGAGTGCTGCAGCTTTATAACGATCGACTGCTTACCTCGGAGCTATGCCTTCACAGCTCCCTCGCCGTCAATTCAGCCAATGATTGCAATAGGCAGTGCCATGCAGGCTGAGGACTGCGCCTTCACCCTGATATCGCGTGGTGAGCGACGCGAGAAGGAACAGTTTACCGTTTTTGCCGCGCGTGCCAAGTAGCGAGGCGCTCACAGCATGGTCTTGTCGACGAGAGAGTTTGAAAGTTGGGACGATGTTTTGGTGAGGAAGTGAGGTTGCTCTGCAAAAAGTTCGGGGTTTCGCCAAGGCTTGGCAATTGGCGGATGCGATGGAGGCTTGAAAGAGGGTTGCTTGTCGTTCCTTGCATGGAGCGTCTCAGACCAATCGTCTGAAGCACGTTGTGCTTGCTGCATATCAATGACCTTCCTTGTTGGAAAGACGGCTGGTCTTGAGGGCTTTGAGGCTATTGGCTGGACGCAGAGCATGTCACTGATGCGTGGTTCGTTATGCGAGTATGCGTGTCTGTACTCGATCTGCTCAGTGGGTCCTACGCTCGTCGCAGGACTTTTTTCTCGGTCAAGGCAGCTCCGATGTTCGCGGTGATGGAAGACAGAAGCGATCTGAATGGGAGATTCGGGCTTGGTGGCTACCTCGGTCGGAAATGCTTGGCATTAACATCTCAGACAGGGTTGTATCTCAAGCCATGATTCTAAGCAGGACATACCTTGTGAAGTGCCTTACGAAGGTGTTCAATAGACTCATACCGTTGCCTAAGATCTTTTTTTACACTTGGCCTGATGACTCTGAAAGACTCGTCGGCTCAATGCATCGGGCGATCCCACCACTCGTGAGTTGATTACTTTGATGAACGGTTCCGTAGTCATGCTCACAAGAATGCTAAGAGGTGTTCACAAAAAGCAGGAATGAAATGCTAGACGGAAAAACCAACAGAACAGATCTCTGGACCAGACCATCCAAATCAAACGCTTAACCCAGCATTAGATCTACTCGTTGCATTATTGCAAGCAGAATTGTCGTATTATAGCTCGGTGGTGCAACGTCCGAGGAGGTAGCTCCTTCCCCGCCGTAACAACGCAGATGATTTTCCGCTCCCGCTTCCACTTCCGGTCTCTCCTCTCATCTTTACAAATCCGACAAACTTCGGAAATTATCACGACCTCATAGCCATGACATGGCAGACTCATACGCTGCAATCGCAACGTCAACAACACCCTCGAACAAAAGATTGAGCTCTGAGCTTGAGCAGACAGGCTCGCGGCAACGCCAGAAAGTCACGCGAGCTTGCGATGCTTGCAAAGCGAGAAAGAAGCGCTGCACCGGCGACCATCCATGTGCGCCGTGCATCAAGGTGAGAGGCAGTTGCACGTATGAGGCACAGTATAACAGAGGTACGTGATCAATAGTTCGACAGGTATGAGTTGTGGAAATGGTCGGACACGACTCGAGCGACACGCGTGACGTCAGGAGACGGCGGAAAAGCTGTGGTTCATATCAACACTTTTCAATGCCTCTCTTGATCGGGAATCCGCTATTGAAAATTTATTGACACCATAGGTGTACGCAAAGCTTGCGCTGACATCGATCTGATCAAGGCATTGCTGTTCCTCCCTCTCCGGCACCACAAGGATATAACTTCACGACTTCTGCNCCCCGACATGCTGTCACCAGTCACACATCATCTGCTCATTCAACTCGATCTCCGCTTGCGGAAGGTAGCTTGAGGGTCGTAAGGCAGGCCATTCGACGTGATCCATCCTTCGGCATCGAGACAGATTGCGACACAGCTCCCGATGCGCTACACGAGGTCGATCTGAGAACAGTTCCTTCTCGTTCGACACATCAAGGATTGAGTCCAGAGCTACGTGAGACCATCGATGAACACTATCTCGGACCATCCAGTGCACAATCTTTCTTGGGTCAAGCACTGCAACGCTCCGATCGTGGCCCAGTGCAGAATCCTATCAGAAGACCCGAGTCACATCCCGAAACAGAGACTTCAACTCTCTCGTTCGGCGATGCCAGAGTCAGCCGGCCTGATATTTCAGGCTTTGTTTGGCCTGAGTACAGAACTGCTACTAGGCTTCTTGAGAGATATCTCGAGTTTTCGTCACCAACGTATCGCTACATGCATGAGCCTACCGTGCATGAATGGTTGAGAAAGATCTACGACAAGACTGAAGTTCCAATTGCTGCTACAGCGTGTGTTCTGCTGATCTTTGCATCGGCGGCCATGTTTACTGTTGACTCTTTTGGCGACACCATCGATGCGAGTCATCAAGGTTGGCAGTCGAGTGAGATGTACTATCANAAAGCCGAAAGTCTGCTTTCACAAGAAAATGGTCCACCACGACTTGAGTCTGTCCAAGCCAGATTTGCTGCGGTTCAATATTTGCTCTCATCCTCAAGACCGAACAGGGCTTTGTTCAACTTCGGCACTATGATACAACTGATGCAAGCGGTGGGCATACATCGAAGGCGTGCTGAGAGAGCCAATGATCCAACGTGCAACCCGATCACTGTGCAGATGCAAAGACGATTGTTTTGGTGTGCCTTCACCTTGGACAAGTACTTGAGTATTGTCATGGGTCGGATATCGTTGCTGCACATCGAGGACACTAACCAAGAACTCCCTATAGTTGTGAATGATGAAGACCTTACTCCGGAAGGCGTTCGACAGCAAGACAAGACGTACGTACGAGACTGTCTTCTTCATGCTACCCTTGCACATATCGAGATTGGTATCATCCTGGCTAGAGCTTCACAAGAACAAAATCGTTTGCCAAGCACCACAGATCGCTCACACGTCGAAGCAGCTGCCCGGCGAAGTGATGAGATTCGCGATTGGCAGTCAAAGCTAATACCGATATTGTCTGGCGCCATCCACCCCAGCAGCTTGATTCCATCTTTTCGGCGTCAGCACTCTATCCTCACTTTGGCACGTCTACATGCCATCATGTTCGTCACCCGGCCTCTCCTGCTACGAGACCCTTCTGCCGAACTATCAGAAACAGAAGCCAAGCAGTATCGTGATCAGCTGCGATCTTGCATTCAGGCAGCACGAGAGGCCATCGAGACCATCAATGGTACAGCTCGCTATCGAGTCTTGTTTCCCGCCTTCTGGTTCTCGCAGTATATTGCCTTTTCCGCTATTTCGATCATCCACATATACGTCATTCAATTGAGTCGTTACCGCATTCCCACTGACTTGTTTGACGGGAATCCGCACATGGATAGCAAAAATCTGTATGACACAGCTCTGGAAGGACAAAATTGCCTGGTTGAGATAGGAGTCAAGAGCGCGCCTGTATGGCGATATGGTCCAATCTTGGAGGGCCTCTCTGCAGAAACGGCGAAGTATATTGCTTCACATTACACTAAGACGACGCACGTAAGAAGCATTCAGGACGCACAAATGATGCGAATGACAGCCAATGACGACGTCGCACGACCTACGAACAGCACATCACAGCCCACTCAGGATATCGTGGACAAGTCCCACGAACCCAACATTCCATCTTTCGAGACAGATGCGATGTGGATTACTGGGAACGAAAACCTCTGGAATGATCTGATGGCTGGGACAATGGACAACAACAACTTGACCATGGATTTCTGGCCGCAATTCGACAATCTACCGATTGGCATGTTGTGATTCCTGTGCATCTCACAGCGAAAAGTCATTGGTCAGCGGTCCTTCCCCTTCAAACCATCACGGAAATGGCGTGGCGATTTTCACCTCTTGGGGCTCAACTGCGAGTCGTTTCCAGAAGAACATCGAAGCCGGGCGATTTGGCATAAACACTGCCATCCCTGTACCTCTTCCAATGTTCAGCTTTACGGGAAATGAAAAGTCGATCGCTGGAGGAGGCGCGAACACTTTTACGGAGGGCCGGGACTCGCTTTCTACACGCAACAGAAGACTGTGACGAGTCTCTGGCAGGATGGCGATGCGATTAGCACTGAATCCAAGGCGGTCATGCCGACCATGTCGTAGCAGCGGTATTTGAACGTCCTGATCGTCTCAAGGCCAGCAGCCAGCACAGCCTTATCGTCTCTTGAAGAAAGCGCATAGAATGATCTAGAAACAGCTTGTCCACAATCGCTTTTGTTTGATACATATCATAAAACTTTTGTTCTTATAGGCTTTTACAATGTCGCTCTGCATAGAGGTCACCAGTAATTTATAACATCGCTAAACAGAACAGAGCCTATAGTGTTAGGGCATTAGGGATTATTATTTCTAAATACGGTTCTTTTTGGAGTTGAAATCAGCTAGAGATCCGAGGGACTTACCGAGAGGCTTTGCTTTGGCTTGCGATATAATAATGATTGCTGAATTCGATGAGTTTTGCGATTCTTAGGATGCGATCCGGCCATGAACGCAGATGACGCACTGAGTCGCCATGAACGAAGATCGCCGGATGTTCGGCCCGAACCCGAACCCCGATGTTGCGAGCGAAGTTCTCGCCGAAGTCTCACAAAGAAGTCCTGCCTATCGTCTCGTGCGGGGCAAGATTAGATGGTGTGAGATAACAATATGTATGTAGGTAGACATTCAGACACTCGTGTCTTGTCCACTCAAAACCCATTTCTGCTCAGCACACGGTGCATCACAAAACTGGGATGGCGCTGAGTTTCGAAGATATCACGGCTCTGCCTACATCATCTCTGAGACTTGTCGTGTCTTTTGGCCTGTTGCTCGGCTTGGCGTCTTGGTGGCTCGCACATCGGAGCACCACCAAGACACATGAGAGATCGCTCTCGAGGGAGGGGCAACGGAAGAAGACAGCCAAAGGTGAGTCTCAGCAAGTCATATAGGTATCGGGGAGACCCATTCATGTGCTAAGGCCAGCATCTAGCGGATCTGACACAGATCGATGTGGCCGATGTCGTTCCCACATCTACCGAATGGACGAGCACGCCTCAAATTCCATACCGACCATGGCACGATGGACCTTATCATGTCACAATGGGTAGGTCCAATCAGCGATTGATAGAGTAGATCAAGCTTGTTGACCGAGCTGTCTCAGGCCTGAAGAACATGCGCGTACAAGACTGGATTGAGATAGACAACACTTACCTAGAAAAGTATCACTTGAAGAAATCGCTCTACCGAGGGCACAGAGATGAAGTGCTCGTGGTTCAACCAGGGTGCGAGGACGCATTGTTTGAGTCCGTCCACTATCTCAAAGAAGTCCTATGTAGAGGCTACCCGCAGATGTTCCAGCTGCATGCCCCGGACATCATTAAAAATCGTGTGACAGGAGACGTTTGGGACCTTGCGCGAGATGCCGAAACCTGGAAGACGCATCATCCTCTTGAGGTGATGGGCCTTTTGGCCACAGAGGACTTCTTCATCCTTCAAACTGATCCAAGTTCTGGAGTCTCGACTCTGAAAGCAGCAGGAAGCTGTTTTCCAGGCAAGTTCAATGCGTGGTGTCATGGAAGAAGAGTACTGACAAAANNGTCTGTAGCTGGTTTCAAGATCGAAGAACGTGTTGGATGCTCGCTCTGGGAGATCCATGCGGGAAAGGTACCTCGATACGAACAAAACCTAGCCAAGTCCATGGACCGCTTTTTCCAGAAACTCAGGGTGGATTCGCCGATCCAACGCTTCAACTACGCGATCGATGATTCCAGCGAGCTCTTTCATAGACATTCTCACCACAATCTCGGCGACACAGAGAACATCAGCAAGCCACAGCTTGGCGATCTGCATCTGCGTGTTGAAAGACAAACGCTGCAGAGATTGCCAAAGTCGCGTGATCTTCTCTTCTCAATCCGCACGTACGTGACGCCGATCCACGAAGTCACCAAGGACAAAGACATTGCCCGAGCACTTCGCACTAGCGTGGATAGCTATGGGAAGGACGTCGCAAGATACAAGAACAAGGTGTTATGGAATGACGTTCTACAAGAGCACATAGCCAGTGTTCTCGGTGAGAACGAACCAATCTCGGGAGAGCTGTGAGTGGATTTCGTCTTAGCATAGTGGGTCTGTCGCATATATATGTAGCTTCTCAGGTCAACATAATCTTGCATTCTTGATCCAGCATGACCTTTCGCCAATCTATCGGTCCAAGACCGTTCTTGAGCGTTTGTCCATCTAGAACTCGGTCAGTCAGTCTCCAAGTCTCCATGACGATCTCCCGGGCGCGGACGACATTGCCCAAGCCCTTTTCCACGGCACGCGACATGATTATGTAAGCCCTATGTCTCAGAGGTACTTGAACAGCTTCGACCGCAGCTATGAAGGCAGGCCAGAAAGTGTTGGCTGGCTGAGTTTCGGTGTCTCGTGTGAAACAATCCATCGTCTCCAGGTAATCCAGAGTCCGTCGTACGTAGTCTTGACAGTCCGTATGGTCTGACGAATCTCGTGCCCGCCAGCAATGAAATTCTTTCCAGACGGAGTGCACGACTCGGTGGTAGTAGACGATCGCCGCAGTATGAAACGCCATTTGATGGTTTTGAGGATCTCTTTGCTGATTGTTGGGGGGAAGCTCCGCTGTTCTCTCGTTACAGTAAGCCATCCCAGATGGGAAAAATAGGCCAGATTCTTCTAAAAAGGAGAGTTCGTCCTGTAAGATTATGGAAGGCAATGAGCGATCGGCCTGCATGAGCTCTTGTCTTAACACCTTTGCTGTATCGACCATTGATTCAGGCATTGACTTCCCAATGCCGGAGGAAGCGATCATATTCGCCATGCTGACAATCCTTTGTAATAGGGAGAAGGTCTTATGATTGATACCAAAAGACACACCCAGAATGTAATGGTCTCCCGAGTCGACTGCGCGAAGTATGGTGCTAGCTGTCAACAGGGCTTCCGGATTCGATTGAGTGTTGCTCGTGCGTGATCAGTGGCAAACCGCATCTCTGTAGTGTCCCATGATGAACGATTCTTGCTCATTGCCTACTTCTACTGCAGACGTGGGAAAGGCGATTTGCGCCATCCTATGCCCAACGTCGCTGGTCGTGTTATCATTGTCAAGCGAGAGTCGAGGATTACTGTCCCTGTGAGGTCCATCTCCTTCGGCAGATAACATTTCGAAGAGTCGACATGTACTTGCTTCTTTCTGATTATACCTTCTTGTCCGGGGCGTCATCGAGCGGGATGTCCTGCAATCACGACTCTGAACCTGATCTCGTCCACAATCAATAGGACACCATGCTTTCTTGTCAGGCTCCTCAGACCTCGGAAGAATTCTGGCGATGCATGATTGTCTCCTCCTTCCGATTGCACTGGTTCAACAATGACTGCAGCCGGGGAATTGTGATACTCAGAGATCAAGCGTTCAACGTCGTCCAAGCAACGTTTTTCCTCCTCGGCAGTTTCTTTGGCAAACTGATCAAGAGGGTTTTCCAGCTGAGAAACCCCGCTTGCGGCCAGTCGAACGCTGGGATATCAATCTTGTGAATGGCCTTGCTACGAGTTGTCGAGAGCGACCCGAATATGCACCTGTGAAAGCCAGATTTGAAAGAGAGTATGCTCAATGGGGGCAGCCTGGCGCTTGGTTATGCAAACACGACGCAAGCTCATCAGCCGTGAAATCTACGCCGTGTCCACCTCTCTCCATCCTTCGCTTCCATATAAAGGCAGCTTTGTACGCCATCTCATTCGCATCGGAACCGCTTTGCGCCGTGTACACCGAACTCAGTCCTGCGGGAGCCGCCCTTAGCAGCTTTTTCCGAAGAATCGTTGCCCAATCGTGCTAGAAAGCTCCCGAGCGCGGGACGATTGACGAGTGCTGACAACATCGCTGGTGACTGGACGACCTGCAGAAGGGAAGGGTTGTTGTATCCCAGTGGTATCAACGCAATCTGTGCGAAAAAGTCCAGGTACATGTTGCCATCATGATCCAAGATGTAGTTGCCTATACTCTTGTCGTAGTTTGCAACCATGCTTGAGCTTCTCGTGTCGAAAACAGAAGATAAGTCATGGAGCACCTTGCTTGACTCGGGACCCGGGAAAGCAGTCACGCGGTGAGGCAAGACCGGCGCGCCTGGTATATATGGTGACGATTGTTGCTTATTAGACGCATACGTCCGGCTTCTGATATGGTTGATTTTGACTGAGATACAAGGCCAGCGCTGCAGGCGAACGCGGGCTAGTGCCGACATGGTCAGAAATTCGAGTTTTGCTCGGAGGTAATGGGCAGTGTGCTGTTGGAAAACACGGACGACTATTGATAGTCTTTCCCAATCAAATCTACCACAAGACCAGATCTTGTATACATATCCAGCCTCGTCGAACAGTGCGACAATCTGGCTCGGCGAATAAAAGTATGGCGTTCTTGGAAGGATCACACAAACTCGCTCTGCCCGAGCTATATATGCGGAAACCGAGTTTTCCGTCTGAAAACTGCGCTATCTTCGAGCCCGCCCGCCTATGCTTGCTAATGCTTGTGCTCACCGCCCTTGCTGCTCTAGAATAACACATACAGGTCAGGCAAGTGAATGGAAATATCATGTATATAATGACCTTAGCAGACTGTGTTGGAAGGGCGTGTAAGAATTGGGTAAATCCATGAGACCTCTGGATCACGCAATCAGCCATGCTATGAAATCACCACATACGGCGGCCTAGCATAAGAGGTCGTCCAACAGTTGATATCACTGAGATAGCTGTAGTAAGTCGGCAGATTGACGATATAGTTGACCTTCATCCACTCCACAGCTTCCTCCGTATTGCCCTCTACAGCTGGATACACCTCTTCTTCATCATCAATAAACCCAGCCACATCCTCATCGTAATCGTCATCATCATCGCAAGTCTTAGGCACAGAGCCCTGTAGCACTGCCCATACCAGTCATCGTTTATGAGATTGACCCACCCATCCAGAAGTGGAGAAGCTAGGATACTCTGCAATGACTCCGCGTCGATCTGAAGGCAATAGCGACATCGAACTGCCATGGTGCCATATGGCGACGGTGGTGTTTTTCGCCTGGCAGCAATCTCCACATCGCTGCCTTGCTTTGCATTCTCAGCAGTCCTGCACCACTCCCTAAACCTGCTCCTCACAACAGCAGTAATTGCCCCATCCAAACCATTCTCATCTTCAATGACCGTAAGCCTAAAAGTCTGCAGCATGTCTTCTCGGTGATGAAACTCCAAACTGCTAATCACAGAATCTTCCAATTTCTGCATGCAAAGGTTCCAGTGGTCATCGCTGGCAGAGGTGCAGCGAGACATCACAAAATCCCAGATCTTGTGGCCTGCGGCAGAAACAGCGGCTTCAATGTTATTAGCAGTGTTGTGGCGAGGCATGTCTTCGAGACGGGGCTACTGGCGTCCAGCGCGGCGAAGTTCTTCTCGATTGTTTCCATGTAGGCGAAACATTCTGGAGTGATGCCGGGCCGGTATCTGCGGATTGGTGTGGCGGAAAGAGTGCGTTGAAAGCGGGAAAGACGGTGTGTGTAGCTACTTGAAAGAGTGAATGAGTTAGAGTGTCGTGAAGGGACTCGTCCAGCGATGGGGATGATGTTCCCAAGACAAAATATCAGTTTTAAGTCGAAGGAAGTTGGCCATGTGAGATGGAGAAAGAGCGAATTTGCCGACGACGAACCTTTGGAAGTTCTAGATTCCAGTGGAGGGAACTTGGCATGGGTAGAATGCCTGATACCAAGACTTGGTTTCACTATAATCGGAGGCCTAAAAGAACTGAAACGGTCAAAGGAAAGATGGGAATACTTACTCTACGCGGTTGGGCAAGATCTAGTAGATAGATAGATGCAAAGGGAAAAGTGTAAAGGGAAATTTTGCTGTGGGTATCATATCATACGAGTATTTGAGGATAGGAAACAAAAGGATGACGAATGACCCGTGTAATAGCCTCTCAATCTCTCACTGTTACATACTTGTGCTCGCACGCGTTGGCAAGACCAATAGGAAGAGATTGTGATAAAACATTCCCCCTTGGAATAGCTCCAACCCAAAGATCCCATACATTCCCTCGCAGACGCCAGAAAACACCTCCCCTTCCGATTCCATGCCTAGATCTTATACACCACACCACCACTATACATGACCTTGTTGGCCTCATTCAACTCCGTCAAGGCTTGTTCCGCTTCTTCAGGACTGAAGTGCTCGTCTCTGGCTCCCAACCTTGCATTTACAGCTGCAACCAATGGCGCCACATCCGCCGCATCATTGGCAAACAGGGGTCCATCGATAAGCTGACCAAGCGCCGTCTGGAACACCGAAAGACGATGTGCAGAAATCCCCTCTTCTTGAGTTTCCGCAATTTCTTGTGATTCAGGGGCGGCGGATTGGGATTGCGAGTCGAGGAGTTGGGATGCAGGACGTGAGGACGCAAGAGAGAACTGTGANNGGATGAGGGTGGTGGGAGGGAAGATTGTGTTTGCGTCGTGTTTCTGGTTCTGGTTGCGCGAGGAGTGGCGGTGTAGAGGTCGTCGTCTTCGTGTGGTAGAGCACCGGAGGCTGTGTGANNTCATCCCCATTGGCGGGTGTTCTTCGTGCGCCTCGTCTGGCTGGCGTGGTGCCGCGGCGGGTGGAGCTGCGGTTTGTGGTTGTCGCGTCCATGTCTTCGTCATCGGATGAATCGTCGTCTGAGGAGAGTGGCTCGGTGGTTGCGCGGGTCTTTCTGCGTTTCCTGCGCTCATCTTNNCTGCGACTTCTTTGAAGAGGGCGAAGCGAAGGATCCCTTCGGCGACTTCGGCATCTTNTTGTTCGACACGGTTGGACAAGCGAGATTTGGCGTGTGCGGTACTCAGACGGATGAGGGTCTCCAGAGTACGGGCGGTCATTGGTGAAGTCTTGCGTTGATTGCTCTCAATTTCGTCATTGCGGAGAGAGGAGTAGGTGGCGATGATGTGGTTCGCGGCTCCAGAAGTGAGGATGGGCTTGACTCTTGACTTGGCGTATTGGATATACTTCTTGATGAAGGGGATGCTGAGAACTTCAACCTTGCGACCTGAGCCGCGGCCGACAGTGACCGTGACACCGGCGTGAAGCATGACGTTGAACTNTTCATAGACTTCCGACGTCTTGTCAGCGTCGGCTTCTTCTTCGAGACCGACGCCGAGAGACTGAGTGGCTTGTTCGCGGACTGGAGCGCCTTCTTCAGTGCCTGGTTGACGGTATCTGTGCATGCGGAGGACGTGTTCAGACACTTGTCTGTCTCTTACATCCTCAATGTCGTCTGTCACAATGAACAGCAAATCGAAACGAGAGAGCAGAGAGTCGGGCAGGGCAATGTTGCGATGGGGATCCTTGTGAGTGTCGTATTGGCCATAGATAGGGTTGGCAGCTGCTACGACCGAGCAACGAGCGTTTAGTGAGGTGTGGATACCGGCTTTGGCGATGGTGACCGTCTGCTGTTCCATGACTTCGTGAATGGCGACACGATCGACGTCGGACATTTTGTCAAATTCATCGATACAGACGACACCACGATCGGCAAGAACCATGGCACCCGCTTCGAGTCTGCGCTCGCCAGTCTCCTTGTCGGAAGTTACTGCAGCTGTCAAACCGACACCGGAAGAACCACGCCCAGTCGTGGCGATTGCAAGCGGAGCCGTGTTCAAGACGAAACGCAGGAGTTGCGACTTTGCAGTGGACGGATCGCCGACCATCAAGATGTTGATGTCTCCTCTCAAATGTGTGCCGTTGTCCAGATTCTTTTCCATACCGCCCAGAAGCATGAGAAGAATAGCTTTCTTGATGTAGTCGTGACCGTAGATACTGGGAGCCAGAGATTGTGAGAGCAGTTCAAAGACCTTGCGCTGTTNTGAGATTCTGTTGATGTTGCGGATGTCCGTGTCGGTGATTGTGGCTTGGGCAATGCCGCCGCCAGACTTGGACGAGAGAAGGATGATGTTGTTGGCGAGGACCAGCGTGCGGAAGGTCGAGCTTCCCGCACCGGCGTTGCGGTTTCCGAGCGACCTGTAAATGCCGACGAGCTGGATACGGTCACCAGGCTTGACTTTGTCGACCATGTCGTCGTCCATGATGACGTCGACGCTTCGTGGGAGTTGGCCTGCGGGAGCGCGCTCGGGCATCTCCTGGATGGAAATGGTCTGGTGGTCACGGTAGGTGCAGAAGCCGTATTCGGTGACGAGCGGGTTGCCCTCGTCGTCTTCGGTGGGGTAGACGGAGGAGCTGGCGGCGCCGTTCATGGTCATGGTTTGGTCTCTGTACTCGCGGAAGTGGAACGACGACTTGTTTTCGTTGTAATGCACACTCTTGACGACTTTGGGGCGCACGAGGGAGCATTTTGTGACGATGCCCTCGAGCGAGACCATGTGGTTGAGGTGCTGGGAGCTCAAGGTGCGAGGGTTAGTGGCGAACTGGCCGAAGCTGCCAAAGAAGGCGCAGTAGTACATGGTGTCTTCGGCCGTCTCGTGGGGCGGTCTGCCGGGCAGCGTGTTGACAATGTTCTTGACGGCGCGGTCGAAGGCCTGCGAAAAGTCAAAGGGCATGTTGAGGATACCCTCGGCCATCTCTGTGCTGTGCGCGCGGATCTCATCGAGCGATACAGGCAGTCGCCGTGACGAGCGACCCAGCATAACCAGGATATCCGCTCTGTAGCTGCGCGCTCGGGGGTCGTCTGNGCACAGCAACATCAGTGATCGTGTCTGGCAGCAGTCAAGAAGCGCCAACATACTCGGGTCGAGGAACTCTTCGGCCGCTCTGATGCGGTCGCGCACCGCCTCGTCTCGTAATTGTAGGCCGTCCATAGTGTGATGTGTGTGTGTCTTCACCAGACAGAGAGCATTTCTGTTGTTGACAGAATAACAGGTCCGAGCGTGTCCGACTTTCGCGATGGCGCGTAAAGTGCTTCTTGGCGTGTCGCTGATCAGATAAGATGAGATATCACTAGCTATCGATGGGCATATCAGGATCGACAAATCACAGGGCACCACGCGCAGCGTGATGTCAAGCCCACAGGAACCTGCACGAGTGACTCTTGTCTGCATGCGTGCGACTGCAAGTCACGCTCACCGCTCGACCGTAGAGTAGGCTGTTGTGCTGCACGCGCTGCTTCTTTAACTCAAGCCATGCGCCCTCGTGCTGCTGCAGCTCTGTCGCATCCTTATTTCCTGCTGCTGCTCTGACGATTTGGTCTTTTGCGCGACTCTACGACTTTTACGACTGACGATCCACTTTGCGCCTTGCTGCCTACTGCTTCTACAGGCTAATCTGAAAGTCACTCGGATTGCTCACACTACCAACTGCAGTGCTGCCTTACTGTCCACCGATCGCTCTGCCGACGCGTGTATATAATAAAAAGGGCTTAAGCCTTCAAGCCCGCTCACCCCGCCAAGTTGCTTTTCTTGTTACGCCTGCACAACTATAACAAAGCGTATCCTATAACAAGGCTCAAGTCTGCATCTGGCCAAGACAAGGGGCCCGTCTGACTCCTGTCTTACTCGCATTCCTGAGACATCACTTTTCCACTTTTACAAGTCTGCTCATCCGCCAAACTTCTTCGATCACATCCACAATCATGGCTTCACCTCAGTCGGAAGCAGAGCAGAAAGAGGCTTATCAGTATTGGGGCTATCTCTTCAAGCAAGATCGAACAGGCACTGATATGCTCAAGAATTTACTGCGAGGCATACACAAAACTATAGTGAGTCATGATCTATACCTACACAAATCGGCACAACACTGACTGCCCCTCACANNGATAAGCACATTCGACTCATCCGAATCTTCAGATGTCACTCCGTCCCAGATGGCTCAGTTTTACCGAGCAGTCAACGGCAATTACGACCCACTTTTTCTCTCGACTCCTCCCTCGACCATTGCATTCATCTACAAGAACTTGGGCTGCTTGCACAGTCTGCAGCCCCTGGCCAATTTTGGAGACCGCTATGCTGATCCTGTTGTACCCGCCCTCAAAGTCGAAGGGTATATCATGTGGCAGACTGTGCAACTCCTGCTAGGCCCCGACGAACACTCGGAGTTCTTGAGACAAGCTGTGCAAAAGTGGGATATCAAAAATCCAGAGACTGGCGTTGCGTTCCCAAAAATCCTGCCGCGATCATGTTTTCCTGCACATCCAGACAGCAGCATGGTTGAATGGTATGAGGGCATGAGCAGCCGCTTGCGCCGGGAAGCCGAAGAGCAGGAGCGCATTCGAGTCCAACCCATCGAGGACCGTCCAGACACACCAAACAACTCCAAGCATCATCGCAAAATCAGCAGATACTCGGATAATGCTCTGACTGATGACGAGTCACCCCCAGACCACAAAAATTTTGCCATAGCCTACTTCCGGGACCCCCTCTTCAGGACCATAGACGGCAGACCTGGTCTTGTGAGAAATGGCAGTCGTCGCAGGCCGCCACTCAGTCCTCGTGACTCGTTTGTGCACAGGAGCAAGACTGTCGCATCGACATTTGGCAATGTTATCAAGCATGTGGGCAGTCCGCACCTGTGGGATGGTCACGCAGCTACCAAGGAAAAGGAAAAAGACCGCGATCACCGCCGGCGCAAGAGTTTGCCTGACAAGCATCACTATCAAGATCTCGACAGTGATGGCGATCATGTTAGACAGTACAGCCGTCGGGGATCTGTTCAAGACTCACCGCCCGAACACCATCACCGTCAATCTCACCACCATGAAACTTCAAGCCTGCGGCCGAGTCCAACGTACCACGATCCCAACATACGGCATCGACGACCCCACGGTCCAACTAGTCCACGCGAATACTTTCCNCCNGTTAATGACGAAAATGACATGCGACGATCCAGTTCGGCCACTCATCTCAAACCTCGCTCGACGAGTCCGCAAAAGTCGGGCTTCATGCCTTCGGTATCGCCACTTTTTGCCACGCACGTTGCGCGAGAAGGACATCGACCCTCTTCTCGCTCTCGACAATCCTCGGCGCGTAGTCCTGAGCGGCCTGAGCTAGCAAGGCAACCTGGGGATGGAGGAAGCGGCAGCGAGGTCGGGAGTAACAGAGGAGGAAATAGAGGCACTCGACCAAAGGTGGCGAGATTTCAGGATTCGCCGGTTGGAGGGCTGGGTGGGAGGAAGTATCCAGTCGAGTCTGCATATAGGTAGAGGATACAACTCAGAAGCGTCTGTGCGTGGGAGACACAACCGTAGCACCAGTAGCATCGATCGTCCCCTCGGGCATTTCCTTCGTAGATTCCTAGGCAGCGTTACTGCTCCTTGTGCAGTGAGCGATATCTGACAACACCATGTCCAATCCACGTGCTTGTATGGAATAATCAATTTATCAAAACACATGTCGCGACAAGCACCCTGTTTTTGAGGCAGCTAAGCGAGAAAGTCTGCCCTGTTTTTGTCCCTGGAGCCGTTCGGCCGAGACGTCAGGGCAAGGGTCTCGGTCTCGCTGCGATAAGCGCGCGCGGACGACATCTGCTGTGGCTGTGGCTGTGGCTGAGGATGAGCGGTGTGGGAAGTCTGAGTGCGAGGCTGTGCTGGGAGGTGTATGTATAGCAGAGTGAGAAGGGTTTTGTATGAGCGAGTCATGGAGTTCTTTGTTGTAATGATGGCAGACAGAAATAGGGGTTGGTATGATGTGGCTTGGGCCCAGCCAGTGTGGGGTATTGACCATTGACCATCTTGTTGCTTGGAGCTTGCGTGTTCACTCTTGTGCCAACTTTTCTATCAAACTCCTTTTGCTCTTTCCTCCCTTGTGTCCCTGTCGTCCATTCAATTCATGGTTACCGTCACTGTCACTTCTGGCATCGTCATTCATCTCTCCACTCGGTCTTGTCAGGTTTCAGCTCTGAGCGAGTCTTAGGGCAAGGTCAAGAATGTTGGACGGAGTGCACAACGGCCACTCNAAGGAGGAGCTCAAGTCGCAAGGCGCCATTGAAGCTGCCCGCGACCCGCACAGCAAATTCACGGCTGCAGACGCCGAGCAGAAGCTCCTCGAAGAGTCGCGCAAGGGCGGAGCTGCTGCCTTTCGCTTCGACGCCGATGCTTCCTCCACCGAAAAGGCCCGTCAGGTCAAGGCCGTGAGTCCTTCTTCTCAAAACACACTCTGAGTCCTGTACTGAAACGCTGCANNGCGACTACCGCCAGAGCTGCAGCACATCCGCCAGCACCAAACAGCCGTCCTCGCATCCGACCAAGACGATAACCTCAAACCCGCCTACGATATCCCTACTGCGCCCCTGAGCGCCGCACTTCCCTCGCCCGCCAAATTCACTGCAGAATCCACCGATGGGGACAGTCCAGAGAAGGAGGAGGATTGGGCAAAGGTCGGCTGGGCTCCTCGCTTCGGCCAGCTGCCTGACAGCGCCAGTGCCCAAGGCGACAACCTGCTCGACCACCAGACCATGCTGGAAGGCAAGCTGGATGACAAGTTCTTTGGCGATTGGTACCACAATACGGGCATCATCATCTTTGCCTGTCTCTCCTCCTGGGTTGTCGCCGTGCTGGGAGGAGGCCTCGGCTGGCTCTTCATCGTCATGGCCATCTGTGGAACCTATTATCGCACCTCGATCCGTAGAGTCCGTCGCAACTTCCGAGACGACGTCAACCGTGAGATGGCAAAGGCCCGTATCGAGACGGACGTCGAGTCGCTCGAGTGGATCAACAGCTTCCTCGTCAAGTTCTGGCCCATCTGCGCCCCCGTCATCTGCACCTCCATCGTCAACACGGTCGATCAGATCCTGTCCACTTCCACTCCGGCTTTCCTTGACAGCATGCGCATGGAGTTTTTCACCCTTGGCACAAAGCCCCCTCGTCTCGAGCACGTCAAGACCTACCCCAAGGCCGAGGACGATATTGTTCTCATGGACTGGAAGTTCAGCTTCACCCCCAACGACACGGCCGACCTGACTGCTCGTCAAGTCAAGAACAAGATCAACCCCAAAGTCGTGCTCGAGGTCCGTTTGGGCAAGGGTATGGTCAGCAAGGGCATGAAAATCATCGTCGAAGACATGGCCTTCTCTGGCCTCATGCGCGTCAAGATGAAGCTGCAAATCCCCTTTCCTTATGTCGAAAGGGTCGAAATCTGCTTCCTCGAGCGCCCCACCATCGACTATGTCTGCAAACCTCTTGGTGGTGATACGTTTGGCTTCGACATCAACTTCATCCCTGGTCTGGAAAGCTTCATTCAGGAACAGATTCATGCCAACTTGGGTCCCATGATGTACCAACCCAACGTCTTCCCTATCGAGATTGCAAAGATGCTTGCTGGAAACCCTGTTGATCAGGCCATTGGTGTCTTGCAGATCACCTTCCACGGAGCCCAAGGTCTTCGAAACCCCGACAAGTTCTCTGGCACCCCGGATCCATACTGTGCTGTTTCCATCAACGGCCGCGACGTCTTGGGCAAGACAAAGACTGTGCATGAAAACGAGAACCCTCGTTGGAATGAGACTATCAATGTCATTCTCACCAGTCTCAAGGATGCCCTCACTCTGCAAGTCTTTGATTACAACGAGTTCCGCAAGGACAAGGAATTGGGTGCTGCTACTTTCGCCCTTGATCAACTCGAGCATCAAACAGAGTTCCCCGCTCAACAACTCGAAGTCATGGCCAACGGACGTGCTCGTGGTGTCATNCAAGCCGACATTCGCTTCTTCCCCGTGCTCGAGGGTGAGAAACTCCCAGACGGCACTGTNCAACCTCCTCCCGAGAGCAATACTGGTATTGCAAAGTTTACCATCGAAAGCGCCAAGGAGCTCGATGGTAGCAANAGCATGATTGGTCAACTCAATCCCTACCCCGTCCTTCTTCTCAACGGCAAGGAAATCCACGTCGGCAAGAAGCTCAAGAGAACAAACAACCCCATCTTCATTGATGCCTCGAAGGAACTTCTCATCACCGACCGCAAAAAGGCAAAGCTTGGTCTCGTCATCAAAGACGACAGAGACATGGCTGCTGATCCTATCATTGGTACTTACCAACTCAAGCTGGACGACATGCTCGAGCTCATGCAGAGAGGTCAGGAATGGTACAATCTCGCTGGTGTCAAGACTGGTCGTGCCAAAATGTTGCTACAATGGAAGCCTGTCGCTCTCAAGGGCGCTCTTGGTGGTTCTGGTGGTTACGTTACCCCTATCGGTGTGATGCGTTTCCATTTCCAGAACGCTCGCGACTTGCGCAACCTCGAGACCCTTGGCAAGTCTGATCCTTACATCCGTGTCATGCTTTCTGGTGTCTTGAAGGCGAGAACAGTCACCTGGAAGAACAACCTCAACCCTGATTTCGACGAAGTCCTCTATGTCCCTGTTCACTCCACTCGTGAAAAGCTCAGTCTTGAGGTCATGGACGAAGAGAAGATCGGCAAGGACAGATTGCTCGGTATGGTCGAGCTTGTTGTTTCGGACTATGCACACCAAAATGAATCTGGCGAGTACCTCGTCGATGACACCAAGAAGCCCTTGTCTCAAGGTCTGCGCCTTGGTGCTACAGGCTCAGCCAAGGGTCTTCTCAACTTTACTGCTTCCTTCTTCCCTACTCTGAATGTGATTGATCCCGAAGATGAAGAGAAGGAGGAGAAGACCAGTCTGGATGTTCCCGACCCCGCCAAGGAGCCTCCCACTCCTAATCTCGAGGCGCGACCGGAAGGACGTGCTCGTAGTAACACTGCAGGTACAATCACTTCCCTCAAGTCGAATCCTGCAGCTGCCGAGATGCGTCAACAACTCGCTGCCAACGAAAACAAGCAAGACGATGGTTTGCCAGTCAAGAAGGAAGTCCCCAAGGTTCGCATCAGTGCGGAAGAGCTCTCACACTACGGCAAGTCCGCAATGTTTTCTGTTTTTGCTCAGACACTAATAATGCTTCANGAATCTGGTCTGCTCGTCTTCAAGATCATCGATGGCGACCTCGCTGCTCCCGGATGTCATCTCGAGGTCATCATGGATGATATGCTGTTTGCTTCATACACCTCATCGAAGACGCGCTCGAAGCAATACACATTTAATGAAACCGGTGATGCCATGGTTCGCGAACTCGATCTGTCCAGGATCACACTTCGCCTTGTGGAAGAGGTTGATTCCAAGGGGGATGACGACCACGACAAACACATCAAGGCCAAACTCACCGGACAAACTCTGGAAGTTCTCAAATCTGCGCTTTACACACCCACCAAGCTTACACTCAAGGACAGCCATGGACGTGACAGCAGTGTGACTGTCAGCTTGAAGTATTTGCCGGTCAAGATGAAGCTGGATCCTTCCGAGAGCATCAACAATCAGGGCAATCTCCGTGTCGAGGTTCTCGATGCTGCTGATCTGCCAGCTGCTGATCGTAATGGCTACTCCGACCCTTACTGCAAGTTCACACTCAACGGCAAGGAAGTCTTCAAGAGCAAGACACAGAAGAAGACTCTCCACCCTGCGTGGAACGAATTCTTCGAAGTCCCCATCCGCTCCCGAACAGCTGCCAACTTCCAGGTGGACGTGTTCGACTGGGACTTTGGTGACAAAGCCGACTTCCTCGGCAAAGCAGTCATCAATCTTGACATTCTCGAGCCTTTCCGTAGACAGGAAGTCACTCTTGGTCTCGACGGCAAGAGTGGAAGTGTCAGGTTGGGCATGCTCTTTAAGCCAGACTATGTCACCAGATCTCGTCAGGGCTCTTCTACCTTCCACGGCACTTTCGCAGCACCTGGCAAGATTGTCGGTGCACCCGTCAAAGGTGTTGGCAAAGGCGCAGTCTTTGTCGGTGGCAATGTGGTCCGTGGCGCCTCATTCCTTGGTCGCGGCTTCCGCCGCAGAAAGTCGAATGCCGAGCAGGATGGCGATGAAGTCGTTACTGACGATACACCAATGCCCGGCATGAGTACCGGAGCACCTCTTGTTGAACAACAGAGCCCCGAGTACACAGTCAACGTCGAAGGACCCGGTACACCACACTCACGCACCCGCAGTTTCGGCAACAACACGACCTCTCCCGCCACCTCCGAGACTGGCACCGCATCCATCAGCGTCCTCTCCGCCACCGGCTTTCCCGCCGGCACAAAAGTCGAAGTCAAGATCCTGCACGACGGACCCCAAGGCCTCAAAGAAATCATCCGCACCAAGCCGCTCAAGACCAAAGGTGAAGAGGTCAGCTGGTCCGACCTGCGTCTCGAGAAAAAGCTGTCGTGTACACCAGACTCGTCCTTCCGCATCGTTGTTTCAGACCACCATACCTTTGGCAACGGCACCGAGCTGGGCGAAGCCCAATTCTTCCTCGACGATCAGGGCGCTGGCGGCGAAAAGGAAGTCAAGGTTGGTAGTGGCAGTGTTGTGGTCAGGAGTTCTTGGCGCCCTTCGACTGCTGACTCGGCATCTATGCTTGGATCCATCAGAGGCAGTCCAGGCGGCGCAAACCTAGGCGGCAGTATCGGGCGCAGAAGCTTCATGGGTAGAAGGGAACGAAGCGTTACACCTTCCACACCTGGACAATCCTAGAAGGACAAAGAGATACCTGGTGCAGGAAGGAAAAGCAATCTTGCGAATCTGAGGAAGATCAGTCTAGGCTCTCTGAGAAGGGTCTCTGGAGATGCTGTCGTTAGGAAGTTCTCTGGAAGCGCGCTCGAGGGAGAAGAAGGTCGTAGCCAAAGAAAGTCTGGGTGGATGGGTCGAGGACGCAGTCCCGGTGGCATCAAAAGCCCCACCAGTATGGGCAGCATCAATAGTCTGACCAGCCCTCTACATATGTCTAACCCCGAGGTCAGTCTCAGAAGAGGTATATGTGGGCAAGGGTGGGAAGCAAGCGCCGACAAAGACATAGTCTTGAGTCCACCGTGAGTATTGCATCCACAGACTCTATAGATTACAAGAGGAGACTTGAGGGTTTGCTCTTTTTGATGATGTTGCTGTTCATCAATATCTTTGATTTTTCTCCTTATTCCTCTAATGATACCAAAACACACCCACCACAATTACATTATTTCTTTGCAATCTTTTTGGTTATGAAGTTTCTTTTATGCGTGCTCTGGAACCGCCTATCTAGACGAGCAGCATATGCTTGAGCTTGATATCTCCTTTAAAAGAGCGAGTGGCATAGTCATGTACCCGAATGTCTCTCGTTGATGCGATGAATGTTAGCATGTGGAAGGTTGATTGTGTGTAAAAGGCGTGGCCACCGAAGATGCGCCAATTGTGGCGCTTTCTCTGTGACCCGAAACAGCTATTGCTAGCGCTGTAGTGTTCCGTGAGATCTTCTTGATGTACGCATGAGGCAGTGACTGTTTGCCGTTCAGAGTTGATCGAGGTGTTCCGTGTCGTGCTTGGTAGATCCGCGTGGTTGTGCGCAGCTCTTTGGACACTTCTCATCACTGCTGGACCATTCTCTTGATGCGGTCCAGCAAAACGGTGCTTTCTCTTCCGAGCTTCCTCTGACCATTCTTGCCACCACTTCTTGCTTTTGCCATTGCTTTTCTAAACCTCTCTCTTTCTTCCGTCTTTTCCGCTCTTTCCTGTTGCGACCTCTCGTAGGCAGCACGGCGTTCCTCGGCCTCCCTCTTTTGACGCTGAGCAGCGCGGTGTTCCTTGGCGAATGGGATGATTTTTTGACGGCGACTGTGGTGTATTCCTGAAAGATTTGACTCTGTGTTTTGTTCGGGTGCCTCTGCTATAGAGGCAGGGACAGGGGCAGGAGCAGCGGCTGGCGATGGAGATTTGCGTTTCGGTTTTGCTTGTCGCGGCACTTTCACTTGCACCTCGACCTCTTCTTCGGCATCGACTTCGTCCGGCGAGTCTTGTTCATCGTCCTCTGTGGTGGCATATGTCGATGGGCGCTTTGGTTGGACGTCGTCTCCAGCTTGTTGTCTTTGCTTTGCGTATTCCTTCTTCAGCTTCGCCTTTTCGATCAGATTGCGCTTGATCTGTANTGGCTGTGAGGGACAAGGTCAGCGTGTGACAGCGCCATGTGAGACGGGCGCGTATGTACTCTTGCGACGATGGGTGCCGTCGGGCAGATTTTGGGGGCCGACGATGAAACCCTNTTTGTGCTTCTTTGCGGCGCGGTCGGTAGACGCATCGTCGCGAGGGCGCTTTGTTATGGCCATGATGTGTTGTGTTGATTGTGGTTGTGGTTGTGGTTGTGGTGAAGCTCTTTGATGGTTCCTTCCCCACAATTGGAATTTCTTTGATCGGATTGCGGGAAAGAAAAAACGCTCCGCCTCGGCCTTGGGCTGATTGCATCAGATGACTCGACGACCGTGACGACGAGCCTTTTCTCTCTTTTGTTCCAGCTTGCAATCCTAAGCCTGACCACCTGTGATATCCTACAACAAGCGACCTCGACTTCATACTCCGCCAGCCCCTTTCCAGACGTCCAACTTGACCACCATTCGAGCCCCGACAGAGTCATTCTGACGTCGCCAATTCTTTATCAGATTGCAAAACCATCAGGGTCTTCGATCGACTGGTAATTCGCCCTCACCGCCCGGACAAAAGGGGACACGACACTTCCTTCCAACTCTGAATATTCTCTACGTACACAAGCAGCTCGGAGCTGGACCAATGTGCTCTGAGCTGCAGAATGCCGCACTCCAAATACGACAGCCCCGACAATAACGCCCACGGCGTTCAAATCTTCAATCCATTCTTCACCGACAACGTCCGACATGGCTTCAACCGTAAACCCACTCCGCCCACCGCTATCGACAGGCAGGATGTTATCAGACGTTTAAAGACAAGAGGAAATGTCGAGACACATCAGGAGCGACCACTGTCTCCCACGCGGATACTTCTAGACCACGACAGCAATGCCCTAGGTCTCGACATCCCACGACCGCGTTCCGCCTTACACCGTGGTGACTTTAGAGAAGACGATGACTCGCAACACACTATTGCAACGTCCCCCATAGTGCCATGGCATACTCAGTCGCAACTCTTGCAACGTCCGAGAGCTGCATCCCAGGCTTCCTTATCTGGCAGCTTCTCTTATCAGCCGCCCACAAGTCCGCTCGTCCACCAAGCGAATGCCAACGACATGCCCGACCACGACTTACCCCAGTTCACCCCGACAAGGAATCCACATGCACCCTTGCACCGTCATTCCTCGTTGCGTGCTTTTCCTTATCAAGCACATCAGCCTCGCCGCTCTATCGGCTCAATATCCTCTTTGACACAATCACCATTCCTCTCGGCTCGACGTCCGTCCATCTCGGATGCTTCACCNCTACAACACGCCCCCATGGTTGGTTCGTACGAGGAGAGCATCCTCAGNGGTCGCATGTCTACAACCCCGTCAAAGCCCCTTGACTTTGTCGCTCAGATCGGCGTCCTCGGAAAAGGTGACTGCAAGCCAAGCCTGAAATGTCCGCCTCACGTCTCCATACCATTTCCAGCAGTCTTTTACAGCTATGCGTCTGGAACCACTACGGACCCAGAACCGAGTCCCTACGTCGGCATGCTTGATTTGGAGAACGCCTCGAAAAAGGCCGAGGATCCAGAGGCTGCTACGGCACGCCGACGACGAAAACATCATCAAGACCAAGAACACAGCAAAAACAATCCACAAAGCTTAACAGAGACCAGCAATCTGGACCACGACAAGACTCATCGACGTCAGCACAAGCTCCATAAGCGATCAAGTACAACAACACCGGTCGGATCCTATCGCATTCCAGAAGTCGGTCAGCTGCAAATCGTCATCAAGAATCCCAACAAGACTGCCGTCAAGCTCTTCCTCGTTCCTTACGACCTTTCGGATATGCCNCCTGGTACAAAAACATTCATTCGCCAGCGCTCATACTCTGCTGGTCCCATCATTGATCAGCCAATCTTCAACCTAGCCCGCTTCCCAGATGTCAGCATCACCGAGAAACCAATTCTTAGGTACCTGATTCACTTGCACATATGCTCGACACAGAAAGGACGATACTATCTTTATGGTGGCACAAGAGTGGTCTTCGCGAACCGAGTACCAGATGGGAAGGAAAAGCTGCGCACAGAGATGCAAATGCCCGAGCCAAGATATTCTGTCTGGAAGCCAGCTGCTGCTGCGATAGATACAATCGATGTGGCGGCCAAGGCAAAGGAAGATGCAAAGAGACGCCGCAGCGCTGTCTTCCCCTCGCACTCTTCCTTCGACATGTTCCCTCATCCTTCTTCTGGTTCAGTCGACAGTACAGCTTCTTTCCAACACTTCTCTCTCAGGCCTCAGCACGAGCATTTGCCAACACTGGAAAGCCGACCACAAAGTCGTGGCGATATGGACATCGATGCCGCACCTACCAACTCATTCAACAGCATAGCGTGGGAAAGAGAAGGAAGAGGAGAAGAAGCATTTGTCTTTGGAAGACGAGATGGTAGTGTCGACGTCAAGACACGACAGGAGAGTCTGCTAAGCAGAAAACTCAGAGATCTGGAAGTCAGGGGACGCAAATGATCTTGAGAGCTTTGTACATCTTCAGGGAGCGTTTGGATCAAAGTCATGGGGCGTTTTCTGATTTTGCAATGCATATATATGGATGGTCGGAAGCTCAGGAGTTTCGTCGTCGGCGTTCAGGGAGCACTCTTGCGGGCAAGGGAATCTCGCTTATCTCACAAAGTCAATTGCTTGCTATTAACATTGGTTGTACGAGCCATAATATCCGGTATCAAATGGCTTGCAACATTCGTCTAATCGTGCCCAAGCCATCAACGACCCATACTTTTACTTCGTATCTAGACTTGGGTACGACCACGGATCGTTCGGAACGGTATGAAGGACGCGTGGATCTCCTCCATCTCACGCGCTCTATTCCTGCTTTTGCACGGCTTGATCTGGCAGGAATAACCCAATGTCAAGATCGTCAGCCCTTGTATGTCATGCAGACCTATGTCGTGCATTACAGGAGGAATAACGCAGTTGTCAGCGAGTCAGACAAGCAAGTCGCGCAATCATTCATCTGGTCGAGCAACGAGGCATTTCCCCGCTCGTTCATGTCCTTAAGCTTTGATAAGCTTCTGAGGGATATTATTCCCGGCTTGGCCAAAGTCTTGTTAGATACGAGGTGTGCTCTCCTTCCTTTTGGGTTAGGCCGCGCCCGGATGACAAGGCCGAGTGACGACAATGTACTGTTGCTCGTATCGTCCCTCGACGACACATAAATGCCTCCTGTCCCAACCACGGAAGCTTGATCAGTCAGTTGCAAGTGTCTCATTACTACCCATAATATCCTTTCAAGGATGGGCTCTCAGAACCTCGCCAATCTCACCCTGGGTGGNGGTGATCCTCGTCAAGGAGAAAAGAACCCCGCTCTCTTCGCCCTCGAGAATGGGCACGAAGCTCCCACCGATACTGCTGTTGGTTTCAGCATCGAAGCAGCCTTGGTTCATAATGACCCTAGTATCCTCTTCGAGGAATACCTCCACTATGCTGCCATCACACGCGCCGAGGAAAAGGAGTATGAGAAGACCTTGGAGAAGAAATCGTTCACGTTCAAAGGCATGATCAAGAGTCGCTTCTCCACTGGACATCATCAGCAATTCGAAGAAGACGACAAAAACAGCAGCGGACGTCCAGTAGCCTACACAAACGCTGCCGAAGTTACCGATCTGGATTGGAGGCGTGCCTCTCGCGCTACGAGAACGGCTACATGGACTTCCATCTTCTTCCTGGTTACTACCGATATTCTTGGTCCCACAGGTGCCCCGTAGGTGTAAACCAAGATGAGCGTACAAGTAAATCACAATTTTGACTGACAGGATTGCAGGTGGGCTTTTGCAAACACTGGCTTCGGTCCTGGTGTCGCTCTTTATACCGTGTTTGGTGGTCTCGCTGCTCTGTCTGGATGGTATGTCTACTGGACCTTCTTGAGTCTGGATTCGGATCGCTACCCCATTCGTGACTTTGGACAAGCCTTTTATCGTGTCTTTGGCGCTCCCATGAGACATACTGTCAACATTCTCCAAACCTTACAAATGTTCCTCTTGGTCGCTGTTTTGGTCCTCAACAACGGTGGCGCTATCTCTGAGATCTCAATTGGAAACAACGGCAAGAATGGCAATGGCCTCTGCTTCATCGTCTGTCTTCTGATCATCGCAATCATCGGTGTCGTTCTTGGTCAGATTCGTACCTTGCAGCGCTTTGGCTGGCTTGCAAACCTTTCTGTTTGGACTACCGTCATCTGCGCCTTCCTTGCCATCGGTGCCAGTGCCACATCGCCACCTAATTATGCAACCATGTTCAGCACTTTTGGTGGAAAGGGCACAGCATACGGCGATACCAATTTCCCCGGCGGCACGGTCGAGAGTCACATCCCGATCAAAACCTTCGGCGGCACTCCNCCNTACGGTTACCAATCCGGCGGCACTGGCTTCCTGGGAAGTTTCCAGGGTATCGATCAAATCATCTATGCCTATGGTGGTGCCATGTTGTTCTTCAATTTGCTTGCAGAGATGCGCAATCCATGGGACTTTTGGAAGGGAATGCTTGCCGCTGACATTTTCATCTACTTTGTGTACATGTTCTTTGGTCTGTTCCAGTATGCTTATCAGGGTCAATACACGTATAACACTGCTATTCAGAGTGTTGGATCTTACAGTCTCCAGACTGCTGGCAACATCTTGTCGATCATCGGTAAGCAGTGGCGTCAAGCAAGACAATATTTGACTTGAACTAATACGTGGATGCCTCANGGTGGTCTCATTGCCGCCGCCCTGTACGGCAACATCGGCATCAAAGTTATTTACAGCAACGTTCTGATGGAACTATTCCGTAAGTCTTCTATCGCCGTTTGTGCTGAGATCAAGATCCGCTGACCAAGTCTCATAGACTTCCCACCCCTCACTGCAAAAGCCGGCAAGCTGATCTGGGTGGTCCTCGTCCCTGTCTACTGGGCCCTCGCCTTCGTCGTCGCCGGCGCAGTCCCCCTCCTCGGCGATTTCAGCTCCCTCGTCGGCGCCATCTGCATCGGCAACTTCACCTATACCTTCCCAGCCCTTCTGCGCATTGGCTTCATGGTGAAGGAGGCTGCCATGCTACCTGAAGAGCACTTTGACGCGCAAACAGGCAAGTATCATCGTGTGGATGGGGGTATCAAGAGGTGGATGCGCGGATACAGGAAGACGTTTGTCATCACCACGCTCAATCTCATCTATTTCCTCGGTGCGTTGGTTGTCTGTGGGTTGGGCTGTTATGCGGCTATCGAGGCGCTCATTTCTGCGCTTTCGGGAGGTAGTGTTACGACGAGCTTTAGTTGCAAGTCTCCATATGCTGCTTAGTAGTTAGGAGCTATACTACCTGATATGTCCTGCGGATGGGGAAAGGAGGTGTAGTCGTATTGATGTCTTGAAATCTATTTAGCTATAATGTTGATCCCAGACGGGTCTCTTCAAATCATCCATGTCGAGTGTGGATATCGTGGGCAAACGCAAGTCGGAAAGATGTGGTCTCGCTTGCGGCCTTGCGATATGGCCATTTGGGATGCCTGTTGAGGGATGTCGCGTCTTGAGCGTTTCAAACATCTTCCACCACCATCAAATCACGGTCAGGATCTCCTGGCTACCGATTAGTCTTTTGTCTCTCAACTGCTGTTCGTACAATTACGCGGGATGCGTAACAGTGCGATTATACCCTCGCAGCAGCCTGAGATCCTGGCCGATCAAGGCAGCATGCCAGCGCAGCGGCACACTGGCGCACGATTCGTGTCATCCTTCGAGGCCTGCAATATAAAACCACCTCACATTTTCACCAACGTCCTCTATATAACCTGCCAAGCCGCATCGAACATCCCACTCATCTCTTCAACAGTATGCCTTGCAAGCATACTAAACAAATGCTTGAGCCCTCACGGGTAGCGGAAGAAACTGGCTACGAGCGACCAGACAAGCAACAAAGAGCACTTGCAGCTGGCTTTGCTGACACATCGGCTTTCGAGGACAATGACTTCCCAGGACCACTGGTGCTTCCGAATGATGCAATTGACTCTGATCCAAAGTATCCTCTGCAAAGTTTTGCGGATTGGAAAAAGCTCATTACGCCGACGGCTGCACCGCTGCAGAGGAAGAAGATCTATATCGCAGCTCCACCGGGGCGTACTAAGCACTGTCCACGACTTTACGAGATGCAATGGCCGCATAAAGATCACTCGCCGCCACAAAGTGTGCATGTATTGGGATATTTGGCTGCATTCTACACTGGCTTTGAAGTAGTCGAGCTACCGGAAAACACACTCATCTTCGACAAATGGACCGAGGGAGCTGCCTCCTCACCCAGCGACTCTTCTGTCGCGCTCAACACCCCCAAGGAAAGCGTCCGGATTCGCAAAAGACCGATGCCGAAGAATGGTCGTGGTTTCCAACTCAATCTCAACGTTATGCTAGACGCTGCAATTGCGGTACTTCCTAGTGACGCATTGGCATTGATCCTGCTCATGGATTTTGACATGTACGAAGACAATGACGATGAGTTTGGTTGCGGACGCGCGTATGGCGGAAGCCATGTCTGCATAGTATCGAGTTTCCGCTATAATCCATCGCTGGACCGCAGTCTCGAGCTCGATCGTGATCATCTCTGGCCAGCAAGCCATTGTGCCAAATACGTCCAGGAGCAGGTTGATAAGTTCATCGAACCCGCTGAAGCAGATCAAGAGTCGAAAGCCACAAAGTCTCTACAACATTCGGTGCCCCTTGCTAGAGCTATACGGGCGCATCCGAGTGGAAAGTCCTCCTCATACGACATGTGGCTGGAAAGAATTTGCCGTACCGCAAGTCATGAGCTTGGTCATTGCTTGGGTATGGATTATTGCATGTACTACGCTTGCATCATGCAAGGAAGCAATTCCATCGCCGAAGACCTTGGACAACCTCCATACCCCTGTCCCATCGACAATGCGAAACTCTATGCTCTCATAGAGATGAGGGGAGATGCAGCAAAAGTAGGTACGGCACACAGAGAGCTTGCTCTGCTGCAGTTTGCGAGACAGCACGAAGGTAGCGGGAATGGGTTCAAAGGATTCAGAGCGTGGCTCGAGGCAAGAGTCGAGCGAGAAGATGACCATTCTGTTGAAGTGTCAGAACTTGAGTCAGGAACAGTGGCAGGTGGCGCTTTCTCCAGAACGAAACGGACAAAGCGGACCACCACTATAGCTCAAGTGAATAGAAGGAGCCAGCGAATCGCTTCTCGTGCCTGATCTCAAACGAGCAGCATCGAGAGCATGGGTGAGCAGGTTAACGTGCGTGCTGCAGGAACTGACGTCACCCAAGGTCATATTCTCTATCAAACCTGACATTACGGAGTACCTCTCTCCGTATAAGTCCTCATCTAGAGTCACAAGTCACTACCTGCGAAGAGAGAGCCCACGTGGAGTTTATCTACCTGTCCTTACTTAACAATGCCTCGCAAGATTGCCATAATCATCTCGCCATTCCACGTAGGGATCCACCGCCATCGTGTTGGCGAAGGCCCCGAAGCAATCCTCGCAAAGCTGCAGCCGGCGCTCGCAGAACGCAGCATATCACATCGCGTAGCAATTATCGATAAAGTCGACGACTTTGAAGGAGAAATCGGCCGCAGTTTTGCAGTGTTGCGTCAGATTGCTGTGCAAACCAAGATGGCTGTCACCAAGAATGAGTTTCCAATCATACTTGCTGGCAACTGCAGTTCGTCAGCTGCGGTCTTGGCTGGACTCAATGCTGCAGGTCTCGATCAGGAGGACCTCGATGTGTTCTGGCCCGATGCTCACGCTGATACGCATGTTCCTGATGACCCTGGTATCGGCTATTTCGACAGCATGGGCATTGCCATGTTGACTGGTCTATGCTGGAAAGGCCATATGAACGATATTGAAGGACATAATCCATTTCATTTCTCACGGCTTCACCTTCTTGGCATCAGAAGCTATGAAGCAGAAGAGATGACTCGACTGCACGACCACGATGCTAGCATCCTCTTTTTGCGAAGAAGGACACGAGTATAAAGCTTCACTGGAAGTCTATTTGCTGCAGAAGTGTCATTGTCGTCGAGCTTTTGTGCATGTGGATCTTGATGTTCTTGACACATCGGTGGGACACGCTAACGCTTATGCGTGTTCGGGCGGTCTTCTTACCAACGATTTCGTTGATATGCTTGATTTGTTGGCAAAGCGTGATCCCACTTCGCTCACGCTGGCGTCTTTGGATCCTGATCTCGAGGGCGGAAAGACAATTGTACAGCTTGCTGTTCAAGGAATCCTCACGTTTCTTGAGAGCGCTGGCATTATCCCACCCAATGTCAAATAATGCTCCAGACATTTCCTCTGGCCGCAAAGTGGGAAAAAGTCGCGCTAGGATTCTTGATATCGGGCTACTGATTAAGAGCAGTACTATGACAAGTTGCCAAATTGGATTGCCAGGATGAGCAATGAATAAACGGTTTCCTTGCAGATCTTCAATATTCTGATCTGCTTATGGGTTGATGAGGTGTGTCACACAAGGTTTTAGGAGTCTTCTGTTCTTATTTCAATGCACCGACGAACGAGCGATCAAGTGGAAGTAATTCTTGCGCGTCTGATAGACTGCCATCTTATACTTCCTAAGCACGGCTGCTCGTGCTAAGCTCGCCAAGGCTTCTCGTGATCCTGTCGCCCTTAGCCTACTCTCGGCTTGTGATAAAGCTTCTGCACGCACTCTGCGACATCACTACCGATCAAGCCATGGTCACTGTCACGCGAGAGTACACAAACTGTTCTCCCGTGGTCAACGTCCGAGCTGCTGGTATTACCACAAATTGCTATGAAGCAGGTGGTACAATGCGAATCTCGATGCCTTTACCCGATCCCGGTGACTTGTGTCTCTTTGCTGGCATGCTGTTCTGTGCTGCCTACTCCCAATGGCTTCTGGAGGTTGGACCGACCGTTCTCGTTGAGCTCCATCGAGATCGCAAGCGCGTTTGATGCTCCTTTGCTTCACTCGACCGCAGCAAGCACCCTTGATCTGCTTGTTGAGAAGCTGGTCAAACAGTTTGGGAGCACGGGTGTGCAATATGGTATTGTACCTCAGGGGGATGACGAGCACTTGTAGTTACGACAAAGGAAGTTCGGGGTACCTGGAGAAGTGTGACAGGCCAAATTCGACATCACATGTGATTCTCGCTAGCTGTGTAGATCCTAAGTATAGCAACTCTGTGACCTCGTCTACCCAATGTATCTGCCAGGTCTGGCAACACGGAAGCCCGATTACTACGGAAGGTGCTGGCGAAGGATCGAGATTGAGGAAGAAATGCCTCCGCCATATTTGATATGTGAAGCCTTCACGGTGTGTCATAAACGACGTGTGTTTTCTCTATCCATCGGAGATGACTTGGAACGATGTTAAACAAGATTAACGAGTTGGGGGAGCATGAACGCAACTCTTGACTACCAGGTTTACGCAAGCAGGCCAATTTGCATACTGCTGGACTTGACGTCGCGTATGGTCATGTCCTCTAAACCCGACATTACTCTCCCTAAAAGCCTTCCATCCTAGAGCAGTCATAATTCACTCCATATACTAAGGTAGCCTACGTAGGGTCTATCTACCTATCCCTAATTGAACACGCTTTGCAAGATCGCCATCATCGTCTCTCCGTTCTATAAGGGTGAATACCACCATCCTATTTGCAAAAGTCCTAAAGCAATCCTTATAAAGCTGTGACCAAGAGCTGCAACTAGTAGCATTTCTTATAGTAGGGATGAATCTGGTGGATGGGCAATTTGACGAAGTTCGATGATGCATTACTTCACTCGATGCGTCGACACCACAGTACTAAACCCTATTGTGTAATCTGGCCAAAACATGCTGTGTTCCCTGTGGTGAATGCGGAGTCCAGTCTGTAAAAATGGACGTTGCGATCGCGTCTTGGCGGCATGGTTCAGGTGTTCGATATTGAGGTCCAAGCAAGAGCGACGACCTCTTAGATCGAAGCAGATGAGCTCAGCGACACCCCTTGCCTGTATGAAAGTCCCCCAGCTCTTGCAGAATGCGGAAATCATGCGACAAGCATAACGATTAAATTCTCAGCAATGCGCTCTTGAAGCAAGCATATGTCGTAGCGGCAGACGCTTCTAACGATCTAGTCTTGTATCATGCATCTGATGGCCCCAAGAATGAACGCTAGAACAAGAAATGGATATTATAGCTGATTTGCTGATTTCATCAGGTCAGCAGCACGATTCGGCTCATGGACATGATTTCGTTGTTACTATATTGATTACATCATGACGAGGGTGGAAAATGGAGAGCATTACCCGCGGCTTGCCGCGATGTACCCAGACAGCAGTTTGTTCACGTGACCTTCAGGAGATCTCCACACAGAAGAAGTCGTGGCCAAGCGCGCTAACCCTCTAGCCACCACCTACGAATGTCATGGAGTCTGGGCAAACTGAGGCATCTCGCGGCACGCCGGCACCCTCCTTCTTTGCTCATCACCGGGTTTAATCAAGCTGATAGTCGATGGTCTTCGAGCGATCTGCTCCGCGGAGCATAGTGAACGGGCTCAGATGTCAAATCACGCCCACCGAGGATGGAAGCACTGCTGACCAGGAGGTACTCGGACAGTTTATGGTTACCATCGGTACTGAACCTAAACAATCTCTACAAAAACGTCCCCACGATCAGGAAGAGGCAACGTCCCAGTGCCCACGTCGCTTCTCCATCGTTACGTAGGCGTCTATCTTGATCTTGATATCACATGCCTTGTACCTCTGGACAATATGCTTCATGTGCCACTTCTCACTCCAGGCATATACCCAGCTCGTGTCATCAATGCTTCCATCCTCGCGCGACCAGGTTACCCTTTTCTCGCTCGTCTTGTACAGACAGCGTCGTCGAGGGTTCTCCACTGGCCGTCACCATATGTAGAAGATATGCTTAGCACTGCTTGCATGTTTTTCACAAACCGTTGGATGGATCATGTCCGACATCTGAGCTCCAATCATAGCGCCGCCATGTCCGACAGAGTCGTGATCCTTGCCAACGAGAACGGGAACGTGAACAGACATATGCTACGTGGAAAAGTCACGACGCCCCTTTTCACTCATGGCGGATCGAGCAGCTGGCATGGCTGGGACGCAGCCATAATATTGTTGATTGGCAATCACTACACACTGTTTTCCAACGGGTTCATCATGAGCTTTTCGATTCTTGGAGTCGGTTTTTGAGGTCTGGCAAGGTATATGAGTGCGACAAAGTATCGGCAGTTACGACCGAATAGCTGGCCCAGTCAGCAAGGCGATCAGGAGAGACTACTGGTGGTAAGGGAGACTGGATGGTTGGCGTATAATAATTGGCTTCTGCGGCAGGCACGGATTTTGACGTCGCTTGGTGGAATCCAGCTGATATCCTTAGACGCCCGTGTGCATGTCCCTTCTGTTGAATTTGTTCGATGGTGGCAGCCTGCCTCTCCTGTTTGAATTAGATACTGTATGATGGAATCAGCAGATTGCTTCCTTCGTAGAGATGATAGCAGTAAGCCAAAGGCTGCATCATCTGGCATGGACGCCGTCTGCCATGGTCATGGGTGAGGTAGAGATTTTTACGTCATGGACAGGGGCTCTTCAATACATTCAGTCGCTGCCTTACTACTCTCTTGTCCGTCCACCTCGCCTCAGTAGAGGAGACATCTCCTTGCCTGCCATGTTCGCTTTGTTGGAAGGGTGACTCTGCTCACGCTCACAACCAATTGCTAACTCATGAGCTTCTTCCCCGACCAATGATGTTCAAGCTTCTTGCACCGAAGTAATAGTAAGTAGATGCATGCAGACTAAACAAGAGAGATGGAGTGCTAGATAACATATCTTCGAGCTCTAAGAAGGCTTCATCTGGCAACAGAGGTGCTTAACAACCTCACTCCATAACGCAAGTTTTTGATTCAAGGAAACCAGTCCGCGATAGTGGTCTGTCTAGTGCTTAAACTTCGCTGCAGACTGCAATTTCAGAAGCATCTTGATCGTTATGTTCACAGATACTGTTATCGACTAAGCACTAGTATACGACGATTAGCATTAGATCGATATGCAGTAGGCTAGGACATGTACGCTGACAGGGAATGTGGTATTATAAGGGGCATAGAGACCACTAACACTTTCGTTGCCGTTGTCATAGTAGCAGCGACCTATAGTTTTAACGCATTGCTAGAAGTTCGTTAAATCAACTAATTGGCACTTGGTTGTATTGACAACGAAAGCAAATTACCCCTTTGTAGTTGGTTTGTAGCATAAAACCTGCGATTGCTCTCTAGGTAAGAGCAGCAAGACAAGACAATGTAAGAACGTGGAAGTGCATGGCGGTCCAAAAAGGTAAGCTAAGGAGACAATCTTGCAATATAAAGCAAACAACGGACACTTTCTAAGGACAATGCCACCTTGATCTTATAGCCTGATCACAGCGGGCCGCTAGGCTCACTACAATAAGTAGCGGAGTCTTGAAATCCAAAATGTTCACCTAGATGTTCGCATGCTTAACTAGTAGGACATATGACCCGCAGACATCCAATTGAGGGACATAAAATCACTAGCGTGAATTTCTATCGTCACATCATCCTCGTGCCATCGATGTCTATACAGAACCCGATATGCTTTATCGCGCAGAGTCTGCATGCTTCGGCCCGGATTGTGATCAGCATGATACTTGATTGCTTTTGCGTGATCGTCCCTCATCTGGTTCGGTTATGTTCTCTAGCACTCAAACGTGAGCAGAAAGCATGTGAGTTCCCACACTAGTGTAAGGACAACGTGATTATGGACAGGAGCAGAGGTGTCGTCGAGTATGTGCTAAATCAAGTCCACGACGAGGCAAGTGAGCTGCGGCAAGGACAGCACCCGCCATCATGACCGTGGCGCTGAACACAATGCCCTGACTGTAACCTGGATAGGCAGCGAAGAGAGCACCAATGATGAGCGCACCCACTAAGCCAGCAAAACCAATGATAAAGGTTGCCTGACCAATGTATGTTCCAATCTGGAAGTATACCAGTAGGAGTATCCATTGAGACCGTGTCTCGTCGCGAAATCACTTGCTTTACTGGGATGATCCGCCATATGTGCAACAGTCGAAAGCATCAAGGCTACGATGATGCCGCTCGTGGCTCCAAGAAGTAGGGCAAACACGATCAAGTAACCCTAAACCCTAATACAATGGTATAGTTCCGACTTGAGGCGTTCGATTTTGATATCGATGTCAACGTCATGTAACGATCCAGTGCTTCGTATTACAAACTACTGGACAAGGATCTTTCCACTACTTGATGGACACAGCGTAGGCTGCCACTCGAACTTAGAAGATCAGACAACGCAAACAGATCGCTGCTCGAGAAAGGTTTACAAGTTACAGAAATCGAGGCTATGCGCAAGCGGATCAAGGTGATAATACCGCCAGGACCGACATCCATCGATTCGGCTCTTACCTTTCGCTCTGGTGTGAGCAAGTGTGAATTAAGACGGTGTGTTTACCATGTTCGAGACGTGTGCCTCCAGCCGTAAGGGTTTTGCGGGCGGATTTCGTGAAGGATCAATGACGTTGGGCTGCTGATCGCAAGCAGTGCACGCAATTCCTGTGAAGCTGCACCCTGGATAAACAGTCAATGTCACGAATAGTCGCAGACATGACAGAGCTTCTACTTGGACAGACCATGCTCGAAATAGATCAGGGTACACCTCGGCCCATCCAAAAGACGGGTTGCGCAATTTTCATGCGGAAGACACTGTTGATACTCATCTGCGCATCTTTGATATGGGGTTCGCGCCCTTTCTGGTAATGGTGTGTGCGCTGAAGCAAGCTCCACCGATCGTGAGTATTACGTTCGATGACTATCGCAATACTCTCCCAAGCACCGAACTCACATGGTATCCCTGAACCCCATCTGGAAGATAAGGAAGCTCAAAGTGTCGTAAACAATACCAAGGGACAATTGGTCTATCTCGGAGACTCTTGCGGTAAGTCAGGTAATACAAAAATCTGGACAATTCACTAACAGCTCTGACAGGAACGTTCCATGGGTCTACATCTGCTGCGATGTTCCTTGATCGAGTGGGCAGGACGGTACCCAATGGCGTGGCGGATGTACAAGAAGTTAACGACCCGTTCACCTCAAACACACTCGGAGACCCAGACGCCACGTACGACTACTTACTCTTCATATACTGCGCCCGAGCAGAACCTTCTGGGTGTGCGTTTGCTAGAGATGGGGACGATGCCCAGACACCCCACAATCGAGCTAAGACAATCTTTGACCGTCTACGCGAGCCCTCGATAGTAGGCGTGAACCCAACGACTCACACACCATCAATCACCACCTGGAGTATGCTCCACTCTGCGGGCTTTGGAGTACTTTACAATCCCATGTGGCTGTTATCGGTCTTGGCCTCGCTTGCAACACTTGGTCTATCTCGCCGAAGGATCATGATGGCAGGCTCTTCAACAACACGTCCATCACAACGTCATCTCCACCGCTGTTCGTGGGTAACAGCTACGACCCCAGAACGCCCATGCGGAATGGCATTACAATCGCGAAAAGGTTTCCCAACGCCGGGGTTATCGAGCACATGAGAGAGGGGCATTATGGTACAGCTGAAGTCAGTCTGTGCACGATCAAAAACATGAGAGCCTATCTCTGTGAGGGAATTGTGCCTCCTGCGCCGAAGATTGGAGGCGGGGATGATTTGAGAGATATGAAGTAGGATAGGTGTGAGGTTGATGGAAGACCATGGAAGCCGTTCCGAAGTAATGTCGCGATTGCGGAGAGCGGGTATAGCGAGAAAGATGTCATGGTCGTCGAGTCGTGAAAGGAGGTACCGGATTATCTGGTCAGACAGTTCCGCCGATGATTGTTGCCCAAGAAGAAGTACGACACCGCAAGTTTGAAGCACGCAAGTCATGGCATGTAGTTGGTTGATTCTGGCCTGCTATGCAAAAGATTATTGCTTGGCTTCTGTTTCCTTGTGAGCAAGGTTGTTGTTCCTTCCCCGGATCTACTGCCTTGGTCATGGCATACGTGCCATGTGTTCTCGTCGATAGACGTCTGGTCTTTCCCCTCCTACTCGAGCTTGCGAGCCAAAGCAATGCAGCTGAACAGGAAGTCTTTTCCACCTCCACTTGCGTTCAGCTTGATAACCCTCTTGATGCTCATGTCAANGGCTCGCGGACTGAGAACATCTTCGTCGTCATCAAGACTTCCTCTATCCAGCGGACCTTTCCTGTCACCTTCGAGCTCCCATAGCTTGCATCCACTCTTGACGAAGCTGACAAAGTGTCCACCTTTGCGATCGTCCTGTGGATCGGCATCACTATCCCCTTCTTGCTCGACTGACTTGTGAGCGACCTCGAAAGCTTCGTTGTTGTACAACATCTCGGCGCGCTTGGTCATGTCCAAAGGAATAGCACGGCTACGGATTGTTGCAAGCTCGGACCCAGGCTTGATGAAGTCGACAGCGGGCCCATTGATCAAGCTATGCAGCAGACCCACGGAGCCACACGCATTACCGATGGTCTGCTTGAACCAGATGACCGGCTCGTTTGGCCCGTAGCCAGCGTAGAGTCCCTTGTCTTAATCTTCGGCTTCACGATTCTGATCCCAGGCGTCCGTGAGTGGGATGATGACCAACAGAGCCAGAGCAGGGCGAGGAATGTGTGCGAGATGTTCAGGTCCGTCTAGACAGTAGATGTCGTAGAACTGGAGGGTGGATGAAAGACCTAGTTTCTCTGCTAGCTCATTCATCACATCTGGATTGTTTTNCTGTCGTTTGCAGTGAGTTCGCGCGCGGAAGACATCTTCAGACATGAGTTTATGCCTACCAAGCATTCTCCATGTCTTCTTCTCCATGCTGGAATAGGGGGAGGATATGGTGGAAGTCAGAAAAAGGAATGATAGCAGCAGTAGGGTGTAGAAAATGGATGATCAACAGCAGTGCGGTCGCAAGAAGTCCGTTGTTGTTGGACACTTGAAAGATTGTGTTATTGTTTCTGGCGCGGGGTGGTGGGGGCGGGGTTCGGATGAAACAAGCACCGCCAAGAGTATTCTCGGTTGCAAATTTCGTTGATCGATGATGCTGCGGGGTCGCTCACCACCCTCAATTTATAGCACTTTACGCACTATTACCTCTATATATACATCAATTTAAGGCCTCTAAACTAGCTGTATAATTGCAATCAAGGTGTAGCAGTGCGTTGATCAGTAATCTAGAGTTTTAAAGCCTCCCGGGCAGATTCTAACGTTTCGCAGAGCTCTTAACTACCAACTTAACATGGCACTCTTAGAGGACGACAAGGACTCTATTTAGGCCATGTTTCGGGATAATTGCACTGCTGCTACAGTCCGGAAGGTGTTTCCTCATGCTCCTAAGACTACTATCTAGTGGCTTAAGGTCAACTTTGACTGTTTTAGAACGGTACGCAAGCCTGCCTCTGCATTAAAGCGTCGAGGGCCACGTCGCAAAATAGACGGTCCTATGCACGAGTGGCTCATAGAACTGCTCTCATTACGCAACGATCTATGGCTTAAAGAGCTAGTGTTCGAATTGTGGTGTCAATTCGGGATTGAGGTGCACAAAACGACTATCTCGCGCTTGCTAAAATCAGACGCTCTAAGCAACAAGATCAATACTCGGATCGCGCAGAAACGGAACCCTATTCAGCAAGGTGTATACGAGGAGAAGCTTGCTAAGCTTATGGTAGAGGGTGCTACTAGTGGTGCTGTCGAAGATCCGGTCGATATGCTCCTATTTTTGGACGAGTTAGCAGCAAGCGAGAAGGCACTGTTTAGACGACGATCCTAGTGTCAAATCGGACATCCAGCCTTTACTAAGTCTAAGCTGGTAAACAAGACTCTTTGTTTAGTGCTGCCGGCCCTTGATATCGATGGCTATCTGCCAGGTTCAACCCTTGTAGTAGAGGGTGCTGTGACCTAGGAAATTCTTGAACACTGGCTAGAGACGGCGATATTACCTCGCTGTAAGCCGTTTCTAGGCAAGAGGTCGATAGTTATCATGGATAACTGCTCTACACACCACTCGGAGAGGGTGGGTATCGCCAGGCAGCACTTGGTATGTCCAAATTCTTACCATTTATAGGTTACAGACATGTGTCGACAGGCAGGTGTCTACCTGCTGTATTTGCCGCCATATTCACCACATCTAAACCCTATTAAGCAGTCCTTCCACCTCTTAAAGCAATGGTTACGTCGATGGAGGGACCTTACGCCGAAACAGTCGGATTGTGACACCCTAGGTGAGAATTACAAGTCAGCATGGAAACAACATCTAGAGAAGGCTTCATACGCTGCGCTAGATAGAGTGGATGTAAGGGGTTGTTTAGACATGCTAGAATACCTTGCTAGAGTAAGCCATCGCTAGGATCGTCCTGCAACTCGTCCTGTTAGTCTTCATCATCGCTCTCTAGCTCTTTATAGTCGGTACTCTAGAGGTTATCGCTCGAGTCATCGTTAGATATCTTAAGCCTAGTTAGGCTGTTATTTTTTGGTGGTACCACACCAAAATTTAACGATCGGGTGGGTGCTTGCCGATCTTCTTTGTAACTTAAGATGAACTTTAAGAGATGCTCGTGTATTAGCATACGTAGACCGGTCTAGGGCACAACCTTCTTAAGAGTAGCGTCAGTGGCCTTGAATAGCATCGAAAGTGTCCAAAAATCGGCATCTAGTGCTGCCATCGCTCGGTTAAGGCCTGCCTGCCAGGCCTCTAGGCGGGTACTCCGGACGGCGGCCTTAATAGAGTCCTAGAAAGCTATCTAACCCTCGCCATTGTCAAGCTCCGCTAGAACAGGACTAGTAGACTTCTAGCGAGGTAGTTGTGGCTGTTGTAACTAAGGTTCTTAAGTGTAAGGTTGCGGTTCCTATAAGCCAACATAGAAGACTTGAGATACCGATGGGGAGGCTTAAGTTAGCGCTAAGGCCTTAGTCTTTGACTTCTCGGCGAGCTTGCGTAGCTCTCGTTGTTCGTTAAGCTCGTCGTCGGCCTTAATTAGTCTCCTAATGCTCATCGGAGGGTGGCGAATACTACCTCCTTCTTGCTCGATAGCCTCGCGCCACTTTGGTGCGATGGAATAGCTGATTTTATAGTGACGACCCTTGTTTACCTAACAAGCAATACCTTAGCGTGCCTTAACCTTATAGTGGAGAGGTCTATCACAAACCTAATAGCTCTTTAGCTCGTTCCAAAAGACGCCTCGATCCTCTTAATACGCGGCGGACTGCTAAAGCGACCTTTAAGTGCGTTTGCCCTTCTACGAGGAGGGAAGTTCCTAATTAGGAACAGGCTCTAGCTTAGGCGGAGGCGTTATGCCCTTATACGTCCATACGGAGTTGATAGTAACGGTGATATCTTTAAGACCATTGCTGTAATTGAGACGTATAAGGTCTATAACCTTGCTCTAAGGCTTAGCATGCTCGTGTGAGAGGGTAATAGTGCTGGTTTCCTTATGCTTGTTCGCGCGAGCTGAGCTAATTAGGGCTCTAATGTTGTATGGTAGTTGCTTATAGCAGTTAATGTCATTGCAGTAACGTTTTATTGGCGGACCCAGCAACTTGATAACGTCTACCCATGTGCTGTTGGTGCTAAACACGTGGGTATCGTCATTAGAGATAGTTTTGAGCTCATATCTAGTCGCGAAACGTAGCTTAAACTAGATCGCCGGCGGTAGCAGCGATATGACCGGGTCAACCACCTTTTTTTGTACAGGTCGCTTTCCCTTAGCCTTGACAGAGGTTGTGTATTGTCTGTCCCTTAATTTGGTAACGATCGAAGTGGTGGTTGTTAACTTAGAGGGGTGGGGGCTAGGTTCGAGATTTCGCGGCGGACGGCTTTGCGGGTGGATTCGCGCGCGTGGAGGTCTGTTTCGTAACCACCTTCTTGTTGTTTTTCTTCGGGGCTTTTCCTAACGTGTTTGTCGCATCCGAAAGTGGTTTCCCCTTAGTGGATACCCTTTTGGAAGTGGTTGTGGCGGTTGGGTGGAGGGTTTGCGTTTTTGGTGCGCCTGAGCTGTGGTCGAAGATTCGGCCGCTAGCGACTCTTCGAAACGTTTTGGAGCCACACCACGATTGGATCGACGTGGCCTTCCGGCGACATGATCATCAACCTCATCTCTCCATTGTACGCGGTTGGTACCGCGTGTAGACCTTAGTGTGGCGTGCGCTGAGGGTGGTGATGGTAACAGAGGAGATTCGGCTTTAGGCGCTAATCGAGCTTAGGCGCGTGTATTCACCACCTTAGAAGTGTCGGATTGCTCTAGTACATTTAGAAGTGTATGCGCAGCACTAGAAGTTGTCATATTGATGATTATAATAAGGTAATTTAATGTAGTGGTAGTATAGCAGAGTAAATAAGGTATCAAAACGACCTCAAAGCGCTATGGCGCGTGCCTCTCCGCACTGACCGATCAACGAATTGCGCAACCGAGAATATTTGATCGCATGTTTACCTGTTCATGAGGTGTCCGTGTCAGCACCCGGTTCATTCGAATCTGCCTTGCGACACACAGATGCAGAAAGGTACCACTGCTTACTTTTGAATGTCATCACTATGGCGGGAACATGAGAGGAGAGAATTTGATTCAAGTGATGTGCTCGTTCACCCTTCGCATCACCTGGGCTGCTCATCTGCCTGCCTGATTAGAGCAAGAACATTGACTTCCAGTTTTTGCAGAGATCTGGGCAACCCGAAATTATCCTCAAAAGTCGCGATAAGATTCGGTCCCGGGAGGCAAAGATTATGACGATGCTAGACAAATAAAGCTTACTCGAACATATTTGATGTTGTGGGTATCGGTCTTTTGATTCTCGATTGAAAAGAGATCAAGTCTTGACTAACAATTTATCATGATTGTTGTGTTGGGTTCCGTGATTAACATTGCATCTTTGCATTGTTTGTTTTTTCTTCTTTTCTCTTTCTCCAAGTCCCCTCCCCGAATTCGGCATCATGACAGACTCCCGATCACGTAAACCCAGTCGTCGAGCGTACAGACGACATGTGGATTAGATATTTCTTGTTCGTCGCACGATGGATTTGTCAGCTCAGGGACTACGTATAATCTTCTTCTTAGCCCTTGTCATGTATTGTTTCGTTTCTGTTCGAACATCTTTTTGAGTCAACTCGCTTCCCTCAAAATGCTCAACAAGCAAATCATCTCCACCGAAAAGGCTCCGTCGCTTCCAAACATCTACAATCAGGCTATCGCGGTGAACGGTCTGGTATTCTGCTCAGGCACGATAGCCATAGACCCTGAAAGTGAAAAGATTATCGATGGTGACATCAAAGCACACACGGTATGCTGACTATCACATCGCTGTCGCATCTCCACGACTTGTACGTCTCTGACAGCTTCGCAGCACCAAGTCTTGAAGAACCTCGCGGGGGTGCTTGAGGCTGCCAACACTTCGTTGGACAATGTGGTCAAGCTCAACGTATATCTCTCCGACATGGACAATTTCACCGCTATGAATGAGGTATACGTTCAATACTTCCCGAACGAGAAGCCTTGCCGCACGTTAGTGGACCCGTTGATCTCTCATCGACGTATAGCTAACTTCAAGACGAAAGTNTGCGTGGCCGTCAAGACACTGCCTTGGGGCACAGATGTCGAGATGGAGTGCACTGCTGTTCAGGCATGAAAGGGAGTCTTGTAGACAAGAGATAGTTTAAAGCGATACAGTTCATGATGAAGAAGCATAGTCACGTGAACTGATCTTTGATCGGATGAGCACCAAATGCTGCTTATGTCTCTCATGACTCCCATGTATTACTTTAAGCATCAAGAAATCGTCCTCTGCAAGTCGACAAGATCATCGTTAATCGTCATAGTAGATGTGTGGGCATTCTAAGTTTTGGTGTCGCGTACACATGTGACGAAGATTCAATAATGTCGGGAGGGACACCATCATCTGTGCTTCAAATTCTGCAAGTGAGAATATTTGTCAGACATATCTGACTAAACACCGGTTGGTCATGTTTGATGTGTCACCGATAGCGGCAAGCTTCGAAGTATACTTCCACGCAAGAAACATCGATCAGTCTTTTCACGCCTTCAATCACTCGAAAAATTGTCCCGGAGCACAACATGGCGAGATACCTTGAATTCGTTTACCTAGACGTTTTCACGACAACACCTTTCAAGGGTAACCCTCTGGCCATCGTGCATCTACCGCAGCCTACAGCATCACAGCCTGCCTTGACGCAAGCACAAAAGCAGACGATTGCAAGAGAGCTCAATTTGTCGGAAACAGTCTTTATTCACGACTTGGATGAAGCTGAAGATGGAGGCCTTGATTCCAGCCAACGCAAGATCGACATTTTCATGCCCACCCTTGAACTGCCTTTTGCTGGCCATCCAAGTCAGTCTCTAGCACTTTGCAATCGAACCAGCCTAATTGACCTGCGATAGCTNGTTGGCACCGCCGTGTACTTGCAAGCTTCCAAAGTTAACACACTCATCACTAAAGCGGGTCCTATTGCGATCCATGCCAATGGCCCTGGTCAGGTCGGTATAAGCATCCCTCATAACACGCACCTACACCTCAAGAGAATGAGAGATCTATCAAGCAGCCTTCAAGCCACGGGATTGCATAGCGATGCCGCCATCCTCGAGGCGGAAATTGCGGCACCGATCTTCAGCATCGTAGACGGTATGAACTTTGGGCTCATCAAGCTCCAGACTCTGGAAGAACTTTCTCTCGTCTACCCTGGACCGTCTGCCTTCAGCACTGCAAGCAAACTTCTCGATGCTGGCTGGCTAAACACCTACATGGCTCGCTACTACTACGTCGTACTTTCATCGACAAGCGTTTCGAGTTCGAGCAGACACGTTGCCCTGCGGACGCGCATGATGGAGAAGAGTTTTGAAGACCCAGCCACAGGAGCTGCAGCTGGGGCCTTGGGCTCATACTACGCGCTGTACGAATGTACAGAAACCGAAGTGCAGATCGGTATCACACAAGGTGTTGAATTTGGACGACGTAGCGACATCGACGTCTATGTAGCTGTTGGCATTGATGGTGAGGGCAAGAGGTTTATTCAGGAGATAAGTTTGGGAGGCACAGCCGCGCAGAGTCTGAAGGAACCATTATGGTTCCGCCCATCTAGTTTGACCCTGGTCGAAGAGAATATGCACAACTGGTTTCCTCCCAGCAAATCGTCGTTCGACATCTCGATTGTCCTCCTCACTGTATGCTCGAAGAAAGACTGAGTAAACTTTCTGCCCGATTTGGGTCTGCGTGACATGCTGGAGGAACCCGCAGCACTTGCTATCCAATCATCTTCATGTTGCCAAGATGTGCTCATGCTGAAAATTTCGCCATCAATCCAAGATTTGTAAGCTCGTTTCCCGCTCGGGAGCGGCAGGCCCGACTTGGATAAAGCACTCTGGTGACGGATCTACGCTCACGTAACAAACACGCTGAGCGCGAGATAGTAAAAGATCATGCCAGCGGTATCGCAAATGCGCCCTACCAAGGCGTCCTGGCCTGGGCGCCTCTCTTCGAAGCTTCGAATTTGCAGGTCATCCCTGATGTCCCATCTTGATTAACAGCGCAAAGCACTGGGCAGTCATGGTATCAAAGCTTGAGCCGCCAAACGACGCAGTCCATTCATGTCATGCCAGGCGACTCTTCGTTCTGAAAGATGATCATCTGCACCCTCATCGATTCTCCAAGGTCCGTAACTTCAGAAACTCCTCAAGGAACGCATTTAACTTGTCTCAGGCCAAGAAGCTCTGTATCGCCCTAGTGGTCGGGCTCTCGATGTTCAACAGTACCCTTTCTTCCAGTCTTCCTGGCGGCTCATCCTTCTACATCGCTTCGTACTTTGACATCGTCCAGCCGCAAGAACAGATACTGGTGTCCACGACGTACCTGATCGGATACGTCATCGGGCCGTTGCTGTTTGCACCGATGAGTGAACATCTCGGGCGTAANAAAGTATTGATGGTGACAGGCGGCCTGTTCTTTACAATGTCGTTGGCGTGTATCTTCAGCCCAAGCTATGCAGCACTTCTGGTNTTTCGTTCACTCGCGGGCATGGGTGGTTCTGCACCAATCTCCATCATTGGTGGGGTCTATGCGGACATATACCCCAACCATTCGTCCCGCGGAACTGCCACAGCTGCTTATNNACTATGGTCAGTCTGACGATCAAGATACGTACCGCATACTGACTTTACATCGTAGGGAACTACTTTAGGCACAGTGCTGGGCCCAACGATCTTCGGTTATGTGGCGTACAGCGACTGGCGCATGTCCTTTGTCCTGACCACGACTCTTGCGGCAACCGCACTCGTGGGCATATTGTTCCTACCTGAGACACATGCACCAGTCATCGAGCAATCTCAAATCAATAAGGCGCGCTGCACCAAATCTTGCCGAGCACTCGTATCGCACACTGATCAGGTTGCAAGAAGCCTCAGTGCCATACTATTGACGGCCGTAAAGCGACCACCAAAGCTCTTCTTCACCGAGGCGATCGTGTTCTTCTCATCCTTATACTGCGCACTCGTTTTCGCCATCCTGTTCGTTTTCTTTGCGGCGTACCCTTATATCTTCCGCACAGTCTACGGCATGGATCACAGGACTGCGGGTCTAGCCTTCATACCCATCGGAGTAGGGACGATCATGTCGATGCCGTTATGTATGGTATACGACGTATTCCGGGAAAAACGCAAAAGGAGGGGAAGACAATGGGCAACAAGAGAGGAATACCGCAGGTTACCACTCGCGTGCGCTGGCGGTATATTGCTTGTGGTCTCGCTCTTCTGGCTCGGCTGGACTGCTTCGCGGTCTTTCCATTGGGGCATACCTATGCTGTCCGGCCTGCCCTTTGGCATTGCGTTCAACCTGATTTTGATAGCTCTCTTCAACTATTTGACGGACTCGTACGGCATATACTCCGCTAGTGCCCTCGCGGCTGCCAGCTGCGCAAGGAGTATCCTCGGAGCAGTCCTTCCCCTGGCCCAGAACACCATGTACACCAATCTGGACATTGGCTGGGCTACGAGCATTCTTGGCTTTGCAGCCGTGCTGTTGCTTCCTGTTCCGTTTGCCTTCATAGCATTTGGTCCTGGGATCAGACAGCGAAGCCCGTTTTGCCAAGCCTCGCAGCAGCACACAAGATGAGCATCCATATCGAACTTTTCTGTTGCCAATCTCAACTTTGCGAAAGGACGTCGATTGACCAACAAGTAAAGTGCCTGTAAGTGGTAGTCATTCTTTCATCCAGCTCACTGGGTCCAGGTAGTGTAGTCTGTATGTCAGGCAGAATCGCAGTACCTTGGCCAATGATTCCATGGTCGTCGCCGAGAAGTTCGGGGTATTGTATGAAGAATGCAGGATCAAGCTTGTAGAATGTGATGCCCTCATCCATGTGTAACTTCTGAAAAACTTGTGTCGCGTATGACTTTGTGAACAATGATGCTGCAGTCGGTGCTGGAAGACGTTCCTTCGGTAGAGCCGTATGTTGCTCATCGCTTACTTTGCGATCCATGAACTGTATAATATCCCATACCCGTACGTAGCATCGAAGCGCGTGCCCGTTGGTCTGGACAAGGTCGCACAGGTCAGCTTCGACTACATAAGAGGTCGCCATGTTACAGATTATTTCGTCGATGCGAGGATTAGCGGCGTGGAGAGTGATGAGGCGGTCTCGGACGGAAGCGAATGGGCACCAGTCGATAATCGCAGGATATTTTTCCATCATTTGAAGGGCAGTTGGTCTGTATCGCGTGGCAAGCCGATCATATGTGTCTCGACAAGGCCGGATTTGCCACATAACAACACCAGCAATGTGTTGGTAATACTTGGTTGGCGCGTACCAACTCAGGACTTCTGGCCTCGCCAAACTATTGAACAATGACAAGGTCACCGAAACGGATTTGAAAAACCTACTTCCATCNNAGCTACGAAGAATTCGGGGCTCAATGTTTACATACCGCGCATAATCAGAGGCCATGAGGTCTTGCGAATACCTTAAAGGACCAAAACAGTCTTTGATGGCATCCAAGTGGTCTGAGAAGTTAGAGTTTGTAAAAGGAACACCCCGGCTGGATCGTTGAATATTCGCGAGGACGCCACGATAGACCGGTGTACCCATTTGATATTGATGTGACCAGGTGTGAGACAATTGGTCACGGAGAGATATTCTTTGGCATTCAAAACCAGGTATCAGAGTCTCCTGCGGGCGTTCAGAGACCCAAGATGATTGAATACCACTGGTAGATGGGACTATCAGCAAGTCTGAAGGATGAGAGGTCGACATGGTATCATTTGTATTTTGTCCATTCAACCAATAGATTGGCTCTCCAATCGCGCCCTGAGACGTCGTGACGCTTGAGGTACCCGGTGTGACAGTGTTACCATGGTGTTCTGTGACGAGCCTGCATCCATGCGTCGGTGTTGTTCGCGGCAAATGNNGATCTGCCCGAGATTCTTCCTGACTGTCCCGCATCTCGTACGTCTCTTTTCGCGAGTCTACATTCGCAATTTCCGTAGGCAAAATTACACTTTGCAAGTCATCCACGATAGTGGGACCTGCTCCATCCCCTTGGCGAGCGGCTGCGGTTAGAAGATCTTCTGTGCCTGGGGCTGAGGCGTCACAATCAAGTAGAGCAGCTGTCAGTGACTCCAAAGTACGAGTCTGAGTGTTTGTTGCTTGTCTGAGACCCTCACGGGCTTGGATCACCAACGATCGAAGCATGGCATTCTCGGCCATCACCTTGGCCAGCCGTTCGTCCTCTGGTTGGCTAGCCTGCTTAAGACGACGTTCGAGATCTCGAACATATGTAGCTTGCCTTTCTCGAAAGGCCTGCTGAGCGACTCGATTACGGACCCTCTTGTCGGTCCTGTGATAACGATTACGTCAGAATTCCCAGGAAGAGTAGGTGGAACGAGTGGTTTGATTCCCAACCTCTTGGTCTTGTTACCAACCGATTCGATAACATCATCACTTGTATGGGCTGCGAGCATCTTGTCATGCTGTTATGGTCAAGTTGTTGATGTGGGACACTCGCAAGAAGTCAACGTAAAAAATTTGCCAAGCCGTCTGCTTATCAAGCAGTCGGCTTACCAAGCTATCCGCTTACCAAGCCATGGGACGATGACAACGAAATCAAATGTAGTCCCACGTTATAAGATAGAGAGGAGACAAAGATAAAAGTTCGCTAAAGTATCTGAAAATCTAGCTGATGATGCCCTAAGATTCGCAAAATGAAAAAGTGCGGGTCATGACATGCGGTCCGCCGGGTTGGTTGGATCAAAAGTCCTTACAAGAACGAGCGTATAGAAGAAGGGGTTTGACTCATGTAGGGTGTTCAATTCCTTTTAGGATCGCAGTTGCCTGTGGGTTTCAACTTCTCACATCAACATCATTCGTTTTGAAGCCTCTGCAGAAGACCAAATAGATCGACATGAAAACGACTACGTTGTTGCGATGTGTGATGATAACAATCAGCCAAACAGACCAAGATCGTAAGATAGATATTACAGTTCACGGATCGCTCAGACCCTCTCAACTCGCACAACGCTTTCCTTCTCCTCACTCATCGACACCATACTGCCGGATCTTTCGGCCGTCTCTGCAGGATATGGTACTTCAGCCGCATCACCGTCAAACACCACAGCCACCTGCTCAAGCGAAAAACCTCGGGTTTCTGGATACGCGTACCAGACCGTGACGCCGTATATGATCAGCACGACCACGAACACAATGTAGTACTTCCATGCAATGCTGTCCAAAGCGATGGGATTGACGAAAGTGTTGAAGCAGATGGCGAGCACAGTCGTCATATTCGTAACGGTCAGACCGCGAGAACGCAGACGGTATGGCCAGATCTCGCAGGGGTAGGAGATGAGAAGAGGCGTTAGGGCGATATCGTAGCCGGCGAAGAAGATGAACAGGAATGGGATGACTGCTACACCGACGGCAGGAATCTGGTTGGATGCAAAGGCGCCTGACAGACCGGTGACCAAGACGTAGGAGACGCCCATGATGACGGCCGAAGCGAGGAACAAAGGTCTGCGACCAAGTCGATCGACTGAGAACGCAGCGGCGACACACCAGATCAAGTTCCAGACTTGCAGGAAGCCAGAGATCAAAGTGATATCGGTGACGCTAGTTATGCCAACAGTCTCCAGGACCAGAGCGAGATAGTAAGAGACGACGCCATTGCCTACCCATTGACCAAAGATACCGAGAGTGACGGAGATAAATAGTCGTTTGCGATTTCCGGGAGTCTTGAACATCTCAGCATAGCTGGCACTGGAGGTGGCGCTCTTCTCTTGCTGAATGGTAGTGGTGATTTCGATCATCTCGTAATTGATGAGTTGTGAGTTTTCGTCGCCGCCATCATGCCACCCTGCCAATACTTGACGAGCCTCTTCGGTGCGATCCATAGAGACGAGCCATCTGGGGCTTTGGGGCGCCATGAGTAGGCCAGGAAGAGCGAGGAAAGGCACTAAGATCTGAAGTGACGAGGGGATTCTCCAAGACCAGGAGCTTTGCATGTTGCGGGTGCCGTATGTCAAGAAAGCGGCGATGAGTCCACCGACNNTTACTGGAAAGTCGTGAGTACATCATCAGATGAACGAGGAAGACAGACTTACCCATCCACAGTTGTACAGAGCTCCACAGATCCCACGGTGAGAGGNGTATGCAATCTCGTTGATCAGAAGCGGAATCGAGGTCGAGAAGCATGCCGGTGCATTGCCGACAAAGAACCGAGCAGCAGCAAACGCGCCCTCATTGTTGGCACCAGTTTGGAGGCCAGCACCGAGAGCGAGGAAGGCGTACCCTATCCAGATAGGCATCTTGCGACCATATTTGTTTGCAACAATCGCGGCGACAGGATACATGCAGCCTGCACCAATCCAGTAGATGGCATTGATAAAACCGAGGAAAGCTCCAGCAGGGCGATCAAAATGGTCGTTCCATTGGTTGAGTGCTTGGAGACCGTTCATCAAGGAACCATCGTATCCGTTGGCAGAAGNCTAGATGCGTCAGTAATTACCAACACGGGATGTGAAGTTTGCAGACATACAGAAGAGAACCAAACAAGCAACGACAAAGTTGAGTTTGATAAGATGGGCCTTCTTGTGCCAAGGGCCTTCAGGCAAAACAGCAGCAAGATCATCGCCAACGGCAGCTCGCGCTTGTGTCTGGTTTGCCCATGTCGTCGAGAATGGAAGAAGAGAACTAATGACTGATGGAAAAGCAGTGTGCCGTGATATGAACATCTTTGGGTGGATGGGCGATCAGTATATATAGACCCCAGATCCGGGTTCGACGCCCGAGCCCGGCGAACATGCCGGCTCATTGGAAACAGGCACAGATCATGTCTGGGGACCCCAGGCTCTCCACAATTACTGTCAAGATCATCTATGCGGAGCATTGCGGAGTACTCAATCGACCATTTCAGGAATCCCGAGTCAACTCTCGTGACAGCTCCTTCGAACACTTCTTGTCGCAAGAGCGGAGCATGACTTACACGCGGAGATTTATTCAAGGCGCGGAGGAAGGGTTCTAAGGTTGGGGCAACGGTTTGAACTAACAAAATGCCGAGACTGAGGCTTGGACAGCAGTGGCCGCGGGCGGTATACTTACGGCGGCGACTATGTGTTCCGAATGTTGGCGAATATGGTTGGAAAAGGTGAGCGGAGAAGTCGCTATAGTATGTCGTGTTATGCCGCGAGGACTGAGGACTGTATGAGGGCAGCACAAGCTAGTCTTTTGAATCCAAGTAACACATTGCAGCTGTCAAGGCATTAGGCGAACACTCTCCGGATCGATGCTGCGTTGCAGGATCGGCAATACCGAGTCAAAGTCTTGACTGAGGAGTCGCATGAGATCGGTACATCACATGACTTCTTTCGTTCCGATATGTCGCGGTCCGTTGGCTGTGAGTATGTGAGAGAGAGGGAGAAGCGAGGAAAGGCCAAGAGGGCAAGGAGAGTTCGATGTGGGGCACACGGAGAAACTGCCAAGCCCCGGGGCGGGGAAGGGTTCACAACCCGCAACGACAAGTCTCAGCTCTGCAACTTCACCTTTCCACACCCTACATCGCTACGACCGGTATCACGTGCCTTCCAACCGATGAGCGTACTCCACAGGTAGGTCGTGGGTATCCTCTGTGGACATGGTCGTGTGATGTTGTGCTCTCGGTATCCCGAGACCTTCCGGAGCAGGAGTCTGCATTCTAGCTATTTGTATCCCGATGCCCGACTTTGACATTGCCGACCACACCTCTGCCTTTTATCGTTGCGACCTATTTGTGTCCCCTTATCCATACACTATCTTGAGATCATGGGTGTTTCAACCACACAAAGCGCTCGTGAAAACGGCTCCGTTCCAAACGCCACTTCCAAGCAGCAACAGCAACAAAACGAGCTCGACATTGAGCATGTCCTGACACAATTGACGATCGAGGAGAAGGTTTCTCTGACAGCGGATCCGCGATGTCTAGAACTATCATACCGAGACTCATGCTGATTGGCTCTAGGCAGAGACTTCTGGCACACTGTAGCTGTCCCACGACTGAATATCCCTTCCGTTCGACTTTCTGATGGTCCCAATGGTGTGCGCGGCACGTGCTTCTTCGACGCCATTCCCTCAACATGCCTTCCTTGCGGCACTGGTCTCGGTGCAACTTTCGACAAAGAGCTTCTACAGAGAGTCGGAGGTCTCTTGGCCGATGAGTGTAAGGCTAAGGGTGCTCATATGCTCCTCGGTCCCACGATAAACATTCCTAGAGCACCTCTCGGTGGTCGCGGGTTCGAATCTTACTCGGAAGACCCATATCTTGCTGGTATCCTCGCTGGCTACTACTGTCAGGGTGTCCAGAATAAGGGCATCGTTGCGTGTCTCAAGCATTTCGTCTGCAACGACCAGGAAGACCAACGCATGGCTTTCAATGCCATTGTTACTGAGCGAGCTCTGAGAGAAATCTATCTGGCTCCCTTCCAGATCGCTCTCAAACAATGCCAGGCAGGCACCATCATGACGGCGTATAATCAGATTAACGGCATCCACGCAGCCGAGAATGAGCATATCCTGGAGGACATTCTCCGAGGCGAATGGGCTTGGGATGGACTTGTCACCAGCGATTGGTTTGGAACATATAGCACGACTGAAGCAATCAAGGCTGGTCTTGACCTTGAGATGCCTGGTCCGTCACGCTGGCGTGGTGAGGCTCTGATGCATGCTGTCACTGCCAACAAAGTCAAGAAAAGCGAGCTCAACGACCGCGTTCGCGCTATACTCAGACTCGTCAACTCAGGTATACGCTCAGGTATCCCTGAGAACGCCCCTGAACTTCGCCTTGATCGACCCGAAGACAGAATACTGGCTCGTCAAGTCGCAGCACAATCTCAAGTACTCTTGAAGAACGAAGAGCAGATCCTGCCCCTGGATATAAACAAGCGCATCGCTGTGATTGGACCGAATTCGAAGATTGCAACCATCTCTGGCGGCGGAAGCGCTTCGTTGACACCCTACTACACAGTGACTCCCTTCGAAGGTGTGTCGGCCAAAGCTGCTGCTGGTGTGGATTGGGCTCAAGGAGTCTATAGCCATCAGTTTTTACCTACCATTGGTGAGCACATGCGTACGTTCGATGGCAAACAAGGNTTTTCAGTCAAGCTATATAACGATCCACCTGACGCTGAACACCGCGAGTTGCTTGAGGAAAGAGTACTCACCAATTCCAATGTCCTCTTTGCTGGCTTCGATCGTCAGGATCTGGCATACATCTGGCATGCTGATGCCGAGGGAATCTTTACAGCACCAGAGAGCGGCCTCTACGATTTTGGTCTCGCTGTCTACGGTACCGCACGTCTATACGTTGATAACGAACTCATTGTCGACAATGTAGAGAATCAACGTGCAGGACCTACCTTTATAGGCTGCGGTACAGTCGAGGAGACAGGTACCAAAGAGCTGGTCGCTGGCCAGGAGTACAAGATATTCCTTCGATGGGCAAGCGCCAACTCCAGTACCAGAGTCAAGCCCGATGGGGTTGTTCTGTTTGGCCACGGCGGTTTCCGCTTTGCTGGTTGCAAGCGCCTTGACTTCGAGACGTCCATCNNAGAGGCTGCAAATCTTGCCCGTACAGTCGACCAAGTCGTGCTCTTCACGGGGTTGAGCGGCGAGTGGGAAAGCGAAGGTCAAGATCGCCCTCACATGAACTTGCCACCCTCAAATGATGATCTCATCTCGGCAGTTCTCGATGCTAATCCCAACACTGTCATTGTTGTGCAAAGCGGTACCCCCATCGCGATGCCATGGGCCGACAAAGCCAAAGCAATCGTGCAAGCTTGGTTTGGCGGTAACGAAGCCGGTAACGGCATCGCGGATGTGCTTTACGGTGATGTCAACCCAAGTGGGAAGCTTCCTCTGACCATGCCTCGTCGTCTTCAGGACAATCCCGCCTACCTAAACTACAGGTGCGAGGGTGGACGAACTCTCTATGGCGAGGACATATATGTTGGTTATCGCTGGTATGAGAATGTCGAGATCGCGCCGCTTTTTCCATTCAGCCATGGCTTATCATACACATCCTTCAGGACAAGCGATCTTCGATTACGCCAGAGTGAGTCGTCGAGCCTCAGTATCAGCTGTCAGGTCACAAACACTGGCATCAGAGCAGGCGCTCAAGTTGTTCAGCTTTACGTCGCAGCACCGAGGTCGCAACATGTCGGAAGACCTATCAAGGAGCTCAAAGGCTTTTCAAAAGTGTTNTTGGAGGTTGGAGAAACGGAAGAGGTCAACATGAGCTTGGACTTGGTACAAGCAACCAGCTATTGGGACGAGATCGAGAACAAGTGGTGCAGTGAGGCCGGCACCTATAAGATCATGGTGGGAGATAGCAGTGCGGCTACAGACTTTATGGTAGGAGAGGTCACAGTCGACGAAACGACTTACTGGTCGGGTCTGTGAAGGCCATTCAAAGTTACAATACTTACGCATGAACCACCCCGTCAACTAATTCAAGCCACAAATCTTACTTTGACTCAGTTCCCACACGTCTATCTATGTCTCACTTACTTAGGTTCACAAAGTGATTCAATGAAAACTGCTTTCCAATTAGAACCTTTCCAACAATACCCATGTGCGTGTACAATAAGAGATGGCGAACAAGGGCTTTCGATACCATTGTCGCGGGGCGCACCCTGCCCACACAATGTGGCTGTCTGGGAACTGTCTCGGGCCAAACAGTAGTAGCTGTCATCCCGGAACATTGATCGACCTTTCTTGTCTGCTCACATCAACAAGCATGATTGACTCAAGCTGTCATCAGCATGCCAAAATGCATTCCCTGTCATTGGCCTGGTCCAGTTTCAGGTATCCTTTCTGACCAGGCACGTCAACAACATCGTTCGAAGCAACAGTAGGCACTTCAGAAATTCAACACGACTTCCAACCTTGGGCCCATAGCTGCCGAAGTTATCTGTCGCAACATCCGATGCCGATTCTACAGTCGGAGCCGGCCACCCGGCATTGGCGTATATTGCCAAGACATTGTACCTCGATGCGGGGCTCCAGACGGAGAATCATTCATTGGTGTTTTCGCCGTTTCTCCGCCGTTTCTTCCGCCTCCGCGCCCTACACAATCGACCTGCAACAACGACATGTCGGAAACGCAACCCATCAGTCAGGCCAGGCGGAGACAATCGGCATTGATCAAGCAGGCATGTGACGCGTGTAAGCTCCGGAAAGTCAAATGCATCTACGACGACTCGAACCAACCTGCGGGAGCCACCCGACGACCTTGCCAGAGGTGTTCGCGTTTGACGTTTGAGTGCACCTTTGCTGTGCCCCAAAGATGTCGCGGGCCTCGAAAGCGTGCGACCGGTATCAGGTGAGTCGGCCATGCTAGTCCTTCGCCCCAGGCTTGTCTGTCTCAACAACACTGCAGCAACAACGAAATTGGCACGCCTGCCGCGGGACCGTCCTCGACAACAGAAGATGACTCAGGTGTATGGTCGAGTACAGCGACACAGCCCTTGTTGGTCGATCTATCGGACTCGCCACGCTTCGCTCGGCCACGAACATCGACATCGTCAAGTCAGCCTGCACAATCTCGGAACCTCTCATTCCTTCTAAACACTGATGGTATCTCTCCGACCACCCTATTACTACCAACTATACCCATACCCCATAGTCAAGATGACGCGAATAATACAACAACTACGCCGCTTGGGCAACGCCTGTATGAGACTGACAGTATCTGCTCTTGAAGGCTCTTCAAGCGCATCATGAATGACTATCTCGACCTTATCTATCCAGTCGTACCTGTCGTTCATCGTCCATCGTTCAGACGAGATTTGGAAAGAGAAAGGGACTCTTATGACTCCGAATTTTTCCTTCTTGTCATAGGAATCTGTGCTTTGACACTTGCAATCTGCTCGTCCAGATATGAGCAATATCGCCATGTCGATCCTGCTCTATCCTTCGAGTCACCAGAGGCTATGATCAACCACTGTCACAATCTTGTCGTCTGCCACCGAGGAGCTAGCTACTACGATCAAGTCAGTCACCAAAAGTGGGCGGTTTCATATTGCCTGGTCACCGCNTTTTTCCAGATCGGACACCACAATCGTTCACGTATGCTAGAGATAGAGGCGATGCAGTTGGCACGCCTGTTAGAGCTCCACCGCGCTTCAACATATGACGGCCTCGATTTTGTCGAGACCCAACTGCGGAAAAAGGCTTTCTGGTTGATATTCTACGGTCTCGTGTACAACAAACTGCAATATGCTCGCAGAGAACGTCTTCTATACTTGGACTGTTCCATGCTGCGATCTATTGACTTCCAGTTTCTTCTACCTACTGAGATCGAGGACGAGTACATTACGACGGAAGCGATGCTCCCCCGGCCGCAACACTACAGTCAGCCCAATATCATCACAGCTTTCAATCTGCACTCTAGGCTCTTCTGTACGGCTCTCATGCCCCTGTGGCGTGTGTCGAATTCGGCACCCATCGATCCAACTTGTGCAGAGCGTGACCAATGCTGCGGATGCGAGTGTCTCGAGTTGAAAATACAGGTGCGATCGTTGGAAGACAGGTTCGAAGAACTTAGATTCATGCTTGACAAATGTCCACCCAAGCTTCAACCTTGGGCCCCCAATCATGACGTGACCTCTGATGATAGAGAGTCTTGTGTCTTCAATCTACAGATGGAAATCTTACGAGCTAACATCCATGTTACGCATTTGTGGTTGCAGTGCATGATTCTAGACAAGTTGGATGGGTTACGGCTCAACAACCCCAACATCCCAACGCCGGACCCAAAGACTTCTTGGTCGAAGCGCGAAGAGATTGCCCGGCAGATGCTGCATATCCTGCACAGCTTCTCAGATGAACCACTAGAGCCAAACGGTTACCATACTGTAAGTATATGCTTGGTGTTATTACTGCACGCCGCATTTCATGCGCAAAGACTGATCTTGGGAATACAGTTCTGCAAAATCCGCGATGTGGCCGTCTCACTGTTGAATTGTCCTTATGAGGCGGGCGACCGCGTTGCAACCAGAGCAAATGAGTACTTGCATCGTTTTACAGAGATTCTTTGGCGTCTGGACAAGAGTGAGCTTCTCAACTCTCTGAGCTTGCAGAACTGGATCGATACTGGACGGCAAGAATGAGGCCCAGAACGGATGATACGTGACACGTCCGGCAATCTTGATGGTGTTGGGCCAGACTCCTTGGCTCCGAGGCTCAAGCGTTCGAGCAGTCGGTGTGCAGGCAAGTGAAGGACTGTCTCCCACAAAAGCAGGCGATGCGAAGTTTACGTTAGAGCAGGCAGGTCCTCATGCGTGACAAATCACAACTCTTCCCAGTATCTTCGCAGCCTTCTGTCGAAAAGCAGTGTCTGCGAGGCATGAGTGGAAGTTGGGTGGTTCCCTTCTGAGGCTGATCAGCGATGACTCACCTCGTATTTCCCCAACAGCCAGCTGAAAGCATTTCCACCTTCGACTTGTCGCTTGATACCACTTGGTTAAGCATCATCTCGAGTCAAAACATCATGAACATCTCTGATCCTACCGCTCAAGCTCTCCTTCGAGGTTTGCCGTCGCTCAAGGGTCCATCTCGCCCTCTGGATTTATTCACTCTNCTCCCATCCAGCCCCCGCGAAGCTTTTACCGATTGGCTCAAAGACGCGGTTGACAACAATGTCAAGGAACCCCACGCCATGACTCTCTCGACGATCGATGAACATGGTTACCCCGATGCCAAAGTCCTCATTCTCAAGAATCTCGATGGCCGCGGATGCCATCTCGCAATCAAAGCAGACAGGCCTAAGGGCAAACAAATCATGCACAAACCCGCTGTCGCATTGACTTTCTATTGGCCCCAACTTGGTTGTCAGATTTGCATCAGAGGTCAAGCGTCTCAGCTTTCTGCCGAGGAGAGTGCGAAAGACTTTGCCGAAAGGCCTATGGGGTCGAAGATCACAGTGCTGGCTTCAAAGCAGAGTGAAGTCTTGGAACACCATGATGCTTTGGGTGACGGACACCGTAAAGCCCAGGAAAAGATCAAGGCAGAACCGGACTTTGTATCTCCTGCATGGACGGTCTTCGCGGTTGCGGCCAATAGTGTCGAGTTCCGGCAAGGCGCGACGGATCGTATGCATCAGAGACTGCGGTACGAAACCTCGAATGATGGTAGTGGTTGGGAGAAACATGTGCCATACCCGTAAGAGCAATCAAATCTCACAGTCAACAAGATAGAGGTGACGGTTAGACATTGTGTGGTTGGAGCTGGAGCGGGAAGACCGAGATGAAGGGGCTAGACAAATCTGAAGACGTGACTTGGGACATCAACATCGAAAAATGGAAGGAAAGTACAAGTGCTTAAATAGACAGCTCAAGGGATATACCAAACTCGGTGGCCAAACATACTCTCAAACCGCCAGGTATCCTGTGCTCGTTGAAGAGCGCGTAGTCTTCGATGATATTTCCGAACTTGTCTGTNNAGGTTTGTTAACAACTAAAAATACCAAATCTTGCATGATGCGAAAACCTACCCGTATGGGTCATGACAAATGATGGATTGTACTCTCCCTGACTACGGTATCGAGGGGTTAGGGAAAGTACTGTATAGGAAACGTCAGTCGATCCTATGCTAATGAATAATCGAGGAACTACCTTTTGTGCCATGAGTTGGCCGCCACGTAGAGTGATAGTCTTCTCCATCAGCGTACCGATATGGAATTGATTTGTGTTGTAGAAGATGTCACCGATGAGGGCGATGTTGCCACACTTTCTGGTGGATCTGATAATGGAAGTGACGGTATCCCCTTGATCGCCTTCAAGGCCAACCTTGCGCATCATCANGTGAGCAGCAGAGGTCTCGTTTCGGAAGCCGCTGGCTTCAATACCTCTGTCTAGCCCGTGGGGCTCTATAGAGAGGAGGTACTCGACGTCGTCTGAATGCTCATTAATGTCAGCAGGGATGGCTCTCAGAGATCAGGCTATGGCGAGACGGGGAGGATCCTTGTCCATCGCATAAACTTTCTTCGCACCACGGAAGATGGACGATACCTGGATCAAGAGTCCAATCGCGCCACAGCCCCAGACGCCAACGACGTCTCCCTTTGAAACCTCGGCAAGTTCACAACCTTTCCATGCTGTGGGCGTAACGTCGGCAAGGGCGACTAGTTNTCNGGCGTCCACATCCATTGGAGCCCGGACGCAGGTCAAGTCCGCGTTAGGCACATGACACCATTCTGCTTGGTCTCCAGGATATCCTCCAGTAGGATGAGAATAGCCAAAGATAGCNNAGAGCCGATGTCCTCACATGCCTTCCATCTCTTTGCTGGGGTTTGCTCGCACAAAGAGCACCTCCTGTCGTTGGCGGTAAAAGCATTCTCCACAAGCGATGACCGGGAGGCTTAAAACCCCGTCACCTCTATTGAGCTTGGTAACGTCTGAGCCGATGTCTTCGACAATTCCAATAGCCTCATGACCCATAATATCACCTTTCTGCATGGCCGAATTGAGCTCGCCAACGTAAATGTGGAAATTAGAGCCGCAGATGGTACAATGAGTGATGCGGACAATGGCGTCNNGCCTCGCAGTGACGATTGACTTAGGCACGACGCGAACCTCGATTATCTTCGTCCCCATCCACTGAGCCGCTTTCATGGTATCNNGAGGATGCGGCTCGTACTCAGTGGTAAGAACACTGCAATTTGCCAGATTCTAGCCAAGATATTGTGAGAATGCTGGGACTTACTTGGTAGCTACCTCGGGCATGGTTGTTGAATGTTCGTTGTTCGGTGAGAGAGGTTGATGATTCTGGAGCTGGCGCAAAGGAAAGGGCAGCAGACTTATATGCTGCTGGTCTTGTATACCATGACGACTGACATCGAATGTGAAGATGATTCGTTCTTGTGCTCATTGCTCGGTCCTAGATCCCTCGTTCATGTACACGATCAGGAATATGGCAGTATGGTATCTCACTATTCTCGACAGAACCAGGATCCTCAAAAGAGCCATATCCGGACCTTGTTCAATGGTGAGTTTCGGTAGGCTAGGTGCGATTATGTCTGGCGTGACCCACAGTGGTCTGAGCGAAACTCGAGTCGTACATCGCCAAAGTGACAGAGAGCAGGGCATCCAGTTCACATCGAATCATGTCATGCATTAGGTTATGCAGCGCCAGTCTACGAAGCTGGCATAATCTTCTTGGAATGTCAGCCAATACTCACTGCGAGACACTATCGTAGTGAGCGAGTCTCCTTCATCTTTCTAGAGGCGGGCATGTACCTGCGTGTTAACTGGTACGGTCTTTCAAATGGTCAGCGTTGGGATGTCCCGACCCACCGCGCGGGGTAGACTTAAGTACATGCATGTGTAGTGTAATGGACGGCACTCGTACTCGTACATGCGTGGTCAATACCCAAAACACGTCGAGATGGGTTAATGCCTGTCTCTGTTGCAGTCGTACAGTGGGTCCCGCTGGTTTAAAAGTCGATGAGATACATGTATCGATAGCTGTCAATGAGTCACGCATTGATTTTACACTATACAGGCTCAAAACCATCAGTTCTTGCACGTCATTTTAATGGAATCAGTGTCGCTAAGATCATCGTTAGCAGCAACTCTGTTCTGATACAATCTTAACCTATTACGGATGGCTATGCAAGCCTGGGTCAGATTCAGCTGGCGTGATCGTCTCTGATGAGGCTCGATGTAGCATCAGCCCTGACGAGGACTCTTCCGACCCGCATTTGGCCTCAGTTCACGGTCGTGCTAGTATTGCCGTGATCGTTGTCGTTCGTCTCGCTCAAATTTTGACTGAGACTAGGAAACAACGTCTACCGTATGACGCATGTTGCGCAACACGGAGACCTGAGAGCGATGATTCAGGCGCCTTTTGATCAAACAGTCGCTCTCGCTGCAGTGCGCGAGCCCTGCTTGGAGCGATGAACGTAAATGCAAGGGCCACTGATTGTCATTAGATGTTGCGGCAGGTGTAAATGCACCAAAAGAATCGAAGCAAGGCGAAGCGTGGTTGTGTGTCGTTTAAAGTTGGATTAAGAAGACCTGGAGCTATCATGCTTTCCGAAGTTGGAGTGGTTACAGAGGATGGCGATTATCACTTGCCGCGTCTATCCATTGATAAAAGACAATTCCTCCTTGATTTTATCCGTGTTGTCCATCGACTCTCACGAAGGCATCATATCCGCATCTTGGTATCATGTGTCGCGCTCATCCATCGATTCATCCAGTTCGTTCTCCACTACCGACACCTCGGTCGCATCCCTCTCGAGCTCAGGATGTATTTCCATGCGAGTGTTCCTTGTACAGACTGCCCGTGGCCTGTTCTCCTCGTCAGGAGGATACAAGGCTAATCTCTGCTTGCTGCGTTATCTTGCCTCACGCGGCCACTCTGTCCGACAACTTTGCTACACAGAGGCAAATTGAAGGTTATATCCAGGAAACGGTCCATGATGGCCAGCATGATCTGCGCCTCAGAAGACAGAATCTTCACCTGAGAGATCGGGACGATGTCCCTGGCATCGTTGTCGAAGTCGTGGAGCTGACGATGGAAGATGGGGTGGAGATAGTAGCACTCGAGATGGACTCGTTCGACGCTGCATTTGGAGGTGTCGGGATCCACAGAGCAATGGCCAAAGATACGGCGGAGTACACATTGAGGTAATGCGTTTTATCATACAAGACCTCCAATTGCGATATATCCTGCTAACGGGTGATCTACCAGGGAGGAGANCCATCAGCACGCTTGAGCGATTTTGTAACATTNTTACAGAATGAGATGATCAGATATTCGCCCACACATGTCATCTCGAACATTGGCTTATCTGCTATGCAAGCCAGCAGAGCTCTGGAGCTTCCGGACCTGAATGTATGCNNCATTGCAGTTCTACATACTCCCGCCCGAGCAGCCTTGCGGGCTGCCACCACTGGAGGCCTTCCTGGTCATGCAAACTCACCACGCGAGTCAGATCTTCTTCCCGAGCTTGACGGAATCTGGAGTGTGTCGAAAGCCATACAGAGTTACGCGCTTGAAAATGGGCAGCTACAGACCAGTTTTTTTGTGCATCATCCCTGGACCTATCTCGAAGACNNAAAGACGCACCAGATGCCAGCTCAACTGCACAACTGGGACAAAAAGNNATTTGTTGGTATGATCAATCCCTGCCCAGTCAAGGGTTCTGGCATCCTTGTTCAGCTTGCCAAAGCATGNTCACATCTTGACTTCCTGGCATACAAAAGCTGGGGCTTCAACGACGAATTAGACAAGCGGATGGAGTCACTGCAAAACATGACGTGAGTCTCAATCCACGGATTTTCAGCTCATATTTCTAATGCATTCTAATACCAATAGNNCATGCGCCCATCGTGCACAAACATGGACGAGGCCTGGCAGGCAATCAAGGTCCTCCTTGTGCCCTCTGTCTGGTACGAAGCATGGGGCCTAGTGGTTATCGAGGCTCACCTTCGCGGCATTCCTGTCATTTGCTCAGATGCTGGCGCATTGCCGGAAACGCGNAGTCTTGATCATCAAGTCCCAGTGAATGCCATCAAAGGTGAACGTGATGTCAATGGCGTCTATGTTGTGCCTGAGCAAGACATTAAGCCGTGGGCAAGAACCCTGAACAAGCTTATGGGCGACAGGGCGCTGTATGAAAAGCTGTCGTCAGAGGTGCATAGCAAGACAAAGAGATGGCTGATGGAATTGGANCGCATGACTGGCCTGGAGAATTGGCTACTCGGCTTGAACAAGGATTTGGAGAAATGCAGCGAAGGCTAGGGACGCGATCGAACGCGTTCAAAAACATGAACGAAGTTGCGACCAAGATTCTTCACGACCAAAATCAACGCAGAAAGTGTTCTCTCTAAAGTATGACGTTTGAATTGCCGGGCTCTGACGGGTGGGCTGCGAACTTGCATCCGAAGCTGGACGGCCGAGACAGGTTCAGCATGAACGAGGGCCCCGCAACAGGCGAATCCTGAACGCTTACCTGCAGTGAAATCTCGTCATTTTGGATTTAGCATGCTTGAACGATGTATGGATCTCAACATACGTTCAAAGTCGTTATGTGATATCGCTTTGACGTGGTGGCGTGCAGCTGGTTTGATGGTCAGATGGGTTTGAGCATAAGTTCAAAGGACCAGCCTGTCTTAATACGGCAAAACATTTCCCATACTGGCTGCATCTCCTCTCATCAGTTTCCATCACATGAGGGTCTTTGCCAGAACATCCGCTATTTGCAGTATCCGTCGTATTCGGACCTCACCATTCTTGTCAAAGAGCCCTGGGTACAGAACTCCATCAGCGAGCGTGCCTGTGGCAGCAAAGGGTGCTACCGGTAACATGTCCATTGCCAACCACTTTTGGAAAGAAGCGCGCTTGGTGGAAGGAATGCGTGGTTTATCAGGTACGCGTTTCTTACTCATACAGTTGAAGAACAATGCTTTACAAACGACGTTTTNNGCAGATTTACCCGGCGTCATTCCAGGATACCAATGACGATGGCCATGGAGACGTCAAGGGAATTACAAGTCGGTTGGACTATCTCAAAACTCTTGGAAGTAAGTAGCTTTCTCTGTGATCGTTTGCTAGGCTGACCAGTCGTAGTCGATGTGATCTGGATCTCCCCGAGTACGTTCTGAATGTGCTTGGGAGATATAAGCTTACCTCGGTCNNAGTATACAAAAGTCCACAGATTGACATGAGCTACGACATCTCCGATTATATGGACATTGATGATCGATATGGCTCGTTGACAGATGTGGATGGNGCGGTTGCCCGGTTAACGAAGCACGACATGAAGCTCATGATGGACTTGGTTGTCAACCATACCTCTGATCAGGTACTACATTTTTCTTAAGCAAGTGACTCGCCAGCGCTGATGCTATTTACACAGCGTACNTGGTTTCTCGATTCAGCATCATCCGTCAATCANCCCAAGAGAGGATGGTGCTTCTGGAAGAAGNNCAAGATCGCTACGGATGGAAAACGTCTGCCTCCAAACAACTGGTGCCGCATTCTGGACACCACCAAATCAGCATGGCAATGGGATGAGGAGACACAAGAATACTATCTGTCTCTGTTCTCANNCCCGGAGCAGCCTGATCTGAATTGGGACAATCCGAATGTTCGAGCCGCGGTACACGACATCCTACGATTCTGGCTGGATCGGGGTGTGTGTGGGTTTCGGATGGATGTCATCGACCATATCAGCAAAGTGCAAAGCTTTCCGGATGCCGACAGGACCATTCCTGGTCAGTACTATCAGCCCGGTAATGCATATTACGCCAATGGGCCTCGACTCCATGAATTTCTGCATGAGATGAAGGCAGTACTTGATAAATATGACACAATCACAGTTGGAGAGATGCCTTTCGTGAACGATGAGGATGAGATCATCCGAACCGTTGGCNNAACCACAGGGATCGCTGAACACATGATCTTCCTCTTCAAAATCTTGAACATGGACAACGAACCTGGTCAATCAAAGTGGTCATACCATGAGTGGGACGCTACTGACATGAAGCGAATCCACGATCAAACGCANCAGCGACTGATGATTGAGCGTGGTGGGTGGAACGCGATCTTCACCGAAAACCACGATGGCCCAAGATCTATATCGTTNGCTGATGATAGTGATCAATGGAGAGACTTTACTGCGAAGATGCTCTGTACCAAGTCAATCACACTCGGAGGAACNCAGTATATATATCAAGGCCAGGAGCTGGGCATGGAACAGCTCCCTTCTGACTGGTCCATTGACGAGTACAAGGATGTAGAATCTCAAAGCTACTGGCGAGCGTAAAGTCATGATGTTCACTGTCAAGTCCGACCGGGTATTGATTTATTCTGCAGCGCNTCAGAAGCGCAGTATGCCAACAACCATCGAAAACTGGATTATGCACGCAAGCTACTCCAACTCAAAGCTCGAGATCATACTAGGACTCCCATGCAATGGAGCGCCGCACCAAACGCGGGATTCAGCAAGTCACACGTCAAACCGTGGATGCGAGTCAACGACGACTATCCCAATGTAAACGTTTCAAGACAATTACCTGATCCTGATTCAGTACTCTCGTACTGGAAGCGCTGCCTAGAGTTTCGCAGAAAACACAAAGAAGTCTTCATCTATGGCGGCTTTGAGATTTTGGATCCAGAAGACAAGGATGTCGTAGCCTTCCGACGCTTTTCTGAGCATGAGAGTTTCGTAACTGTCACAAACTTCACCGGCAAACATTTGGAGTGGTCGGGCCTGGGAGACACCAAGATCAAGGAGTGGCTCATCGGCAACTATGGACTCGAGTCGCACAACGAGAGTCCAGGTAAGNNGCTGATCAAGCTACGACCGGCGGGAGTGTCATCGGAAGGTCCTAAGATTGTTTCGTAAAATGCATCCTTAACAAGGCATGATTTTCACAAAGACTTTATCTTGTCCTAGCGCCATATCTTAGCAGTCTCCTTTACCCGCTCTACGTAGTCATCTAGTTCCATCAAGTATTGATTTTGCCCTAGCGTATCGATCTAATACTTCTTATCGAGCGTTTGCTTCATTATAGTCAACTCCTAGGTAATCAGTTACAAAATACGCAGCACGTAACTACTTTGTAGTAGGACTTTGTAAAGGTATCTAACAGTAAAGTCTTAGGGTTAGCAGCATTTCGATACGCTTCTATATAAGCTATTCTTGCTTGTCTAACTACTTTTCTATATAAGAACAAAGAAAAAGGGTACGATAAAAAGGAAGAGGGAAACAAAAGAAAAAAGGAAAAGAAAAAAGAAATCTATCTAGTCTATACCATATCCTAGCCAGTTCCTAGCCCGGAGTCTTACTAGAGTGGTAGAGATATACTTATCTAGCCACTCCGAGGTGCTAGGACCAAGGGACTTTGGAATTCTTTGTAGGTTTGTGAGGTCTCCTTTCCTAGAAGGCCTCCTTGGCTAAGGATAAACGGCTTAAAAGCTCGGCCTAGGGTTTGGTATTTAAGCTTCTTAGCCCTTTCCGCGGCCGATAGGGTGCTATTAGGGTCCTTCCTAGCGGTTTCCTTACCTAGGGAAATGATGGACACATCTAGGTAGGTGGTTCCCTTAGGGTTGTCGATTCTAATATCTGTCCGGATTCCTCGGTAGTCTCCTTGTGGCTCTAGGGTGACTTTGTTTTGTGGGTCGGTCTGTAGGGCCGTAGTTAACGCCTGGCACACCTCATTATGTTTGACAATTGTCTGTCTAGTCCTAGCACGGCAGGCGTCTTCGTGGGCGAAGGTATAGGCCCTATCACAGTGTCTACAGATGTCCTGGCCTTCTTCAGGGGATGTAAGAAGCCGAATAGAAAGTGCTGCGGCTACGTCCATGTCCGAGAGTAGAAGGGGCTGTGAGGTAGGCATTGCGGATAGCCATCTCCGGCCTAGGAAGGCTGAGTTCTCGATCCGTACGTTCTCTTGCTGTAAAGAGAGCTTCTGCTGTACTCTAGCTAGTCGAGCTCTGTTAAGCTTGTCTATTGCAGCTCGGTAGATGGTTCTAGCAGGGCCAGTACTAGTGGGGTCTAGTTGTTGGTGTTCTAGGGGAAAGCTAGGCTGTTGTTAGGTGTCCTGGGCTAGGAGGTAGGATAGGCTTGGTTGTGGTTGTTGGTTTGCTCTATTCCTGCTTCTACCGCGGTCCTGGGAGTGATCCTGTTCCTGTTCTTGTACCTGTTCTTGCTCCTGGCTTCCTAGAGTGGTTTGTTCGTCTAGACCTTGTGTGTCCTCTTCTGTGGCCTTGTCTATGTCCCCTTCTAGGCCGTCCTCTTGTAGGTTGCCTTCTTGGCCTTGTGTAGGCCTATAGCTAGTCTGGGGTGGCCTTCCATACTAGTGTTGCTAGGGGCTGGCGAGGGTGCTCGGGGTAGGCGCCAGAAGAGTTTTGGCGGTAGGATCCTCTGTAGGGTGATGTCTGCTATAGCCTGTGAGTTTTGGAAGGCTAGCTCGGCCACTTCCGCGTAGAGAGGTATTCCTAGGCCTCCTAGCCTAGTAGGGAGGGCTACTAGGTCCTGGTCTAGTGGTCTTCTATCCTCTGAGCCTTGAAGGTGTTTTATGGTTTCTAGGAGTCTTGTGTCAATGTCTTGGAATCTTGCTAGGAGTCCTTGTGATCCTATGGTCCTAGGAAGGTGTCGGAGTAGTGTAGAGGTGCTAGCCCTAAGTAGGAGGAGTGCGTGTTGTTTTGGTAGGTCTTTTAGCCTATCTAGCACCGTCTGGAGTTCTTCTATCCTTATAGCTAGGAATTCGGCCTTCCGTGGCTCTAGCCCTATAAAGGAGCCAAGTATCTTCATTCCCGTGGTCTGTATTGCCGATAGGGGTGTGTCTTTGTCTTATCTATGTTTAGGGCGATAGGGGCGTCTTCTAGGTAGCCTTCTAGTTGTTGTAGGGTGATCTGTTGCCCTGAGATGATGTAGACGTCGTCTAGGTATGCTAGGACGATAGGAGGGGGTCTGTTATAGCCGGTTAACCTCTATAGCTGTTGTTGTAGCTGTTGGAGGGTGGTCCGAATGGCTAGGGAGAAGAAGAGGGGGCCGAGGGGGTCTCCTTGTCTAACCCCTTCCGAGGAGGTAATTACCGTGCCGTCATACATCACTAGGGCTGCTGGCTCGTTGTAGGCCCATCTAGCTGCCTTGTAGAACTCTGGGGCATAGCTTAGGATCCCGTGGGCTACCGCTGCTCGGGAGACTGAGTTGAAGGCGTTTTTAAAGTCCATAGAGCAGACGTGGGTGTATCCTCTAAGGTTTCCATCTACCGCGTGTCCTAGTAGGTGTATGATTGGCTCTACCCCGCCGGGGCTCTGTACCCCTAGCTAGAAGGGGGCTAGTTGGTCCTTAGAGAACTGTTTTTGGAGGAGGACCTTAGCTACCAGCCTATAGATGAGCTCTCCTACTGCAATTGGCCGGACCCCGCTATCTTCCTTATCTAGGGCTACAAGCCTCGATGCGGTAAGTAGCTGGTTCCCTGGTGCTAGGCCGTTCTGTACCTGCTTGCAGAGGTGGGTAAGAAAGTCTACCACCTGTTTATGCTTACAGGCTTCCCTTAGTAAGGGGACTGACCAGCCGGATAGGCCAGGGGCTGTATCCGGGGCAAATGAGGCTAGGGCTTGTAAGATGTCTTCCGGGAGTGGCCTAGGGCCTGGTCTAGGGCTCGCGGAGGAGGCAAAGGGGTAGGGCTGCCCTTCCGGGTGTTTTTCTCTTAGTTTGGCTAGTATATCCGCCGAGTTCCTAGCTAGGGTTGAGGGGTCTACTAGTGCCCCCGCAGCTCTGCCTAGATAGCCCTTTTCTACCAGTCTTTGGGCTCTAGAGCGGGGGTATCCCGGCGGTTGTCTGGCTGGCCTAGAAATTCCTGGGCCCTATCGGTTTCTACGCGGCTTGGCGGGGGTAGCATTAGGTCCGGGTAGTGCTGTAGGACGTATTGGGTGCTAAACTCCTCCGATTGGATGCCTAGGGTAAGGCCAGCCTTCGGTAGTAGTAGGAAGTCTAGCAGGTGTTTCTCGGTAGGTTGGCGTGTGTATCTAGAGGCACACCTGTCGCGGCGGCCACAAAGCTAGCGGCTTGGCTGCCACGGAAGGTGTGGTCCTTTGCCTGTACGTGGTTGTATCCAAATAGCTGTTGTAGATACTTGTTTCGGGGCTGGTAGGTGTTATACCGGTCTTGGCCTAGGCCTATAGGTATGTCTGCAACATCTGGTGGCGGTGGTGTATGTTCGTCTCCGTAGATAGGGCTAGTAGGCCCCTGGGTCCCTAGTGAGTAAGAGGGAGGTGCCGGTGTACTAGGGGAGGAGGGTGTAGGAGAGGAGGGTGTAGGAGAGGAGGGTGTAGGAGAGGAGGGTGTAGGAGAGGAGGGTGTAGGAGAGGAGGGTGTAGGAGAGGAGGGTGTAGGAGAGTAGGCACTACTAGTGTTTCGGGGGCCGTCTCGGACGTGGATCTCGCTTTGGGCCGGTGAGCTATGGCCGCTAGGTAGGTTTGAGGCTAGGTCCTCGAGGAGGCCGATGGTGGACTCGTTAGGAGAGCCATAGGAGGTGCCGTTTGGCGAGGGGTAGGAGAGCGGTCTAGTAGGAGGGTAGGTAAAGGGGCTGGTTGGTATGTAGGTCGGCTGTCGGATTGGTTGCCGAGGATTTCCCGTTGTAGGCTACTAAGAGGGGTACTCGGCTGGCTGCCAGATAGAAGGTCTAGTAGCCTGGCGGGTGGGCTATCTAGACGAGGTGGTGTGTTATGGTAGGTATGTGTATTCCTCGCTCTTGGCCTTGCTCTGTTTCTTGCTAGCGATGGTGATCGGGAGGCGCGGCGGCGTTTGTTGGTGTTTATAAGGGCGGTAGCGGTAGATGGGGCTATAGAGGTATTTATAGCGGTAGGGGTCGAAGAGGTGGTAGGCGTCCGGCGGGTAGAGCGAGTAGGAAGGGTCTTTTTTAAGCAGCCGGATTTGGACTGGTGGGATTTGATGCCATGTGAGGTTTGGCAGGGCTGGTAGCAGGTAGGGCAGGCGGTGAAGCCCATATGGGCGAGGGTAGAGAGGGGGACATGGAGGTGTAGGTGGTTTTTCTTGACGTGGTCCCATAGGTAGGCGTAGTGGCGGAAGCAGATGCGGCAGGTACCTGGTTTATCTTTTGCCATGGTGAGTAGTGAGTAGCGAGTAGTAACTATTGCGAAGCAACAGTAGGTATTGCGAAGCAACAGTAGGTATTGCGAAGCAACAGTAGGTATTGCGAAGCAACAGTAGGTATTGCGAAGCAACGAGGATAGCAAGGTAGAGAGAAGTGAATGAATGAATGGATGGATGGATAGATGGATAGGAAGAGAGGGAGGAGGAGGAGGGAGGAGGGAGGAGGGAGGAGGGAGGAGGGAGGAGGAGGGAGGAGGGAGGGAAAAGAAAAAAGTAATATATATGAAACATAGGGAAAGGGAAGTGGAAAAAACCCGAAGGTGAGGGGTGTAGGGTAGGGGATTGTTAGGGTTAGGGTTAGGGTTAGGGTTAGGGTTAGGGTTAGGGTTAGGGTTAGGGTTAGGGTTAGGGTTAGGGTTAGGGTTA